ACTTTGTAGCCATGGCTCACGCAGGCTCGCCCACTTGACCATGCCCATTGTTTAGCGTCATAGAAGATGCAAAGGAGAATCGAACGGTGCCTTCCCCATGCGATTTGGTTAAGAGTTGTATGGCAAGAAAACGTAGTGCACGACAAAGTGCGTGGGTGGTAACACCAGTCAAGCAGCGGCACTGACTTTTTCTCGTCCAAATAATATGCTTGTGCACACACGCACCCTCAGGTCCCTCTTGACAAGGGCAGCTCGGCCAACCTGATTGTCGGGGCTCCAGATATCAGGTTCGGGACCCCGCCCAAGACCTGCAAACCCGCAGCTGATGTTAGCTGGGTGCCAACGAAAACGGTGAGTCGTTAGAGAGGCAGCGGCGGACAGGATTGGAGCCATACACGCACATACAGCAGCACGCACCTGCTCAGGCTCTTGCTCTTGCTCTTGCTCTTGCTCCATCCCGTGTGCACGAACCCATATCGTCTAGCCAGTGCCATCCAACCCCCTGCATGCTGCTGCTACCTGCCTGCATATACCCTCCATCCACCCCCCCCAGGCACCACGCTACGTGGTGGCCTACTTCAACCAGACACCCCCTGCCGTGGGGGGTCAGGTGGCGGCTGTGGTGGTCTACGTCACGAACCGCGGCACCCTCGACCCCGCCATTGCCTCCATCGACCTGCTGCTCCGGAAGCAGGGGGTGGTGGTCGGGGACACCAGCAGCAGCAGCACGCATGAGCAGGTGCGTGGGGAGCTGCATGCACACATACATTTGGATGGTGCATGAACCCGCGGTGGAAGATGGAGGATGTGGGGGTTATCATTAGTTGCTTGTCTATCTGGTGGGCAAATAAGGGCATGCATGGAGGCTGGATGGGTTTGGTGGATACAGGCCATACCTGGCCTGGAGGGCATACCCATAGTGTTGCCTACTTGCCAGCCATGCATGTTAGGCCTATCTGCTGTAAACCCCGTCTCACAGTACGTACGTATTTCACAGCGCATACCAATGACACGTGACCTTCAACCCTCTTATCTTTGTGCCGTACGCACAACCCAGTGGGTGACCCTGTACAGAGGCAGCAGTACGGGCCAACAGCAGCTGACGTGTCCGGGACGCAACTACTTCACTGTATCAGCAGCAACGGCCGCTTCTGTTCTGCAACCGTCTGACGCTGCTGTCGCTATGACTTCAGCTGTTGCCTTCAACACGGCGGTGGTAGTTGCCGTACGAATCAACGTCAACAATACGACCGTTGCGTTGAAGTCACTCCTGCCGCACCTGGCGGCAGTAGGGCTGGAACTTTCGTAAACGGACTGACAAGCAAGCAACGCGGATCACCCATGCGGTACTTTCATTCTGCTGCTATGATGAGCTGCTGTTGCCTAAGCGGTAACGCAGCCTGCTCGTGCGTGCGTATGCGAAAGGAACAACAATTCATAAGCCCGTACAAGGAACTTGCAGGGCTTTCTATGCTACAGCATCGTTCTATCTTGATAGCAATCTGCTGGTGACATTTACTATTGATGCTGTATGTTACATGATGCTCCGTCCTAGTGTGGCTGGGTATAAATGCAGCATCGTACGTTGGGATATTCTGGTCTGGGCAGCTTCTTGGCTTCTACCCTCGTTTTTACCTCTCTTGATTGCGGTTACATCTGGGTTTTGATGCCTGCTGTTTCCTGCTGGCCCGTTGTGGTGTTGTCTTTACGGCGTGTTCCGTTTCTCTTGCAGTGTAGGGTTGGGTTCATCACCCGTGTTCCCTTTTGGGGAACCATTGTAACGGTCATTCATTCAGTCTATGGAGGAGGGCGGGAAGCAAGTAAGAGGTATGTGAGTCTATCTGGTAGTGCTTGCGGGCGGAAATTGCATCTGTGTTTGCTGACCAGGCTATCTAGCTGCCCTGTCTGCGTCTTTCTTTCTCTGTCTTGCTTGGTTTGGGGGCGGGCTGGGGTTGGGGGTGTGTTCCCTGTTCCTGTTGGGGTAAGCGCCCTGTCAGGGAATTTACCATCGATTGCTAAACAGCATTTAGTGCTTTGTTTCTGACTGGGAAGTTGTGTCCTAATCGCGGTTTGCTCTTGTTTGTGGCCAGTAGTAGGTTTCCGTACAATATGTCGTACTTTTCTAATCGTACTTTTCTAATCGTACTTTTCTAATAGTACTTTTCTAATAGTACTTTTCTAATAGTACTACGGCGGAGTTTTGTGCTGTGTTAGTTAACCCTGCTGAGCAAGTCTTAACCCTGGAAGGGTAGACAAGTGGGTCCGGCCAAGGCCCAACAGTCCCTTTTGGTAACAAGTCAAGGTCAGATTCCGCTTCATTCCCCTGCCTCTTCCAGGGACCGCACATCCGGAATACGCACAAGTCTAGGTGGACAGTGTCCCGTACTGTGCCTTACCCTCGCCTGCCACTATAACAAGTACTTGGCATGGTAACACATAGCAACTGCCGATAAGTCTTAGAGGGATATACGTGCTTGGATGTAAGCCCGAGCACTCGCGATCCTGCTGACATCTGCAGTTACACCTTTTCATAGCTTACATTGGACAATACCCCGTTATGCTACTTCCGCACGCATAGCAAGCCTCGATATTTGCCCTGTCAGTAGCCGTAAGTATACACACAGTAGTAGAGCTATCTAGTGAGGTCAAAGTGTAGTGTGACGGCACCATACGGCACTACACGGCAACAGCAGCGACAACTAGGGTTCTAGGGCAGCTCTTAGATAGGCTTAGAACGACTCACACCTGAGTCGCGAAAATTTTGCTCTTAGGAAGCGGTCATGCACTTTATGCGCTGTGGTATCGAGGCTTTGGTTTTAGCTGCCACTCTGTTGTCCCCACACCTCTTCAACACTCTTAAGTCTGAAGAACGGTGAGGTGGCAACCCAGGGCAGGCTGGATACCTCCATCCGTCTCCTGTCAACTCCATTCCGACTTACCGGCCATCTGAAGATGCCATACAGTGGATGGAGGGGTGCATGATGGCCCTCGACCATCCACGTCTAGCCCTGCTGCCACGCCGCTCGAGTCCCAGGTGGCCAACCTTGCTAAGCAGATGGCGCATCTCGCCCTGCTGGAGGGTGGAACCCAGGCGCATTACTATAACCCTAACCCCTTGTCCGCAAGCCCTTCCAGCACCGGAGCGTGAGGACCCATGGGAGCTGGAGCCCGAGCCTATCCTGTACGATCGAGGCCTGTCCGCAAGCACCTGCTAGGCCGTTCGCTACGGCGCCGCCAACCCCTGGCCCATGCAACGTGTCATCACCGATAGCTACTCGCCAGCTCACCTCGGCACCATCACCTGCTGCACCACGTCCGGCTACGGCCCGTCCCGCCAACGCCGCTCAGCTATACAGCAGCCACACATTACCGTATTGGGTGCACCAATCCTCGGCAACCACTCGAGAACGCGCGGCTCACGTTCCTGCGGATCGTTCCATGCGACGTGGAGTATCGGGTTGCGGACAAGACATTTAGCAAGGTCAAGAAGGGCTTGGTACCTTTGTGTACCGCTTTGCATTGCGACCCAGTTGACGTCTGCACCGACGCCAACGACCAACTGTCTACCGTACCCTCTAGCCCCCAGGCGGATCACGGCTTCACTGCCGTTGTGAGTGCTAACGTGTGCGTGCCTGAACCCGTTGTCCTTGCGAATCCAAAGGCTTACATTGATGAGTGTCAACTGACCAGTGACGGCAACCCTACCCTGCAATCCACTAGACCGCCATGCAACTGGTGCAGATGACGCTAATCCCCCAGCTACCGTTGTCAGCACAGCAACCAGCGGCCTACCTGGATTTGCCGTACCGGAGGCCCCTCAGCTACCAGCCGCTAAGGACCGTGCATGGGTAGCGCTGTGTAACCTGCAGCAGCAGGAGCAGAGCCAGGCGGAGCAAGTCGTCGTGGGGCTGATGTGCGATGCTAAGCTTCATGAGTTGCCAACAACGGGAGGCATGGACGGGCAATGTCTCCTCAACGCTTTTAGCAAGGCTTCAGAGGACGGCAGCACTGCACCCGCTTGGTGCGGCTTTACATCAGCAACGGACCCGGGCTACCCTCTTGTGCCTGAGACGGAAGGCTTGCACCGGGACCTTTGCCCCGGTGGGACATGACCCTCCACCGCTTCCAAAGGCAACGGGTTCGGACTTGGAGCTGACTACAGGTGTTTTCAGTGCTGCTGCCGACATCGGTGTAACGTAGATATGCTACTATCCTAGATAGTATAGTGCGGAAGCGTAGGATCTTAAGATATAGGAGAATGTGCAGAGTATTGTAAGATTGATTCCCAGAGGGAGTCAGTACGGGCTCATAGTCAGGACTCGGACCTGCTCTACCCCAAGGGCTTTATTGCATCATGGACCCCGTATCCGTGTGTCGTGCGGTGCCAGCGGCTGCCTGGCTCCACCCGACAGATGGTGTACGATGGTGTACAGATGGTGTACGACCATGCGTCTGCTGCACCTAGCAATCCCAATCTACACACCACAGGAGAGGGATTGTTCTACCTTATATTTAATTGTTTATTTGCACTGCGACGCGTGGCTGCCTATGTGTGGCGTACGCCAGGCACAGTACAGGAGAAGGGATACTAAGCATTGCAAGGATTGCAACGGGGCTTCCAGGGATGGTTGAGTAGCTTGTTACTGGGGTGAGGACACGGTGGTGCAATTGGCACGGGCTGGGGTTTCGGGCAGAGGCTAGTTCTAGGGTGACCATGATGTTCCTTGTGGAGTGACAGGTTCTTGAGCTTAGGCACGGGTAGTTGCCGCTGCGTAGGCCGCTCACTGAGCTTGATGCCGGTCGTCTGCCTCTGCAGCTGCTTTTCATCCGTAACCGCTCTGGTCTCAGCAAAACTAAACTAGTTGAAGCACGAATAGGGCACATCGCCTTTAGCAAGATTGGAGGCACGATCCCTGAGGTAGACCCCCGGCACGATCCCCGAGGTAGACGTCTATGCCGTATCGTGCAGGTCCGATGGTCGTACACATGGCACAGTTGCACTCCCTCCGCCAGCTTTTTCCTACGAAAGAAACGGTCGGTTTGCTAGCAACACTTTAGACAGGTTTCGGTGGAGGTCGCTTTACACTACCAATTAGGTTGCTGTTGCATTTGTACTTTCGGGCCTGGAATGAACACCTCGTAAACTTTTTACCGTTGTTGTTCCCGACTATTGTATTAAGCCGTCATTAGGGGTGGTCAGCAGTTGGGCGAAAAAGTGAGGATGGTGAATGAGCGCAGCCCGAGAACGGTTGCAGTGGCATGGCTAATATTGGGTGTGCGGTTAGCTTTCGGGCAGTCTGCAACAACATCCATAGATCCAGCATCCTATTTAGCGGCGCAGGTATGTAGGAACGTTCAGCTGTCGATCGCTATTCCTTGCACTCTTGCATCTGTCCATAGTGCTTTACAAGCATGGTATTTCTTGCCTTTCCAGGTTAACGTGCCGAAGTACCATGTGAACGACATCTGGAAAGCACATACTCATCTTGCTAACTATGCTGAAATTGAAGGCGCTGCTAGGGACACGTTCTCCACACTACCTCGCGAGTATGAGAAGGACTACAGGAATCCCTGCTGGTGAGACCATTTGCGCCCGTATAAGAAGGTCCCTTACCCTGGGCAGCCTCACCTACACAGTCGACCATGTCCCTCCCCGGCTGTCTCTACAGGCAGGACGAGGGCAACTTCAAGTGCATGCCCTACTTCCAAATCCTAGGCGTGTCAAAAAGCGGCACGACGGACCTTTACAACCGCCTAACAGAGCACCCAGACATGGTGGACTGCAGTTGGAAGGTAGGGGCGGGGCATCTGCGTCTGACTGAGCTGGGTCTGACTAAGCTGGGTCTGGCTAAGCTGGCCGGCGGCGTTCGAGAAAGGGGTTACCTGCAAAAGCCCCAGAGCCCACCCGCTGCGCTTGGGCGCCTAGATAGGGCCCTTTCCGGGTAGGGAGCTAGCTATGGCCTGGAAGCCCACTGCAGACAGCACACCTGTTCACCGCATTCCTCCAACCCACATGAATCCGGGGTACCGGTACCCCGTTACGGCACCCCCGTACCGGCCCCTATAACCCTCCTTCATCCCACGCCTGCACGCCACCCCAGGGCCCCCACTTTTGGGACGAGGCGGTGTACCCCGTCCGCAACCGACGGCCGGGCCGCTACGACGGCTCCTTTCCCGCCTACATTGCCATCTTTGACAAGGCGGCGCAGCGCATCAAGGCCAACCCTGCAGCCATCACGGGGGAGGCCTCCTCCAACACCTTCACCGCAGTCTACTCGCACCTGCGGTAGGGAGGGACGGAGGCGGGGTGGGGTGGGGTGGTGTACGGCAAATGGCGTGGTCAGGCCAGCGTTGGGTCAGGGTATTGTATGCGGCGAGGTTTTTGGGTCCGTGTCCCTGTCGCAAGGTTGTGAATATGAGGGGACACGAACGGGATGTGCAGGGCATGTGGGTTCCCCTGTTCCCTCCTCCTCTGCTCGGTCCCGAATCCAAACAGCATGGGGCGCGCACATCCTCGCCGCCCCTCTCCCTTTACCTCACCCGCCCGCGCGCCTCTGCACTCACCATCACCACCACCACCAACGACAACAACAACCCCATCCACCATCCCTCTCTGCCCCCCCACCCCCCACCCCGACCCCCACCCCCAACCCGCCCACTAACACACCACACATTCGATTTCCTTCTTTCCCCCCCCCGACCCCCCGACCCCCACCCGCCCCCCACCCCCCCCAGTGGCCGCACCCTGACCAAGCGCATCAACGCCACTCTGTCGCAGTACCTGTGGGAGGCCTCCCCTTGGGCGCGATACGTGGTCATGTTCCGGGACCCGGTCACCCGCTACCGCTCCGCATTCTTCTACTACCGGTGAGGGGGGAGGGAGGGAGAGGGAGGGAGGGTGTTCTGGGGAGCTGGGTGGGGGCCGCATGGGGGCGGGGAGGGTTAGGAGCCGGGAGGAGGTGAAAGTGACTGGAATGGGAGGGCAGGAGGTGGGCGCGAGTGGGTTGGGGTGTGTGAGTGAGGGTTACTGGCAGGGAGTGGACATGGCGGTTGGTTGGCTGGTACAGCGGGATCCCGGCTCCACCGCGGGGCCGCGGGGGCAGCGGCGTGCGGCCCCGCCCTGACCCACCAAGCCACATCACCCGACTCGCCTACCTGCAAACCTGCGTCGCGCCGCTCGTACGCTCGTACGCTCGGCTTCCTTGCCCGCTTACCTCGTCCAGCCCCTCCTCCCTGCCTCACGACGACTTCCTCTGTTTACCCCTCCCGTGCCCTCCTCTTCCCTCCCATCTCCTTCACCAACACATTGGGTATTCTTCCCCTCCCCTCCCCAGCTAACCCATGAAATATGACCACACACAATCCTAAACTCCAGCCTAATGCGGAATATGTGTCCCTATCACATCCCCTCCCCTACCGGCAGCGCCAAGAACCTGCCGGCCGCCACGGACCGCGAGTTCCTGGAGCGGGTGACGGCGGACATATCGGAGTGGGAGGCTTGCAACGGTGCCAACACCCGCCTCTACTGCCTCAAGGTGCGGGGGGAAGGAGTGGAGGGGGTGCCGGGATGTATTGGGGGGGAGAGCGTGGGATGTGGGTGAGGAGAGTATGGTGCCGTCAGGGGTGTCTTCTGGTTGGGGCAGGTGCAGACTGGGTTAGCGGCTAGTGCCCGGCCTGATTGTCCTCCTTTCCAACTCCAAAACCTGCAACCGTCCCAACCCCCTTCTTCCCCTCTTCCCGCCCATCACCTCTCGCAGCAACCCTCTCACACTTCTACGGTACCTCCTCTCACGAAACCAACCTCTGCGTCCCCCGCCCATCCGCCTCCCGCCCCTGCTCCCCTGCCTGCCCCCAGACCTACATGCCCCAGCAGCTTGTGAAGGGCATGTACGCGGAGTTCCTGCCCGCCTGGCTGGCGGTGTGGCCGCGGGAGCGCCTGCTGATCATGCGCACCGAGGACTACAAGGCAGCGCCCGTGGAGCACGTCACGGCCACAATCAAGTTCCTGGGTGAGCGGGGTGCAGCGCGGGGAGAGGGAGGGGGGGTAAAGAACATACCATGACTTAGGAAGCAGAGGGGGGAGGGAGGGAGGTGCAGGGAAGCACAACGTGCAAGGGGGTGCAGTTGGGGTGGCTCCGCAGGGATAAGGGCGGGGAGCGGTGCAGGAGACCCCTGGTTATGGAGGGGCGGCCGAGGGATAGAGGGCTGCGCAGGGTAGGAGCGGAAGTGGGAGGGAGAGGTCCCGGTTGATGTGTAGGATCTGCCATCTACGTGATGCAGTGTCCCGCTGTACCGCTGTCCTGCTTTTAGGGCTGGTGCATCCTCCTCGCCACGTCTCTGTTGTTCTGCTGACGTTGTCTTCCTCCCTCCTCCTGATGCAGGTCTGCGCGACCTGACCGCGGAGGAGATGAAGGGCATCACCTCCCTGGCGGCCAAGAACACCCAGGTGCGCTATCAGCTACAGGGGGGCAGCGAGCGCACACACGCATGCAGCTTCTGTACCATGACCAGCACTTCACTTCCACTTCCCGTGGGCTTCGTAAAAGCTGCCTCGCACACGCCACGCACGCGACTGCTACCTGAACTACCCACGGAGGAGCTGCCGAAACACGTGTGTGCCCCGTCCTAGCAATTACTCGCCAGTTCTCACGTCCGCCTCCCCTCCGCTTCCCCTCCGCTGCCCCGCTGCCGTACCCAGTCCTCCAAGTACAATGACACCCAGTCGGAGAGTGGTGAGCTGGCGCAGGCATACCAGCTGCTGAGGGACTTTTACAGGTGGGGGGGCGGGGTGGAAGGGGGAAAGATAAATGAGACATGCAGCAACTGGGGGGCGGAGGGGAACGGAGGGGAGGGGGTGCAAAGGGAAAGGCTCACGGCGCAAAAAGCGGGCCTGGCTGACAATACCGGAAAGATGCCATTGCTGTGTGAGCACGGACGCCTTATGGGGCGCTCTGGCTTTCCGTGCCCATTCCCTGGGCATCAGATCGGTTCGTCCCGAGCCTTAGCTCGTCCACCGGGATGCTTCCGTGCCCTTTCCACCCACGTCATCCTTTTCTCCCCCACTCCCTGCGCTGCCTCCTCTCCCCGCAGGCCCTACAACCAGCGGCTGTCTCAGGCGCTCGGCAACGACCCGCGGTGGCTGTGGGGCTACTGAGCAACAGCAGCGGGGCCCTCCTGTCCCTGGAGGTGGGCTGTCATGTACCCTATGTGTGCGGGGAAAAGAAGAATACCCAATGTGGGAGGGGGTGTGGGGGGGGGTGTGGGGTCAACACTGGCCGGTGTGTTACCGGTGTGGTGGTCCGGTGAGGGGACTGGGATGGAATGCGAGGTCCAGAGGTTTTGTCAGTGCGACCAGGGTCAGTGCGATGGAGGCACGGTATTACGTAACGCAACGACGCGACCTGGGTTCTATGCGAAGTTGGGATTAAAGGAAGAGCGGTGCGTGGGGTGCCGCAGTCGTGGGGCTGCTCCCTCAAGGAATGAGGAGGTATAAAAGAGGACAAGATGGGATGGGGATGCGGAATTGGAACTATGCGAGCAATCCACCTTACTCGGTGATGGGAGGCCTTGTGTACACAGGGCAGTTATGAGAAAGCTTAGGCATGTGTCTTGCTGCAAATGCGCCTGTATAGTGCTCGATGTATTGCTGTGTAGGACGGGTTGTGAACGGTAATGACACATGCGCACGTGCGTGGCTATGTTTCACTTCATCTCATTTGGGGCCCCATCACAATAGGGAACCGTGTGCATCTATCGTAGCCAGTGTGCCATGTGAGCTCCAGGGGGCAGGGGCTGTAACCCCCAGCTGTCACGGTTTTTCCCAGAACGAGCACACGAGGACAGCCATGAGGGTGGCTGCAATTCGACGTCCTTCACAAGGGACCTTGCTTAGCACATTCGAAGCAAATCAGCACCGGGTACCAGGCCCCCAGCGGCAACCAGTGGCGGTTCCATCATTGCAAAAGCGGACGAGGCCTGCAGGACCGCTGTGCCTCCACGTACACCTCCCAGGCTGTCAGCGGACAACTCTGCTGTTGGCTGCTGCCGCCATCTGCAGCCCTTCCGTCCTGCCGGCCCATCGTCATCGTGTCCCTTATTCGTCTTGTCCTTCGTCATCTGCTGCTGCAGGTGTGATATCGCCGCTGGTTGCTGCTGGTGCTGAGGCCCATGTCCCGCACAAACCCCTCCCGCCCACAACACCCAAACTGGGTTGAACCCCCGTTTTGTACCCAAGGGGGTTGAACCCTCAAGCTGCCAAGCCCTCACAGGCAGCCGCCGCAGCTTGCAAGGGACAATCAAGTCCAGCCACCAGAAGCCCACACGCGCCACTGCCCGCTTCACGTGCACACCCCTGCAGCCCCCACCTGCACCCCCGCCTACCGGTAGGTCTGCAACCCAACCTACCCAGGCATCCCACACGCCCCGCTGCACCCCCTCCCTTCCCCGCCAGCCTACTTCAGCCGCGCAACCCCAACCCTGCTCCTTTCAGTTCTCTGAGGGAGACCACGCGGCCCCTCCAACCCCTCATGTGCTGCCTTGAGACCCAAGGAGGGCGAGCAAGCCGCGCCGCCCATCCCATCGCCCTCTTCCCCATGACCGAATAGGACTAGCACCCTCCTCGCCAGGACCAGAGAGGGCAGGCAAGCGGTCCGGAACCCGTACACACATGTAGTTATCGGTTCGGCAGATTTCATGTAGCAGGCTGCACTGACTTATTGCGCGATGCGTGTTGGAGCGACTCTGCTTCGCGGCCATCCAGCCAACCATATAGCAGCTGCGCTCGTAAAGATCTCATGGAAGTACTGGTGTGGTGCCGTATGTGCAGCAAGGGAGCAGCGGTGCCGCCCTGGAGGGGGGCCGCCGCTGTCATGGCGGAGGCAGGGAGGCTCCCAGCGCAGCAAGGACATGCTACTGATGGGCCGCATGATGGACGTACCCCTCGGACAACCAGTGCATCCTCCCCTGTAAGCGGGTGGCGGGCGCGGGTGCGGTGACCGTGTCTCAGCCGCGGCAGCCCCTGCACCCCGGGCGTCCCTGGCGCTGCACACCACACAAACACCACCGAACAGGTCTACCAGCACCGCTCCAGCGCCTTCTCCAGCGGCCACCCACAGCTGAAGCTCACAACGGCGCCCGAGGCTCCGAGGTTACAGGAGTACGGCAGCGGATGCCGTACGGTTGCAACGGTGGCTGCGGGAGGAGAGAGCCATCGAGGTGAGGGGGGAGGGGAGGGGAGGGATGATGCCACAATCTTTTATTCTGTTTTTAATGCGGTTTGCCTGCTTTACCAGTTCGTTGGTTACCCCACGTGCATGCATGCTCCCTTGCATACATACCGTGTGCGGTTGTGAGATGATGCATATGCCTGCCTGTGCTACCGCTGCCGCTGCTGCCGTCGCAGGTCCCAGTGATCTCACTGTACGGCATTTTATGGGTTCGGATCTCCGCCCAGATCTACAACGAGATGTCAGGGGGGCGGAGGTTACGAGGAATATTGGGGTTGAGGCCGAATGAGGTGTTGATTTTTCTTGCATGCGGTTGGCTGCCAGTGACACTGCTACATTAGATTAGTAAACTGGCTGCTCATGTGACCCATGGGTCCCACACCCATTGGAGACAGATTGACAGATTGTGGTATGCGGTAGCAGCAAAGGAAACCCCAAACCCGAGCATTCCATCCAGCCTCGCCAGCCACCACCATCACCACCACCATTATGTAATGAATCCTGATTGCCACCCCTCACAGCAGCCAGCAGCGCGCAGCTGCCAGAATCCAGCCAAAACCAACAACATGTCCAACCGCGCTTCTGGCGTTTCTATGGCAGAACTTCATTTTCCGACATTCACAGTCCGTTCCGACTCGCGGCCAGCAGTGTCCTCAACACCCGCACCGTTACCACACATGCACACCCTCCCTTTCACATACACACACGGGCATCCATTGCCCCCATGCAGCTGACCGCCATGTAAGTGCATTAAGGACACACAAATAGGACTGAAAAACAACTGCAATTCCTCCGGCCACGATACATGGCCACGATACACAAGTATTAACAAACCTATTTCGGCGGTAGTTCACATTGCCCTAAACGACCGGTGGTACGACCGGAGCAACAAAGCCAAAACGAGTAGCGGTAAGCAAACAGCATTCCATGACCAAGACTTATTAATGTGCTTCTCCATAAAAAGCAAATGGTTTGCGAACAACCATTTGGAAAATGCCAAACGTCTCATGAGTCCTCAGGAACAGTAGCAGTAGTAAGCCGCTTATCACAGGGACACACACACAAACAAACAAACACAACCAGTTTTGGGTCGCCGTAAGCAGAGTCACAACAGACCACCTGCCTTCCAAAGGATAGACCACCCAGCCCAGCTTGTTCGTAATAAGCCCCTCATGTCGTTCGCCGTACAGCCTGCAGTTGAACCTCGTCACGGCGGTCCCACCCAACCACCCCCCGTCACAACGCCACAACGCCACAACATCACACGCCACTCTACAACACACCTGGGAGTTCAAGTCCCACGCGTAAATGTAAACCCATGCGCGTTAGGACTGGACAGACTGCATGTGCCATGCAACAGATGCCCCCCACCCACCCACATGCGCGGCGCGCTCCAAACCACGCCCGCACGCACGCTCAGCACAATGCCCCTCACATGCATCCGCCTTCGTGGACCCCTCTCTCGAGACTCTATGTAAAGACACAGGGCGACGCAGAGCACCCCAGCATGCAGTGCTCTGTGTTCCGGCTTCTTGCAAGGCTGGGTGGCCCTGCCCCCGGCGTCCCTGCCAACCGCTTACTAGCACCATTATGGTTGCTGCTGCGGCCCTGCTCCTGCCATAACACTCATCTCACTCATGGTTTCGGAGCCATCAGACCCCGAGGAGGAGGAGGAGGAGCCGGAGCACCCCCTGGAGGAGCGGGAAGAGGAGGAGGAGGCGGTCCGGGAGTCCTCGTCATCATCATACACACCCCCGTGCCCGTACACCCCACCCGCCGCGAAGCCGCCCCCACGCCCCATCATGCCGCCGCCGCCGCCAAGGAGGGCGCCGCCGGCATGGGTAAACCCCTGTGGGTTTCGGAATGGGGAGGGGTGGGGTAATGTCGGCATTGCTGGGTTTGCCGGAGCACCAAAACCCAGGTAACGGAAAGAAGAGTCATCCGACCAGGAGCGGTACCCGCAGCAATGCCCCTTCCCGTCACACCCCCCCCCCGGCAGCAGCAGCAGCAAGAGCCCTCCCGACCGCACCTGTTGGAAGGCGGCAGGGTGGAGCAGGTGCGGCAGACCCCAGAGATCCCCTCCTCCGCCGCACATCACCCGCGTCCTCCTGCTGCTGCCCGCAGCCCCCGCCACACCCCCGCAGCCCCCGCCGTCCGCAGCAGCACCGCTGTTGCTGTTGACGCCGTTGCCGCCCCTGTTCCCCAGTTGCTGCTGCTGCTGCTGCAATGAGCAGCCCAGCCTGAGCCGCATGCGCTTCAAGTCCTCCAGAATGAAGTCGAACTCGGGCCTGGATGATGAGGAGCAGGGGAGAGAGGGGAGGGGGCGGGGAGAGGGAGGGGGAGAACGAGCAGTGAGGGGCCAGACTTTCTTAACACACACACCATCCAGCCAGTTTTGTCACCCCAGCTCATCCCACCGCACCCCACTCTACCACAGCCCCCCTCAGTCGTTTAGTTGTTTCCTCTTCACCCCACCGTATCTCCATCCAGCCAGTTCTGTCACCTCATCCCACCCTGCCTCCCTCACCGTATCTCCGGGTTGCTCTCCCAGCAGCGGCAGGCGAGCAGCTGGTATTCGAAGGGCGCGGCCAGGGCGGGCGGGAAGGAGGGACGCAGGTTGTCCTTGGTGATGGCATGACCCACCAGGGCCTGAGGGGGGGAGCCGGGGGAGTGGAGGGGGGGAGGGAGGCAAGTTAGTCGAGCCAAGGGCAGGAGGAGGGAAGGAAGGAGGGAAGGATGGAAGGAGGGGAGGAAGAGCAGTAAAGAGGAAATAAGGGAGGAGGTGAAGGGAGGGGTTCAGGGGCAGACGCATGGGTCGCTCTCACGGGCACCCCAGACGCCAGCTCCACCCGCCCCCGGCCCCCGCGCACCTTGGGTATTCCCTGGAAGGCGGTTTCCCCGGTGTACAGTTCGTACAACAAGATTCCAAATCCGTACACATCGCTGGCTCGGGACACGTGGCCCTGGATCAGTGTCTCGGGGGCCATGTAGGCTAGCGTCTGGGGGGACAAGGGGGGGGGGTATTATTCGGGGAAGCGGGACAAGGGGTAATGTGTATGTGTGGTTAATCGTGATGCAATGGGAAAAGAAGAAGAATACGGAATTCCAATCGATGATCTCCCTATGAACAGTAATGTGGCAATGCAATAGGGGTGACGGTACAATGTGCCCTGCTCCGCAACCCCCTCTGCTGGCAACCCCCCACCCTCTCCCCTCTGTTATCCCCCTCAACCCCCCCACCCCCCAACCCCCTCACTCCTACCCCGTGATACGCGTTGCTAACGTGGGTTTCGTGCACATCCAGTTGCATGGACAACCCAAAGTCCGCAACCTTGGCCACAAAGCCCCGTGGGTCGGTCGTCGAGCCTTTGAGCAGCACATTCCGCGGCTTCAAATCCGCATGCACTATCCCCTGCCGGTGCAGGTGTGCTAGCGCGCGAGCCACGTCAATGGCGGTATCCAGTACGGCGGCTAGGTCGACGACGTACGACACAGCGGGTGAGCTAGCGCCGCCGCTAGCGCTACCGGAATTAGGGTTTCCGGCGGCGGCGGCGCCGGCTAAGTCGCTGCCCCATTCGCTGCCGCCAGTCGTCGAGGCGGCGGCGGCGGGTGTTACGGTTGCGGTTGTGGTGGCAGTAGCGGCGGAGGGACTGGTGCTGGGCTGGTACGAATGGAGCGGTTGTAACGGTTGCAACTGAATTTCCAGGTGAGGTACCGGTAGTTGGGGTGGTTGCGGTTGTCGTGGCGGTTGTTGGTCGGAATCGAAGCTCCGAGGTGGTTGTAGTACGGCAGCGGTGTTGGTTGTGTTGGTTGATGCCGCAACCGCACCACTGGGCGCACTAGATGCAGCGCCGCCAGCACCCGCAACCGGAACAGCGGCAGCAGCAGCGGCAGTAGCAGCGGCAGCAGCGGGTCGGAAGAAGGCCCTGGCATCCAGTTTGTCCCTCAGACTGCCCAGGTCGCAGTACTCCTGGACCAACCGGATCTGGTAGAGGGGCCGGGGGCGGGGAGAGGGAGGGGTGAGGGAGGAGGAGGCGGAGCGGGGCGGTTAAGCTTCTGCTACATGCACATGCTGGTCGATGGGGCTATCCCTGCAGCTCCTCTTCCCCAACCTGCAGCCCAACATACGCTCGACATAGGGCCCCCCACCTCCCCGCAATCCAACCGCCCCCCCCAGCCCACCCCCACTCTCCCTCCCACTCCCCCGCCCCCCACTCCCACCCCACCACCCAACCTCCCCTCTCACCTCCCAACCGGCAATATCCGAGGGGTGCATCCCCTCCCCTGCAGAGGTGCCTCCGGGTGCCCCCGCATGGAGCCCGGAGGGCAGCAGCCCCCCACCCGCACCCGCACCCCCAGCAGCAGTGGGGTCGAGCGGGGCGTGGGAGGAGCCGGGCAGGGCGGTGGAGGTGTGGCCGGAACTGTGGGGGGAGGAGGAGGAGGAGGGGATGAGGGGGGATGAAGGGGATCGTGGGTGGGGGAGGGGCGCGGAGGGATGGGCTGGGTCAAACCTTAAGCGGCAACCCCCCACTGCACGATCTCCCCCACTGTCTCAACCCACCTGCACATCAACCCCCGCTCCAGCCCTCTCCTCCTCACCCACCCAGCCGCCCACCCCCCACCCCCCACCCCCCCACCTCTGCATGGCGCTCCACGCCCGCGCCTTGGGCCCCTCCACCGCCGCCACACTGTAGGTGTAGGTCTGCACGATGTTGGGGTGCGACAGGGAGGAGGAGATGGCCGCCTCCATCACCGCCATGCGCTCCAGCCGCTCCCGGCCGCTCATGTGGGCGGGAAGCAGGATCACCTGAGGGGGGGGGAGAGGGACAGGGGGAAGCAGGGGAGGGGTCAGGGATGGACCCCCTTACGCCTGCCCCTCACGCCTAGCCCCAACCTCCACACATGTCGTTCCCCGCCACATCCGGTCCAACGGCAGGGTGACAAAGGCACGGAGGCACCCTGCACAGAGGTACGACCCCTCCCCCCCTCACCTTGACAGCCACTGTCGTACCCCGCCACAGCGCCCGATACACCCTGCCGTACGACCCCTCCCCCAGCACACTCTGCAGCACCAGGTCGCCCAGTGCGGAGTGGGGCTCTGGGAGGGGGAGGGGAGGGGAGAGAGGAGGGGGGGAGGGGAGGGAGGAGGGGGGAGGGGAGGGAGGAGGGGGAGGGGAGGGGGGATAGGGGGGAGCGGCTGAAGGCAAGGAGCAGCTGTGGTGACACAACGCATACACACAGCCCCCCCCTTCCCTCCCAGGATGTGGGCTGCCTGCATGCCTCCCGTCCTCTCACATCCGGGAGGAAGAGCTTCCGTGCGTCAAACCCCCGCCAACTCCACCCCAACACGCTGCTGCTCCCGCCCCCACCCACCTACCTCAGCCCACACCCCCCCCTCCCCCACCCAAACCCCCACCCCACCCCAACCCACCCTACCTTCGTCGGGTGTCATGCGGCCTGCTGTCAGCGCCCGCCGGGCCGCATCGATGTCGCCCAGCGGCCCCGCCAGGCCCCGCTCCCGGGTACTGCAGGGAGGGGGGGAGGGAGGTTGTAGGGAGCGGGGAGGGGAGGGGGGAGGGGAGGGGGGGTGAGGGGAGGGAGGAGGGGAGGGGCAGTGTGTATGGGGTCCTACTCGCCCAGAGCCCCCTCCCTCCCTCCCTCCCCTGCCCACGTCCCCTGCCCCATCCCACATCACGCCGTTGCGCCACAGCGCCCCCTGCCACCGTACACCCAGCCACGGTCATCAAGTGCCACCAGCTCTGCAGCCAGTCAGCTCGCATGTGTGACCCAAGGCCCAAGGCCGACTCACCCGCTGTCAAACAGATCTCCGCGAGAGCCGCCGCCGCCGCCACCGCCAGCACCAGTGGCCTCCGACGCGACGCCGCCGCCGCCGCCACCGCCGCCGTCACCCGCCCGCTGCCGTACCATAACGTCGTCATATCGACCCGCATCCCGCACGTGAGACAGCGCCGCCGCCGCCGCCGTCGCAGGACCTCCGCCTCCTCCGCTGCCGACGCCAGGCATTGCATCCGACACCGAGTCGTCGTCGCCGCTGCTGACGTTATACACTCCGCCACCATTGTTCTTGTTCTTGTTGTTGATGTTGTGATGAAGATGAGCCCCCTTCTTGCCGGGAGCAGTACCCACCACCACCACCGGCGCCGCCGCCGATACCGCCAACATCCCCACCTCCGCTGCTGCCGCCGTACCCAACCCCGCCTCCTGGTCTCCCTCCCCGCCGCACCCGCCGCTTCCGCCGCCACCGCTCCTCTGATGCGACCACAGCGCCCTAAACAGCAGCGCGCCCAACAGGGAACTAGGGTGCGATTTGAGAACACCGCCGCCGCCACCACTGCCGCCGCCAGACCCGCATGCCTTGACCGCCGCCGCCGCCGCCTCACCCTGAGTACGGCGGTTGCTGTTGCCGTTGCCGTACAGTACCGCCCCCGCCGCCGCCGCCGCCAGCAACAACCCCCCTCCAACCAGCCCCACCGGCAGTGCGATACTCAGCACCTGCCGATGACTCAACCCCCCCTTTCCTCCTCCCTCTCCCTCTCCTCCCCCACTGCTGCTCGTGTTGTTGCTCGCATCCGGGTTGCTATCCGCCGCCCACCGCACCAGCGTGTGTGTGAAAGCCCACGTGCCGGTCTGCGGCGCGGGGGCGGGTACGGCCCACAGCCCCAGCGTCACCCCGCAGCTGCCGTACAGGCTCACATTGCGTGCGCGCATGTCCGCCGTGATGCCGCCCCCCAGGTTGAGTGCGGTGAGGAGGTCGGAGGGGCGCAGGCCGGGTCCGGAGGCGTTGAGCTGCGCCTCTACAAGCACGTCCTGGGGTGGGGGCGGGAGGGGTGGAAATAGAAGATAAGTGCAGCAACGGAGCCCCGGAGGGGGTGAACCTTATAGGAATGGTAGGAATCCACGGGTTAGGCCAAAGCAATGGGGTGGGAATGGTGATGGGCGGGGGGCGGAAGCGCAATGCAAGGAGGTACACCACTGGTTAACAACGAGCACAGCACAGCACAGCACGGCACGGCACGTCTCAAACCCCCACCCACCCCAACTCAGCACCCAAGTTCCCCCCACCCCTCCCCCCCCCCACGCACCTCCAGCTCCACCGACCCCGCTCCCCCGCCGCGATTCGCCACCACCGCAAACGCGCCCAGCAGCCACATCCCCGCCTCCCCCGCCTCCTCCGCCCCCACCCAGCCCGGGTTGACCAGCCTCAGATCCCCCTGCAGCAGCAGCCGGCCGCTGCAGCGCACCACGGGCTGAGTCAGGTCGGAGAGGTCGAGGGTGAAGCGCCGGTCGGGGGCGGGGTGGCAGCCGCGGACCTCGATGATGCTGGGGGGGATATATGATGAGACAGGGGGGGGGGAGGGGAGGGAGGGAGGCGGGGAGGGAGGGATGGGGGTTAAGGAGGCCAGAAAGGGGGAAATGGCGTCGGGACGTGGGTGTGGGATGACGGATGAGTGCAGAGTGGTGATAAGGGCATGGGAAGGTAACAGGATCCGGATCCGGATCGGGCAGTATACCGGTAGGAGGATTACGTACGGTAGGAGCACACAGCGGGAGCCCGGCACCGCAAGGCACCTCTACTACCCGGCTATCCAACCCAACGCCCATCGTTGCCCCCTCTTTTGCACCCCTCAGTTATCGGTATCACCGCTGTTCTCCTCCTAACCCCAGGTCCCTCCCCCCCTCCCTTCATCCCCCCCCCGCTCCACCCCCCCCCAGCTCTCACCCCGCGTCCAGCTGCAGCGCCCCCCCACCCGCGGGCCAGTTCTGGGGGTCCAGCTTGATGTCGTCAACCACCTGCGTGGGGGGGGGCGGGGTGGGGTTGGGGGGGGAGGGGGGTAAGGAATGGGCCAAACCATAGGAACCGCAAACGAGGGCAAATTCACCGGGGGGTGGCAAGATGTTGGGTGGGGGTAGAGATGGGAGACAGAAAAGGAAGGAGGGGAGTGCAAGCGGGTAGCATTCCTGAAAACACACACACATGACACTTCTTCCGGCAATCACAGTACGTTCCGACTCGCGGCCAGTTTTCTTAACACACATGAACACACACGCGATATGTTGTCGGTCGAGCCAGTTGTCAAAGCACACAGCAACCCAAGTTGGCGGGGATGTATCAGGATCCGAGCGCCATGAGGGAGCGCATCTATTATATAATCCCCCCCCCACACACACAGCTACACACACAACCGCCCAACCTGGATTCCCCTGGCGCCTTCCACCGACCCATGGGTCACCCCATGCACACCCCTGCTACCGCCCCGCCCCGCCCCGCCCCCGCCCCGCACCTGGATGTACCGCACCCCACTCGCGAGCGCCTGTCTCAGCTGCGTGTCGTTACCCACGCGGGCAATGGGCGGGCGCCGAGTGGAGCCCTGCTCCAGTGCCGCTCCGAAACACAACGACCGGTCGTTGGCAACCGCCGCCTGCTCCACTCGTACGGCCGAAAAGCTCCAAGAAGCGGAGGAGGGCTGACTTATGATGTCGTACAAGCTTACTGCGCTGTACTGCAGCCAGGAGTTCTTGGGCAGGACCCAGGAATTAATTGTAAAGCCGGGACGCGGGGAGATAAACTCCGAAACCGTTGCTGCTGTTGTAACTGCTGTTGTTGCCTCAGTTGCTGACTCAACAGATGAGGAGGAGATATAAACAGCGTTCCAAGATGAGTTCGAGGAGTTTGAGGAAACGTTCCAGGAAGGGTAGGATGAGTTTGAGGAAGCGTTCCAGGAAGGGTAGGAGGAGTTTGAGGAAACGTTCCGGAAGGGGATTGCAGTAACGTTCTTCCAGTAGAAGGAGGAGGCGGCGGCTGGCAAGGACGCGGTGAGGGTCAGCGGTGTCGCATTCACACTCACAATGGTGACCCCCGCTCCTCCGCTGCTCGTGCTGCCCTCCACGCTTCCGTCCCCCCAGGGCCATGAATCCACAATCACACCGCCCTCCAAACTCGCATTCGCCGCCGCCACTGCCGCCGCCGCCGCCAGCACCCCCCCGCTCGGCCATGCAGCCAAAGTGGGCTGCAGGTTGGGCCGTGAAGGCTCCATGGAGCAGCACCCCGGCAGCGCCTTGAGCGTGGTTACCACATCGCCCAACTGCGGTACCTCAATCGTGCAGTTGGTCAGCGCGACCGACCCCGGCCCGTCCACATCCATCAGACTGAGCAGCACGGGTAGCGCGGGAGGCCAGGTGGTGAAGTTGGTTGGCCGGGAGGATTTGAAACGGAAACCGTTGAATTCCAGGGCTGCTCGAACGGACACGCCGTTCAGGACCTTATCCAGGTTGATGGAGGGTAGGGTGCCGGGGCAGGCGGAGAGGGATTTGGGTGTTGTGACGGGGATGGGGTTGAAGCGGTTGTATGCCACACGGTCCACACCAATGTCATGGAACACGCGGACGTAGCGCACGTGCGGGTTTCGGAGCGAGTCGGCGAAGGAGTAGAGGCAGTAGGCGAGCTGCGTGTCCTCGCGGTTGTCCGCGTAGCAGGCGTGCAGGTCGACTGGGGAGTAGCAGAGCGCGATGGAGTAGCTGAGATGGGGGGGAGGAGGGGGGGGCATGGAGGGGGGGGGGGGGCATGGGAGAGGGAGGGGGGTGGGTGGGTGGGGATATTAGGAAGGATTAGGGATTTGGCTACCCACCCTCCACCGCGGCGCTGTCCGACCGGGCATCCGGCCCTCCCCTTCCACTCATTCCAGCCCCTCCATTCCTTCCTGCCCGCGCCCCCCAACATACAGGTGCACCAGTATACCCCCTCCCCCTCTCCTTTGGAACCTTAACATCCCCTCTTCTTCCTCTCTTCTTCCCCGCCCCCTCTCCCCCCTCCCCGCCCCCTCCCTCCCCTCCCCGCCCCCTCACAGGCTGCTGGTGTAGCTGGCGACGTAGAGCGAGGGGCGGGCCAGCTGCAGCCCCGCCCCCGTGTACACGTCCGTCAGGATCTGCTGCTGCGGCTGCTGGGTGGTGCTGGCGGCGGTTTGCGCGGCCCAGAAGCTCTGGTTGGGTGGCGCGGAGAAGACCCAGGTGACGGCGGGCAGGAAGTGGAACACCACGATACTGCGGGGGGGAGGGGGGTTGGGGTGGGGGGTGGCGTCAAAGAAGACCACAACTGGGGGCAGGACATGGGATGACTCGCGGCGGGGGCGAAGGGCGGGCAACAAGTGGCGGGATGCGGGCGGTGCGGTGGCGAGCATGGGCGGTAGGTGGCCCTGCAGACCTCGTCCCTCTCCTCTCTTACCCCAACCCCTCCCCGGGCGCCCTCCTTTCCTCCCTCCTCCCCTCCTCTTCTCTCGCTCCTCGCCCCCTGCCTGCCCTAAACAGATCAAGCCCCCACTCCCACTTCCCGTCTCCTCCCCTCCCCACACAGCCCCTCCCACCTGCCTCCTCGCCCCCCTGCTAACCCTCCCTTGATCCGTCGCACCCCGCCGCCTCTTGTCTCCGTACATCTTGCCCTCACTTGTGGCTGCGTCTTCCTCTACCCCCCCGGCCCCGCCCCCTCCTGCCTCTCAGCCCCCGCCTCCTCTCCCCCAGTCTTATGGTTCGGTCTATCCTTGACCACCCCACCCCCATTCGCATGTGGTCTCCTATGGTTTGGTTTAATCCATTGCTGACCCACTTATATAATGTTTTCCCCCGACCGCCCCACCGGAACGATATGAGTCCGCCGCTGCTGAGCAGTGCCGGCACGGGTCCGAGCCCCGACAGGTCCTGCGGGCCGCTGGGCAGGAAGTTGCGCAGGAACACGCGCTGCAGCAGCAGGCTCCTGGGGGGGGGGGGGAGGGAGGGGGAGGAGGAGGGAGGAGGGGAGGGGAAACAACTATCTGACTGTGTGGTAAGACGTTATATCACAGATAAGGCTCCTAGGGGGGAGGGGAAAGAAGAATTTCCAATGTGTTGAATGAGGCTGCAAAGCAGACGACAAGCTCCGGGGGGATGGAGGGGGAGGAGGGAGGGAGGGGCATAGGAGGGAGGGGGTTAGCAGGTAGGTAAGGGTTTGCAAATGGGCTTGAATGTAGGGGTTAATTTGAAAACAGAATCCGCATTACGCATTACCCGAATGTAGGGGTGGGCATGCAAACGTACTTGTTGGGCTTAATATATACATGGATACATATTCCGCATACTTGTTGGGTTGATAGTGGAGGGGAGGGGTAGGCTGGGGAACGGAACGAGAAACACCATGCCACGACTGCATGAGCGGGGGAGGGGGTGAAGGTAGGGTAGGGTATGGGGATAGCTCCTGGGACAGGGAGGCGGAGGGGCCGAGGAAGTGGTGGTGGATGGGGGAGCTGGTGACGGAGGGAGGTTGGGAGGAGGGAAAGTTGGAGACAGTGAGGATGCCATGCGCCAGAGGGCCGTTTGGCAGAGGTCGTTTGGCGTAGGCAGATGGCAGTAGGCAATTGTAGTAGAAGGTGCGGGCCATGAGACATGTCCAGCCCATGTTTGTGTCGAAGTGCGGTGTGGGCGCTCGTCGGGCCTTTACTGATCCAGGACAAGGGGGTTCAGCCTCCTCAAAGCTGGAAAAGGCCGGAGCCCTTTGATTAGGAAAGGAACGTAGGACGACCACTGAAACGACGCGGAATGCGCACCAACTGAGCTGACACCCCTTGTCAGAGACGCTGACACGCGGCCCTTGTTGGAGAAGCTATGTTTGGAAAGCTAACATACCCGCAATGCCCGTATGATAAACACTCCGGAGCTGGGACGTCAGCACCATCACAACCCACCAACCCAGCCACGTACCCGGTAGAGGTGACGTTCAGCAGGACGCGAGCTGGTCCACCGTTGCTGCCACAGAAGTCCAGTTTAACGCGATATGGTGAGTATATAGTAGTAGCCCGTGTGATAAGCACAGGCTCGGGCCAGTTTTCTGGGGTAAAGTTCATGTTATTCAATAACGCCACCTCAGTAGCTCCATTTAATAGAGCTCTGCGCAGCTCCTCTGGTGTTGACGCATTCACTGCCTGAGCTCCTGCTTGCGTCGGATAGAAAGCCAGCAAACCCCATGCCAGCAGAGCTCCAAGTAGGAACCGTCTCAAGCGCCTCATTAAATGGTCATGGGCCATTCACAAAGGGGTTTTACTCCTTATTTGGGATGAAGTTCCTATCTAACTCGAGGTCTGGGCTTCATGCAGGTAGGCGACAACTGCCTCAGACAGAAACATGGCTACAAGATGTCGGAGCGTTCCTGACACCTCTGTCAGCAAGAGTTATTGCGAAAGCACCAAACTGAAAGGCGTGTCACGCTGTCGTCTCGTGAAACTCTGAGAGATAGAAATGCTGTAATTTTTAGGAAAACAGGGTATCGTCCTCACACCAGTAGAAAACACACTTATTCTTTCCATCGCGCTAACGCCGGGAAGGTGTACTGCCTGTACTGGTACAGGTCAAGTTCGTACACTTCCCTGGCAGGAACCCAAAAGATTGGGTTTCGCCCATTTTCGCTGCTATTGCTCCAAGATGCGCTAGAGGGTCCAACGAGTCGGGGTAATTTGCGCTTGCAGCGCTCAACAGGCACTTTTATGCGCCACAAGTGGTACTCCTCCCTCGCCTGCACGGGCCACACAGCCACGCAAGAAGCCACTTTTCGCTGAGTCGCATGCGGAGCGGGACTGGCCGTGACTGGGGATCAAGCCCAAGTTTAGGTGACTACTATTGCCAAAGGGGTTCTTTCGTACAAAAGTTGTACGGCCGCCATTCCCCAAACTCACACGTCGTGAGTACGAGGGTTCCCTAAGCTTTAGCAATAGGTCCATGAGGGAGATCATGATCTCCGCCCCTCCCGAGGCTCTGGCTAGCTACCTGAGCCGCGTATGGGAGACCCGCATGTCTGTCAGAAACCACCCACGCAGAGCCCCTAAACGGAGGCCTGTAGGGGACCCTGACTCTGACTAACTTTGGTTCTCATAGTGTCCTTGGCCCCCCTGGCTCGTACGGACATACTGTACACGCGTACAGACTGTAACTGTAACTGTAAACACACAGGCCTTAGTCCTTCGCCAAATCAGGCGCGGGTAAGACCCAGAGTGTTGCTGTGGTGTAAACGTGCACGCCACGGACTCCACATACTGTGAGGCTGGGCGAGAAACCAAAGGCACAGGGAGGCAGCATAGGAGACAGAGTGCCGTGCAAACAGCGCCATTGCGGAGGGCTGCAACGAGAATCCTGTAGACCGTGGTTGCAATAGAAGCCTTAATTGTAGTTTCCAAACTATATGATGTATGCGAAGCTCTAGCCTCCAAGGACTCCATTTTGGCTAGACCAGGGCATGGCACCAGACCCATGGACCAGCCCGCCAACCTAAGCACACTCCATGGAAGTCATTCCTACAATTGAATGCAGCTGCAGAAAGGTTTTGGCTATTGTAGTATGTTATGGTTGGTGAAGCCATCGCGGGAAGACACCATAATGCATTACAAAGACGCCTTTGAGGCTTTACACATGTTTCACGGCCATTTTTTAAGGACACCACTACACTTCATAAAGCAACACTTATTAATCCTTTGGCGCCTTAATGTCTTCGGTTGCCTGAAAGGAAAAGAAGGTTCATGTCTTGTAGGCCATTTAGGTAACGTGCTTGTTAGAAAATGTTGCGAAAGGTTAGGTCACACGCCCAAGGATTGCGGCTGCACGATGCGCTATCGAACAGCCCACTTACGATTGTCTACCAGTGCATCGGAAACGTGAAGGCTGCGCAGCTCGAGGATGCGCTTAGAGCAGAAGTTCCTGAATCACAAGATGGCCTAAAGGCTGTCCCGGTTAGCTTTCGGGTTAAGAATAGCCTTGCATCGGCAACCGGGCGAGCCGACGTCGCCGCGTTCCTACAGACTACGAATGTGCTCGTCGGCTGGGAGCTTAACGCTACAGGAACGCCTAGCACATCCATCACAAGTGCCGGGGCTCGGCCTGTAAAGCTGGCTGAAAGCCTGACGGATTTAGTCGCGGAGTCTACCTCCCAAGCGTCCGCTTCCCAGCAAGGGCCCCGCCGGCAACCGCCTCAGCGCACACTAGCAACCCTCATCAAAGCCAGCCTGGGCTTATCCTCAAAATACCCCATCGCGCCCTTGGCCGGATTCTTCCATGGCCAGCGCATCGGCCTCTCAGACCTGGCCCGCTGGAGCGAGCTGGACGACAAGACCGTGTACGGCGAGTTGCTGGCTCAGCTGGGCTCGGTGCCGTACCAGCTGGTGGACAGCATCAGCGTGGGCGATGCGGGCATCAGTTCGCTGCTGGACTCTCAGAGCGGTCCGCTGCTGGCGCTGCTCAGCTCGCGCCAGCAGTCCGACCCCGCCGCTGCTGCCGCCGCTGCCCCGGGAGCCCCCGGCAGCGCCTAGTCCGCCGTAAGGGCGTGCAGCAAGGGAGGTTACGCCTGGGATGTGTGTGTGTGTGTGTGTGTGTGTGTGTTGGGGCCTCAGGGCCCTGTGTGGTTCTCCGCTGGGATGGAGCGGCGGCTGCGGTGGGCAGCCAGCCAGCCAGTCGCCCAGCCAGCCAGCCAACCGGCGGCCCTCTCAGTGGCTGCTGGGTTGCAGCGGGGCGAGCGCCGTAGCCTGGGCATGCGGCTGGAATCGTGTTGCGGAGCGCATGAGGAGGAGCAGGAGGAGGAGGAGGAGCCCCGGTGCGTCTTCTGGGGGAGAATGGTGTGGGGGAGCGGTGGGAGCAGGAGCACAGGGGATGGAGAGGTCGGCGGGGTGGATGAGGTGGCATGTGGGGCGCGGTGCCGGTGGGGTTGTAACGTGTTGTGGTGGGGTGGGGTAGTTGGGCTTGTTCTTCATTGCGGTTGCCGTACATGGGGGTAATGAGGAGTCCGACTGACTGTGGTGGTGGCACTTGTGGGTGGCGCAGCAACCACCTCTGTGTGCTGCGATGTGGGGTGCGGGGTGTGGCGTGCGTGTGGGAGGAGGCGGGGGTGCGGGGGCATCCACGGTGGGTGCGGGTGTGGAGCCTCAGGAGGCAGGAGGTGATGACGTGTCAGGAAGCCATGCGGAATGACCGAAGGAGCAAAGAGCGACGGGTGTGAAGGTTGCTGCAGCACCTGCCGTAGGGGGGGGAGGACATACGAGGGCGCCGCAGACGGGGAGGCAGTACGAGTTGACGGAAAGCAGCAGCAGCGTACCATCAGGTGCGCCAGGGAGGGGGGACCTGGACGCATGGAGGCCCCTCCATGGCGGAACCGGTACCCCGAATAACAGTGCTCGGTTGGTGGGCACGGTCTGCTGTGTTGAGAACACTGGCCGCGAGTGAAGGTGCGTGTTTGCGTGGGTGCGTGTCCTTCAGTGGATGTCCGCGGCGGGGGCGGGGCTCCGCACGGGCAGGAGACAGGATTGAGACACTGCTGCGTGTATTGATGTGGACTAGCGGACTAGCGGGCTTCTTCTGTGATACTGGACTTCTTTCGGGCTCGGAGCACCGGCGGGCATCATCTGTGTGCGTTAAGAAAGCTGGCCGCGAGTCGGAGCTGTGTGGGTGCATGCTGCCGGTTTGCTGGAAGGGGGCAGCAGGAAGGAAGCAGGCGAGGGGGAAGCACCGCTGTCTGACTGGGGACTTGAGTGCTTCTTCTGGAGTGCACTTGTGAGCGGTGGTCGGGTATTAGATGGAAGGAGTGCTGGAGGTGCCTCCCGAGGTCTGCTTTCCGTGCATTCCTATTAGCATCCTTGGAAATAGCGAAGGAACGGCGAAGCCGCCGCCTTTACCGGTACGACGAGGTGCTGCGCTACGAGGCCAGCTGCCGACACACTACTGCCTGTTGCTGGCTGCTGGTGTGAGGCGGTGTGCTGGGCTTGCGATGTGTGCGTGCAAAGCGGGGGGCGCGGGCGGGGGCCGGGGCGTGCTTCATGCTGCTGCTGCTGCTGGCGGCGTTCTATCTTGCTGCTGCTGTTCTGCTGCCTCGTGCCTTTTGTAACGGCTCCTGAAGGATTCGTAATGAAGCCGGCTTGCATGTGTCTGTTAAGAAAACTTGCCACTGTGTGTGTGTCTCAAGCGATACTTCGGTCGCTTGAAAAAGTCGTCCGTCCTAGCCGAGGGTGCTGCTGCTGCTGCCTTCCAATGATGTGCGCTACACGGAAAGCAGGTGATTGCAAAGCCGTTTTCTTCTCCGAATCCGCTCGGCGAACAAGTACCACCGTAATTGGCTCCTCTAGCAGATAGCTAGGATGGCGTCGCGAGGAAGTGTAGATTGCAGGCGCGGTAAAAGCACCAAGAGAAGGCGTGCGACAACAGTACGTTATGAGCGAAAGGATTTAACGTATTAACGAAGACCCTTCAGTCTTACATGCCGTCCATGTCCCAACCGCTATCGACAACAGTACAGAAACAGTGATAGCCGTGCTGGTACAGGTGTCACATAAATATAAATAAATTAAACGCCAGTGCAGCACCTGGCTCGGTGCCAACTGCACAAACACCGCGACTAACCAACCACAAGAAAAAGAGCGTCTCCGCGATCTCCGCGAGTAGGTTTCAAATTCCTAAAGAGGTAACAGACAAAACCGACACCGGAAGTACTGTCCACGACACGAGGTAACCACAAGGGCCTACCGAAGTGTGAGGTAAACCGTTGACTGTGAGCGACAACCACAACTTCTGTAACATTCTGCACCACATCGGAGGTAAGAAGTCCACCCACCTGCAGCAACGTGCACACGCAGCGAACAACCCAACCGCCTTTACCTCCGTATCCAGCTACTATTCTTACCTTCCTCTATCCTGACAGGGACCTGCCATCCATGCTCCTTCCGCGCCCCCTCCGCCCTCCCCTCGTCACACAGCTCTCGTCAGTTTTCTCTTTTTATCCCCCAGCCCTTGTCTTGTGGCATCCCCCGCTGCCTCCTATCCCCTTTGTCTTGCCCTCACTTCTGGTTTGGCATGGTCTTTGTCACCCATGTTTCGTGCCTCCACCACCACAGCACCTCCCACCCCCACCCCCACGTCACCTAGCGACACCGCACCAGGCAGCACACCACCAAACCCAAACCAGCGGACCCCCTCCTGCTACACCTACTACCTACCCATCCGTGCCATCCCATCCCCTCCTAACCAATTACCCACCAACACCTACCCTCCATGCTTCACCAGTCTCCTCCTGCTTCGTCTCCTTCCCCCCGCCGCCGCTGCACTCCCCCCTGCCACCCCCGCCCCTCCCCCTCCTCCCCCCGGCGAGGCAGACGCGGCGATGACCACGTTTGTGGCCACCAGGTTCTCCCGCACCGCCCCCGCCTGGTCCGCCATCTGCGACACCACACCCGCCCCCCGGGGGGACTCGGAGATGACCACCCCGGATATCTGCAGGCACATGCATGGGAGGGAGGGGCCGTGCATGGGGCGGCGGCGGCGGGGGGGGTCAAAGACCATATCAAACCATAGGAGACCACCGGGGGGGGGAGGAAGAATACCCAATGTGTTGTGCATGGGGAGGGAGGGGGGGGGAATAGGGTTGATAGCGATAAAAAGAAGGGGATGGATACGTTGCACCAGGCTGGAAGGTTGGGTGTATTGCGTGAACGGTGGATTGAAGGGATTGAGAACCCAAACGTGGTGATGATGATTAGGAAGAACAACATCCCCCGCCGAACAGCCCCGCCGTGCCTTCCCCCCAACACACCACCCGAGTAAGCAACAATACATGTTGCATGTGTGCGGAACCCATGCATGGGGGTGGGTGTAGCAGGTTGGGAGCAACAGGGCAGGGCAGCAGCAGGGGGCCTGGGGTCCCACCCACCTTGAACTTGTGCTCCCCGCTTGTGGTCCGCGGCAGCACCCGCACCGCCACCTCACATGCAGCGGACTGGCTGACCAACAGACTGACCAGGTAGGTCTGCGGGGGGGGGGCGGGGGCGGGGAAGCGGGAAGCGGGAAAAAGGGAAAGGGAGTTTTTTAGAGAAGTGACCGGCACAGTCACATGTCGTAACCGCAACCACCAAAGCTACTTAAGAGAGGGGGAGGGTGGGCAGACGGCAGGGGGAGGGTGGATAGACGGCAGGGGGAGGGTGGGCAGACGGCAGGGGGAGGACTGCATAAAGTGCTAGTGTATAGGAGATGTCGGTAAAGGCCGTAAGGGGGGGGGGAAGAGGGTGAAGTGAGAGCGAGAGCATGGAAAGTCCTGCGAAACTGCTGCTGCCCGGGGGCCCCCCTCGCTGCACGTCCCCTTCCCCCTCCCTGCTGCTGCTGCTGCTGCTGCTGCTGCTGCTGCTGCTGCTGCTGCTGCTGCTCAACAACAACAACAACAACAACAACAACAACAACAACAACAACAACAAGGACAACAGGACGCAGCAGCAGCAGCAGACAACAGCAGGAGGCAGCCCGAGGCAGCAGCACCTGGGAGATGTGTTCGGCGATGTGCGCGTCCACCTCCTGCCGCTCGCAGGTGCAACCCGACACGCAACTGGGGGGGAAGGGGAGGGGAAGGGGGGGAAGGAGGGGGAAGGGAGGAGGAAGGAGGGGGGCAGGGAGGGGGAAGGGAGGAGGAAGGAGGGGGGCAGGGAGGGGGAGGAGGGAGCATGGGGGTAGGGGCGGGGAGGGAGCATGGGGTTGAGATCGTTGGCTACGAAGGCGAAGAAGCGCCTAATGGCTAGTAGGGGGATTGTGGGGATTGTGTGTGTTAAAATAACTGGCCGCGAGGCAAAACGTACTGTGATTGCCGAAAGATGAAGTTGTGTGTGTGGGGGGGGTTACCGGTACTTGGGGCCGCTAACCCTCCCTTTGTCTTGTCCGGCACCCTGCCGCCCCTCCCATCCCCCATTACCTTGCCCTAAAACTTGTGGCTTCCCCTGGTCTGGGCTGGTCTCTGACCCCGCCTCCCCCTCTCCCCCGCCCAACCCCCGCACCCCCGCGCTCTCACCTAAACTCCGCCACCCCCATGTGCTGGTACGACCGAAGGTGGTGGAAAAACACAGCCACGCGGTCCTCCCCCCCCGCTTCCGCCCCCTCCGCCCTCCTCGTGTCCAGCCGCAGCCGCAGCTCCGACCCGGCCCTGTTGGCGACGTAGCCCACTTTGGGGTGCTGCGGATCGTGCCCCTCCACAACCCAGAAGAACCCGACCGCGTCGGGGGGAGGTGCGGGGGGAGCCGGGGGGCCGGGGGGACCCGGGGGCGGGTAGGGTGTGGCGGCGGGGTAGGGCGGCGGGGAGGGGAGGAGCGAGGGGCCGGTGGCGGTGGTGGTATTGGAGGTGGTGGAAGAGGAGGAGGAGGAGGAGGGGTCGGGAAGGAGGGTGACGACGGCTTTGAAGCCCTCCCCTAGGAGACACATGGGCGCGGTGGGGGGCAGGTTGCCTGGGGAAGGAGGCGGGAAGGGAGGGGGAGGGAGGGGAGCGAGGGAGCGAGGGGTAAGGAGGGCGGAAAAGCACATGAAGAAGCAAAGGGGCCCAGCACATAGCCCGCACATCGCCTCTCTGCTGACAAAACACACCCACGGCTCCTTACGAAACCCCTCCGCTCCCACCCCCTTCCAACACCAACACATGACACAGCCCGCACCAGACCCCTGTATCCCCCTGGTGTCTCCTCCTCCTCCTCAGTTGACATGTCGCCTCCCCTTGCATCCCGCCCCCCCCTCACCGGCCACTCCCACACACCCCCCCACTCTAGTTGTTTGCACTTATTATATAATTCCCCCCCCCACCCCCCACCCCCCCCCCCCCCCCCCTTCCCACCCACCCTTGTACATGGGCGGCGGCAGGGGCCCCTCCCGCGCCTGCGCCTCCTCCTCCGGGGTGAAGGGGTCCAGCAGCAAGTCCAAAGCGGTCTCCTGGGGGGGGGTAATAGGGATACGTATTCCGCATTAGGCTGGACTTTAGGATTGCGCATAGTCAAACTGGGGGGGATCAAAAACCATAATGAACCATAGGAAACCACAGGGGGGGAAACCACTGGGGGGGAGGAGAGGAGAGGGGGGAGACCGGGGGGGGGGGGGGCGGAGAGGGGTGCGGCGGGGGCCGTGCTTAGTTCTGTGATGATGGCCCAGCGGCGGCTCGGTGCTGCCAAGGCCAGGGTGGTACTGCGGGCTAGGCTGCCACCCACACACTACCGGTAGCGCTGCTGGTAGCGGTGCCGGTAGCGGTAGCGGGGGGCTGGTGCTGCCGCCAGCGACTGGAGGTGAGTGTCCGCTGACCAGGGAGTGGCATGGTCCCCCAGGAGGAAATAGTGCATGGTCAGTGTTTTCCCGCGGCTCAGTTTATCTAATCCCCCTCTGGAGATGACGGGAAGGCTCCCTCCCTCCCTCCCTCCCTCCCACATTCCAACCCCGTTCAATACCCTCCGTATACCCCACACCCACGCAAGGTGTAAGTCACCCTCCGCCCTACTTGTTTTGCCATGTCCGAGCGACATCCCATGGGGCCTTGGTGACGACGCTCAACACTCAGCGACGAGTAGACTACTCCATAGTTGGCTCTTTACAGCACACCGGATGCAGCAAAATCGCTTCCTCTGGAGCATCGGTATCGGTAAGGACTGCTAACCCTCCCATGTTTTGTGGCTCCCTGCCAACAATACCCATTGCTTTTGCCCTAACATTGTGGTTTGGTTTATTCTACCCCCCTCCCCACCCCCGCACCTGGATGAGAAAGGCTGCTAGGTCAGCCATCACCCGGTTACCCGCATCGCCCTGCAGGGGGGGGGGGGCAAAGACCGAACCAAACCATAGGAAACCAGGGGGGGAGGGGGTAAAAAATATATAATGAGACACTGAGCAGGGGGGGAGGGGGAGGTAGGCAGGTAGCGTGTATGGGGTTACTCGAAGCTGGCGGGCAGTGAAGTAGGGAGGGGGGTAAAGAGGATGAGGACGAAGGCCAATGCGTTGACTGATACCATGATGGCAAACTTGAGGTGACAAGCTCCCAGTGAATGGAACTGGGTAAGGAGGGAGGCAGGGAGGTGCGGGTGCAGCCAGCGCAGCGGGCCGTGTGGCGTGTGGGCTAGGATGGGACGGGGATGGGGGCGGGCAGCACGCACCCATACACACACACACACACCGGGTGGTGGTCCACGAACAGCTCCCGCCAAGTGAAACCCGCGTGCCGCTGTACGGCAGCCAGCTTGAAGAGTGCCGTACGCATTGAGAGGTACTGCACGTCGTAGTACTGGGACAGGGCGCCTGCGGGGCGTGTAGCGGGAGGGGGGGAGAATACCATGTGTTTTGATTGAGGAGGGGGCAGGGGTGAAGGAGAAGTGACAGGTGAAGCACAGACCCATGTATAGACACTCATGCATCGACGGGGGTGGGGGGATTAATTTGGAAACAGAGTCCGCATGGGGTGGGGTGGGGGGAGGGAGAATGGGGCTGGGCGGGGTGGGTTTGGGCGGGTTGGGAGAGGAGGGGAAAGGGAGGGCGGCGCTAGGAAGAGGGGGGTGCAGGAGGACGTGCGGGATTGTGGGCGGCCCTTCGCATAGGCGTCCCCTGTTGCGTTACCCAGCCGGACAATTAGCGGTTTTAGGTCCGCCAAAAGAGGTGGGGTGGGGGGTTGCCTGTTCCCCGCCCATTTTCCCGCCTTCCCCTCCCAACCCGCCCCACTCCTCTTTCCCCTCTCCACCCCCCCCCCACTTCCCCCCACCTTGCAAGTCCTCCATGGTTACGTGGAAGGGAACGGCGTCTGGCGGGTCCTGAGCCATGCCGTGCGTGGGAACCTGGGGACGCAGGGGAGAAGGGGGGGGGGAGAGGGGAGGGGGGGGAAGAGAAAATGAACGAGGAGTGCAGCAACTCGACTCCCAGTCCCAGGGGGGGAGGGGGGGGCAGCATCTCGCCTTCGTACATGTAAGGGTTGGTACATGACAAACGATCCCCGTAACTCACACAACCATTCCTTCCTGCCCCCCCCCCTCGAAACACACGCATTCCAAAACGCACACACGGGTTTCACCCTGGTGAAGTGGTGGGGACATCATCTTCCGACAATGCAACATCTAAAACCGATTCGCGGCCAGTTTTCTTGACACACACGCACACCCCCACCCCCCACCTGCATGAACACAACCGCCGGCCGCCCCGGCAGGTCCAGCAGCCTCCGCAGCAGCCGCTCCATCCCCCGTACGACTTCATTGTTGTACACCTTATCCTGCATGCCTGGTTTTGGGGGGGGGTGGAGGGGCGGGCAGGAGGGGGGTAAGGAGGAAGCAACTAACTGACCGTGTGATAAGGCATCATCATGGTTTGGGGAGGAACAGGAGGACATGGGCCACATGACACATGCGGGGAGGGGGGTAAAGGGGGGATGGTACCTCTACGGCACTAACCCCAGCAGGGAGCTGTGATACCCACCATCGTTACTCCCATCACCGTTAACCCACCACCACCCTGCACCCACCATCGTTTAATCCCCCTCGGCACCTCTCTAGACCCCCCCTCCACCCCTCCCTGCCCTCCCCCCCTGCACCCCACCCCCTGCAACCTCATCCCCCCCACCCACCATCGTTGACCTGGTACTCCACCAGCACCAGGTCCACATCCGGATCCACACTCAGCTCCAAACACATGATCATGAAGGCGGAGGGGGTGGCGGGTACGGCACCGTTGCGCGCGCTCACATGCAGGCCGGGTAAGGAGTCCACCTGGGGGGGGGGGGAGGGGGAGGGAGGGAGGGGGGGAAGGGGGTGGGTGGGTTAGGGCTGGGGGTTACAGGCATGTGTGGTGGTGGGAGGCGGCAGCGAAGGGGAGGGCGCGCTTCCCTCCGCTGCCGTACCCCCCCTCCCACTGCACTCTCCGCCACGTGGACCCCATGCAAGGTCGCTTGGATGCCGTACAACCCCTCCAGGGCTATCTCGGTGTTGTACCTCTTCAACCCCCTACACCCCAATCCCTCATGAACCTCTACTCTCACAACAGCCGGCTTCCTCTTCATCCCCCTCCCGACTCCCAACTCCCCGCCCCCCCCACCACCACCCCACCAGCCAGCGCCCTAGCACGCTGAACCAGCCGTACTGCGTGGCGTTGCTTGTGCCCTGACCGCAGGTGATGCTGCAGGGGCCGAGAGGGCGGGGGGCAGGGAAAAGAAGAATACCCAATGTGTTATGTGTTGTGGGACAGTGGTAAACTAGGTGACTAGCCCGGGGGGCAGGGCGGGGGGAGCGTAGAGGGGTGGGACCAAGTAGCGAAGCACAGGCTTCACGCAACATATAAGGGTTGCGTTATACTTGCCGGCCAGCCCGAAGGGAGGGAGGAAAGAAGAAATGAGAAGTGAAGCAGAACGTAATTGGATGGGATGTATATCTAAACGAGAGATAGAGCAGGATCGGTCGGGGTAGCAGGCAGGAGGAGCGGGGTGACACCTTACAGGAGCGACGCCATCGGTAGGCAGGGCGCCCATCCCGACCGCTGGCCTTCCCACGCACCTGCCGCCTATAGCGCCAATCCTCATGGGCTTGCGGCCTGTCAAGAGGTCCCGCACAAAACGCCGTAACCTGGTTCTTGGGCCCAAGTAAGCAAGGCCCGCGCGGAGTTGGGTCTTTGGAAGGAGGAATTGGTAGCCCAGCAACGGGGTCAAGAGACTACCGACGGCAGCGTTGTTGACGGATATAGATGCCATTTGATGACTGGATCGTTGCCATAGCTTATCTTCGTGCAGTTTCGTGCGTTCTAGGTCGTCATTGCCTAAAGCAGTGCCCGCAACCATAGCCAATACGACTGTAAGCAGGCAAATCATGTTTACGGTGTCAGGTTGTTCTAATTATTTTCTTAATGTAGTAAATAGCAGTATTAAGCCGGTAATTGCTTGCAAGCCAAAGCGCAAGTGGGTCCAGCTATGTTTCGCATGACGCTGAAGTAAGGTGGGTTAGAAATTAAAGACATCCTAGAACGCTTCTGCTCTTGAAAGTTAGTGCGGCAAGTAAACGTGCCAGATGGCCGGAACGTTGGCACAGATCGTACTAATCATTATTACTGAGAGGTTGTGCTACGCCGCTTAAGAAACGGCAGTAATCACCGGCATTAGCTTGTGTAAATGGCTATGCAGTCGTGCTTGATATGGGTTGGACAACGGAACTGCCATGCCATGTGCACACAGCCATGCCGGAACGTGGTGAAGAATGGCGCTAACCATGCTAACATTAGGAAATGTTGTCCTGTATTGGTCCTGCATCCAGGATTACAATACAAAATTTCCACCGTAATGCGGCGCCCCTTTCCACCCCGTTACCGTAGTTTCCAGATAGCTATAATGGAACCAATATGGGCAAAATGCGTTTGCTGAAGAACTGAAGGATGGGGCACATGGGCGAACCAATAGTCGTTGGGTTCGTCGGTTTCAACCCTGTACGGCAAACATGCAGATTTGGAGGGAGAGCATCTAACATATAATAGAGGCCAGGGCCATTAAGTGTCACCCACATGCTGTTCCGTGACCTGTCTTTTGCGATCCTTATTTAATCCGCTGGCCCAACTTTTGCTCGGCGTCAACGGCAAATGGGCATGCCCAACGATACAGAGGGCCTTCGCCCAACAGACCAGCAGAACGATGCGCTCGTACAAGTTGTTCACGATGATATGGGTGGTAACCCTCATGCGGAGCCCAGCAACGCTGGCGATGCCGAGACGTTTATCGTTCCCGAAGGTGCGCGCGACGAGCCTAACGGCTTACAGGCAACGTTCTCTGCTGTAAGCTTGTCAGGAAACACATTTGAGATCCGCCTTTGTTGGATTGTCTTGCAGTGGTCGCCGTATTGAACGACGCCCAATCCTTCTTCAGCTCCCAGCTTCTCCCAAGGGCTCGGCAAATTGAAAGCGTAAGCCTTCCAGGCGAAATCTGGGTGTCATGAAGTTCCATACCTCCCAAGTTGCTGTCTTAGCAGGTCTTTGCGTGCCAATGGTACATGTCAGGATGGATGAAACAGGCTTGCTATTGCAGTAGTCAGTGCTTTTGCGCGCAATTACAACCTAATCGAAACTGTTTCTCTTCCCACAGGAGGTTGCAAACCTCACTTACGAGGCCAACTCCGTTACGGAGCGCGCCGAGACCGAGAAGACCGACGTGCTGAAGGAGTTGGGTCGACTGAGCGAGCTCGTGCTCAACTTCCAAAGCCGGATATCCCAGGTCAGTATAGCTGGTTCGGGTGTTGAGTATAGCTGGTTCGGGTGTTGAGTATAGCTGATTTGGGTGTTGGATGTTGTCGTGTGCCTTACGACAGCTTAGGCACTACGAAGGCACTACAAGCTACCGGTATTATATGTGGCAACGTGCAACGACTAAAGAATTACAGCCTTCCGCCTGCGGTCCTCACGGCGATGCAGCTCCCGGCTGATGCGGTCCCCCTGGATGCAACAGCTGTGTAGACATGGGCTGCTCCCCTTCCCAACCCGGCGCTTTATCCTCATCTGCCCCTCTTCCTTCAACAACCCCGCAGTTCCTTCACTTCGGCGCGTTCGGCGGCCAGGGCTGAGGGGCAGGCTGGAGGGGGAGCAGCTGCAGCGCACGGCCTCATCTCGTGCTCGATAACGCTCAAACGCATCCTGTTGATGCGCCCACTTGGAGGAGCCTTCTACTTGCAGAAGAAGAGCCCTCTGCTTGCAATCAAGTGTGCGGCGACTTACTCGCCCTGGCGCGCTGAGAGGCACGTGCCTAGTGCTCCACGCCGTGCTGTGTTGAGAAGAGTGTGAAATGAATGAACGACACATCGTGCATGTAACAACGCTCGAATGCTCCCATGGCCCCATCAGACCGTATATCCAGTGTGACCCCTTGCTGGCTAGCTGGCGTAACCCCGTGAGAGTCTCCTAGCCTCCTTGCGATTCCCTCCGTGCTAGTTCTGATTTGGGTCATGCATGTGTCAATAGCAGCACACACAAGGCTAGAATGCACAGCTAGTATGAGATTGCAATGCAGCTCGGGCGACGAAAACATGCGGGACGACAACGGTTTCTTCCCAAGTCGAAGAGCTAAATCGGTATGTCGTATGCGACGTAGAGTAGCAGCCCCCGAAGACCGTCCAACACACCGCCAATCTCAATACACCACATCCAGGTTCCGCTCTTGCATGTCACAGCAAAAATACTTGTTGGCGTTGTGAGGTCGGTCACACGTGTGAGCATTGCGTGTGGACAATCGGAAACAACGGGACATTCGAAGAATCCTTACTTAGTAGCAGTCACGTCCGCACGTCTTGATTCGCATACATTCAGATTTCAGAACCCCCGCTTGGTGTGCTCCCAACACCACTTGGGCACTTCACACACGTATCCCCGTAGTCCCGCCACCTGACACCCCAACCGCAGCGCTCCTCACACCCAGTGCGGTCAGCTTGCCAATGCAGTCAGCTTTTAACCGATTTACAACCTCCTTGACCTCCTCTTTCCATCACGCTCTGAAGACATGAAGACACGCGACACGAAGGCACCTCACATTCCCCGCCATGCCCTCCTCCCTCCTCACACCCAAGTCACTAGCTGCACATCCCCGCTGCCTGCAACCCGCTACACACCCCCGCCGAAGTTCTGACACATCACCCCAGTTAACACACCAACCGCAGCTTTTGGCTACAACCGTCAACCACCGTCGCCAACGGCTGCAGTAGTGCCGTACCGCCTGATGCCCCGCAGTGCAGTTGTCACGCAACGCAACGCTGTCTACTGCCAAACGTACAACACCCCTAAGCCGCCGCCGCTGCTGCTGTTCCCAGCCGCCCAAATCACCACCAACCCCACCAACCCCGCTCTAATGCCGAATGCCGGCACTAACCCAATCCAGCGTTGCGGACGCAGCTGCTGCTGCTGCTGCTGCCGCTCCCGGCCAACCACCGGACGCAACCCCAGTTCCGCCACCACCGCTGTTTAGAAGCGCCTGGTTGTTACCGATATTATTACCCGTTAATGAACCCGTCTTCGGGTACGAATGAAAGCTGTCGTACTGCGCTGTTGTTGCCGTTGCCGTACCTCCATATGGAGAAGGGTAATGCAAGCCGCCCTGCAAAGTGGATGACGCAGACCAACCGGTGTTGCTGCTGCCGCCGATGTTGCCGTTGTAGCCGGCCGGTGCCGCCGCAGCAGCAGCACCGGCAGCCGCCGCACCGCTACCCAGCGGATGTGTTGGCAGCTGCGGAACGTAGCTACCGCTGCCTCCTCCAACATTGCCGATGCTACCGCCGCTCACGCCACCATTGCCCATGCTCGCAGCAGCGAGATGCAGGGAGCTGGGATTGATGAAGCTGGCGACCCCTGCTGGAGTGGTGCTGGTGCTGTTGTGCTTGCTGGTGCTGCTGCTGTTGCCCCCGATGATACCACCGGCTGCGAAATGGGGCTGCTGCTGTTGAAGGAGCTGCTGCTGTTGGTATAACTGAGGATGCTGGTTCGGTTGGTAGGATTGCTGCTGCGGTTGCTGCTGCAGATGCCGCTGCGGTTGCTGCTGCTGCTGCTGCTGCTCTTGCTGCGATTGTTGAAAGTGTGGAGGAAGGAGAGCCGATGACATCTGGGGTTGCTGCTGTTGCTGCTGCTGCTGTGCATGCAGGTGCAGTTGCGGCTGCAATTGCGGTGTTTGCCCCTGTTGTGGCTGTTGCCGCAAGAGCTGTTGTTGGTGCTGGAAGTGCTGCCGTGCTAACAGCAGCGTCGCATTCTGCGATTGGGCTTGCGATGTCTGGGTCTGCAGCAGCAGCTGCTGCTGCTGTTGCCCTAGCTGTTGTTGCTGCTGGGGTTGCTGTTGCTGTTGCTGCTGCTGCAGTATCCCAGCCAGCAAGTTCCGAGGTATGGGTGGCGGCAACCCAGCCCCTCCTCCCGCTCCGAAACCCCCACCGCTGCTGCTGCTGCCGAAGGGCATGTTTGCGCTTGCCGGTACTGCGGGGCGAAGCAGTGTCGTACTGCCACCGCCCACAACGCCAGCAACGGCACTGCCGTACAAGCTGCCCCCGCCGGCACCGCTGTTCGACGACCCCGCCGCTGCTGCCATCCCCTCGAGCCCCCCTTCGCCACAGCTTGCTCCCCCACCCGCCGGGGCCCATGCAGCCGCACCCCCCTCGGCCACCGCAGTCATCCCATTGTCATGACCTACCAAGGAGCCTGAACTCAAGGCGGCATCGCCCCAACCGCTGGTGCCCCAACCGCTGCCGCTGAGGGCAGCACCCGCCCCCGTCCCCCCCGCCGCAATCGTCGCCACGACCGCAGCAGCGGGTAGCGCTGCTGCTGCTGCGGCTGCTGTTGCGGCTGCTGCTGCCGTCTGCAATGCGGCCAACCCCCCTGCTGCCGCTGAAGAGCCGCCGCCTCCGCCGCCGCTGGTGTTGCTGCTGGCGCCGCTGGTGTGGCCGTTAAGTGACAGCGCCCAGGGGGGGAATGCCCCTGCAGGCGAAACGAAGGACGACGCGGACCCCTGCCGCCCTGAAGTAAGGCCTTGAGTCGCCGCCGCCACCGCCGTCGCCGCCGCCGCCGCTGCCCCCACTGTCTGATGGGGTTCCGCCGTCTGCCCCGCTGCTGCTGCTGCTGCTGCCGGTTGTGAGAAGGCGGCGCCAAACGGCACGCCGACCCCTCCCGCTGCGGTACCCGCACCCGCTGCGGTACCCAAGCTCAGACGACCTCCAAAAATCCCCGCAAGCGTCGGCAGCTGGCTGGGGTTGTTGTTGTTGCCGGGGGTGAGCACTGCCTTGGGAGCAACCCAATTGGCGGAAGGGGGGTGAGAAGGCGGGTTGGCTTGGGAGGTGGTTGACGTGGGTGCGGCAGTAGCAGCCATCCCAGGAGCAGCCGCCGCCGGTGCCGGTGCGGGTGCAAAGACATGAACAGGATGCGCAGTGGATTGCGGTTGAGTGGATGCCGCTTGCGGCTGCGGTTGGTGCTGAAGCGGTTGGTGAGTGCGGGACTGAGGGGCGCTGGCGGCGGGCGCTCTGTAACCCCGTGCCGCAGCCAGGACTGGAATCGGGAAGAACGGCGGCGGCGGTGCAGCGGGGGGAGCAACAGGAGCAGCGGCAGGTGTCACTGCCGGCGCCGCGGGAGGTGCAGCAGCAGCGGTGGCGGTGGCGGAGGACACAGCGGATGTTGGAGCAGCGCCATACGACATGGTAACCGCCGCCGCCGCAGCCGCCGGTGTTTCCTTGAATCCGGGTAGGGCTGAAGTCCCAAGTACGGAGGTCACACCACCGGCGACAGCGGCGGTCGTACCCGTCGGCCTTGAGTACGGCACGCCACACGGCACAGATGTTGCCGACGGTACGGCAGCAGTTGGAAGTCCGTTGCTGGCGACTTGAAGCGGCGTCGTTGCTAATGACGTGACAGTTGATGGTTTCTGAGAGGAGGAGGCGCCTGACGGCGCCGCCGCCGTCGCCGCTGCTGCTGACGACGCCGACAACCGAGACGTAGGAGCAGCAGCTGCAGTAGCGGCGGCAGTAGCGGCGGCGGCGGCTCTTGCCAGCGCGGATGTGTCGAACAAGGTCTGGCTGCGACCTCCTTGTGCTGCTGCTGCTGCCGCTGCTGCTACAGCCGGCCCCGTCGCCGTCGCGGCCTGTGGTTTCTGCGGCGACGTTTGCGGCAGCGTCGGAAAGTGCTCCTCCAATGCTAATGGCGGCGGCGGCGCAGCAGCCGCCGCCCCCGGCCGCGACCCAGCTCTAGCAAGGTACGATACATCGTTGCAGTCGCCGCCGCCGCCATCGGTCGCCGCGTTGAGTGCCGCCAGGGCCTCCGGGTCGACCAGGTCCGTGCGTCCCTCCTGCTGGGCGGTTCGCATGCTTGCGGCGATGGCCATCTCGAGCATCTCATCCTCCTGAGGAAGGGGTGTGCGGGGGTGGGGGAGGTGTACGGAGAGGGAAACGGGGGGGTGACATGTTGGTTCGTGGGAGGGAGTTCGTGCAGGATGCTGGCAGGCAGGCGTGGTGTGGCGGTTAGCGGTTGGTCGCTTGGCTCCTCGACAGTTGCCGGCCTTGGTTGGAATGAAGCTGGAATGACCGCAAGCATATATCCGCACGTCAGGCGGTTCTTATTACAGGGGCAGCAGCGGAAAGGCTGCGTATGTTTCGCTTCTCAACAGGTACGGTAATGTCATGATACGCAATATTTGGATGTTTGCAGCCATAGGTTGCAAAGTATTATGCCTTATGAAATGCCATGCCATGCATAGTCCATGCGCATTGCTGCTAATCGTGAACAGCGCGCAACAAGCATCTGCCTTTCCACATGTCAGCAACACGCGTTTTGTCATCAACTTACACCCCCTGGTACCCAGTAAGCAAGCAAGCATAATCCCCTCTCCTCCAGCAATCGCTCACATCCTGACACCAACCTACCTGCACCCCACACCCCACCACCCTCACACCTCCCCAGCCATCTCTCCCCCGCCCTGCCCGACCTCGACAAACAACCCACCGACCACCATAACCCCCAGGACCACCACCACCACCACCACCACCGACCACCACACAAAACCCACCAGCGCCCGAAGTTGCCGCGAATACACCTCGCCGCCGCCGCCGCCGCCAGCGGCGCCGCGTCCCCGGCCTCCGTAACCCGCCGCAGCAGCAGTCGCAGCAACCGGGCCTCCGCGACCTCCTCCGCTGCCGCCACGGCCTGCCCCCGCAAAGCCCGTCGCCGCTCCCCGACCCTCCGCCACACTCCTGGGCGACTGCTGCTGTGGCTGCTGCTGCTGTGGCGGTGGCGGCGGTGGCGGTGGCGGGGCTGCTGACTGCACATGCGGGGGAGGGGGAGGAGGAGGAGGGACACGCTGCCCCGCCGCCGGCCCTTGTCGTGTGGCACCCTCAAAGAAGGCGCCTTCCCTGGAGACACCCCCACCACTGCTGCGAGGCACCGCCCCCGACCCCGCCCCTCCGCCAACACCGCCGCCCGGCTGCAGCGGCGGTGCAGCAGCGGGGGCACTCGCTGCGGGCCCACTCGCCGCCGGTGCCGAGGGGGCCGTAGGACGTGGTGGTGGTGGCGGCGGTGGTGGCGGCGGTGCTGCTGCCGGCGCCGTTGGTTTGGCAGCAGCAGTCCTGGTGGCAGCCCCCCGCCCTGCTGCTGCAGCCGCTGGTGGTGGTTGTGGTACCGCTGCCGTCGCCGCTGAGGACTCCGCAGTCCCAGCAGCAGCAGCAGCAGGAGCAGCGAACCCAGCCCCCTTCTTGCCTGCCTTCCCGCTACCACTGCCGCTGCCGCTGGCTGCGGCGGCGGCTGCAGCCTGCCGTACCGATGCCTCGTATTCCGCCGCCGCCGCCGCCATTGCTGCACGCATCGACCCCTCCTTCTCAGCCTCCGCCCGTCGCTTCTCCTCCTCCTGCCGCCGCCGTTGCCGCTCCTCCTCTTGCCGATACAAAGCCTCCTTCCGCTGCCGCTCCTGCTCCCGTCGGCGCTCCCGCTCCTCCCGCTGCCGCTCCTCCTCCTGCCTCCGCTCCTCCTCCTTCCGCCGCCAGATCTCCGCTTGCCGCTGCCGCTCCTGCTCCTGCCGCCGAGCCTCAGCCTGTTTTTGCCTTTCTTGTTCCTGTCGTTGCTTTTCCTGCTCCTGTCGCCGTGCCTCTGCTTGCCGCTGTCGCTCCTGCTCCTGCCGCTGCCGCTCCTGCTCTTGTCTCCGCGCCTCCGCTGCTCGCCGTTGCCGCTCCTACGAGTAGTGAGAAAGAGTAGCAGTTCAGCGCGACCCATGCGTCCACCGGTTGGGAGCAGACAACCACTACTACTTTCCAACAACAACTCAGAGTGGCCATGTAGCATGCAAGTAACTAGTACCCACAGGTGTTTAGCAAAGAAACCAGTGGGGCAATGAGAGCTGATACGCTGGATAAGCAAACAAACACACAACCACCACCAACCCCCCAACCGCTTTTTTCATGGTGTACCCAAAGACCTGCCTGCTCGGCTTCTCGCTCCGCCGCTGCCGCCGCTGCAGAGGCGGCGCTACCCTCATCCCCACCGTCCTCCGCACCGCCGCCGCCCTTGCCCTTCTTCTTTTTCTTCTTCTTACTCTTCCCGCCGCCTTCAACGCCGCCCTCGCCACCACCATCCGCTGCTGCCGCTGCTGTCGGCGCGCCCCCCTCGTCGCCGCCGCCATCATTGCCGGCAGCGGACGTCCCAGCACGACCCACTGCCGCCGCTGCCCCAGCGGGCCCCTTGGCATTGCCGGTAGGCCCCTTCGCCGCGGCGGCACCGGATGCGGCTGCAGCAGGGGTGGTGTTGGTAGCCCTGCTGGGTGCTGTGCCGGCGGAGGCTGAGGGGGCGGACGAGGCTGCTGCTGCTGCCGCGGCAGCGGTGGAGAAGGTACTTTCCCCGGAAAACTTGCCCCACTGCTCCCGGGGGCGTTTGAGGGGGGTTAGGGCAGCGGGGAGGGGAGGAAGGTGTTTAGTAATGAGGACATGAAGTGAACACGTGACATGACCAGTGGAAGAGGACCGTGAAACTGACAATAAACTACAAAGTCACCTTCTCTTCCCTGCCCTGCCCTTTCCCCACCCCACCTCACTCCCTTCCTCCCCACCTCTCCCCTTTCCCCACCCACCCCAAAGCTGCTTCCCTCTATCCCCATTGCTTAGCCCTAACCTGTGATTCCGGTATACCCCTCTTCCCCCACCCCACCGCCACCCCACGCACCTGCAGTCCCCCTCCCCCCTCTGCACCAGCACCACCAGCAGCTGCTCCCCCCGCCTGCGCCACTCGGGCCCCAGCTCGGCCCCTGAACACGTACTTGGTGGCTGCTGACAGCCCAGTGACGTCAAACGTGGCGGACGAGTCGGAGGACAGAGTGACCCATGGGACGGTGGGCGGGTCGGAGGCGCGCCGGTACTCCAGCTCGAACCTGCAGTTGCGGTGGGCGGTGGGTCAGCAGCCAGTCGGAGTCGAGAGGGTTGTACGCGCAGGGGGCCACAGCAGCGGCTCGACACTCGGGCATCCAGAACCTCACCCCACTCACTTCCCCACCCGCTCCCTTGCCTTCCCCACCTGATCTGCCCCTGCTCCAGCCAGCTGCTCGCCCTCTTCTTGGGGTCCAGGCTCACACGCAGCCAGTCCTCCCCGCGCGCCCCCCCGGGGTTGGTGGGCCGCGGCAGCTGCTGCCCCGCGAATTTGAGCAGCCCGGGGTCGGTCGCGGGGGCGGCTCGGCGCTGGCCCTCAGAACGGGAGAAGAACTCATCCGCCTGTTGGATGGAGGGGGGGAATAAGGGTACCCAATGTGTGTTGGATGGAGGGGGGGACAGGGGGGCAGGGGGGGCAGGGGGGTTGGGGTTAGGAGGAGGGGGGACCAGAAGAAGCGGAGGGGAGGAGTGTAGGTAGGACCCGAAGGAGGGGAAGCGCGCGGGGTCCCCCAGCCGCCCGTCACCCAGCTCCCCGTGCGTGTGGTCAGCGCAGTGACGCCAGCCAAGTACCCAACCAAGCACGCCCCCGAGTCTACTAGTAATACCACCTCTGTTACTCCTTCTCTCTTTCTTGCCCAGGGAGGAGGAAGATACGTTCCCGTCTCCTCAGAGCCGCCCGGGTACCCCGAGTCCCCCCCCCTGCCTTACACCCACAGCCCCCCGCCCTTCTCCCACCCTCACCTCCCTCGCCCGGCGCTTGCGCTCCTCCTTGCGCCCCCCCGCCCTGTCCGCCCGCCCCCCCGCCGCCTGCTGCCGCACCGACTCCCAGTACCGCGCCTCCTCCTCCTCGTCCAGCGTGCTGTAGCTGCCTGGGGAGGTAGGGGGCGGGGCGGGGGGAAGGCATGCGGTGAGGTGGGTAAAAAGAAGGTAACTGACGATGCGGTGAGGTGGGCGGAGGACAGCCCCCCCCAGACTCGCTCCCCGCAGCGACCTATTAGCCTGCCCCGTCATCCCCCATGCCATCCTACATGCACCCCGCCAGCTCCGTTGCCAGGAACACACGCCCGGCTGCTGTTGCCGCCCCCCCCTCCCCCCCTCCCACCCGCAACCCCCCTCCCCCCTCCCACCCGAGTCGTCCTCATCCTCGCTGTGGTACGTGTAGAAGGAGCCGCCGCGGCCGCCCGCACCCGCACCCCGGGGCCTGCTGCTGCCGTAGAACCCCCCACCGCCCCCCCTGGAGCCCCCAAAGGGCCCCCCACCGCCCCCCATGGAGAAGAAGCCCATGCTGGGGTGGAAGAACATGCCACCGCCCATGCCGCCACCCATGCCGCCAAACGGACCGCCCATGCCACCAAAGGGACCCCCCATGCCGCCGCCGCCTCGCCGCCCCCGACCTCCCATACCGCCAAAGAACCTGCGGGGTAGGCATCCGGGCGGGGTGGGATGGGGTGGGATAGGATGGGGTGAGGTGGCAGGTGGGGTGGCGGCACGCGGTTGGCTTGGTGAGATAGCGGAGGTGCCATGACTCATGAGGGGCGGGGAGAGAGGTGGTGTGGCGTCCTCCTTGCGGTGCGCAGGGGTGAGCAGGGAGGCGGAGGGGGGGGCCAGGCTGCAGGGCCCCACCCTAGCTGGCTGGCTGGGGTGCGGTGGTGTGAGGGTGGTGCGGCAGGGTGGGGTGATGCATTGTGGTGTGAGGGTGGGAGCACTGTATGCGCCGCAGCAGGTCCCCCTTCCCGCCCCTGCCCCCATGCTACCTCCCTGACACCCACACGCCCCTCCCTAAACCCCTCTCCGCACTACCTCTCCTCACTCACTCACTCCTTCCCCGCGCCCCCCTTCCTCCTTCCCCCCCCCTTCCCCCTTCCCCCCTCCCACCGCATGCCGACACCCACATGCGACAGAAGAACTCGTGTCGCAGCAGGTCCTCAAACTCGTCGAAATCATCCTCGCCGAAGATGTCATCTGGATCCAGATCCTCCAGATCGTCATCATCGCCCGGGTGGGCGCGAGCCGACAGGCGCGCATAGGCGTTGGAGATCATCTGTGCGTGCGGGTTTGGTTGCGCGTGTGTGTATGGGTGCGAGGCTGGGTTGAAAGACTGGGTTGAAAGGTAAGAGGGGTCTTCTAGGCCCCTACGGAGCTTCGTACATTGACATTGGAATTCAATTGTGCGGGTTGGGGTGGGGTGTGGGTGCGGGTGTGGGGGCGGAGCGAGGGTTGCATGTGCCGGCAGTGTTTGTGTACGGGCGCCTAGCACAAGCGGGCGAGTCAGGGAGGGAGGGCGCTGCTGCTGCCATAATTACCAATACCAGCAATAGCAGTACTCAGGAGGGGCAGGAGGTGACTAAACCACCACGCCTATACTCGCCTGGAAGCGCAGGGTAGCGGCCTCCTTGTCATCCTGGTTCTTGTCTGGGTGCCTGCAGGGCGGTGGGAGGAGGAGGGTGGTCAGGGTGTCGGGAAGCGAGAGGAGGAGGATTGAGGCGGGGGATTCGTAGGGATACGTATTCCGCATTATAAAGGAGGGGAGGGGAAGGGAAGGGGAAAGGAGCGCATGGGCGCGGAGGTGCATTGTAAGGCAAGTCGGAGAAAAGCAGGCGGGCCGTAACGCCCTCCTATAAGAGCGGTTGCTAGCTGTGGTAAAGAAGAGGTGCTAGGGAGGGGCGCGACAAGAGCGGCGTTGGGTGCTACGGGTGAGTGGACGGGTGTGAGACACGAGGCATTGGAAGGCTGGTGGGTATGCTGGTGTGAGCGGGACAGGCAGCAGCATGCCGGTGGCAACCTAATTGAGGCAGTACAAATGCTGCTTGTCAGCCCACGTACCATTGCAAGGCGAGTTTCTTGTATGCCTTCTTAATGTCATCTTCTGACGCAGCCTGGGGCAGTAAAGCGACTATTAACGGGCATTTTGGACGCATGGTGGAACGAGGAGCGTGCAAAGAAGGGGCCGAAGCGCTATCCCGATGGAAGATAGAGGCGAACGTAAGCAAAGGCAATTTAGCATCCGAAACGGGTTCGCTAATGGCCATCTGCTGTGTGCTGCCAGCCTCGAAAGAGGATCGCCCGCGAAACCTATGAGGTGGCTTACTTCATCAAGTCCCAGCTCCGCCAGAGCTTGCGCACGCGTGAGTTTCATGTTGGCAGCTGCTGCAGCTGCGTTTGGGTATGTCTATATATAACGGCAGCGCGGCCCCCCCTCCCCCGATTGTAGGCCGACCCGTGACGTTTGCCTAGATCAGGATTCTTAAAAGCAGAGCAACAACAGCCACGGCTTTCATGCTTGAATGCCAGCAAGTATGTGCTTGATAGCGTCCGACAACGGTATTGTGTAAGAGTTGGACTCGCAGATTACGGCTCGCTCGTCTTAGCGTAGACCATCTATAGAAGCTTCTCAAACCACTTGTAGGCTGTTTGGCATAAGCACATAGGACTCGTAAGCTTAACTGTCGCGTTGCACGGCACGTACGAACTCATTGCCTCCTTTCCTCAAGGTCGCATTCTGAGTTAAATCTTTTGGACACCAATTAGCAATTGATGCTCTCGGACCTTTTTGTCAAGGTTGGGCTAAGCCGCCCCTTCAACGCTATCCAATTGTGCGCCGGCGCGCGACGGCTCTCTAACACATTACCTTCATACGTGTATACATATAGTCAACAGTCTTTAGCTACTATGAAGGGAATTAGCTTTAAAACTCGCATGAACAGACTATGGGGCGCATATGAACGTCAACTAAGTCGTCACCCGGTCGCTACCCAGATGGCCACGTCATGCGTCCTATGGGGCGCTGGAGACATCCTTGCCCAGAGGTGCGCTGGATGCGTCTAGCGCACGCCGTAACGTTGCACCATGACTACCATGGCAGATGCCCCTAGCGTTTGCCAAGCTGAGGTACATGAGTTCAATTATCCGCAGGGTCGTCGAGCGCCGGCGCTGGGATAAGATTGACAATCGGCGCGTGGCTGCAACAGCTGCCTTCGGGGCTTCATTCATGGGTCCCGTCGGACACTTCTGGTATCACCAGCTTGACCAAATTTGCTCGCGGTTGCTAAGATCGGGCACACCGGCCTTCCTGGCTGCAAAGCTGATTGCGGACACGGCCGTCATGGGCCCACTGTACGTGGTGGCATTCTACGCATGGGGTAGCGCGTTCATTGACCGGACAGGGTTCGAGGGGTTCAGGACCAAGATCGTAAAGGTAAGACATGAAAAGGCCCTAAGCAAATTAAATATTAAGTCCCTGGCATACTGCTTCTTCCTCGCCAACGTTCCAAGTACCATTAGCAGTCATCATAAGACTCAGACCTCAGCGGATTGCTGTCGCTCTGTTTTGCTCTCTCTGTCCCTCAGGACTTCCTGCCCACCTTCACCGCGGAGCTGGCTGTGTGGCCGCTGTTCCAGGCCTTCAACTTCACGCGCATCCCCGTTGAGCATCAGCTGCTGGCGGTCAATGCCATGACACTCGTGGTGGGTAGGGAAACCGCGGCGGCAGGGCTTTCCTCGATAGCCGCCCGACACAGCTGCTTTGCTTCGGTTATTACAGGCCCCGCTGGATATATCGTATTCATAGGTGCACATGTCCCTCTCATCAATGTTCCCAGCGCCCAACCTGATCCCCAGCACCGAAGCACCACAGCGCCATGCCGCCCTGACTTCTACAGTCTTTTCTCGCCCCCCATGCAGTTCAACCCTCCCTAGCGGCTTTGAGGAACAACTTCAGCTTGTTGATAATGGAACACCGCCCCCCCTCCCGCCTCCTTCTTTCCTTTCCTCCCCCAGGACGCCTGCTTCCTGTCCTGGGCTCGCGCGCAGGAGGACTGGGTGTCTGAGGCCATGGGCGCATTCGCCAGCTGGAACGGCTCGAGAAGCAGCAGCAGCTGCGACCCGCAGCAGCCCGCGCTGACCAACCTGCAGAAACAGGGGGAGCAGCAGCGGCGATAGCAGCAGCAGCGGCAGGAGAAGCGGCACATGCAGCGCATGCGGGACGGGAAGACCCATGGGTCGGCATGCGGGCTGGATGAGAGTGTATTGCAGGCTGATGACGTGTGTCTGGTGTTGAAACGATTGTGTTATAACGAATGCACCAATAGGAAGTATTGTAGTGACTGCGTAGTGAATTGTGGGAGAAAGGTATAAGCGCTGCTGGGGCTGCAGCTGGGGCTGCTGTCTTACGAAGCTATGTCACGATGCTGACAGATGTGTTAGTTACAGTTACTTTGGTAGCTTGCATGGAGCTTGCGTGCCATTGCGCTAGCTCCAGAGTTAACAGATTGTACGGATTTGGGACACGTGGGGACTGAGGAGGCAGCTGACGAGCGCAGGAGTGGCTGCGATGCGTTACGTGCGGGTGCTGGAGGTGGGGAGGGCTAGGAGCGCTAGGAGAGGGCATTGCACGGAAAAGGATAGTAGGCACGCGATGTCAGCATTACCGTGTTGCAGACCGAATCTGTTTTGTTTGGGTTTTGCACACTGACGTCGAAATGTGTTTACACAACCTTACCGCTTTTCCCTTTAGCTACTGTCTATTGGCTGCCTGGGGAGCTGTCTGGGGCTTTTGACATCTCGCCCCGTGCATCGGCTTGGTTTCCCGTCGCACTCCGTGACGTGGCATGTGCTATGTACCGCGTAACGACATGCAGTGCACCGTACGACGAAGAGGGCCTTATTGAAGCGGCGCCTACGAGAGTGTGAGAGGGAGTGAACAGTTTTCGAGTGGCGGTGTCTTAACGAGAGTGGTGACACGCCGTTGTCGGATGAGCGATAGCGTGATTTTGATTGTGCAGCTGTTGCGTCTTGCGTCTTGCGCGCATTTGAGGGATAGGCATTGCGTCCCTAGGCGCGGAGGCCTACTCAGCTGTTAATACTGCCTTGTTTGTCGAGCAAGGTTCACTCGGTGATGACACACACGCGATGTGCGCGGACCGTATTAAGCAGCTGGTTGGCACCCAGGGTCCAAACTGGGTAACTGTCCGTGTGACAAAGACATTTGCTTTATGGTATAGAATGGTTGTTTGAGTGGTGCTTGCGACTCATGCGCTATTGCTATGCGGAGACCAGATGCGGAGGGTACGGGGGGAAGCTCTTGATGAGGGTCTCGGGCTACTCCCGGACAGCAGCCGGGTTGCGCGCTGGCTGGGGGATGAGGAGGGGGGAGTGTAGCTGTCGCTTGTGCTTGGGTTCTTGGCGAGGAGTGCGTGACCTGTGCCTTGTCCTCAGTAGGAACGCGAGCGGCTTGCAAAGGGCTACGTGAAGTATGTCGATAGTTAGCTACGTTTGTCAGTTCGTACCAAAGCATTTCCTAGACATCCAGTGTAAACAGTTATTCCGGCGGTTTGACAAATCGTAAGAGCTCACGAGGCGTGTAAGAAACAGCTGTTGACGCACCTGGTTACAATGCCCGAATACAGCTTCCAACTTTCCACCCAGTAACCTTCTCAATCACCTCCAAGCTCGACAAGGAAACGTGGAGCAGCCTCCACCTCATTGTCAACTCAACATAGCTGGACACGCCAGCAAACATTCCCGATGTCCCGAAATGGTTAGTATAAGGCGGTAAGCCTGCGCCGCCCTCGCAGCCCCTGTGCACATGCGAGCTGCGCACGTCACGTACGACCTACGACTGAAGACACAAAAGGTTCCGGGCGCAAGAGGGGGGACAGGCATCTGCAGGGATGTGGGCGCCAATACGTTATGACGGCCCAACGAGGATCAGATCACGGCTGCAGCAGCAACGGATGCACGCAACTCAACCCAGGAATCCAACGCATTCATCAACTTCCCCCAGCACACAGGAGCAAGGCTGCCTGCAGCAGGCATAAACACGCGCTGTCCTAGCCCTAGGACCGTATGCTCAACACTTAGTAAGAAGCTCCTCTCGATAGCTCTCTCGACTACTAATCTCACATACTAGTCAATCAAAAACACGCGCAACAAAACGTAACAACCCGCTGACAAAACGCGCATGCCAAGCTTGTCACAGTCGTCCTTTTCAACGTGCACACAATTACTTACAAATAAAGGGCTGCGTCCTCTAAAGGCAATTGCACGTTGCACGTAAAAACCTGACGGATGTCAAGAAATGCAAACCGCTAAAAGAAACCACACTTTTAGGCTTATGCTCCCTAACTAACAACCGTCACTTTTCAATCCTTCTGAGCTCTCCAAAGGTGTCACCCCCACATGCCTTCTCCTCTCGGACTCGCACGAAAACCAAGCCTGGGTAACAAAAGGCACCCAAGCGATGGGCACGGGACGAAGCACAATCCAGCTCAGATGCCACGTGCTCACGTCACACATCTCACACCTCCCAGACTACAGCTCCGCCTTCCACGAGATAACCCAGATCAGGAACCAGAGACGAGGTAAAGGGCGTCACACACATACTTTCCCGTCCACACATGCATGAATCAAATAGTACAAAGCCGTCAGCTGCGCCGCCCTGGATACACGCTGGAGTGACAAACATGGAGAGCGGAACGGAAACAGGCCAGCACTGGTCAATACGCGCCCTGAAGCCGCCATACTCCCGCCAATCGCCCTCAAAACACAGACAACCACGCAATTCAATACATGTTCACATCTCCTCGTGCCAACGCTACAAATATGTCCAAACCCACAACTGCATTCCCTGCTCCTCTACTCGTGACAGTCAAGACAACGCGCGTTTACGTGGTGGCGCACACTCTCGCATTCCGCAAACAGCCCACATCGCAAGCACTTCTCTCCGCACTCTCCCTACCTCGAGTCTCCCTCATCACATCATCAGCAGGCACATGCCCCGCATGGAAAGCACATCCCAATACCTTACCAGCTTTTCATACGCTTCGCCCGTCCGTCTCGACCCGGGTCATCAGTAACCGAGATCATCCTTGACCCAGATCATGATCAGACTAAACCCGCGTCTAAGCTATTAGTTAGGCAATCACGTCGAGTCATCAACCGGGAACCAAAGAGCTCCCCACAACCGGCATTTGGGCACACTTAGATGCAGGCCGTCACAAAACAGCCACTACAGCCCGCCAGCGCAAACCCCCAGGTGGTCTCACTTGCCTCTCCTCAACACAGCGGCCGCCGACTGCGCAGCTCCCCGCAGCATCCCACCACCCCCCGCAGTGCTGCAGGTAGCACTCGCCGCCAGCAGCGCCCAGCGACCCAGGGTCGGTTCCGGAGTGGCGTCCCACAGCCGCGCCGAGAGCTCTTGTCGCCGAGCGTCGCTGGGGCTGCGGGGCGGCGGCTGCTGGGGCTGCTGCTGGGAGATCAACGGCTGCTGGGAGAGGTGCAACAGGGCGCTTGTGAACCAGTGTTGGACGCCGCTTTCGTTGTTGACGCTGTTACTGTTGCTGTTGCTGCTGCCCTTGGTACTGAAGGCGTTATTGGTCTTGGTCTCGGATTTGTTCCGGACCACCTGCGTCGCCTTCTTCTTGCCAACGGTGCTGAGCTGAGCTCGCTGCTGCTTTTTCTTCTTCTTGCCTTGGACGATTGCCAACTCAGCTTGGTGGTTTTCCGAGCTGCTGTTTGTACGCATCCAGCTCAGGAAACACACGTCAAACAGCGTGGCAACGTTGACTGCCAGCAGCTGGTGCTGTACGGGAACGCGGCTGAATACGGCAGCCATGTACGGCGGCCAGACGGCGGCCTCCGCGAGCATGGTGGGCATAAACTGCTCTCGAAGCTGGTCCGCGAACTCCGGCAGGCTGAGGCGGTCGATGACCAGGCAACCGTAGGCGAAGAAGGACAGGACGTAGCATGGATTGTAGATCAGGTTGTCGAGCGCCACCTGTGTGAGGAGGTAAGGACGTGCACGGTAAGGAAACGAGCAGCCGTGGATGTTGCGCTGGAGAGGAGGAGGCGAAAGCGCATGCTTGGCTCTGAATTTGTTTGGGTCAGGGTGAAAGCAACTCGGTACATAGCTACGACAACGTGTTTTCAGGAACCTTTGTGAGCGCCAATCGACAACCTGACAAGCGGTAATATCTCTGACGCTATCCTGCAGCCGCATCCGCACCCAGGCCGCTCACCTTGACCAGCATGGACTTGGTGGCCGAGACAAGGCCCATCCGGAGCACCAGGCGCTCAAGCAGGATGTACCAAAAGTGACCCGCGGGTCCGATGACGATTCCGCCGAACGCCGCAGTCAACGCAGCGCGACGCGCGTCGACACCGCCTCGACCCCGGGTCTCTATCCGTTGGGCCATGCCTACGGTTGGCAAGGGGAAAGCCAGGCGGCAGGGTGCGGGCTAAAGGCGGGCGTCACGACAGGACACTGGTGGCTATGTGCCAATGGTGCGTGAACAGAGACTCACGTCTAACACGGCCCGAAGAGCAGTCTGTGCAAAGGAGGCCCTTCGCCCAGGAAAGGGTACGGCATGCCAAAACCCCCATGACTAGTGTCTGGAATTGTGAACTTACAGTCTCCGAGACCCCACAGGGCCGCCGTGGAGACAGCTTGCGTTAGGAGAGGCCGCCTGCGAAGTGAGCGCTCGTAGGCTGCCCAGACGCGGCCGAAGGGATTGAACCCTGGACCCCGAATTGTCACAGCTGCCGCCATTCTGAGGCTCTTGTTTAAGCAGCTGGCCGCTTGTGCTTTGTGTACTTCGGCGACTTGCTATTGGCGTAATGATCCGCGGTCCCCTTCCATGCCTGGAGCGCGAGACTGCGCTCTGCTCCACTTCAGGATACCACTGATTTAATATAATGCGGACTTGGTGAACCCTCGCCAGCGTGTCGATATCGTCTAGCCGAGGAAGGGAAGTTGAGGCCGAAACGCGTCGGAATACAGAGATCCCCTGAACGCAAACAAGACAACAAGTCTTTAAATGCAAACGTTCTTCCTTCATAGGATGGTGACATGCGTCTAGATTTGCTAGGCGTGCGCGACAAAAACAGTTTAAGAAGCTCATTTCAAGCGGAAGGAACGCTATGCAAAACGGGGCACTACAGTAGGGCGCCTCTTGTACGTAGCATATAGCTAAACCGCACTGCTGGGAAGAATCAGCCTCATAACGTACGTGCTCCAACGCCCCTTCGCGAAGGTCCAAGCCAGATGCAGCTCGAAGCTCAGGCCAATGCGTGTTATAATGAAGCTGGTTACCGCAATGGTGCAAGAGGAGCGCTAAAACTGGATATGGAAGTAGGGCCGAAATCTCAGAAACGCGTAAAGGAGTGCGTAACACCGGGAGGAAAAGTGTGCAAGTAATTTGCCTAACAGGTAATGCTAGTGCTTCTTGCTGAAAAGAAAGCCTACACGAAGAAAGCCTGCATGAAGAGGGGTCCCGTCGTCCCAGTCGTACAATTGCCGACCAACCCTGTGTCCTTATCTGCACGGGAATGCCGTGCAGGAAAATTAAAGAGCGCAGGGACTGTGGGGTGGTATAGTGTGGCGTGCGTGTGCGCTAATAGACCATTGTCTAGGCCGACTACGCCTATTCCTCCTGCGAACCCTACTTTGTATAACACGCACTAGCGCTGGAAGCGCGGCGAAATTTACATCAAATAGTAGTACAAAATGAGTTGTCAACAGGGGTTTAGCCCTGTGCGCACGACCCCAGCAGCCCCATGTGGGACATGTCCCATGCCGTTGCACGGCGCCTCGCTCCCCAGCCTCCGCCGCCGCTTCCCCCATCCCCAAACCCAAGCCCCTTTCACCCCAACCAAACATCCCCAATTCCCCATCCCTGCGCGCTTGCCGCTCGCTCGAGCCGGTCTGGGCATGTTTGACGACCCAATTGTCGCTCGGCCGCCCGTGAACCCCGACCCCTCCCTCTTCAACGAAGACTTCTCGCCCACAACCGCCGACAAGCGCACCTTCGACACCGCCGATTACGCGACCTTTTGGATCACGCTTGTCATCTCCATCACCACCTACTACCTGGCTGCAAGCCTGGTGGACCTAGGTGCGCGCAACCGTGGGGGGCGCCGTTGTTGTCTCACTCCCACCCTCCCCACCCTTGTCATCTAGTTTGCCATTGTCGATCAACACCCAATGGGTCTCTGGTACCACCCAACCTCCAACATCACCCCTCCTGTTGTGTGGCACCCCGCCGCCGCCTCCTACATCCCCACTGCACTGCCTCCTTCCCTGCCCCTTCCTCCCGCCTCCCCTCCCCTCCCCCCCCAGGCATGTCCTGGTGGCAGGGCATCCTCACCGTGCTGGCTGGCAACACCCTCACGCTGGCGCCCATGGTGCTCAACGCGCACCCGGGCACCAAGTACGGAGTGCCCTTCCCAGTGCTGGCGCGCGCCAGCTTCGGAATACGGGTGGGCGTGGGGTGGGATGGGTGGCGTCCCTAGTAACGAAGTCGGCTGCGCGTCGGCGCAGTGTTGCAACCTCGCAACCTCGCAAGGAGCACACAGCGCTGCTGCCCTGCTGCTTGAGAGACAGCCTGCACACCTCAGACGCCCTGCTGCCCTCGCCTTCCCCTCCCTCGCTCAGTCGCTCTTCTGCACCACCCTCCCCCGTAGCCCCATGCACCCCTTCCCTCCCCCTACCCCATGCACCCTCCGCCCCCTTCAGGGCGCCCACCTGCCCTCCCTGGCTCGCGCCCTGGTGGCATGCGGCTGGTTCGGCATCCAGACCTGGATCGGCGGCTCCGCAGTGCACCAGATGCTGGCGGCGCTGGGGGGCGGGGGGCTGCTGGGGGGCGGGGCGGTGCTGGGGTGGCTGGGTATCACGGCGGGCGAGCTGGGCTGCTTCCTGGGATTCTGGGCGGTGCAGGTGCGGGGGGCGGTGGGGTGGGTGGGGGGTGGATCCAAAGACCATACTAGATCTTAGGAAACAACAGGTTTGGGCACAGCAAATAGGGGATAGGAGGCGGCAGGGTGCGGGGCGAGGGGGGGGGAGGTATGGGTGCGGGGCGGGGGGAGGGTGCGTGTGTGCGGTTCGATAAACCGTTAGGTGCGGGCAGGTGGGGGGAGATGTCCTCCGCGGCATGGCCCTTTAACCGCCCTTCGCCACTCCCTTCTCTCGTTATATCCCTGCTTCCCCACTCCGCCCGCCCTGTAACGACGGTCCTAAAAGGCCTCTCGAGATGTCGTGAGGTTTCCCTTCAGGACTTTTATTGCAGCCTTGCTACACGCCCCCAAAGGTCTAACGCAAACCACCCCATGTCTTGTGGCACCCTGCCGCTTCCTATCCCCATTGCCTTGCCCCAACCTGTGCGTCTTGATCTTCCCCTCCCCACCCCGCCACCCCCTCAGGTGTGGATCCTGCTTCGCGGCATGGAGTGCATCCGGCTGCTGGAGCGCTACTCCGCCCCCCTGCTGCTGGGGCTGTCGGGTGCGCTGCTGGCCTGGGCGCTGGGGGCGGCGGGCGGGGTGGGGCCCATGCTGGCGGCCCCCTCGCAGTTCGGACCGGGGATGCCCAAGGTGTGTGTGTGTGGGGGGGGGGGAGGGGTCGGGAGGGGAGTTAGGAAAGACCAAAGCATTGGGCGGGGGGAGGGGCGCGCCGGGTTGGAGGGCGGGGGGGAGGGGGGTGCGGCCACGTGTGGTGAGGCGTGTCCAGGGGCGGGGTGATCTGGGAGGCGTTCCGTACATCATGGGAGGAGGGAGGGAGATGCCTCCTTCATCTGTTCCTCCCGCCCCCTGCTCCCCTCTGCTCCCCCTGCTCCCCCCTGTTGTCCCCGGCAGGCGGGCCAGTTCTGGCGGGTGTTCTGGCCCGCAGTGACCGCCAATGTGGGCTACTGGGCCACCCTATCGCTCAACATACCCGACTTCACACGATACGCCAAGAGCCAGAGGGACCAGGTGAGGAAGGGAAGGGGGGTTGAAGGTGGGGGGGTTCACCAGGGGGGCAGGTGGCAGGTGGCGCGGCGCAGCAGCTGCCTCCCTCCATCCATGCGCAGTCGGCATGCATGGCAACTAGGGTTGGGACCTTACGGTTTACGGCATTACGTTCTGACGTAAATACGCCACCGTAATTACGTCAGACCCCAAAAATGGCTACGTTTTTTGCGCTGTGACGGCGTAAATGTAATTACGGTGGTCCCAGACCCTTTTTTACGCTTAAAGCGTAAGGAAGTACCCCATGCCCCCAACAAAGGCGTTTGAATACACCAAATACTTAACCGTAACCGACATTGAATGCCATACATACCGTGTTTTTTCATTGTTAAGGCCTAGTAAGCAAGGAATCCGCCATAGGAAGCGGTCAAGCGTTGGTCAAACCTTGGTCAAACTTTGGTCAAGGCTGTCAAACCTTAGCAGCCATTGGTCAACTCGCCGGTGCCTTAGGCCATTTATGGTGCACTCTAAGAATGCCAAAATCTGCATATAGCCCAGAGTGGGCAGAGTAACAGGCTTTCTCATTGTTGAGGAAATTTCCCTAATGGTCGCAAGTGACATCTTGGCAGGAGGCGCGTCGGCTGACAGATCCGCCATTTTTCCCAGCCGGTAGCTACTAAAATAAGTATAACAACCTTAGGAAAGGTGTTAGGTAAGGGTGGTATCTCGTCTGTGTCATATCGCACCGTAACGGCTACCGTAAAATATTACGGTGGACTCTGCAGCCAACTTGGCCGTAAATTACGGGTTTATGACTATTGACGTAATGACTGTTACGTCATTACGGCCGCCAAAACCTGGTTACGGCGTAAAATCCCAACCCTAATGGCAACACGTGCCGGTCGCAACCCCCCCTCCCCGGGCAGCAGCACTGCAGCACTCCAGCCTCCCTCGCACCGCCGCTGCACACGACCCCTTCCCTTCTCCCCCTTCTCTCCCTTATCCTCTCTACTGCACCCCCCCCCCACACACCCCTCCCCTCCCCCCCCCCTCCCCCACCCAGCTGCTCGGCCAGGCGCTGGGTCTGCCCCTCTTCATGTGCCTCTTCACCTTCCTGGGTCTGGCCGTCACCTCCGCCACCGTGGTAATCTTCGGGCAGCCGGTGGCGGACCCCGTGGCGCTGCTGGGGCGCATGCATGGGCTGGGACCCATCTGCCTGGCGCTGTTTGGTAAGAGAGGGGGGGGGTAAAGAGGAAACAAGTAACTGACTGAGGGATACGGCGTCAATATGGGTTGCAACGTGTGAGCCAGCCCGACCCGCCCAGCCCGAATGAGCGAAGCCAGTACATGTGTGTGTGTGGGGGGGGACGTCAGGGTGGAAGACCAGGACCATTTAAGGTATTGACTTTCAACCGAGCCGGGACTCGGAGGGACCTAACCCCCTTAGCAGCTCCCACCCCGTCTAAATCACTAACACCCATCCCGGTGTTATTTCTCCCTCCCATCCTCCCTCCCTCTCCCGTATTCGGCCTCTCCCGTATTCGGAATATGTATCGCTGTAGATCTCCCTCTCCCTCCCTCCCTCCCTCCCTCCCTGTCCCTCCCCCCCCTGCAGGCCTCATGTGGGCCACCCTCACCACCAACATCGCGGCCAATGTGGTCGCACCCGCCAACGCATTCGTAAACTGTGCGCCCAAGCTCATCTCGTTCGAGGTATCGGGGACGGGACGTGTGTACGGCAGCATGTGTATTTGCTGCCGTACAATTATGGTGTACGACACGTTGCTACATCTTTAGGCCACACAGCCCTAGCCTGCGGTCGCATACACCCTAGCCATAAGGGAGGGGACAGAAGCGCAGTAGCCCCGTCCTCACACGGGCGCTGCGTGCCACACTGCTGCTCGTACTAGTCCTGGCAATGTAAGCGGTTACCGGGGGGTGGGCGACACTTGACTCACGCGAAAAAAAGTCAGTGCCCCACGCGCCACGTGCGCGCCGGGTGGTATCGAGACAGACAGGAGGTCTAGGCATTGAGACCCCGGCATCGAGACGAAACTCAGCACGGAAACCCGGCCGCCGTGAATCGTAGCGGCCTGCTACCTCTGAACGCAAACCCATTGTCGGCCTGGAGGGCCGGTCCCATCGCCGCCGTGACGGCAGGCGTGCGCAGGGCGCGTGCCGCGGCCTCCGTCAGCAGGTCCAGCGTCTCGAGGAGCGTAGAGACCCACACTGACGCAGTGACCCCGGCTCCGCAAGCCCGGCAGCGCACGCGCGTCGTACAGCCGTGTTTGGGGTCGGCGGCGCGCGTGCGCTGCCGGGCTTGCGGAGCCGGGGTCACTGCGTCAGTGTGGGTCTCTACGCTCCTCGAGACGCTGGACCTGCTGACGGAGGCCGCGGCACGCGCCCTGCGCACGCCTGCCGTCACGGCGGCGATGGGACCGGCCCTCCAGGCCGACAATGGGTTTGCGTTCAGAGGTAGCAGGCCGCTACAATTCACGGCGGCCGGGTTTCCGTGCTGAGTTTCGTCTCGATGCCGAGGTCTCAATGCCTAGACCTCCTGTCTGTCTCGCTTCATGGTTTTCGACCCCACCCACCTCCTCCTGCACCCCTCCGAATGCGCTCACTGCATGAGTCGGGATATGGGATTGGGACTCGTTGTTTCACGTATATAATGTTCCCCCCCTCCCCCCCCCAACCCCTACCCCCAACTCCAACTCCTACCCCCATTGCTTTGCCCTAACTTGTGGTCTCCTATGGTTTGGAATGGTCTTTGACCCCACCCCTGCAGGCCGGCGGTCTGCTGACAGCCCTGCTGGGCCTACTCCTGATGCCCTGGCGCCTCGTCTCCTCCACACACGGCTTCGTTAACACGTGGCTCATAGGCTACTCCGCGTTGCTGGGCCCCGTGATCGGGATCGTGATGGCCGATTACTTCATCGTACGGCAACGCCAGCTGGACATTGATGCGCTGTACAGCAGGGGGGAGCAGGGGGCGTACTGGTACAAGGTAGGTGGGGGGGAGATGGGGGGTCAAATTAGACCAAACCATATGAAACCACAAATGAGCAAAATAGTTGTGGAATGAGGCGGCAGGGTTCTACAAGACAGAAGGAGGGGGTGTGAGGCGGGTGGGGGGTGGCGTGGAGAAGCCTTGGGGAGAGGCTTGAATCAAATGGGTGTGGGTTGCCGCAAGAGGGTTTACGCGAGCTACCGTGCACGGGTTTACCGTACATGTAGTTACCTGAGCGGCTCAGCTTGTGCGCTCTTGACAACGGAAACATGTGACGATAACATCCACTGGGGAGCGCTCATAGCCTGCTGTTGCCTTCTTTTCTTGCCGTCATTTGTGTTTTGGCGTTTCCCTGAAGCCCCCACCCAACCGATTGCTTCATTTTATCCCCATTGCTTTGCCCTAACCTGTGGTTCTGGAACATCTTTGACCCCTCCCCAAACCAGGACGGTTGGAACCCCGCAGCCCTGTGGGCCATGCTGGCCGGTGTGCTGCCCACCCTGCCCGGCTTCCTGGCCACACTGGGACTGCTACACGGCCTGCCGCCCGTGTTTGGACTGTTGTACGACTGCGCGTGGTTTGTGGGGGTGGGGGTGGCGTCGCTTGTGTATTGCGTGCTCATGCGGGGCGTGCCGGGGGCGTATCAACCGGGGGTGCAGGGGAGGGCAGGTGGCGGACCCATGGGTCGCTTGGGGGGTGGAGGGCTTGGTGGTGGAGATGGCGGCTGCACGCCTGGGCTGGGCGGTGCGAGTGCGTGAGGGTGGTGGTGAGGAGGGGAATAATAGGTTTGAAGGGAGAGACCGGAATGAAGAGAGGGTGAGTGAGGATGGAGAGGGATGAGGAGGAGAGAGGTTTGGGAGGAGGAGACGGAGGAGCGAGAAGAGAGCCAACGGGCTATATTTGGGGAGGCTTGGATGCGTTGAGTTGGATTCTTGGGGGAGCGATGAGAGGAGGGGAGAGGAGGGGAGAGCAGGATTCGTGGCGATCAGCTTTTTGGCAATGCATGTACTGCGGGGTGTTCTTGCGTGTTATTGGTGTTGTGGTGCATGGAGAGGTAGAGACGAGGGTGAAGGGAAGCCCTGCATGTGAGGGCATCTGCATTCTTTAGCACATCTGCAGGTGCAGGAGGGCGCTAGAGAGAGGAACGGAACGAGTGCTTTGTGCTTTGTGCCTTGTAGCGTCGTAACGATTCCTTGCTACGGGTACCTTGCCACAGCGAAGGAGGGGTGAGGGGTGAGTGAGCTGCACCGCGGGGCTGCGAGGCAGTGCGCTTGCGGAACAAGGTGCAGCGCTGTTAAGGGACGTGCGAGGGGTACCGGTATAGCAGGTAGGTTTCAACATGTTGGGGTGCTGAGAGGGAGGGAGGAGGAGGAAGCAGAGGGAAGCAGCAAAAGAGCGCCGAGAGTAGGGCCTAGACTGGAGTGGAGAGTGATGTGTGTGAGAAGTGTGATAACGATTGCATACCTTGTATAGGCCCTGCGTGATACGGGGATGACTTCGAAGTGTTGTTGGGGTGTCCGGAAGGAGCCGGAGGGCGGGAGGGTTGCGAGCACGACACCAGACACACCGTGCATGCAAGTGCCGGGATGTACGTCTCAACACACGCATATGTAAGTCTTATGACATGCATTTGGACGCGTGTCACAGCGTCATCAACCCCGTCCGTGGTGGCAGCAACAAATGGTACGGTACCGATACCGGACAGCCACAGATGTCGTGCAGCGGTGTGGGTCTTGAAGGGGTAAAGAGGAAGACACCAAAGGCCCACCAACGCCCGAGATCCAACCCCAAGCTGGGTTGGGTTGGGGGGCGTTACGGCGCGTGAGCTCATGTTAGCCCATGCGATGCAGTGCGGAGATGCTATGATCCGTCCTGTAGTTCAACTGCGCCAAGTTTCCATTAGGGTTGCGGCACGGCGGTGAGATCAAGGGATGGTAGCGGCTAACGACAGCGCATGAAGCACATGGAAGACTGCAGACTGGCGACGCAGAACGATTTTTAACTCGCTAAAACGGTGTCTAGAATACCTCTTGACTGAGCCAGACTGAGAAGGACATTTAGCATTAAAAAGCAAGAAGCGAAACACGACGTACCGGCCAACGGTTGTTAAGCCGTACGTTTTGCGATGGTTGCCGCGGGAAGGCGATGCATCAACACATCGACCCCGTTCGCTACACATGTGGTTGCTGTTTTTCGAAGAGCTTGTTATTATTGCCGAGGTCCTTGCTAACATACCGGTACGCAACTCTTCTGACCTTCACACCTGACAGATCCACATTCCGATAAGTCCTTCCCATCTAAACAGAAATGTTGTATCAGGAATGTTGATAATCGTCAGAGAACATCATATTCGGCTTCGGGCTGCGGCCCACATTTAAATCTTTCGTCAGCTTACTTTGGGAAAAGTCTTTATACAGACTTCAATATGGGACCTACCGGTCAGGTTGAAACAAGGGCAGCGGCGCCGCCTCAATCCTCTACTTCAGCAACATTTGTGTTGGGACCGGAGGGACCCAGCCCAAGCCGGAAGGGGTCTGCGCGAGGTCGCCCCGGAGTGAATGCTTCAAAAATACCGGCACGTTCGTTGGGTGTTAACGGTGTTCTGCCCGCTCATGCGCCGGTGAGACGACGAGCGCGGGAAATTGAATGAGGCCTTCTTGTTTTTAAGCATCGGCGATGAAAGTGTAACACCCCTCTGTGGACGCATACGATGGTGCTAATTTGTCTTTCACAAGGATTGCAGCGCTTACGATTAGACATCCTACGATGCATGTATCTCCCAACGTTCGTTCCGCTGCTGAAGGTGTTAATCGCTGTCACGTGGCCTTGCCCTTTGTTCGATGTCCATATAACACCACAGACCTTGCCCGTTACGGCCAACGGTGTCCGGAGTCAGCAACCCTCTTGGTCCTCGGCCCCTCAAGCTCCAGCTGGTGTCCAGGGTATTGCCAGCAACGTTGCTACCGCTGCGGTCCCAGGCTTACAGAGCACAGGAACCTCGGCGCCAGCAGTTAGTGGGTTGCCTTTATTTGCTGTTGGCGCTGCAGGTAAGCTTGCCGTATCCGCAGGCTACTCATACCACACCCTAGCAGTACCGTAACATGACTGTAACTTTTACATTCCATCCCAGATGGTCAGCCTGTCGGATTCGGCACACCGCGTAGCAGCCGATCTCGAGCTGGCAAGCAAAAGGCGCACGGCACACCGCCGCTGCACGCTAACCCAGGCCAGATGACAGCACCGGCGGTGCCCGCGTTCTCGCCGATAGCGTTGACTCCCATGGACGCAAACACCTTCCAGACGAGAGGCCCGCAGACAGGGCCCATGGAGACCTCGCCCATGGACATAACTCCACAGGTGAGCCTGCTGCAGGCTCGCAGCAACGTGCCAGTAGCTCCTACGATAAAGGAGTACGGCGGTGGTTTCGCTTTGCCGTACCGCTGACGGCGTGCTTCCTGCATCCTTGTGCTCGGATGTTGACCTTCGGATGGAGGCAGTTTGGCACGCCTGCGGGTGTCATGCTAACGGCAATCGCATGGCTATGTGCAGGGATCCACCGTGACTGCCGGCGCCGGTGCAGCCAATATCTTCTCCATCTCGCCTCTTGTTGGCAGCGTCGGGGCAAGCAGCGCCCAGGTGCGTCCTATGCCTTCGTGTGTCAGCCTTCTGAACCTCATGCGTCCGCTAATGCTAATGCTAACGCTCGATGTTCTGTAAACGCAGGCCGCTGCCGCCGCCCCTGTCGGTGCTAATGGAGCCTCTATCAGCCCCGCCCCCTTCATGAACTTCACGAGACTGCCGTCTGAGGTGAGACTGGCCAGAGCTGCTGCGGCCCTTTCACACCTTGCGCCGCATGGCGCCCATGCAGCTCCTGGTTGCCTCCAGAAGTGTATCAGTCCGGAATGGCTATGAACGCCGCCTCACTCCTTTACCTCCCCGCAGGCTGCTGCCCCAGTGCCCAACTTCGCCGCAGCTGGTGCCCCCGCACCCACAGCTGCCACAGCCGCACCTGTGGCGGTTTCCATACCAGCCTTTGGCGCTCCTCGCAGCAGCTCTGCGGGCAGCGGTGCCCCAACACAAGCCGCCCCGCACCCGCCCGCTGCCACCGGCGCCCCGGGAGGCCCCGGCATTGGCTTGAGGTTCCCAATCCAAATCCAGATTCCCGGCGCACGTGAAGTCCAAGACTTGTTCTCTTCAGCCGCGGCGTCTGCGTCTTCGGGTGGTTCAGGCCTTGCTGGGTCCAGAGGCACCGGGCTTCCTGCGGGAACTGCAACTCTTGCTGCAGGCCAGGCTAGCATGCCGGCCGGCGGATGGCAGGCGGCAGCCGCGAAGAAGGCCCATGATGCCAGCGTTGGTAGCAGCTCTCTTGCTGGAGGTGTCGGCGGTGCGAACCCTGGCCTCGGCGGCAACGATTGCCAGCCCGCAAAGGATAATGCGCTCAAATTGGCCCGAGCAGCCAGCGATAGCTCTGCTACGGGCAACGCTGCCAGCGCAGCCGCGGCATCGGCGCCCGTTGGCCCCGTGCCGGGAGCTACAGCCACTGGTCCAATTCCAGGCCCTGCATCGGCCCCGGGTGCAGCAACCGTAGCCGCAAGCTCTGCGGCCGTGCCGACGGGGCCAGCCGCCGCCGCCTCGGCGAGCATCCCTGCTGCAGCGGACCCCGCACTCTTAGCTGCAGTGGCGGAGCAGTTCGAGGCAATGGCTCGTAAGGCCCGGGAAGCAGCAGCCGCGGTGGCCGCAGCGCGCGCCAACGGTCAGGAAGCTGCTCCTGCGACGGGCGTTGTGGCGGAGGCTATCCCAGCTGTGCCGCCTGCGATACTTGAGATGATGATGCGGCCTGGCGTGACGGACAAGGCAGCCTCAGCGGCGACTGCAGGTGCTGCCCCGGATGCGGTGCCTACACTTGCGGCCGCGGTCGCGTCCATGATTGGCGGCATCGGGGCGCTGAAGGTGGAGGACGCGCAGTCGGGAGCGCCGAGCGCGGGCCCATCTGGGTCCGCTAGCACGTCAGCTGGCGGCATGGGCAGCGGTCCAGTGGGCACATCCGGAGCATCGGCAGCCGCAGCTCCCGCAATGCCCTTTGTGTTTGGCGCTGGCAGCAGCTCAGGGGGCGGCGGCGTGTCGACCCCACCCAAGGTCTTTGGAGGGGCCGCACCGCCGCCACCCGTCGTGCCCTTTGTGTTCAAGGCAGGAAGCCCCGGGCCGGCGTCCGCCGGTGGCGCCTCGTCGTCTGGAGTGCATGGGGCCGGGACGTCGGCACCTTTTGCAGCCTCGAGGAGCGGCTCGAGCGCTGGCAGCGGTAGTTTTGGCGGGATGGCAGCACCCTCCGTTCCCTTCATGTTTGGCGCCACACCGCCGCCCACGCAGCCAGCTGCCTCGACCGGGCAACCGTCGGCTGCGTCTGCGGGCGCTCGGTCGCAGGCCGGGCCATCTCCCATGTCGACAACTCCCATGCAGCAGCCGAATTTCCAGGCACAGCCGCAACCCACGTCCTTTAATTTCTCAGCTGGCAGCAGCAGCAGCGCCGGCGGTGGTGGCGGCACTTGCGACAGAGGTAGCGGGTCCGCAGCGTCACCCGGTTTGGCGGGGGTTGGGAGCCATTCTAACAGGTACGCGTGCCGCGCACGGGACCCGTGCCACACCAACGGTTACGGGCACAACGCTAAACGATGCGTTGCTGATGCTTTGTAGCAAAGCTGGTCCATATGCTAGATACAACATGTGCTTGAGCGGACATGGTAATACGCCCCTGCAGGACTGCTTTTCCGAGGACACGCGCCAAGGTCACGCCGCGGAAGAGCGCTCGCCCCACATCCGCGCCAGCTGAGGGATTGTTCGCTGGTGCTGCTGCTGCGGGTGTCCCCGCTGGCGGGGCGGCCCGGGCGGCTCCCGGCGTGACACACTCGGAACGGCCAGCAGCACACTCGCACCCGCATGCACAGCAGCCGCAGCCTCAAGCGCAACCACAGCAGCAACCAGTGAGGACAGGCGGTTTGCTTGGAGACGGCGTGGACACGATTGCGGCAAAGGTGGGGGCCTGGAGCCCGTCGGCGCTGCGAGAAACATGAAATACACAGCAGTGCTGCTAAGTGGAGGACAAGGAGTGTTGCTCGAGGGTTTCGTACATTTTGGGATTGGGAACCATGCGACAGGAAACGCATGTTGGCCATTGCGCTGACAAACAGCGGCTCTCCAATCCTGGTTGTCGCAGGCTGTCCAGCTGAAACGGACTGCGGATGATAAGAAGACGTACGGCAATCAAAAGTACGAGCAAAGCGACTTCAGGTACGCGCCAACAGCCTGCCGTAACCTTCCTCCTCGTTCAAAAGGGGAAGGGCAAGGGGAAAGGGCAGTAGGATATGGCTTTGCTCCTGGCGGTGTCATATTTGCTCCTTGGTCCAGAAACGTTACTTATGCCCGTCCTTTGTCGCGCTCTGTAACTTCAACATCGTATGGCGTCCTTGTATCATTCTTGCCGTGTTTTGACACAGTTTCCTTAACACTCAGGGCTGCGGAGCGGTGGTACACGGAGGCCATCGAGGTCCTGGAGCAGCAGCTGCAGACGCTTCCGCTGCCCCGGGAGAAGATGCAGTCGTTGTTCCCGACGCTCAAAACCGAGATTGCCGTGCTGTACAGCAACAGGTGAGCGCGGGAGCAATGTGGCGTACGCACCAGACCTGCGAGCGCAGTACATGAGCAGCATGGATGGTTGCCAGGCCCCAGCGGCGTTGCTGACATGCCCATGCCAGGTTTCTGTTCAACGGCCCCTACCGTACCCGCCTCCAGTGTCAATCCCTGATCGCACTCCGTACCTGGTCCCCTACCTCCCATCTTTCCTCCGCTGCAGGTCGGGTGCGCGCCTCATGACCAACAAGCCGCAATCGGCGCTGGAGGACGCGCTGCGAGCCATGGCCCTGGACCCCAAGTTCATGCGGGCCGCCTCCCGCGCTGCCACCTGCCACTGCAGGTAGGAGGCCAGGCAGGATGGGAGGAGAGCGCATGTACGGCAGGTTGCTGGCGGAACGGGAGATGGACGGCCGGACTGCGTGCATACCGGTATCCCTGCAGCGGATCTGTTTCGGGCCGGCAGCAGAGTCGAGGTTGACTTTGACACCCGCTGTAGCTCTGGCGAACCCGCCATGCCTCTTCTACATAAAGAGTTCTCTTCCCTGCTACTGCTGCTGTGCAGGCTGGGCGATTTCGCCGCCGCCCACCGCATCATTGACGCGGCCATGGACCGCTGCTCGGCCTCCTCGGCACACTACCAGGCAGGCCGTGGCCTTGTGGGCGGGAATGACCCCATCTCACTACACTGCTGTGTCTCTACTATCTGTACTTCACACCGTGGCGTTAACCGCCATGCACGCATGCATGCCGTGACCGTTTCGCTGACATGATCTATCCTGTATCTCTGTTCACCCTGTGTACGGCAACCGCCCGTGCAGGACATGCTGAAGAAGCTCAATGAGGTGGTGGAGTTGGCGTCCAGGTAGGTGCCCTGCTGCAGCTAATGCGTGTTCGAGAGCTTAAGCGTTAGCGAGTTAGCTGTGGTGTCGCTTAGCCGAACCCTGCCGTGTGTTAAGAAAACTGGCCGCGAGTCGGAACGTACTGTGAACGGACTGCCGTGTATCAACATCCCTTTCAGAGGTACGGTACGTACCGGTACCTCTTAAGCTGTCCCCCTTCTTACGGCCTCCCATGCACGCAGATCACGCGCGGTGACAGCGACTGCCGTGGCGGCGGTGGCTGCCGGCTCCCGGGAGAAGCTACAGGAGGCGCTAGACCAGCTGACAGCCCTAAAAGACCAGGTATGTGCCCGCCTGCCTCGCCTCGTTCCCTGCTTTTGACTTGCCTGTTTGCTGCCTTCATGTTCGCATGCAGCGCGCCTGCACGTGTTTGCCTTTGCCTTTGCCGCTTGTCGGTCTCCTGTAGGCAGGGCACCTCGCGTCCGCCCCCATGCGAACCTGCATGCGTCATACGCTCCTTTTCCATCAACCTCCCCTTCTACCTTCCGCTTTCCCCTCCCCTCGCCGTCACTCCGCTGGATTGCCACCATCGTAATCCTCTTATCCCCTGTCCCCCGCTTCCTCTTCCCTGCTTCAGATAAACCCAGTCCCATGCCATTCCAGCCCTAGCCACACAGGCCAGTTTACCTAACACCCTCCTCCTTCACCCGCTCCCACTCCGCAGGTGGCCTACTGCGACGTGGTGGCTGCTGCCCGCGCGGTCGTGTCGCTGCGGCTGGGCGCCTTCAAGGACTGCCTGGCGCTGGTGTCGCCGCACCCCGAGGTGCCGCCGCAGCAGCGGGCAGCACCCTGGCGCCTCTGGCTCACTGTGCAGGCCAGGTACTTCCGAGGGGACCTGCAGGTGCGGAAACGGGGGGTCAAAGGCGAATACTTTACCATAGGAAGCCACAGGTTAGGGCAAAGCAAAGGGGATAGGAGACGGCAGGGGGGGCGGGGAGAGGTGGGTAGGCCGGGGGGTTCTTGCCGCTTCGGTCCTTGCCGCTTCGGTCGTGGGCATGTTTACCGGTAGATACAGAAGAACGCACCTATCTCTGGAACCCATGCGTGAGGTCCGTGTGGCCTATCTGTGTTGATTGTTGTCACATACGTTGGTTGGCTCATGTACCTCCCCGCCCTCACAGGATGCGTTGACCACCTGTCGGGAGCTGCAGCTAGCGCTGGAGGCCGCTGCCGCATCCGGCGCTGACTCCAAGGCGACGCAGGCCGCTGAACCGCCGCCCACCTCGCCCGGCGGCACGCCCCAGTCGGCGGCGGCGGCGGCCGCCTACGCCACGTCAGCCCACGTGACGGTGCCGCCGCCCGCCGCTCTGGCGGAACTGGCGGAGACCATCCAGCAGCAGCTGAAGCTCAAGGTGGGGCAGCCTGGCGCGCGTCATGGGGGCCCTTCTTACCCTGCCGTGTGCCGAATATGCAAAATGCACATGAGCCTCCACTTAGGGTCTCTCGCATCCTGTGTTTTGCCATTCCCACACCACCGCTTGCTCACGGCGGTTGTTAACCTTCCTTGCCTCCTTCCTTTCGTTCACTCCCCGCCGCCTTCCCTCCCTTTTTCCCTGGCCTAACCTGCGGTCTCACTCGGTTCAATTACTTTGCCATCCACCTCCCTAATGCGGAATCTTCATCCCTATTAACCCCCCTCCCTACCTCTCCGCTACCCCCCGCCGCCCCGTCAGGAGGAGGGCAACGCGGCTATCAAGGCGGGTCGCCACAGCGAGGCAGCCGAGCTCTACTCCCGCGCCCTCACCCTGGGCTGCTCCCCCGCCTTCGCGGCGCTGCTGCATGCCAACCGCGCGGCCGCGCACACCGGCCTGGGGCAGTTGGCGGATGCGGTTGCGGACTGTGGCAGGGCGCGAGCGCTGGACCCCGCCTACTACAAGGCTAGCGTGCGGCTCGCATGTGAGTGCGCGTGTATTAAGAAATCTGGCCGCGAGTAGGAACGTACTGGTGTGTCGAAGTGTGTGTCTTGGGTGCTGGGCATGGCCGCGTGGTTGGGGCGGAACGGGGTGGTTGCGAGGAAGGAAATAAAGGAACGCAAATTCCCACATTGTCAGCTTCCTACATGGTAAGTGTTGGGCACACTTCGCAAAAGAACTCCTCTGATCTGCCTCCACCCCTTCCGGCTGTCCCCGCGCCGCAGCGTTGATGATGGAGCTACGGCGGCCTGAGAACGCGCAGGGGCTGCTAGAACCCCTGGTCAAGGCGGGAGCGCAATCGGGCGGGGCGGGGCCAGGGCCGGAGGAGCTGGCGGCGCTCAAGGTGGGCCGGGTGACCCATGGGTCACCAACCCCATCCAGCTCCACGACATTGCAGCTTGACTGCATGGGCTCGTACGTACTACATGCTTCTAGGGTCTATATGTGCTAGGGCCTATGCGCCATGGCCTCAAGCGCGATGATCTCGCATGGCGTCTGGCGTGCGGCTCCACGGTGCTCAGGCGCTTTGTTGCTGACCTTTAGCCGTACACGTTCCCTCGTTTCCTTTCCTTTCTTCCTTTCAGGAGCGTCTGTCGGAGGCTCGTGCTGCCGTGTCCTGGCAGAAGACCCCGCACCACTACAAGCTGCTGGGCCTCACCAACACCTGCAAGTGAGATCCCGCTGCCGGCTCACCTGCACTCTGACCGCACACGTCACTTGCCCGCCCCCCGTTACTATTCCGTGTTGCCCTTTCCTGCAGTTTGCCTCCTATGGCCGGTACATGCTTTCGGTACCCACGCCGAATTTCCTCCCTATTCCTGAGCTGCGCGGCTTGGCTAGCTCCATTCCAGCCGCTTACCTCCAATCCACCACGTCATCCCTTTGGCCTGCCCTAACTCGCGGTTTCCATTGGTCTGGCTCTTCTCTTGACCCACTGCCCCCCTATCCTGCCATGCGTACCCCTGCACCCCCTCCCCCTCCTCCTGCCTGACAGCGAGGACGATGTGCGCAAGGCCTACCGCCGCCTGGCTCTGAAGCACCACCCGGACAAGGCCATGTCGGCGGTCAAGGTGGCGCTCGCGGTGCCGGGGGCGGCGGGCGCAGCGCCGTACGGTGGGCCGCTGGCGGGGGGCAGCGAGCTGGAGACACGGGTGCGGGAGGAGGCGGCCTGGCTGTTCAACTTTATCAACCAGGTGAGGGGGTGCTGTTGGTGCGGTGAAAGGTATAGGCCGCGCTGTGGTGAGCAGTGCTTCTTCGGAGGTTAGGCGACGCGTCGGTTGATGGGGTCTGTTGGTGAAGACGTTTGCGCTAGGAAAAGGGTTAAAGGAAATCCTCGCTACCTTCCTGGTGACTCATTCCCTTATCGTGCCCTCCGTGTGTTCGTCCTCCTCGCTCCCACAGGCCAACGAGGAACTCTCCGATAAAGCCCGTCGTCGCAAGATAGATCAGTTGCTGGACGCCGAGCAACCGCCTTACAGTCGGTACGGCAGCTCCGCTTCGTCTAATCCGTACGGCAATGGATTCTACGGTGCAGGTGGCTCGCGTTACGGCGGCTTCTCTAGCGCCTACAGTAACTTTGACTCCTTCTTCTTCCACCGGCCGGCGTCGGCTGCTGCTGGGGGAGCAGGGTCGAGGCCGCGGGCGGGATCCGGGACAGGCACCGCCACAGGAGGAGGTCCATATGGCGGTGAGTCCCTATGCGTGTCAGTGCGAGCGAGGACAGTGCGACATGGATCTGCTGACACGCTGGCATGAACACGTTGACACGAGGCAACATGCGTGAGAGGTTAATAACATGCTAGCCGGCTTCCCGCTAATGACTTGGCCCGCCTATATGCGTCGCCAACCTCGTCATCAATTCACTCCACCTGAATTTTATATGCCGTACACGCGATGCAGGGTACGGCACGTACGGCGCTTCCCGGCCAGGAGGAAGCTCTGCCGCCAACGGAGCCAGCTCGGGTGCCGGAGGTGGAGGAGGAGCCGGCTCGCGGAGCACAGGCGGTACGGCAGGCGCTGGCGGGGCCTCACGCGGGGGTGCCAGCAGCGGTACGGCAGGCGGCGGTTTCGGAGCCGCCGGTGGTGGCGCCGGCGCCTACCGTCGCGGTGCCCCGAGTGGAGCGAGGCCGGCGCCTGCGGCCGCCGGGCGCAAGTGGTGGGAGGGCGCCGGGGATGACTCGGAGGATGAGGACCAGGACTCGTTCAACTTTTAGGCAGGATTGGGGCTCGCAGGGGCTTGTGTGTGGGGGGGGGGGCTACGGCGTGCCGTCGTGTGGCGGGGCACGCCTGGGATAGCGCTTGTAGGAGAAAGCGTAGCGGGATGTGGTGTAGATAAGGATATGTTAGGGTGGAGCGCGGGAATGTTTCTTTGGACTACTGCTTCCAAGGGTGCCGGACGTTTTAGCGTCATTTACTGTGCTGCAGTTCTCACGATGCTGATGCATGCGACCCTCATGTGTGCAGGCATGTTACGGGGCAGGCGTTTACTGTCGTGGAAATAACTTTTTACTTTTACTCATTGCGCACATGCAGCTTCCAGGATCGGTCGCTTTGTGCTCCAGACATATTAGGTTGCAGGTCGCTGTGCAGGATAGCTAGCATGTGTGTGCTGCGTCCGGGCTGCGAGCAAGCGTAGGTAGAGGGCAGCTGTTACCGAAGTAGGGTCTTTGCAAGACCACGTTAGGTGCAAGCAGGATCTAGTGCAGTGTTTCCCAGCCGGATGCCATTCCTTGACTAGCCTGTTTCTGTTATAGTTGACTCGTGCGATCTAGGTTAAGTGTTTTTCCATTACATGCCGCGTCGCCGCCAGTTAGGGGCAGTTTTGGCCGTTTAGCTTAGTAAGGGCACTGCATACCCCGCATGTTACGGTCACGTTTTTCTGCCAGCTACGAAGTAAGGCCGGCGTGAAGGGTTGTTCACTTCGTCAAGGGATTGCGAGCAGGGCGCAAGACTCAGCGTCCCCCTCAGCATCCTGTCTGCTGTAAGCGCCCCAGGCTGTTCAGTAGGTGCACATACGGGTACGGCTAACCGAGCAAGCAACCCGTACAATTCCTACCATCAGCAACACGCCTACGCCGTGCCTAGGCTCTCACGCGCCCCCCTTCCAAATGCGCACACAACAGCTCCGTCGCCATTCTCCAGCTCTTTCTTCTTACGGCCCTCTTAATGCCAAGGTTTAGTCATGCTACACAGCCCCGTCCACAGCTATCGGTATCTCCCCATCGCAACGATACACCCCAGCATGTACCCTATGTACAGGACGGCTCACAGTCCAAAGCCTGCGGTGAAGGAGCCCAAGCCCTGGACACGCGCTCACTGATTGCATCAATACCCCACCCTTTTGCCTTCCGGCCTGCACTACCACTTGAGCTCCGCCGTGCCCTCAACCGCCGCCCTCAACGCCTCCTCGCTCACTGCCGCGCAAACCCACCTGCGCTCCCCATGCTCCACCGCTTCCACCCTGAACGGCGCTCCATGCAGGCCCCCGACCACCCTCTCAGCCAGTCGCTCAAAACCTTCGGAACACGCCAGCGCGCCCCAGCCGCCTGCCCGGACCTTCCCCATCACAGCATGCATGAGCTGAACGTACCCGGCAACGACGTCGTCACGGGTACGGCGCCGGCGCCAAGGAATCCGCTGGTACGGTACCCGGCGGCCCGCCGCATGCCGCCCTTCCTCCTGAACCGCTGCCGGCACGGCTATCAAGCTCTGCAGTGGCGGCCAGGGCTGTAGGGCGGCCTGCAGGGCACCCGCACCGCACTGTCCGGTACCACATCCCAACATGCAGAGCTGCCGCGGCTGGTACTGCAGGGCTGTTAGCTCCCGGCCCACGCACGATATGAAATCAAGGACGACCTGCTCGCTGACGTCAGCGCCGCTTCCGTCCGCTTGCAGCCACAGCCGCTGGATGGGCGCTACGCGGCGCAGGAAGGACAGCAACCCGTCCTTCGCCCCCGGACTCGCGACCCCTGCCTCGACCTGGAGCTTCTCAGCACCCAGCTCCGCTGCTACCAGCATGCCCAGGAGCCGCACCGCTGCCAGCCCGCCAGGTTCCAGCTGCCACTTGCCCCCAGCAGGGAACACCAGCTGCTGTACGGCGATCCGCCGGAGCGGGTGGTCCGTGTCGGCTGCCCGGAAGGAGTGAGCCAGCTGGGCCAAGCAGCTGGGGGAAGGCACCTGGCCAAGAGTCAGCAGCCCTGCTGGCCGCTCAAACTCCAGTTCACCGGTGAAGAAGTCGTCCCCATCCCCGCTGCCGTTTGCTGCGTTCACCGCCTGCTGCATGTTACCCCCTCCCTCTGCCTGCATGTCCGCTGCGGGGATGCCGTCGTACATGTGAGCAAGCGGCCGCAGCTCAAGGCGCCGCCCCTTCACAGCCAGCCGCTGCAGGCTGGGCGGCATGCGAGCCAGGAGCTCTGCGGGCGTGCGGGCAGTCGGCATGAAGTTCCCGCCCACAATGGTAAGACTGCACAGGCCGCTTAAGCCCCGTCCGCTACCGCTACCGCTGCTGCTGCTACCGCTGGCACTGCTGCTACTGCCCCGGCTCTCCAGAAGGTCTTGCACCGGGCTGCCAAACGGCATTACACGTAGTGGCTCGTCCAATAGGAGCTCCAGATTCGTGAGGCCCCGCAGCCGTACGATACCGGCATCATCGTACATGCTGCTCGGAAGGGCCAGGTGTCGAAGCTGCGGCGAGTGGGCTGCGAGGGCGGTGTAGATGCCGGCACGGGTGCTGGGAGTGGCATGCCATGCGCCGTCCAGGATGAGGTGTTGGAGGTTGGGCAGCAGGGAGAGCAGCGAGTTGACGGCGAAAGGCGTGAGTGATAAGCAATCGGCTCTAGAATGGCTGCCATGACCACCGTTACGTCCGTTAGCATCCACCTCGGCAGCACCGTCAGTGCCGCTGTCGCTGCCGTTCTCACCATCACCACCACCATCGTCGCTGCTGACCTCGCACTCGCCGTCATCTTCGTCGCCCAGCAAGACGTGTCGAAATACATGCTTGAACATGAAGGGCCCGATGAAGTGGGGCCTTTGAGCCATCCGCGCAACAAAGCGTAACGACCGGACGCTAGGCAGCGCCGCTTCTTGAGCCGCAATGGTGCGAAAGGGTTGCCAGAGGGCCGAGCCCGGGGTGCTCCGAGCGACGCTGGCGTCCAGCTCCAAACTGCTGCAGCGCGGCCATCGTCGGCGAACGGTTTCAAGCTTCGATACCAGCTCATGCTGATCCCATTCGAATGGCCGCTGCATGTTGAAGGCAATACGTAGCGACTTCACGTCCTCGTCTACCATGCGGCAATAGGTGCGGTTTACGAGCCGCAAGCTGCGTTTGCTGTTGTTGGAAAGTCTGCAAAGAAAGCCGTCTTGGTTGCGCAGCTCAGTTCGGCTGATGGCGTCTAGGAGATCGCGCCGTGCATCGAATTCCCCTTCGGTGCAGGTTCCCAACATGTTCTTTTTCTGCAAATTGCCTATAATTGGGGCTGGGCAGCAGGCCAGGGCTCCAGAAGACCTTGCGAGTCAAGAGCTTGTCGACTGCTGGTTGGGACGGGTGAACGCTTGTAAGGAGCTTAAAATGCAGACTGAAGGATTTGCATTAAATGACTAGGCGAATGCAATCGGGATCGTAGGTTTTCGGGCTGCAGTTGACGCAGTCGAAGGCAACGCTGATGCATCAACGCCCTGTGAATATAAACGACCCGTGGGTCAGCGCTCTGCTTGACGGAAATAATGGAGCCTAAAATGAAACCTGAAATTGTTGGGTAAGCTGGATGGGTACGGTGTTGAGGTCGCGCAAGCAGCATTTTTTCCTATTAGAACACAGGTTGGTGTGACTAGTAGTATCAAGCTCGCCGCATGTGCCCCCATCATAGGTTCATAAGGTTGATCTTCTTCCTCAAGCCGCGCGACCAGCGTTCAAGGGGCGGCGCATGTCGTCCCACCTCCTCTTCGCAAGTCTTCTTCCCTATCTTCGCAGAGCACATACGGCACCAAACCAGTATATTTGCATGAGAAGATGAGATCTTTACGGGCGGAGCGGCTACCGTATATGGTTGGCTGGATGGCCGCGAAGCAGAGTCGCTCCAACACGCATCGCGCAGTAAGTCAGTGCAGCCTGCTACATGAAATCTGCCGAACCGATAACTACATGTGTGTACGGGTTCCGGACCGCTTGCCTGCCCTCTCTGGTCCTGGCGAGGAGGGTGCTAGTCCTATTCGGTCATGGGGAAGAGGGCGATGGGATGGGCGGCGCGGCTTGCTCGCCCTCCTTGGGTCTCAAAGCAGCACATGAGGGGTTGGGGGGGCCGCGTGGTCTCCCTCAGAGAACTGAAGGGAGCAGGGTTGGGGTTGCGTGGCTGAAGTAGGCTGGCGGGGAAGGGATGGGGTGCAGCGGGGCGGATGGGATGCCTGGGTAGGTTGGGTTGCAGACCTACCGGTAGGCGGGGGCGCAGGTGGGGGCTGCAGGGGTGTGCACGTGAAGCGGGCAGTGGCGCGTGTAGTGGGCTTCTGATGGCTGGACTTGATTGTCCCTTGCAAGCTGCGGCGGCTGCCTGTGAGGGCTTGGCGGCTTGCGGGTTCAACCCCCTTGGGTACAAAACGGGGGTTCAACCCAGTTTGGGTGTTGTGGGCGGGAGGGGTTTGCGCGGGACATGGGCCTCAGCACCAGCAGCAACCAGCGGCGATACCACACCTGCAGCAGCAGATGACGAAGGACAGGACGAATAAGGGACACGATGGCAATGGGCCGGCAGGACGGAAGGGCTGCAGATGGCAACAGCAGCCAACAGCAGAGTTGCCGCTAGAAGTGGCAGCGGCGGCTGGCGGCGTGTGTGGGCGGGGAACTGGCGCGGCGTATGGCCCTCCCGGGGAGCAGCGAGGAGGCGTGGAGATAGAAGGTCGGTGTGTGGTGGTGAGGGCGGAGGGTAGCAGCGCGGCAGGGCAGGACGCATGGAGGGCAATCAGCAATGACGGTGTGCAGGGGCCCGGGGCAATCCGTAATCAGATGAAGCCGACGGTAAGACATGTATATGCATGAAACACATAATCACGATGGCATGGGGTGGGGTCACAAACTACCTGTCTGCGGGCCGCATGCATGGACGCTGCTGGGTAGTGGATACGTGCAAAGTGGCATGTGACTGTCATGTACGACAGACATGGCTTGTCGTACGCCGGGTACGCGTGCACTGCTGTTTGCATTGCAAGTGTGTTTTGGTCCTTGCGGAATGCAGATAGGATACCACGATAACGGGGAAGGAACTGGCAATACATATGTGGTTACAAGTCCCAATGCTGTTTAACTTGTCAAAAAAGTAACACCCTGCGCAGGTAGTGTGAAAACACATACATACACCGTCCATGAGCTAATCCGCTGCAATGTGAATGCAACGCCTAAGCGATGCCCAGTAATACACCCGAGCGAGCAGTTGCGAATGAAGCTGTCTTTAATACTATCTGGGCGAAATAAGCACGCACATCCTGCAGTTTCGAATCCGACACGATATATCCAACCCTCAGCACCAAACCAACACCGCCTCCCTCTGCATGAACAACAAACACCTCATCTTATCCCCGGAGTCAATGGGAACACGCATCCCAGCGTGCCTCGCTCCTCTCGTTTCCGCCTTTTTGCATCAGCATCAAACCACCATCAAGCCTCATCCTCACCGCCGACTAGCTGCCGCAAACGTGTTAACCGGGCAGCACGTCTTGTCCTGGGAAAACGCCGAATAATAGCAGCTGCCGCTGCCTCCCCGCGCACAAAAGCTACTGAGCGTGGGACATGTAGCCGTCGCCAGCAACTCCAGACACACCTTCCGACCCGCAGCGGGGACCGACCCGCGGGTCACATTGAGCGAGGGAATCTTAAACGTCCCCTGCGGCGCCCATTGCTGGTCCACCTTGACTCCGTCCAGGTACACTGCCTTAACGCTGCCGCGGCAAGCGTCCTTGGACCACCACTCCACCTTGGCTAGCGGTTGGGAACAGCAGCTGCTAGCGGGGTTGGCGCAGGTGCGGGTTCGAAGCGTGAGGCAGTACAGTCGGTTGGCGCCCTTGAAGGAGACGGAAGGAGTCGGGTCGAAGGCAAAGGGGACGAGGTTGGTGGTTCGGTTACATTCGCAGAAGGGGAAGGGCACGCTGGGTGGGGGTGAGGCGCGGATCATAGGTTGGTAGGGGAAACCCGGAGGAGGCGGAGGCGGAGGAGAAGGTGGAGGTGGGGAGGGAGGAGGAGGTGAGGGAGGGGGTGGGGATGGGGGAGGAGGCGACGGGGGAGGCGGCGAAGGAGGCGGCGGCCTTGGAGGAGGAGGTGAGGGCGGCGGCGGGCTTGGGGGAGGAGGCGAAGGAGGAGGTGGGCTAGGGGGTGGCGGAGAAGGGGGAGGAGGTGAAGGTGGCGGCGGGCTGGGGGGAGGAGGGGAAGGCGGGGGTGGGCTGGGAGGAGGAGGCGAAGGAGGCGGAGGGCTGGGAGGAGGCGGCGAAGGAGGCGGAGGGCTAGGCGGAGGAGGGGGAGGCGGTGGAGGTGGTGGAGGCGGTGGAGGGCTGGGCGAAGGGGGAGAAGGAGGTGGGGGGCTGGGCGGGGGAGGCGACGGCGGCGGTGGGCTTGGCGGAGGAGGTGAAGGAGGCGGCGGGCTGGGAGGAGGGGGCGAGGGCGGAGGTGGGCTGGGCGGAGGAGGTGAAGGGGGAGGTGGGCTGGGGGGAGGAGGCGAAGGGGGTGGCGGCGAAGGAGGTGGAGGGCTGGGCGGAGGAGGCGACGGTGGAGGAGGGCTGGGAGGAGGAGGGCTAGGCGGCGGCGGGCTAGGAGGGAGAGGGCTGGGTGGCCTAGGAGACGGCGGCGGCGGCGACGGGGGAGACGGGGACGGCGGCGGCGGGGATGGCGGCGGCGGGGATGGCGGGGTGGGCGACGGCGGCTGGGGACTGGGCGGCTGGGGCGATGGCGGCGGCGGGTAGAAGCCCAGTGTCCCCACGGGGCAGCAACTGCACTGGCCGCTCTGCACGATTGCATAACTGCAGAAGCCGCCTCCCTCGGGGCAGAGATGCGCCATGGAGGGGCAGCTGCCTCCCAGGGTCATGCACACCAGGGCGCCCTCAGCGGTTGAGAGGGTGAGGTTCAAGCCCTGGAGTGTACAGGAAAAGGGTCAGGTTGGGAAGAAGTAACAAAAGGTTGTCGGCGAACGAAGCAAGGCGGGTCAAGCGCGCGTAAGACATGTTCATGTTCTTTATTACCCGTTTACAGCCCCGTTTGCAGCCCCGTGCATGATGGCCCAGCGATCCCTAGAGTGTCACGCCATGCCTGGGGTGGTGCACCCACGCACATAACCGGTATGACATATCGCGTCCATTGCTATAGCCAGGGGCGTGACAAGGCCTCAACTCACCGTGAGTTTCATAACCGCTTTGGAGTCATCGGTGCCGTAGGTATTGAAGGTGGGTGCGAGGGCCGGCCGACCGTTGACCGTTACCCCCGAGATTGCAAACTTGCACTGCTTGTTGACGTCGAGCTCAATCTTGTACATGTCGATCTTGCGGTCGCAGCAGGGGGAGCCCGGTTTGCCACAGGGCACCACCCGAGCAGTCATACACACACGGCTGCCGGTCACGGAGTAGGCAGGGTCAAGACGGAACCGCGATTGCTGTGCGTCACGAGTGCAGCCTGAGAGGGCGGGTAGCAGGATAAGGGAGGAAAGAAGGTCAAGGGTATGAGGGACACTTGCAGAAGTGGATTGTGCGGTAGGACTTCACTCTTTCAGGTAACGAAGGCATTGACGAGCTGCGTCAGCGTCTCCGGGAAAAGACGGCATACGGCTTACCATAAGGCGGAAAGGTCTGAAGCCAGGTCTGCTTCAACTCGCGCTTGGCTAGGGCGGTGCAGGCGAAGCTGGCGACCAGAAGTAGCGCTAAAAGCGCAGGTGCCCTCATTTTGTAGCCTGCAGGCAGAGGTTGGAAACCAAGACCCGGGCTAGGCGTAAGAGGTAGCATGTATGCCATGTAGCCAAAGCGAAAACTGGTTAAAACCCGACAAGCCGTTAAGTAGGGATGCATGCCACACCGTCTACATTAGCAGGCACTTACCTGCGACAGGCGAGCTCCACTGCAGCTGCGAGGCGTAACGATGTTAGAATCTTCGTCTGTCGGTTTTGCCTAGCAGGATCTAAGTGGCTTCGAAGGCCAAGCAGCGCTATGTTACTGCGCTGAGGCACCACGTTTCTGCTTTGACCTGAGGCAGCCCTTCGGCTTTTATGTTGACATACCCAGTAGCGGAGTACTGCATTCGTTAGTAAACTGCCCGGTGGCCGCCCGCACCGTACCTTTAGCCTGTTGCGCATTTTACAATTTGTGCCTAAGGATACATTCTTCCTTTACGCGACAGCAGGATAACGGTTTAGTTTGCTCCGGCCAGGAAATGTGGTCGCCAGGAAATGTTCCAGTGTTTCTATTAGTGCCCAAGTGTTTGAATGACCATTAAGGACACTATGCATGCCATTATTATAACAACGCTTCTTGTAGCTCTGGTATCGCTGACGGCTGTCGCAGACGGCCGTTTGAATAGGCCATGGAACGCGCAAAACTCTCTGATGGAGTGTATTTGCCCACCCTTTTTGCCAGCATGTCAAGCAGTTTATTGATTCAGATGCAGGGCACACTTGCCATCGCGTCCGTCGTGTTGACCTACAATTAGGATGGCAACGCCGAAGGCCAACGTACTAACCATATACTATCATTGCTTTTATGTCGAGGACACGTCCGGTAATGATTTCGCAATTGAGCTTGTATCCATTCGTCACTCATCTTGCTGTGACACATGCCAGTATCGCTGTGACTTCGTGAGCTGTTTGCAGTGCAGCGCCGACGTAAGCTGTTTGTTAAATGATGCATACTGCTGCCAGCTGCTAAAGTAGGGACGGGCACACATGTGTTCCAGGGAAGCCTTCCCGCGCCTTCTTACATGGCAAGCCTGAGGCGTGACACTCCCCGGCCCGTTCTGACCCCAAAACACCTCGGCTGCGGTAGTCGGTAGCACACCCAACGGCAGAGCACCCACGGCCGCAGCCAACAGCATCATCGCACCTTCACGTCAACGCGACACAAGACTTGCACGGGACCAACCCCATGCCGCGTCAACACCGTGTACTCCCACACAACGCGACTACAGCCGCACATGCGCAGAAAAACCCCGTTACCCCAAAGCAACACCTCGCTGTGCTTTCCTGGTCCGGTAGCTTCACAAGCCAAGCCTCTCAGCCCAGCCGTACACTGCGCATTACGCCATAGCCGCTTGCTGCGAGACGTGCACGGTCACCAGAACAAGTCCAGTGCTTTACTCGTCGTCGCTCTTGTGCATGGGGATGTGGTGGGTGCGGGCGGGGTAGTCGAAGATGTTGGAGGCCTCGCGCTCCGACAGGGGGCCCTTGTGGTTGATCAGCTTCACGTGGGAGCCGTCGTTGACCAGGCGGCCCTCCTCGCGGTAGAGCTTGTAGTCCTTGCGGGTCAGGTTGGTGAAGCCCCTGGGGAGAGGAGAGCAAGGAAGAGGGAGGGGGCACGGGTTTTCAGGTGCACTGGAGGAGAAGACATGCAATGGCATGTACATACATGCAGACCGTGACTGTTAGTATACCGTCCTCTTAAGAGAAGTTTTGGCATGCACGATGCTACCCGATGCGCCGACCAATCGGGCGAGTGAAGGGTCACCTTAGCGGCCCTGCATACTTGCAACAAGCGCCCAACAACCAAAGCCCCTGCCAACTAATGGAACCACCTAGAGTATTGCAAGGCCATGTCCTTAAATTCTTCTCGCAAACCTTCAAAGCTGCAGTCTAACCGGTGTGGAGACCGCTGCTTTATTTATACAACGCTTGTCGCCTAATTCCTTTCACTGCATGCTTCCCTAGTGGGCTCATGCAATGCCAGCTACTCCGCGCTTATGCGCCTATGCTCGTGCATTCCACCTTCAACCCTTATCTTACTACTGATTTCGCCCCATCCCATATAGCTCGCCCACTTTCTCCTCCCACTCTATTCCGTCCAGGCCATAAATACGCATTGTCACAACCTACCACATCCCGCAATCCGTTATGTCGCCCACCCCACCCAGCCCGCTGCACCAATCCCTCCATCACAACCCCTTCCAACCACCCACCAGTTGTTGGACTTGATGATCTTCTGCCGGCCAGGGAACTTGAACTTAGCGCGGCGCAGGGCCTCCTCGGCCACGGCGCCGTGCTGGTCACGGCAGCGGATGCTCATCAGCACCTGGCCGATCTGCACACGCGCGCAGGTGCCGGTGGGCTTGCCGAAGGCACCACGCATACCGGTCTGGAGCCTATCGGCTCCAGCGCACGAAAGCATCTTGTTAATGCGCAGCACGTGGAAGGGGTGCACGCGCACACGCAGGTGGAAGGCTTCCTTGCCGGCGTTCTTGACCATGTACTTGTTGGCGGCCACACGGGCAGCCTCCAGAGCCTCGCTGGTCACGTTCTCCTTCTCCCAACTGGGGAGGTGAACAGGGGATGGTTGGCGAAGAGGAAGAGTTGGGGGAGGTGAGCGGATAAATGGGTAAGGTGGGAGCTCGGTAGTGGAGGAGTGGCGAATGGGGGCGTGCAAGAGAAAGGTGTGAATGTTGCAAGCGTAACAGAGAGATGAGAACTGGGTAAAGCGCACTATGCGATGAGTCCCATGTGCCCCTCACATCGGCTTGGAGATTTTGAGGCGAGAAAAGCATACGAACAGAAAAAGCAAACAAGCTAAGATAGTGACCCCCAAGCACCCCCTACATAACCCACACCAACCCAACCAAAAGACTATGGCAAACAAATTCCCTGGGTTCCCAACCCTCATTCCGAACCCGCTTTGATGTCCCCTTAAGTCAGCCGCTTCTACGCAGCCCACCTGGCCAGGTGCACGCAGCACGGGAAGGTGTCCACATCCGCCCTCTTCATGCCCGCATCGTAGATGCGAATCTTGGGGTCGGGCACACCACGGCAGAAGCGGGACTTAGGGTAGGGCTTACCCTTCGACTGCCTGTAGCAGCGGGCGGGACGGCGACCCATCTTTGCCTGCAACCAGGCAATGAAGGGATGGGCATAACACGCGAATCGTCAGATCAAGCCGTAATAGTAACGTGTGCCTAGCTAACATGCTTGGTGATAGATGCGCTGCTCCTTTGGCCGGTACGCTGCTAAAAGCTGGAACGTAGGCAATTGTAAGCGACTCTCCCCCACGTCTCTGAAGCGCCGCTGTGCTGTAATCATATGTGGCTACTCCGGGTAATTGGCAATGAAAGCTGTGCACTGAATCTAGGAGAAAAGCAATAAACTTCGCCGCCATCTCCAGCCGCCGAAGAAAGCCTCCGCGCCAGCGCCTGCTGCTGATTGGCCTCTAAATCTACTGCGCCATAACTGCTGGAGTTGGGCGGCCACAAAAGGCAGCTAACTGCACAGCCCACGTAGCCCAAGTGCAGCAAGATGCCATAAAAAGCTCCACAATGCTCTCCGCGGAAGTCTGACTACGTACTAATTGTAGAGCTTCACCATCTGATTAAGCTGCTGCGATAGGCCCTGCTAGACGCCAAACATCCCGTCTGCCGCCCCAGCGGTGCAGCTGAAAATCCCAGAGTCACCAGCAACATCCCTCACCTGTTTGGTTGACTAGGAAGGCCCGAGAAGAGGACGATGTTGGACGTGAGAGCACTGAATGAGCGAGCGGCACTTGGGCTGTTTCCCTGGAGCGCATTACGCCGTACACGACGCTCTTTACGCTTGCACGCTGCACGCCGATGTGTCGCTCCGACGTTACGTATATTGTGATGCATACCGTATCCCTGGAAAAATGAAGGTCCGCGGCAAAGTCCGGTGAGCGAAAGCGTAGTATTGGACTCCATGTTTACGTGATGCTCTTAGACTTTGCTAATCCTTGCTATTAATGGTTGGTTACCATGATGACGACATCTTAACCAACGAACTCCGGGCTCCACAGGTTGTTGTGCGAGTTTTGCAAGAAGGCTGTCGTCCGATTAAACCGGGACCAGCACTACGTTTACATCTACTGTACCAAGAATGCACGGGTACGAGAAAGGCTGGGTAATGGCAAGGGATTGCCTATCCTTCAGGGGCTTGTTTTCTGCTGTGCCAAGCGCCTCTGCCCATCCCTTTCTCTGATGTGGACTGTTACCCTTGTTACTCATCCCCGACGCCCCCCCTCTTGTGTTTCCGCCCACAGCATAAGCAGCGATCAAAGTTTCTGTCGATGAGCACGCAAGCGGAGCATGACCACGCACCAGCTGGGCCCATATCACTGCCTTGCCTCCCAGAGCCAACCTATGCCCGTGTACAGCAGCACATGCTCAACAACGTTGCCCGGTGGGTGCGGGGATTCGGTCGGGAGCCAGGGCCTGGGATTCGTCTAGGCCGCCATTCGCTGCAGCACCTAAGGTTTTTACAGGGGTTGCCTCCATGCGGGTTTGGCGGGTAGTGACAGGGATGCTGCGCAGTGGGCGATGCAAGAAGACAATTGGGGGGATCGGGGCATCTGCCACACGCTAGGTCTGGGGTTGCCTAGTGTAAAAGGACAATCGTTCTAGGCTTGTAAGGTGTGTAGGTTACGACGGTGGCGGGGATTTTGAGAGTAAAGAGCCTGGAATGAAGTCTGAGCGTGGCAGTAGTTGAGCATCCTTACTTCTCACGTGGCTGCCAGAGTGGGACATGTGGACTGACGGGCTGGTTATGCGTTCGCTCAGTAGCTTTGGGATGCTTGCCATACATGACCATGCGTAGACACCCCTAAGGCCTGAACCTCCTCCTTTCCGGCCGTATGTTGCGTACCCGCAGGGGTCTGCTTGGGAACCGCCACACCTCAGTGCTTGGGGAGCTGTACTGGCGCTCCGCGACGCAGGGGCAAGGGCAGTGAAGGGAAAGCGCATAGGGCATGAGGGGGCGGGATTGGGGCAAACATTGGGCCATTTTGTGGGAACCTTTTGCGATGTACTGTTGGGGTTGGAGCTTTGGGGAGACGCATAGACGTCGTTTCTGGACAATGCAGGGCTAGGGACGATGCAGGGCTTATGGGGATGTGCATTTTGGCTTAAATGGCTGTTAGCAACAAGGCCACAACGAAGTCTACGACACCTACGTGCTCTATGACGCTAGTGGCTGAGGAATGCAAGGACTGGCTTACTAGGTGACGACTACGTCTTACAAACTGTTGACGCCAGTGACCGTTCGCAAGGAGCTATGTACGCTCGTAGCTGTTCAGTGCGCTCCTACGCTGCGCTTGGGATAGGTGGGGATGCGAGGAGGTGCATGGGTAAAGGATATAAGTGTAGGATCTTACAAAACGGGCCAGCAGCTCTGCGCTTACGCGCCCAGCGTTTCATTTGCCGGCTGCAGTGGGCAGTGCCTGCATGTTTGTGAGCACTTACGATTCGCGGTGTTTACGAACCTGCAACGGTGTCCTCTTTCAACTGATTTCGTAATACGCGCCCCACCGCAACTGCAACAGCAGCCCTAAGGCTTGGCTAGGACAACCTGCACTAGGCTAACAGCATGGCAGCCTAAGCACCGTATGCATTGCTCAACAGGGTTGACTAACAACAAACAACACTGCTGTCTGATATGCCTATCTAGTACGCAGTACAACGCTATAACTGTAAATCGATCCGGCAACCCCAGCGTCCATGCCAACCCGCACCCCAGCATTGCTTCCGCCGCCTGCCTATCATACGCCACCGGCTCCCGACAGCCACTGCTCCTCAATGGCCGCGAGGATGGGTTCTGGATCTAGACCAGCGGCGCGCATGGCCTCGCAGAGTGCTTGGTTCTTGGCGGATTCCATTCCCAGGCACAGCAGCAGCTCGTCGAACTCGGTCTGGGGCATCGATGCGCGGAGAGGAGGCGGGTGCGTTGTTAGTGCCATGTGCACGTGTCACATGCATCCATGTGCCTTGCCTAACAACGCTTCGAGTTCGCCGCGTTTAGTAGAACCTTACATGCCCCTCAACATGTGTGTCGGACGTACCTGCATGTCATTCAGCTTGCGCAACGCCTCGTCCAGCTGCGACTTGGTGGCGTCCAGCTGGTGCCGGTGTACGGCAATTTTCTCCTCGTACCGTCGCAACAGGTCCCCGCGCTGCGGCTGCTGCTGCGGTTGTTGGTGCTGCTGGTTGTAGAGCGGACCAGCCGCTGGGGCGCCAGCTGAGGCAAGGATGGACCGTGCGCCTGTGTCGGTTGGAAAGACATGTTGCCATCGGTGTGAACATGACAACAGCAACCAACGAAATCCCCGGGCAATTCAACCGCATTTGTATGTCGGACAGCGCCTATTCCTCCTTCTGAGCTAAGCTATCTTCAACTTAATGCCGTGCCCCTATCTGACCCCTGCATCTCCCTGCGCGGACACAACAAAGCACCTTCCATTCGGCGATTCAAGTTCTTACCTCCCGGCTCAGCGGCGGCCTCTGCTAGCCTCGCAGCGGCCTTCTGATGCAACGTCGCGTACCGACTTCTATCCGCAGGGCTAGGGGACGCCGCTCGCCGAGGCAGCGCTGACGCTGAGGACGGGCGAGCTCCGAGGAAGCCGGCCGCGCTGCTAGCACGCTGCGCAACAGGCGATGCTGGTACGGCAGCCGTTGGCGCAGCAGCTGCACTGGAGTTGAGGAGGCTGGTAACATTGGCGCCGAAAAACCGCTTTGACGCCGATCCAGGCGCGGGCGCGGCAATGCTTGGCATGGGGGCAGCAGCTGCTGCGGTGGCAGCAGCGGCAGCTTGTGCCTTGCTTGCAGAATTGGACTTGGGGGAAAACATGTTTTTGATGAACGCGCCAAAGGTGGCAGACTTCTTCTTCGGGGTGCCAACCTGCTGTTCACCTGTCGGCGCCGCGGCTGCTGCGGTGGCGGCGGCCTGGCCGGACGCGGTGGAGGAGGGTACCACCGCCGACACCACGGCCTGCGCGGCGGTGTTGGTGCGCTTCAACAGCTGCTCCACCGCCATCTTGAGTTGAATCATCTGCGTGATGCTGGCTACGTCCACCTCCTTGTCCTCCGCCAGGATGTTTTGCTTCAATGTGGAGAGCTTCTCAATGCCCACCACGATTTCCTGCAATGACACGAGCCGAGGCAGGGAAGTCAGGGGTGCTGTCGCTTGGCATGATGAAGTGGGCTTGCCACGAGCGGCGGCACGCAACAGGGGCAGACGCAGCGTGGCGCAGCCTAAGGATACCGTCTAAATGGCTACCTGGCAGTGCGGTAACAAATCCCGACGACATGGCTGCACGTTTCCGTTTGATGGAACTCACCTTCAGAGGGTCTGCAGCCGGCGGTGCAGTTGATGTTGAAGGGCCCGCTGGGTCCCGTACAGGCGCGCTGCTTGGGTCCGCAATGGCGGTCACAGCAGCCGCCAGACCCGCGGGGCCGGATGCGTTAGCAGTTGCCGTTCCGCTACTGAAGAAGGCAGGGATTGGCGTCGGAGCGTCTCTTGGAATGGTGTGCAGCAGCGTGATCGGCGAGGGCGGCCGAATAGCACTGCCAGAGGATGGCGCGGCCACGGACGGCTGCGGACGCGGAGCCGCTACAGGGGCTATCGGTGAGAAGTTAGGAGACCAAGTCTCAACTGGAGCAGCTGCGGCGACTGCGCTGGGAACGCTAGCAGTCGAAGAACGCGCCGCCACTGGCGGCCGCTGTAGCAATGGCGCCCGGTCGCGCTCTGCATGCACGGAGCTGCGAGACAGCGCGGACCGCGGCGGCATGGACAACAGGACATCCGTCTCAGGTTCCGTTGTTGCAGAAGCAGCCGCAGCAGGGGCAGCCACAGCAACGCTAGCGCTGTTGGGAACCGAGGCGCAGCTCGCTGCTGCAGACGCAACCATGCCTTCAGCCTCGGAGAACGCCGAGTCTCCAAACGGATCCGCCGAGGCCAGCCAGGCTCCAACACCGCCGCCTCCGCTGGTGGGCGTGTTGGCTGCGGTGTGCGACGCTGCAGCAGCCGGCGTAGTCGCCGCGGTGCTGGCGATGGAGTAGGCGCCGCCGCCCGGCGTCCTAGGACCAGGCGTGGGGGTGTTGGTGGCGGTGCTAGGCGGCGCCCGAGCGCTGCTGCGAGGCGGAGTGGGCGTGATGGAGGCTTCGGCAGCGGTGGGCACAAGGGCTGCCATGTCGAGGCCGTCGACCACGACCCGCAGACCAGTAGCCTTGCGCATGGTTGCAGTGGGCTGGGCGTCTGCTGATGTAGGAGGTGAAGGTGACGGGGCCTCTGCTAGTGGCTCGGTCGCTGCGGGCTCTGCAAACTCCAGCCAGCTGCTGCAGACTGCAGTGGCCACGGCGGCGTTGGGTGTAGCGGCAACAGCCTCTTGTGACATCTGGAGGGCTTGTTGTTGAGGGCTGGTTGCGGTGGCAACGGCAGCTGCAGTGGCGGCGTTGGGAGGAGCTGATGTGGACGCAATGGCGCCCGTGCCGGCGGTATCCAGGATCGTCAGCACCTCCGGTTGCTGCTGCTGGTCGGGCACCGAAGCCGTGTCCACAGCATTCGCCTGCGTTATTGAAGCCGGAACCACGTACGGCACCGCCGGCTTGTTCTGGCTGTTCCAGTCGCGGCAGTGCGAGTGCCATTTGTCGCTGTAGCGAATGTCCTCTGGTAGCTCATGCGGGAGGGGGCCGTCCAGCTTGCTGGCGGTGCCGGGGTGCATCATGCTGTCAAACAGCCGCTCAAAGTTGTCCACCTGGAACACCTCCGGCTTGCGCTCCATGGCCGCCTGCAGTGCCTGCTGCAGCGCGGCTTGGATGGCGGGCACGCTGGCGGCGACTGGAGAGGCGGCGGACGCGGCGTCTGCTGCGGTGGCTGCAGGCTGTGCATGGTGCTGAATGGAAGGCGCAGGCGCTGCGGCGCGTTGGTGCTGGTGTTGCTGTTGCTGAGACGGCAGCTGGATGGATGCCAGGATGGAGCGCTCCTGGGCAGGCGCCGGTGGTGGCCGCGGCGGGGCTGTGGTGGCTGCTGGCTGCTGCTGATTTTGGCTTTGGCTTTGACCCAGGGCTGGCGGCACCCATGGCAGGGGCTTGCTGGGAAGGAGGGCGGGAGGGACGGGGAGCGTGAAGCCACTTGTGCTGGCGTTGGCAAAGATGGGCGAGGAGCCAGCGGATCCTGGAGTATTGGCCATCCGGATGCGAGAAGGAGTAGGCGGCCTTGGGAGGGCAGGGGCTGGGTTTGTGCTGCTTGACGAGGGCGAGGCCGAGTTGATGCGCACTGGTGTAGGCAAGCGCGTTGAGACATTAGACTGTGAGGATGAGAAGATGGGGTTAACCTGTGCGAAGCCAAGAGGCACGCGACCCCGTGTGGTGGGACTAGTTGGTGTGGCGGATCGCTGCTGCTGAGAAGGCTGGGGGTTGAGTTGATGGTGATGGGAGCCTTGCCCTGTGGGCAGCAGCAGCCCGCTGAGCCCCGAAGCTCCTTGAGCGGCGGGTGCCGCCTGCCGATTGACATTGAGGTTCGGCTGAAGAGCGTACCGCTGGCTCACGTTGCGCCTGGATAGGAGGGAAATTAAGGAGGATGGAATGTAAATGTCTTATGACCGCTGCCGCCCGAAGCTCAAAGGGCTTACCTGGGACCAATGGATTGCAGGTGTGATATATCGGCTATTTTCGGTGGTGCTGCTGGTGGCGTAGGGTACTGGAAGGCATTTTCCTTGCCTGCCAAGGGCACCTGCCACAGGAAATGGGGTTTAAACGATCGCAATCGATGGGCCTAACAGTGCAATTGCTTACTCGACTATTGTCATCAGCTCCCTTTGTGCCGGTAAGCTTGCTTTTCAACGCCTGTGGTAAAAGCTTGAGGCTGCCCCACTGCGGACATCAGGGGAAGTAAAATTCGTATTCAGGATAGCTCGTCTAGGTGATATGTGGTCCTTATCATGTATGCGTTGCGCATCACCGTTGCAGGTCTTAGAGCGTTGAAGCTCACGGCCGGCTGTCCTTGTTGCGATGACATGGTCACTGTCTATCCAAGCCAGCGCCCAAAGCAAAGTAACCTATGACATCGGCTGCGAGTACCTCTTCTCAAAGTTACAACAAGGAACAATGCAACGTGTGCGCTCATTGCCTGCATATATCACCATCTGTCGTAGCGACTGAATCCAATCTTTCGCCGTGCAACCCTTAAATGCACCTCTCTGGCATGTCATCCATTTGTATAGGCAATAGCGTTTGTCCCCAAGGAGCGAATGCTTCCTTTACAAGCTGACTTCCAGCAGGCGGTTCGTCTGTGTTACTTAACGATGTTGCCGTGATTGCCGAAGTGGGCATCTCGCGTTAAGTAGAATTATGGAACGAACGGTATACTAGCATGGGGAAGACCTGCCTTAGATTGGCGAAAAGAACGCACTGTCACAGCCCGAAGCCCGAACTTTGAGCGTTGCCTCCACGCAGTGTAGCGAATATAGGCAAGGTTGTACCTTGGGCATTGCCAAACTGATTAAGGCTCTGAGCCACCTTGGGCAACCCCTCCTAGTACCCTCATCCATGCACCATATCACGTCAAGTATTCCCTGCCACCCGATGACGTTCACGACTCATCCCATCTACAATTTAAACGATACTATCTCCGCATAGCTGCAACCTAAGACGCCTGCCGCTTAGCCTACCACATCCTACTCCACATCCTGCAAGGTTAACCGGCCAGCAGCCAGGTTAACCGGCCAGCAGCCACATCGCTGATGCACCCCTTGACAACCAACAACGTGTAGCTGGCCCTGATGGCCCCCAAATCCTGACACCTCTTCCAAGTCCTCTCCTGAGACCTCCCCTAAAACCTGCGCAGCACCACCCAAACTCGTGCAGGGCTGCAGGCCACCTACGTACTCCCTGCGCCACAACAGCGCTCCGCTGCCTGTTAACATTCCTGCGAGCACGCATGACAACACGCTTCTGCCTAGCTCTGGCCAACCCTCTCAACCCTAGCCGTGGCAGTTCCATGCCCAAACGCCTTGCGCGGCAACATACCTAGCCCAAGACGCCACAACCGAGACGGGGATCACACAGCTATACTCCTCCACACGGCCCCCCCACCATTCAATACTTTCCTCTTTTCATTACTTTCCCCCCACGCGCACACCCATTCAGCTCTATAGCTGCTTTACCACTATTCCATCAGGGGGGCACTGTACCACTACCCCCAACTCTACCCAATCAACAACCCGGGTGTCATGCCCGCTGCTCAGTGCTGCATCCGTGGTGATGCACGCAGCATCGCGGCCTCAGCGCTGGCGCTTCCCGAGCGGCGAGCCGCCTTGGCGGGGCGGGGCGAGGAGGCGGCGGGGGAGGGCCGCTCGCGGCCGCCTGGTGGATTGCGTGATGGGGGGGGAACAGGGGCTCACGCACAGGCTCATGGCCAGTTTTCTTACCACGCAGGCACGAAGGGATGCACACACACACACACGTGGTTCGTATTCACATGCGAACCTATCCCAACTGCTGCTTGCTCTTGTTTTACTTAACTACACACACATGCACGTGGTTGTACCTTGGTAAGTTGCCGTGCAGTACAGTGCCGTGCAGCAGTGCAGCAGCTGCATGCAGCAGCATCAACAAAAGCCGCGACAGCGCTCATCACCCAGCGCTGCCCCGGCTTCACCACCCGTACACATGTCGTCAACGACGTCGGCCCAACCTGCGTGCCCCCTACCGTGATTCCCCATCCCCCTCCCCACCCTCGGCAACCCACCTTTGACTCCTCTACCGCCCGCCTCCGCTCCCCCCGCCGCTCCCCCCGCCGCTGCCCCTCCCAGCGGCGCATCCTCCCTCCTGGCCGGCCGCGGCAGCAGCGCGGGCGGTGTGGGCGGCGGGTTGTTGGAGAAGTAGGGGTGCCGCAGCGCCTCCGCGGCGGAGATGCGGCGCAGCGGGTCCAGCTGCAGCAGCCGGCCCAGCAGGTCCAGGGCGTCACCGCTGGCCTGGGGGGGAGAGGGAGGGGGAGGGGAGGAGGGGGGAGAAGACACATTGCGTTGAGGGATACCGGTAGTGGCAAATTAGGTGAGGGAGGGGAGAGAGGTATTATTATACCCATATTTGTATATAGGTATAACCGCAGGACAGGGAGGGGAAAAAAAGAAATTCCAAAGTGTGGTATGATAATGATACAAGTTGCTGACAATCCCTGGTGGAATCAACCGTGAGTCGAGCCGGGAGGGAGGGGAGGGAGCAGGGGAATAAAGAGCGAGGGGCCAACCCAACTCCCACGCACAGGAACCGGCGCCTCCCTCATTTGCAATTACGAATACAATGGCACAACGGCACGAGGCACGGGGACGCCTCCTCCCCCCCCCCGCCCTTCACCCCCCTCCCCCTCCCCGCGCGCCTCCCGCTCCTCCTTACCGCCGGAAACACCTGCCTCAGCGGCAGCGGCCACGTCTCCGTGAACTGCAGGAAGTAGGGCAGCTCGCGGGCTGCCGGCCAGTTGCCCTCCACGCCCGGCGAGCCGCACAGCGCAAACACCTTGGACAGCACCTCGATGTCGCACAGGCCGTCGAACAGCGGCCTGGGGCAGGGGAGGGGGAGGGGGGGGCGGGGGGAAGATGGGAACAGGAGGAGGGAGCGGGAGGAGGGAGGGGGAGAAATGAAGCAAGCAGTCTGATACATCCCAAGCCTCATGCCCCAATACCGTACACGCAGTGAGGACAAACCAACCACGCACACCCTGGGGATTCCCGAAACCCAGGGCGGCAGGGAGCAGGGTGGGACACGGCGGCAAGAGATCGGTACGACAGCAAGGGAGTGTGTATCGGAGCCACCCCCTCCCTTCTCCCCCTCCCCCCCCACCTCCTGAGCAGCAGCTCCCCCATGATGCAGCCCGCCGCCCACATATCCACTGCGGAGCTGTACTGCCGCGCGCCGAAGAAGAGCTCGGGGGCGCGGTACCAGGGGGCGAACACCTGGGGGGGGTGAGGGAGGGGAGGGGGGGCAGTGTTAATGTGCGAGGGTCATGGGGAGATTAGACAACGGAAGCCGATTAAGCACTGACACTGGCCGTAGTATGGGGGGAGGGAGAGGGAGAGGGCAGCAGCGGGGCTTACAGCAACAAGGTCCGCTCGACACATACCGGCTGCACCGTAACGGCACATCAGCTTCCAGCATACCAGCAAACCACGCCCTCCTACTCCTCCACCCCCAGGGTGCTGCCTCACAACAGGGTTGGCTCCTCCTCTTCACACCTTGTGTGTGAGGCGCCCCTCCGGGCTGCCGTACACCCACCCCACCTTGTGTGTGAGGCGCCCCTCCGGACTGCCGTACACCCACCCCACCTTGTGTGTGAGGCGCCCCTCCGGACTGCCGTACACCCACCCCACCTTGTGTGTGAGGCGCCCCTCCGGACTGCCGTACACCCACCCCACCTTGTGTGTGAGGCGCCCCTCCGGACTGCCGTACACCCACCCCACCTTGTGTGTGAGGCGCCCCTCCGGACTGCCGTACACCCACCCCACCTTGTGTGTGAGGCGCCCCTCCGGGCTGCCGTACACCCACCCCACCTTGTGTGTGAGGCGCCCCTCCGGACTGCCGTACACCCACCCCACCTTGTGTGTGAGGCGCCCCTCCGGACTGCCGTACACCCACCCCACCTTGTGTGTGAGGCGCCCCTCCGGACTGCCGTACACGCGGGACAGTCCAAAGTCCGCCAGCTTGAGTCGGCCGTCGGGCGCTATGAGGCAGTTGTTGGGCTTGATGTCCCGGTGGAGGACCCAGCTGAGGGGGGAGGGGAGGGGAGGGGGTAAAACCTTTGCTACAAGTGAAACAACTAGGGTCTCAATCCCATATCCCGACTCATGCAGAGAACGCATGAGTGGGAGGGAGGGGGGGGGCAACGGGCAGCATTGGAGTTCTGGTGATTCGATTCGGCTGCACTCCCTCAGGTACCTCTTCCCTCAGCCCTTCTCAGCCCTTCTCAGCCCTTCTCAGCCCTTCTCAGCCCTTCCCAGCCCTTCTCAGCCCTTCTCAGCCCTTCTCAAGTACCCCCTCTACCCTCACCCATGCGCACTTCATCCTGCTGTTCCCTCCCCTACCTCCTCCTTCCCAAGGCAAGTGCACCCCGCAACGGAGCCTTGCCACACGGTTAGCACCCCTCCCTCCCCTGCCCGCCCCCACCCATTTGGTTTTAACTTAACACGCCCACATTTGGCCTAACTCAAGTACTTAACGCTGGCCTCCTCCCCCTCCCTCCCCCTGCCCCTCCCAGCCCCTCCCTCCTCCCGCCCCCTCCCACCCTACCGCTTATGGCACGCCGCCAGCGCCTCCATCAGCTGCCGCACGTAGCTCTTCACGTCCGCCGCCGCCAGCACCAGGTTGCCGTCCTTGATGACCGCCTCCAGGTCGCTGTGCATGTACTCCAGGACCTGAACATGGGGAGGGGAGAGGGGGGGGGAAGGAGGAGAGGGGAGGGCGGGGGAGAGGAGACAAGGCCAAGCTGGGGAGCGGATTTGGAAGAGGAGAGAGAGGGGAGGTGCAGGGGGTGCAGCAGCTAGCACCTGCGAGGGAAGCAGGTTCCTGCAGGCCACCCACGGCCCACCCATCCCAGTTATTTTAACATACCCCAGTACACCCCCCCCACCAGCCCCCAGCCCCCGCCCCACCAGCACCACGGACTTCTTCTTGGGGTAGGCATCCAGCAGGCGGATGACGTGCGGGTGCTGCAGCTCGCGCAGCAGCTTGATCTCGCGCAGGGCGGTGGGGTCCAGGCCCTGGGATTGGGGGGGGGGAAATAGGGATACATATTCCGCATTAGGCTGGATTTTAGGATTGCGCAACTGTCAACTGGGAGGGGGGGAAGGAAGGGGAGGGGGAGGCGGGAGGGGAAGAGGAGGCAGGCGGCCAGGTATGAGGAGGCAGGAGGCAGGAGGTGGGGTGGAGGGGAGGGGAGCGCCCTCACCCTCAGCCTCGCCACCCCGCCGGCTGAACCAACTGGCCACTCCAGCCAGCCAGCAGCCCTAGGCCCCAGGCGGGAGATCCCCTCCCAGGCGGAGTGATGCCGAACTCCCATGAGGCCGCACTGCTGCTGGTAACGTTATATACATTTGCACACAAACACGTTCCAACTCGCGGCCACCACCACGGTTAACACTACACACCTTTTTGCGAACCGCTCCCAATTGCTAGCTCTTGTTGTACTCAACTACACACCTTTTTGCCATCGGTGCTCTTTTCGTCGGGAAAAATCTCCTTAAGGGCTACTGGCTTGCCCGTCTACGATGGGCGAGGAGGCGGCATGAGGAGGAGGAGGGAAAACGAGAGCTAAGGATTATGTGAGGGCCCGAGCGGTGTGAGGAAAAGGGCACGACTCCTTGTGTGTTGGGAATTGGAGTATGGGTGCGGGCTGCAGCTCTAGGGCATCAACAGCAGCTCCACCCGCATGTCGGGAGACTGGGAAAGGAGCGAGGTAAGGAAGAGGAGATGTGCGTGTATTGGGCGCAAGAACCAGCCTGGTTAGCCGGGGCTTCGGACCAGCTACGTGCACGTGCAGATGAGCATACATCCGCACCATCAATGCCTTTTGTGGGAATGCAGAAAGGATGGCACCACTCCACGGTATTTGCACACAAGCTTACCCTTTTATCAGCCCCTTTATACACAGCCGCGAAGGTGCCCTGACCCAGTAGAGCTCCGCGGATGTAATTTTCCGCCATGGCTGGAGGACACCTAGCGCTAGGCCGCCGGAAAGTAAGTGGCAATTACCGCAACATATTGTTTTGTCAGCAGCTCGAGGAAAATTAGGATGCAACTTCCGGGGCGAAGTAATGTATAGGATGTTGTCAGTTATCCGCGATGTAAAGCGTGTGTTGCAGCAAATAGCGTAATGCGGTAATTGCATCTGTAATGCCAAATGCTTTAAAACGTACTGTTCGATATCTGCCGTTGTACGACGATGCAGGAAGGCACCCACAATGTAGAACTTCCTGCCTTTCCTCTCTATCATGCCACAGTTGCTGTCCTCAGGCATAATACGGCACCTCATCTGAGGTCTGACAAACTTTCTGGCTACGTAGGCATTAGCGACCGTTGGTGTAGCAACTTAGCCTGGCGCTAAGTCCTGTGCTTAGCCCCAATCATAGGTTCACCCCAACCACCACGTTCTTCCTGCCCATTGTTCCACAATTCCCTTATAAAATGCAAGGGAGTAATGCTCCTAGAGTAAGTCCTTCCATCTGTGTGTTCGGCAGCAGCGATGCGGCACGTAGACTCACCTATGCTCGTTGCGCTTGCGACGGCCTGCCCCCATTTGCCCGTACACGTTCCTCATAATACTGCAGGCAAGACCAAGCCGTGCAGCCGCTTGCAGCAGCTCGGTTTGTCGACCGGCTGTATCCATCCCTTTCCCTCCCATCTCGAGTTGCATCGGCAGCACCAACCACAATGCTGCTGGCTCGGCTTATCCCGTCAGCTACGTCAGCGCCAACACGCCTAACACCACCACCACCAGCAACACCAACGCCACCACCTACCGCTGCTGCGGCCTTCCTAACCGCCACCAAAGCCACCGAGCAGCACCTCACAGGGCGCTACCACCCTCCGGCGACCACCCCCTCGACACCGACGGCTCCCCACCCAAAGGTAACCCTAACCCGACACTCACACCAGGAACGCCAACACTCCCTTCTCCTGCGCCTCCGTCTCCGTCTCCATCGCCCACTGGTGCTGCCCCCTGCCCTCGCTGCCCCCGCCTCCCCCACACATTGGGTATTCTCCCTTGCCTCCCCCTCCCCCCCCCACCCCATCACACCACACTTTGGATTCCCCCCCCCCACCCCAGCAGTCCCCCGCATCGCCCAGCCCAGCACCGCGCTGCTGCTCGCCTGGTTGGCGGCGGGCGGCGGCTCGCTGCTGGCCGCGCAGTGCCTGGTGGAGGCGCTGCTGCGGCTGCACCGGGAGGGGCGGAGCTTCGAGGAGCTGCAGGTGGGGGGGGGGGAGGGAAAAAAGAAATTCCAAAGTGTGGAAGGGGAGGGGAGGGAGGGAGAGGAGGAGCTGCAGGTGGGGAAACAATTATTTAAGTGAAACAACGAGTCCCAATCCCATATCCCGACTCATGCTGCAGGTGGGGCGGAGGGGTCAAAGACCATAGGAAACCACAGGTTAGGGCAAAGCAGTGGGGGTAGGAGGCGGCAGGGTGCCACAACACAAAGTGTGGGAGGGTAGGGGAAGTGCTGGTGGTGTGTGGGGGGGGGAGGAGCGCTGGGGCGGTTAATAACGAGAAAGAAACCAACCGTGTGCCATGCAGGGGCTGCAGCCTGATGCGTGCCAGCATGGTGGTTGCCCACCACCCGCCCAGGCCCTGAAGGGTGGGGGCTAGGGAACGGGGAGCAGGGAGCACGGGTGGCGTGTGGGATGAGGAGACCCGCGCGCCCTGATGTGTGCCATCCGGCACCTGGCGGCCGGATGTGTTGGTACGGCAGTTGATCGTACTGCCGTACTGCCGCACAGGTTCCTGTTCGGGCTATTAACGGTAACCTCATCCCACCCATGTCTCCCACCGTGCCTCCCATCGCCCCCGCCCCCGCCTCCCTCTCCCTGCGCGCAGTTGTCAATCAAGGTGGCCTCACGGGGCGCCACCAGCACCCTTAGCAGCGGCGGCAGCGGCAGCGGTGGGAGTGGGAGTGAGGGGGCTAGCGGCGAGGGCGGAGTGCCGGCGCCGCTGCTGCAGCCGCAGGTAGAGCCGGCTTGTAAAAACGCTGCGGGCGGGTACCGGTGTGTTGTTGGGGTTACCGCACCGAACCCATGGCGTCCATACACACACGCGGCAACCTCGCTGCTCCTCTTGCCCAGCTAGCTGCGGGCAGCGGCGGGTCAACGGGCAGATAACTCTGTGTCTTCCTCTTCCTTTCCACCCAAGTCCGCCCACCTCGCCGCAACCCCCCGCCCCTGTATCCCTGTCCCTGGCCCCCCTGCCCCTCGGCCCCCTGCCCCTCGCCCCCCTGCTGCCCCCCCCCCCGCCCCTCAGGACGAGGACGTGCTGGTGTCCTGGGTGGCGCTGGTGCTGCTGACACTGCAGGAGCTCGGGGTGTCACGGGACCTGGCAGGGGGGGAGGCGGGGGGGTACGGCAGGACAACACCACTGATGGGGCAGCAGAAGCAGCAACAGGAGGAGGGGGAGACGAGGGGGCAGGCGGTTTACGGCAGCAGCAGCGGTAGCGGCATGGGCGGCAGTGGTGGCGGCGGCGGTGGCGGTGGTGGCGAGGGTATGGCTGCGGGCAACGCCTACCTGCGCGGCATGTTGGGATACGTACGGCAGACGATGGGGCTGTACGAGCGCGAGGGGCGGTCGCTTGCGGGGGTGGCGGGGTTGCAGGGACTGGTGGTGCAGCACCAGCAGCAGGTGGGGGTGGGGGGGGGCGGGAGAAGATAGGAGACCAGCCCAGATCATGGGAAGCCACAGGTTAGGGCAAAGCAATGGGGGTAGGAGGCGGCAGGGTGCCACAATACAAAGTGTGGGAGGGTTGGCGACCCGCATCGATACCGAGTGTGGGGGGGTAGGGATGAGGGCGTGGGCGGATAAGGGCAGACACGTAGATGGCTGTGTCAAAGCTGAGGAGGGCTGGCTTATGCCTACACTGGTCTTCAATGCCTTACTGTCGTACATGCAGCTGTCGTACATGCAGCTGTCGTACATGCAGCTGTCGTACATGCAGCTGTCGTACATGCAGCTGTCGTACATGCAGCTGTCGTACATGCCTGACTGTGCAAACCCCTGTGTATCACCACCTCCCCCATTCCTCCTACCTCTTGCCCCCCGGTTCCCCGGCTTGCCCCTGCAGTCCTCCTCCTCCTCCTCGCCCGCCTCCTCCGCCGCCTCGCCCTTCCTGGCGCTCATGCAGCAATACACCCGACTGGTGCTGCTCACGCTGGAGGTGGTGGCAGCCGACCCACGGGTCACCACCACTCGCCCGCTCCGCCGCCCCGAAACCGTCACACGACCCAGCGGCTACGACACTGCATTTACGTCCACATGCGACCTTGCATTCGCCAATAGTACCCGCAGCAGTGCTAGCACCATCAGCAGCGGCAGTGCTAGCAGTGCCGGCAGCAGCGGCAGTGCTAGCACCAGCAGCAGTAGCAGTGCTAGCACCAGCAGCAGTAGCAGTGCTAGCACCAGCAGCAGCGGCAGTGCTAGCACCAGCAGCAGTAGCAGTGCCGGCAGCATGTGTCCGCCTCGCGGGTTGGCTGTGCGGCTGCTGGTTGCGTTCATGGGGGCGGTGCGGGGCAGCGAGTGGAGCCTGGGGAGGTTTGTGGAGGGGGTGCGTGTGGCGTATGATCAGGTGAGGTCAAATAAGGAAAACTGACGAACTGTATGACGGGGCTTCACCAGGGGTTGCTGATTGCATGATCAGGTGGGGGGGGTGCATGCAGGGGGGGGGGGGGGGGGCAAAGATCATACCGAGCCATAGGTAACCACAGGTTAGGGCAAAGCAGTGGGGAGATAGGAGATGGCATGCAAGGGGTGGGGTGGGGGTCCGGACTGCGGGGGGTTGGGGAGTGGGGTGGTGGCTCTGGTAGGAGGATACGTCTTCTTGCTGCACTTCTCATTTATCGCCCCCCCCCCCGCCCGGTGCCGTGCAGGGCTTGGCGGCGGACGAGCTCTTCTCGCAGCTGGAGGAGTGGGAGTTCGCGCAGAGTGGGGGACTGCTGCCCATTGCCGACCCCTCCAGGACAGCTGCAGCGGCGGCAGCGGCGGCGGAAGCAACAGCAACAGCAGCAGCAGCGACATCCTCACAAGCGGCAGCAGCAGCAGCGACATCCTCACAAGCGGCAGCAGCAGCAGCAGCGACATCCTCACCAGCGGCAGCAGCAGCAGCAGCGACATCCTCACCAGCGGCAGCAGCAGCAGCAGCGACATCCTCACAAGCGGCAGCAGCAGCAGCAGCGACATCCTCACAAGCGGCAGCAGCAGCAGCGACATCCTCACCAGCGGCAGCAGCAGCAGCAGCGACATCCTCACAAGCGGCAGCAGCAGCAGCAGCGACATCCTCACAAGCGGCAGCAGCAGCAGCAGCGACATCCTCACAAGCGGCAGCAGCAGCAGCAGCAGCGACATCCTCACAAGCGGCAGCAGCAGCAGCAGCGACATCCTCACAAGCGGCAGCAGCAGCAGCAGCCGCATCCGGAGTCCAAAAGGAGTCCAGAAGCGGTGAAGGAGCACGCGAAGAGTCGGGTGGTGTGGTGGAGGGTGAGGGTTCCTCCTCCACGGAAGCATCGCCGCCACCGCCACAGGACCAGCAGCAGCAGCAGCAACCAGCAGCGCCCGAGTACGAGATAACCAAGCAGTTGTTGAGCTGTTGGATCAGTTTGTCGTACATGGCACTAGCGCAGCTGCAGGTGCCGTACCCGGCGGCGGGGCAGCGGCTGGGATGGGCGTGGGCAGGGTGAGTGGGGAGGGGGGTTCGGCTGTGTGTTTTGTGTAGTAATCAGTATTGCTGTACGCTATGCGCTAACTACTTGTGTACTCGCCCCACTTCTTCTTCGCTCGCATGTTTCCAAAAATTGTATTCATGCGTTGTGTTGTGCTGCAGGTTTGGAGATCCCATCGAGGCAATTGGAATGAACGATTTCGTGGGCAACGTGCTGAGGGGGATGGCGGGGGCCGACCCACGGGTCATTCCCCAGCCGCCGACCCACCAGCAGCAGCCACAGGAGCAGCAGCAAGAGCGGTGGAAGCGCGGGGGCTCCACTCCGCTGGTCCGTGTGGAGGACGAGAGCCTGCCAGCCACCTCCACCGCCGTACGAGTCTTCGCTCAACAGGTGAGGTGCGGGGCGAGACGGAGGGTAAATTATTTAAGTTTGCAACTGAAAGCCGTGACACGGTAAACACTCACGGAGGAAGGGAAAAAGCGGTTTGAGAGGCGGAGTTCCGTACCTTCTGCGGGACTTCCCGGGTTTCCCAGCAATGCACACCATTGCAGGCGTGTCTCGCTCTCCGGTTGTCTCGCGTTGTCTCCGGTTGTTGCTGAGATGTAGCGACGTCCTGTCACCGGATGTCAGTGCCCCACCCACCCCCGCACATCCCACCCCATGCTGCTGCCTCAACGGTCCCGCAGGTGGCTCTGGTGCAGGCGGTGTGCCGCAGCGTGATGCAGGGTGAGCCGGGGGCTGCTCCTGGTGCTGCTGCTGGTGCTGCTGCTGCTGGTGGGGATAAAGAGGAAACAACTGACTGACTGAGGAATACAGCGCCTACATGGGGGCAGCGGGGGAGGAGGAGGGCCGTAGCAGCATATGCACGGCTTTGTTGCGTGGCAGCATGTTACGAGCGCAAACAGCGGGTTGTGTGTATGGCCTGGAGATGCCGTGGTTGCTTCCTTGACCGTGCCTTGTGTTATTGCTGACGTGAAAAGTGCTTTGGTAGTGTGAAGCGCTGCTGCTGCTGGTGCTGTTGGTGGGTAGGCGATACTCACGCTTGCGGTCTGTGGTCTTGCATGGCGCCGCGTCGGGGCTTTTGCGGTTGGTGAGTGAGAGGGGGAGCTGAGCTGCTGGGGAGCAGGGCTGCCTGGCTTCACCAGCCAGCAGCCGCGGCAGCCACCATGCTACCTGCCGGGAAGCATGCCGGCTGCCTCTGTTGGGAGTTTCGCACCCTTGTTTGTCCGGGTGTGGTGGAAGGGGACCCGGATACCGTATGCAGGTTCCCATCAGCTGCATGGAGTGAGCTCGGCAAGAGCTCCTTTATCTATCTGATGGCACCCTGGTTCTTCGTTACAATGCTTGCATACAGAGCTACTACTCGCCTCGCGCGCCCGAGGGCTCATGGCCCCGATTGTAGAAACCGCCAACGAAGGACACCGTGAGGGTGGGAAACACCGGCAAGAGGCATGTAACGAACAGCGGTAAGGAGGAAGCAACTAACGAACCGTGTTATACGGCGTCATCATGGCTGGCAACATGTGAGCCAGCCCGACCCGCCCAGCCCGAATAAGCCAAGCCAGTACGAACAAGGGTCGTCAGAGGAGGATGACCGACACGAACCTCACCCATCCGGCAGTGTTACATACAACGTAGCACCGGGTAATGACCAGAACCTTTGTATGGCACACTACCGCTACCTAAGGTACAAAGAAGCGCTATGCAAACAAACAAACCTGTTGATCATCTTACAATCTTTAACCAACATACCACAGCTGCACAACCCACAATCCTTCGTTATCTTCATGCTCGGAGGTCGACCACATGTCTCGCAGCCCAACTGATTGTGTACCAGGTCCTCCTGGTGCCCTAATGCCCTGGCTTGGCTTGGCCTGGCGGCATTTAAGAGAGGTGTCCATTTCATCTTCCATCCGTCCGCTGCATCCATCCGACTATCCGCCTCTCCGCATGCAAGCACGCAGTCTTCCCCACACATGCCTTCCTTCTCCTGCAATGTTTTGTGTGCGCCTGCGTCCTGATGCGGTGTGGTGTGCATGAGTGGGTTCGTGCCAACCGCCGCCGGCCCAAAGCAGTGTTGGGGCCTGACAGCGGCCCTTCTTGCGCCTTGATAACGGGTGACCACAACGATGAGCGCCAACCCCCATCGTACACCCACAACCACACTCACACCAGCCCAAACCTCCTACTGCTGCTTCTTCTTGGCCCCGTGCAGCTTCGCCGCCGTCACCGTCACCGCCAGGTGCGGGCACAGCTGCGGCTGGTTGACCAGGTGTGACCCGTGGGTCACCACGAACCCCAGCAGACCCAGACCCAGCACCAGCGGCAGAACCACCTGGGAAAGTACGGCACCCACGAGGCGACCCCGGCTGCTGCTGTCGTACACCTCGCCTCCGCTGCCAGTGACTGTCGTACCGGCGGAGCTGTTGACCACGTCAGCGGCGGTTGCGGGGTCCCCGGCGGCGGCTGACGTGATGGCGACGGTTGGTGTCACCAGGTCCCCGGCCAGTGCCTGGCGTTTGTGGAAGAGGTTGGGGTGCGTGCGGGGTTGGGGGAGGAGGTTACTATCTAGCTAACCTCTAGGACAGGACGCAGGGCACACAAGAGAGGGGCCTGCATGTCGCCCCTCGCATGCCCCGGTCTGTGGGCGAGCCCTGACGCACCCCCATGCCGCCCCCCCCCACCCCCCCCACTCACGTGCCCCGCCTGGTGCGCTCCGTACACGATGGCTGCCAGCGCAATGGCGATGGGAATGAGCGGGGAGGGCTGCGGCTTGAGCGGCAGGGGGGCGCCGGGGGACACGGAGAATGCGCCTGCGGGGGTTGGGGTGGGGGTGGGGTGCGGGTATTATACACACTGCGGCGGGGAAGAATACCAATGCATTGAATGAGAATGGCACACAAGGCGACAAGGGGGGAGAGGGGGAGGGGGAGGCGGGAAGGGGCGGGAAGGGGTTCGTGTGGGGTGGGGAAGGGGGGAAGCCAGACCGGTACACCAAACCCGACCTAAACCTGCAAGCGTCTATGCAACAAGGGCAACCACCCACCCACCCACCCACCCATACACACACATACACACACATACACAGTGTCCGGCAATCACAGTACCTCCCCACTCGCGGCTCGCCTTAACACGCACGGTCGGCCTCCTAAAACACACACAGACACCCCTCCCCATCGCTCCCCATGCACCCATCCCTCTCACCCACCCACCCACCCACACCTCCCACCCCCTACCCGTCACCAGATCCATGGCGTCCTGCTTCCATCCGTCCGTGAAGTTGTTCACATAGTAGCGCACGCACGCCTTCACGCCGTCGTCGATCACGCCGCCAAAGGTGCGCTTGCCGGTGCGTGTAAAGCCGCTCTTCATGGCACCCGTGCCTGCGGTTTTGGGGGGGGAAGCGGGGGAGGGGGGGTAAGGTGGGGGGGGGGGGGAGGGGTAAAAATGAGGAAACTGAGAAGGCAACTGACGAGCGGAGGACCTTACTGGGGTGGGGGGAGGTGGGGTTCAGGGTGGATGGTGGCTACATTGATCGACTATGTTGTGTCCTCGCAGTATGCAGAATTAAACCATCCGTACAGGCGTGCAATGGCTGGCGGGTTTGGCCCTACCTTGAGAGCACCCCCCTCTCTCCCCCCTCCCCGCCACCCCCACCCCTACCTGCATACTGTGATGACACCGCGTCCCCGTGATCCGCCCAAAGAATTTTGAACTGCCGCTCCACCTCGGGGAAGCTCTCGGGCAGGCCGGCGGGGGAGTGGGAGTGGTGGGGGTGATGGTGGGAGGCGGCAGCGGATGCAGCAGCAGCAGCGGAGGGAGAGGTGGATGGTGGCATGAGCCCCAGGGCTTCCAGCATCATCTCAAAGGCCTGGGGGGAGGGGGGAGAGACGCGCGGGGGAGGGTCAACAAGAGAGGAAGACGAGGGTGTGACAGCTTTCAGAAAGCTGGTACCAGGACGGTGGCTCCCACCTGCCATGTTGCATGGAAGCAATGGCGAGGAGGCCACCTGTCGTACGGTCCATTAGTTGCTTCCTCTTTACCCCCCCTCCCCCCCTCCCCACCTCTCCCCCCCCTTCCCCCCCCACCTTGCGCCCCAGCACCCCCTGCAGCACGTTGGTGCGGTCCAGGCAGTCGATGCAGTTGGTGCGCACCACGCCAACCTGGCGGGGGGGAGGGGGGGAGGGGGAAAGGGGGGGGAGGGGGGGGGAGTCAGAAGACATGAGCATGGGAAACTGTTGAACGATTGATAGGGGGGGAGAAGGAGGAGGACATATGGGGACGTGTGGGGGTGTTGCGTTGAAGGATGCCGGTACTGGCAACAGGTGGGGGGTGAAAGGATGGGAGAGGTGGCAGAGGGGGGTGGCGGGGGACGGGGGGCAGTGCGGGTGTGAGATGGTTAGGCAGGGGTCCGTGCATGCATGCATGCGAACACACGGCAGAGCTCATCACGCCATCATGCTGCTCTCCCCTCCCAGCCCCCCGGCCCCCCACCTGCCGCTTCTCCACCTGCCCTCCCGCCCGCCGCAGGAAGAAGCCATGACGAACAAAGTCATCCCGGACCTGAGGGAGGGGGGGGTGAAGGGGGGGGGCAGAAGAGGACACAGAAAGGGTGAGATGAAGACGACGGAATACGAGGGGGCTATACACGACTTTAGAGTACATACCCGCAAAGGACAGAGCAAGCAGTCTGGGTCAAAGTCCTGGGCCACCACTGTGTGGCGCTGTCCTCCCCTCCCCGCCCACCCGGCTTTCCCCTCCTCCCTCCCTGACGCCCTATCACACGGTCAGTTGACTATCTCCTCTTTTCCTCCCTCCCTCCACACCCCCGTTCAGTATGTTCGTTAACCCCTCCCTCCTCCCCCCTCCCTCCCTCCCTCCCCCCCGCCCCCCGCCCACCTTGTCCCACAGCAGGCTGATGCGGTGGTAGCGCCCGCCGCTGCACTCGTGGTGGAAGTCGAATGCCAGGTAGCGGAAGGAGGTGGCGGGCGGGGAGGGGGAGGGCGGGGAGGGGGAGGGGGTGGTGGCGGGGGTGGTGGAGAGGTGGCGGGTGGCCTCCGTGCGGAATGCGACCTCCAATTTGCCCTCTGTAGGGGGGGAGGGAGGGGGGAGGCGGGTTTGAAAGGTTGCAGGTCCAGGTTCGGTTACTTCCGCAGCGATGCACGGCACACCGAAACCACCACGACACGGCAAACACCCCACAGCTGCATGTGTGCTGTACTGCGCCTGCCGTGCTGGCTGCCTCCCACCGGCGTCTCCCCCCCTCCCCCTTCCCCTCATGCCGCAGCTCCGCACCCCCCCTCCCCCCTTCCTTGGGACGCCCTCATCCCCCGCTATACGCCAGTCCGGGTCGGTGTTTCCGAGGCTCCGTTCGGACCTGCTACCCTCCCTCCCCTCCCCTTCCCTCCCCTCCCCTCCCCTCCCCTCCCTCCCCTCACCCCCCTCCCCCCTCACCTCACTGCATGAGTCGGGCTATGGGATTGGGACTCTAGTTGTTTGCATTTATTATATCATTCCCCCCTCCCCCCCTCACCCGTGCCCTTGTGGTTAATCAGGTTCACAGCCAGCACCTCCCCGTACGCGGCCTTCAGGGCGCCCATGTGCGCGTCGAACACGTGGGCGGACTGCCCGGGGGCGGCGATGACGGTGGTGGGCTTGTACTTGATGTTGGGGAGCTAGGAGGGGGGGAGGGAGGGGGAGGGGGAGAGGATTAGGTAAACGGAGAGCGGGGGAGGAGGGGAGAGTGGTGTTGAACAGCGCCGTGCTCAGCCAAGGAAGGACGGGTGGGGTGGGGTGTGTTTATGGTGTGAGAGCAGCAGCACCTGCTGTAGCGGTGTGCTGGGGCACCACACCTGGCCACCCGCCCCCACCAGCTGCCATCCACCGAGTCGCACAAACCCGCCCGCCGCTGACCAGCGCTAGCAGCACTGCCACGGCCCCTCCCTCCCTACCCCCCTCCCTACCCCCTCCCTACCCCCCTCCCTACCCCCTCCCTACCCCCCTCCCTACCCCCTCCCTACCCCCTCCCTACCCCCCTCCCTACCCCCTCCCTACCCCCCTCCCTACCCCCCTCCCTACCCCCCTCCCTACCCCCTCCCTACCCCCCTCCCTACCCCCCTCCCTACCCCCCTCCCTACCCCCTCCCTACCCCCTCCCTACCCCCCTCCCTACCCCCTCCCTACCCCCTCCCTACCCCCTCCCTACCCCCTCCCTACCCCCCTCCCTACCCCCCTCCCTGCCATCCCTCTCCCTCTCCCTCTCCCCCCCCCGCCCCCCCACCTGCGTCCACAGCAGCGGAATGGATCCGCGCACCTCCACATAGGAGGCCAGCTCACCCCCCGGGGTGCTCACCACCTCCTCCGTCTCCACAAAGTTGGCCACGTGGCCTGAGGGGGGGGGGGGGGGTTGCGGGGGGCAGGGGGGCAGGGGGAGGTCAGCACGGATGCATGCACGGACAACATCCAACTCCTCTCAAAACCCCCCATAACGGATGGATGAATCCGCCTCCCCCATCCAAACCCGCATCCACCCCACCCCACCCCACCCCCCCCACCCCACCCGCGCTGTCGCAGCCCCGGCGCCACTGCCGGGTGCCCACTCGGTCCACCCCGCGCCGCGCAATGAGCGTCAGGGTGGCGCTCTTGGAGGCAGCGGAGGCGGAGGCGGAGGCGGGGGTGGTGCCACCGGTGTAGCGGCCGGCGGGGTGCGCGAAGGAGAGGTTGGGCAGCTGGCGCACGAAACCCAGGATGGCAGGAGGGGTGAAGCTGGGGGGTGGGGGGGGGAAGAGGAGGGGGAGGGGGGGAGAGCGGTGGGGGGAGGGGGGGCGTTGGGGGAAAAGAAGAAGGAAGACCCATGCATTGGCTGAAGGTTCCTGCTCACTAGGGGGTGTGCAGGAGGGGGCGGGGGAGGGAGGGAGGGCCTGCAGCGGGAGCAGCTGGCCACGTCCTCCCAGAGCTGCCGGGGCTGCTGCCCCACACCCTTACACGCTGCCCCCCCTGCATGATGAAGCACAGCCGCCCCCCCCCCCCCCATGAAGCACGCAAGGCCGCCTGCCGAGCCCCGCCAGAGGTACACCAAGTCACGCTGCAAAACACGTCCGTGCTCCCACCCTCCCCCCTCCATTCCCGCCTCCCCAACGCATGGTTCTGCCTTTTGTACCCCCTCCCCTTCCCTCTCCTCCCTCATTCAATACATTGCCTCGTACCGGTGCGCCCCAGCCTCCAGCAGCGGGGCAGCCAGTGCACGGTTGTACCAGAACCGCGGGTCGGTGCGAGCCGCGGAGGCCAGTGGCGCGTCGGCGACCCGTGGGTCGGCGTCCCGGTCGGCAATACGCTGCGCTGAGAGCGTTATGTCGTACAGGTGGGAGAAGTATATGCCGCGACCGGCGCGGGCGGGGTCCACTGCATCCTGGGGGGTGGTTTAGGGTTTAGGGGAGGTGTTAGGGTTTTAAGACGATAAGGAAGAAGGATTATACAGGAGGAAAAGATGAAGAAAAGAACCATGATGTGGGGTTGTGGTAAGGGAAAAGGCCAGGCGGGCGGGGTACAAGTTGGGAAGGGGATGCGGTGGTTAGGTGTGGGTAGGGGGTAGGGAGCGGTATGATGTTGATGATGTGACACGTGGCAGGGTTTGCTCTGTAGCAGCGGGGGTCGAGTGCGGCGGACGGGGTCCTCCTCGCCCGCTCCAAGAGTCCCCATGCCCTCACATCACGTTTCTCCAATCACTCTGCGTTCCTACTCGCGGCCAGCAGCGGCCAGCTTTCTTAACACACCACACCAGCCATCACCCACCCTCAGCAGCGCCAGCAGCTGGCGGTTCTCCCTGCTGGCCCGCTCCGCTCCCGGCTCCGAAACCACAACCGCTGAGACCAGCTCGTACACCGCCGCGCCGCCTGGAGCCATCTCCGCCACCTTGCGAGCCTCCGTGACGGCGAGGAGCGCCACGCCTGAGCAGTTGGGTTCAAAAAGTGCGATAAGATGTGCTTTAGATGGGTTCCAGACGCGCGGGACTTAGATGTGTTGCAGGTATAAAGGTATGGTCGGGGGTGAAGATATGTAGGAGGTTTGGCTGGGATGCGGGCAGGGTGTTTGCGGCGTGGGGCTTTTCTCGTGGCACAGGCAGCCGGGAAGTGCTGAAGAGGTCCGAGTTATAGCACTTGGGAGGTTTACTAGCTGGATGATGCTGGATGCGCTGCTAAATTGATGTGAGAGGAATGGGAATGGCTAAATGGTGTATATACGCACAGATATATTGTGAGCAGTGTCGGGGCCTAAATTGAGCGCGCCTTTTTGACAACCAAGTGGTCAATGTCTGGACTATGCAAGATACCATAAACGATAATATACCTTTCTGGAGTCTGCAGATGCCCAGGAGGCCCAAGGAGTCCACGGCTGTGCCGGCGCGGATGACATCCTTCGCTTCTGACAAGTTCGTCTTGCCGCTCGACAAGTCGACGTGCAGCGTCTCCACATTCTTTTCATCCGTGACGGGCTGAACTATTGCTTGAGCACCATCCTGGAAAATGCGCAGCGCTGGGTAGCAGTACCGCGATGATGTTGCGTCCATGGTTGCAGTTAGCTGGCTTTTCGCAAGTGACGAGGACGACGCTGCCGAAGTGCTCCTGATGAGGGAGATCTGCCGAATGTTAGATCTGATGAAAATGTTACTTGCGGTGTTGCTCAGAAGGCGAGGAATCGCCCGATGGGTCCAGTTGCCAGAAGCTGTTGGTGGTGACGCGAGTTTCGGCGTCCAGGGCGGCAATGAGCGACGAGCTAGGTGTTGGGTGATCACGAGGGAGAGAGTCCGGCCTGGCAGCGCCAGGGCGCCAGGTAGTCGCGTACAACCCAAGCGTCACCACAGCAGCACCAGCTGCACACCAGAACCACCGGGGTAATAAAGTGCGTTTGCTAATATGGTCCATGCGCTCAGCCTATGTTATGATCGTGCGGCGAAACAGCGGAATGGGCCTGGCAACGGAATGCACGTCATAATTGGGAAAAGGGCCTCGGAGGGAAAAGTGTCGGTGCAGGAACTTACAACGAATCTCCCACCTACGAATTTTAAGCTTTTCACCTTTGCAGCTTATATCTCCCAACTAATTTCCTGATCGGCTCACTTGGAACCCAACCACACGGAACCTAGCGCTGCGAAGTATTTCTGACATGCCGAGCTTTTATGCGCCTTTTAAACGCCTTGTGCTTTACTGTATCAATACAATCGCCGTTAGTAAGATAGTGCCACCAGCGCATACGCTTGACCTGGACGGTCTACCGGTAGTACTGTAGTCGGTCTCTGCTTGCGCATTCATGACACGTGTACGTCGCATACCATGAATTGACGGAAGGCTTATGTAGCTATGGGTTGTTGGAGGTCCACGTTGGCCACTGCTGGACATCAAAGCGACACATGCCGCAGCGCGGCGTGTGGCGAGCCGGGCAGCCCCTTTACAACGAGCGCTGGTGCAGCAGTCGCATCTTCTGCGGTTAGCGCGCCCGCGGGCCGGGCACTGCTGGACCAAAGGGTGAATTCTCAGGCGCCCCTGCAGGATGGAGCGTTGCTCACAACCTATCGCTCACACCGCGATTTATTCGATCCTAGTTCCAATGTTGATTCGCAAAACAGCTCAGACGATCCACAAAATGTCAGCGGCCTGAACGAAGGTCTGCCCTCAGGGCATGCCTCTCCTGCGCTGAGGCCTTTACCATCTGCCGGTTCCCCTGGGGAACAACGACCAATAGGCGCAAGAACCGCTACCAACCACTGCCCTAGCCCTCCTCAGTTGGCGGCCAGCCAGCTCATCCCTCCAGGCGACCAACCTACTAAGCATGATTACGATGACTACGGCCATGCCCTCCATGGCCGTGCCTCCGTTGCCACCACCCACGCCGGCGACAACGCAGATTGCAACACGCCCTCCCAGGAGATGCTCCGATCCGTCATCCCGCTCCTCATCAACACCAACCTTGATACTGCCGCCTGCCTCCCAACCGAACCCGCCGGCCGCCAACAAACCAACGGCGGCGACCCTGCTGCCGTACAACCGCCGCAGTCGCCAGCGGCGCCAGCCGGTACGACAGTCAACACCATCAGCCCCGCCCACCCCGCCGCCGTCACCGCCCCGGGCCTTATCAGCGACTCCGAAGGGGGAACCACCGGCGGCCCCAACCAGCGACATCAGACCATATTCCGCGGTCTGACGCGCGACTCCTTCCTCATGAACAACAACACCACTGGCGGCGGCGGTTGCAGCGGCGGCTACATGCTGCGTACGGCAACAGCACGTGAGGGGCTGCTGCTGAGTGACGCCTCCTGGCCGCCTTTCCAGCTGGGAAACCCGCTTCAGGTATGCGTGGTAGGCGCTGTGTGCTGTGTCTGTGTGCGCGCGTGTGTGTTGTTCAGGGAAGACAGGATGGAATAGGAGGGGCAACCTAACCAGGAACGGGAGTAGCAGAAGTAGGGCCCTGTTTCCCTTTTTCTGGCTTGGGCAACGCCAGCTTGTCGCATCAAGACTTCCGTCGTCTTGTCCCCCCGCACAGGTCAAGGTGGGGCCGCTGCTGGGTCGAGGCGGCTGCGGCTCCGTGTACCAGGGCACATGGCGCGGCCGACCCGTAGCCATCAAAGTCGTACAACAGGTGGTGACGCCGCCTGGCGGAGGCAGCGCCGCCGCCGCCGGCGCTGCTGCGGCGGCGGCGGCGCCACTGGCGCCTCCCCCAGTCATCGCGCCCCTCATCGACTTCTTCAGCTCCTCCAGCGGCTGCACACACCGAGCGAACGCCGGTGTGCGCCCTGGCGCCGCCGCCGTACCGTCGCATGTGCCGTACCTTCCCGACGCCAACGCCTCCGTCAAGCGCCTCCGCCACCCCAACGTCTTGCGAACGTACGCGTACGCCGTGGTCAGCATGGCGCCCCAATTGGATGGTGTGCTTCCCTCGCGTCACGAGCACCATGTGGTGCTGGAGCTGTGTAACGGCGGCAGCCTGCGGGCGTGGTTGGACCAGATGGGGTGCGACAGCGGCGGTAACCCCGGCGACGGCGGCGGAGGGAGTTGTACGGCAACGGGCATGGGGAAGGCACCGTTAACCCCCGCCGCCGCGGCGGCGGCGGCGAAGGAAGCGGTTACGCTGGCGCTTAGCCGCGCTCAGGCGCACATCAGCAGCGGCGGCCGTCGCAGCGGGGAGTCCGGGGAAACTCCCGCGTCGCCGCTGCCGCCGCCGACGGTTGCACCGTCGGGGCCGCCCCTGGCCTGGCGGCTGCAACCCCAGCAGCAGCAGCAGCAGCAGCTCCCAGGGCCTGCCGTAGCGGCTAGGGCTAGCGGAGGCGAAGAGGCAAAGCCGCCTGCCGCTGCCGCCGGCGGCGTCGTTGCCTCGCCACCGCCGCCAGCAGCGGGAGGAGGCTGCGACGTGACGGACCATGCCCCCGCCCCCGGCGCCGCCGCATGCCATACCGCCGCCGCTTGCTCCGCCGCCGCCGCCACCGCCGGCGCCATCAGCGGCATTCTATCACGGCCAGAGGCGACGGCGATATCGGCGCCGGAAGGCCTGTTCACGTCTCCTGCAGCTGCCGCCGCCGCTGCCGCCTTGGCGGCGGCGGCCGCTGCGGCGGCGTCGGCGTCTCCCAGTCTGCATGCCGGCGACGACATCCGCAGCGGCGCGCTGTCGCACTCTCAGTCGCTGGCGCACCCCGCGTCACGGCGGCTGCCAGGCCTGACGTCGGAGCAGTCGCAGCAGCTCATGCTGCTGAGCCTTGCGTGGGTGGCGGAAGGGAGCTCGGAGGTGGGCAAGCTGGCGGCGGCGGCGGCGGAGGTGACGGAGGCGGTCCGCGCCAGCACTGACGGCGCGGCGGCGGCGGGAGCCCGCGCCAGGGGGATGGAGGCGCCTGGCGGCGGCGGGGAGGGCGAATGTACGACGTCGGCTATTTCCGAGCCGAACCTCGACCGTGCTGGAAGGACGACAACAGCGGAATCTGAGGTGGCGGCGGCGGCGGTGGCGACGCCGCGTGGTCGGGATGAAGGGCGTACGGTTGGCGACGGCAGGGCGGCCGCCGCCGCCGTGGAAGCAGCTGAGGTGGGTATAGAGCTGCGGCGGTGCAGCCATGGCAGCGGTAACAGCAGCCGGAGCAGTCGACGGAGCAGCAGCAGTAGCGGCGGCGGCGACGGCAGCAGCTGCAGTGGCGACGGCGATGGCGACCAACCCAATGAGCCGGTGCGGTCGTCGGCTTCGAGCAGTCTGGCGGCTGGTCCCGCGGGTCTGGGGAGCCCAGTGGCTTCCGCGCATCCGAGGGGGCCTGGGCCGCCGGCACAGGAGACGGCGGTGGCGGCGGTGTCGGTTGAAAGCGACTGCGGTGTCGCCGCCGCCGCCGCCGCTGGCGACGACGTCGACGCTGCCGGCCCTGCCGTACCAGTGCTAGAGGAAGCGCTGGAACCGCACTCGTCGCCATTGCCGCCACCGACGGCAGATCTGGCCGCGGCATGGGCGGGTCCGACATTAGGTCCGTACGGCACGAACCCCTGGGTCATTGACAACGCGCCCCTTGGAGAGCAGTCCTCGATGCCACGTCCCGGCAGTAGCGCTGGGAGCTTGACCAGCTACGGCCGACGGATCCCGTCAGTTGCGGCGCATCAACAGTACGTCATTTTAGATGACTTGGACGAGCAAGAGGAGTACGAAAGAAGCTACGGAGAGTACGGCAGCACTTTCATGTACGGCAATAAAGGCGGCAGTAGCCATGGGCATGCTAATCACAATGCTGGTGGCGTTGGTGTTGGAGGCGGGGGCCGGAACAACACCGCACGCCATCTGTACGGACATTTTGGCAGCAGCATGGTAGACGAACCGTTGCGTCGACTTGAAGAGGAATCGTCGCTCGAAGGGACGCAAAGCTCCCGCGGTCGCAGTCGCGGTGACGCCACTGGGACGACCGGAACGGGAGTTACCTCGGAAAACGTCGTCGCCGCCATCGGCGGTTGCGGCGGGTCGTCACTTACGGGCGAAAAGCTGGGCAGCGGCGACGGCGGAGTCACTGCCGCCGCCGCCGCCACCACACTGTCGCCGCCGGCGACGGCGACGGCGGCAGCGGCGATCTCTCCAATGCCAGTTCCCCGTCTTCTCCAACCGCTCGCGGCCGGCAGCAAAGCACAGACGTTAACGGCGGCTCAGCCGGCAGCCAGTGGCGCAGTAGCACCGCACTCGCCGCCTCGCGAAGGCGAGCTGGATCTGTCGATGATGACGTCGATAATGAACCGTCGCGCAGCCGGCATGGTGCGATCCATCATGCGCGCCGCCGCCGCCGCCGGCGGCGGTCGTGACGGCGGCGGCGCCGAGGCGGCGGCGGCGACGGCGGAGCCGATGAGTACGGCACGGTTACGGCACCTGGTGGCAGCACTGGAGTGTCTGGTGGAGGTGGCGGCAGGGTTGTCGTACTTGCATGGCGTCGGCATGGTGCATGGGGTGAGCGTTACATGTCGTGTTACGTGTCGTGCTAGGTGGCTATATGACTAAGGACATTCCATCATGTATGCCACGCGGCGTTAAACAGCAGCTTTAACTTGTTGCCGATACCTTAATCGCACCACCGTACCACCGTACACCTAGGGTCTCTCCTTGTCAGCTGCTCCATCCTGTGTTCCTCTGATACTGCCTCGCCTTCGCCCTCTTCCCCCCGAGAACGGTTACAACCTGCATCGGTAGCAGCTAAATGCGAAGTTACAATAGCCTCTTTTAACCACCTTTCCTGTCCTGCCGTACTGCCCTGTTACTGACCCTGAACTGCTGCCCCACACCCCCACCCCGCCCGCCGCCTGCGCCTCAGGACGTCAAGAGCGGCAATGTGCTGTTGGCGTTAGAGGAGGGACTCACGCAGCCGCACCCGCACTGTCAGCCGCACATGGGGCGGGGCTTCAGAGTGAAGCTGGCGGACTTTGGGTTCGCAAGGTGGGGCCGGGGTTAGGGGTTGGGCTTTGCGGGATATTCGTACACTCGTACGTTCAGCCTAGCAGGTTCATGGCCCCCAGAACCCGCAGAATACCGCTGGGCTTGCTTCCGACCCCGCCCCTCCCGTGCCCGGCTCTGGTGCTTTGACTGTCATACCCCTACCCGCCTGAGGTCTTCGGCCTTCCCCCTCCTCCTCCTCCTCCCCCTCCCCCCCCCCTCCTTCCAGGGTTATAGAGCACGGCTCGCACACGTACCTGTCCCGCCCCTCCGGCACGCTGGCGTACCTGAGTCCCGAGCTGCTCACGGCACACCGACAGTCCACCGCCGCCGACATGGTGGGGGAGGGAGGGTGGGGGGGGGGGTATTGATGGAGGGGCTGGAAGGTCCGCATGGACGGGGGGGGGGGTAACAGGGTTTTAGGATAGATCGCATGCTGGCATGTGTAGTAGGGGTAGAGAGGGGAAACTAACGAGAAGGAACCCGTGTGAATACCATGCCATGGGGGTTGGGGTGGGGGCGATACATGGAGGTTCAGGCGGTTGCAGGGGGGCCCAAGGGGAGGGGCGAGGGCAGGTTGGACGCCGGAAGGGCTGGCACGGGGGTGAGGTGACCGGAGTTGCAGCTTGCGGGGAGCCGGGAGGCCGTCGCATGACCATCACAAGGGGGAGAGTGGGTCGCATGACGCATCATCATTGCCCCCGCTGGGCATACATTGCCAATCAGCAACGTCATCAACACGCCCGCCCGCTGTCCTCTGCTGCCTTTTCACACACCCCCGCTCCCTATACCGTACTCCCCGCTCCCCCCAACCCCCCACGCACTCAGTACGCGTTCGGGTTGCTGGTGTGGGAGGTGGTAACCCGGGAGCCCCTGTTCCGAGGCATGCAGACGCCGCAGGTGTGTGTGGGGGGGGGAGGGGGAGGGGCGGGTGAGGGGATGCGGGATTGGCGGGTGGGGGTGTGGGGTGGGGGGTGGGTGTATAGCCAGGAAGACGAGCTGACGAGCTGCATGACAAGGTGTCTGCCGACGTCCCCGCACCTGGACCTCCTACGTTACCCTCCGGAGGGGGGCTTGCCCTCTTGTCCCACCCCGACTCCCCCTACCGGTACCTCCCCTCCTTCCCAATGCTTTGCCCTGCCGGCCTGCCAGCCTGTGGTTTCCCCTCTGGTTTGGTCTGGTCTGGTTGACCTCCCACCTCCCCCAGCTGCCTCCCTCTATCCCCATTGCTTTGCCCTAACCTGTGTCTTCTTGGTGTATCTCCCTCCCCTCCCCCTCCTCCTCCCCCGCCATTGGATTTTCGTTTTTCCCCCGCCTCCCCCCCCCCAGCTGCTGTACGCCAAGACCCACCACAGCGACTGGCAGCACCTGCCCTGGCCCGTCTGGGTGCCGCCCGAGGTGGCGGCGCTGGCTCGGAGCTGCGCGGAGTACCTGCCGGCGCGGCGGCTGAGTGCGGGGCAGGCGCGGGGGCAGCTGGAGGGGCTGCGGGAGCGGTACGCGGGGGTGCTGAGGAGCAGGTGGGGGCAGGGGCGGTAGCGGGGGTGGGAGTGGCGGTAGCGGGGGCGGTAGCGGGGGTGGCGGTGGTAATGGTGGCGGGGGGAGTGATGGTGTTTTGGATTGGGGCAGGCGCACAGGCAGGGGTGAGCGGTGAGAAGGGAGCGAGGAGGGAGGGGAGGTGAGTTGTGGGGAGTGGCGGCGGGGACGTACGTCGCCCAAGGGAGGTCGATTGGCAGGTTGGTGGTGGTGGTGGTGGTGAGGAGGAGGAGGAGGAGGAGGAGGAGGGGGAAATCTTGGGAAGTATGCGTAGCATGTATGGCAATGCTAATTTCGTTGTTTTGGGTTGAGGGTAAGTAGGGGGTGGTGGTGAACGTTGCGAGCGGGGTTTTTAAGAAAGTTGCGGAAGTGTGTGAGAGTGTTAGAATCTGAAGCTCGGTAAGCACAGGAAAGCAAAGCACCGCTCAACTACACACCGATTTGTGAGTCACAACATGTTCCAAACTTTGGCCTCTACGTTAAGCGCGAGAGGAGGAAGGTTCGGGGGGTGGTTGCTGCTGCTTCGGCGGTTAGAGTAAGGCTGCTGGAGGAATTGTGGACCACATGGTGGACCTGGCTGTTGGATTGCATGGTACTCAGCCGCGATGAACGTACTCGGCTTTTATGAATGTAGCTTTAATGTCCCTGGCACCCGGTTGTCGTAGTACGGCTGGTGCCTCTGCAGCCTGCAGCGCTTTCATGGTACGGTAATTAGTTGCCTGCTTGGTTGTGGAACGAGAGTTGTGAGTAGAGGATGCGGAGAGGCCTGGTTCTTCCAAAGAAGAGGAGAGAATATCATCAGAACCCAACCCTTGGTGACACACGGCGCAGACATGTAGCACCGCGCTAGCGATGTTACTTGGATTTTGGCTGTTTGGCTGCTGTTGTTGCGGTTGCTGTTGCAGTACTAAGGAAGAGCACGCATGGTGTCTTCTTCCTTCGCAGCAACAGGCTAGTGAAAGTGCAAAACCAAATCTTTACTAGTTCTTCGCTATACTAGTGTGGTACTGCGGTTACGATGAACGATCAAAAGCGTACGGCATACGCGCACCTTTCGCCATTTTTATGTTGATGAGGCTGAGAAAAGTGTGTCAGAATTTTTTATAATAGGTTGCCGCGTTTTTAATTGCTTTGCGGCTGGTTCTTTAGTTGATGATGTGAGGGATAGAGCTGTAGCTGTGGCAGCTTGTAGACAGCAGAAGCAGCCATACGAGTTGCTTCCCCTGCTTTGATTTTGGAGCCCATACCATCAGGCATTACTATCGTTGCATGGACTTCTCCTTTTCGTGCCAAGGCCGCATGCAGGCGTCGAATACGAATGACCAGATGGTTTTCCGTACTTTTGGGCTTAAAAGCGTGCAGCAGGTTCGTCCAACCCAGCCCCAGGGAGGTTGTGGGTTGTTGGGTGCGCAGCCGTCTTTGAGCTTGCCACTCATCCGCTGCCCCGTTGTGCTCTATCTGCATGCTGCCGGAAAAGCAATTGAAGGCATGGATTGTTGCTAGAGGAGGATGTTTCTGGCCCCTCTGCACTTTCTAGTAACGGTACATGGTAGTAACGGAACCTGGATTGCTGTGGTTGTTGGGTGGTTGCATGAGAGGCCTGATGCTCGGGTGCTGCCGGGTGGTGTCTGCGCGGCTGATGCTGGTAGATGGGTAGACTCATGCAGTCGAGCTGCTGAACTGATGGATGGGTGTTTCTTTTTGGATTGAAAATGAGATGCGCCCGTATCCCAAATACGTTAACGGTATGGGCCGGTGCCTAAAAGGGAGGGAAAGGCGGTACGAGGGTTGGGCAGTTGCTTGTCTGTTAGCTGCTTCTGATCGTTGGTTGGTACTGTTATCCGGTTGGTACCGGTAACTGCCAGGTATCAGGTTGCGAAATGACTCATCATGATTTCTAGGCTTGCTTGGAAGAACGTTCTGCTACCCTAGCATTCTACGTTTCCTGGCTTTATTTTGTACGGTACCGGTAACGGGCAAAGTACTACACACGACGAACGCAAGTGTGTTAAGAAAACTGGCCGCGAGTAGGAACATACTGTGATTGTCGGAAGATGAAGTCCCCACAGAACCGCCGCAGGAGTGTGTGTGATACTAACAGCCTGCTATGCCCGCGTCTGTACGACTGCATGGGATGAGCAGTTTAATGCGAAGCGGAAGCCAATGTTCGGTTGGTTGCTTGCTTAGAATTTGTATCCCAGTGATGACCCATGGGTCACCCATGCTGACGGTGGGTCATTTACCCCACATGCGGGCCTGTTGGGTGCGGAAGGGCGGGAGGGGGCGAGGTGGAGGGAGCGCACGTAAGCCGTCATACGGCTGCGGGAGACCTGCTGAAGGTACCGTACAAGAAGTGGGGTTGGCAAGACGTTTCAATCTATGTTGACTTGTTACATGGATCCTCAGTAAGAACCGCAGCTTGCTTATTTAAAGGAGTTTTATAGCAGTGTTGCCTTGAGGTATGATGCGACCCATGGCCAGTGTGCACACATCCCAAGGCAGTTACCACCGTACTTTCGTACCTGGAAATTACCGCTTGCCTTTTCTTGTGCGCGTGCATTTCACCTAGCGCATGCACGGACGTGGCTCGTCCTAGTTTCTGTTTGTTTTGTTTCCTGCATGCGGCCAGAACGTGCGTGCATAGCATGTAGCGAGTTTGTTCAAGCGTGCTCTGTAGACAAAGAGCGAGCCAAACTATTGAAGTCGTTGTAATGAATGGGGAGGAATCCCTACCTTTGCAAGGCCAACTAGAAGACAAAAGCGGCTCTGCCACGCCGAGGGCTGCTGTAGCTGTATTCTTCGCCCGTTGTAACTATTGTACGGCGGCTACAAGACCTATTGTACGACAACCGCACACCACCCCTCTGCTCCCCACCCCTCTGCTCCCCCAGTACGGAAGCACATGCAATGCGGACGTGTCACCGCGCTATGTTGCAACTAGGGTCGAGGCAGTGATGGGGTTTGGGCTGGTGTGACACAGCGGCCCCCGCACTACCCCGCCAGCAGTAAAGGCAGGCGGCAGCACCCTAACTCAAAATAAATCGGAAACGATTAAAACGTTGTCGCCTTCTGTTCGTCCGCCCTCCCATCCGCACAGCAACGTCTCAGTTGATGGTATGTGCCGGTATACGGCACTCCTCCATGAGCCCCTCTGCAGCCCTTCGGTCTGCTGCGGCAACATGCTGCTGCAGCACCCACCAGAGAGAAGCCCGCCCGCCCGCCCGACCCGGCTCATCACCGCTATGTAGCAAGTACAGCATCCGGCACGCACCGACCCATGCAACCCTCAATCGCATGCCCTTTCAACAGCCCTTTTAACTACATGCTTGGGATACCAGTAGCAGCTGCCATCTACTGGACTGCACAACTCAGCCCTTCTCCTCCTCTGCTCCACGCTTCCCTCCCCTCCCTAGCAACAGTTCCTCCCTAGCGGTTGGTGCCTCCCTCCCCTCCCCTCCCACCTCCCTCGTTAGTTGCCTCGTCAGTGTCTTTCTAACGTTTTTATCCTCCCCTCCCCCTAGCAGTTGGTGCCTCCCTCCCCTCCCCCTAGCAGTTTCTTTGACCCCCCTAGCAGTTGGTGTGGTACAGCGGCACCAGCTGCGGCAGCGCCACTGCTGCACGGCACAGCGGGCACTCGGGCTTCTCAGTGCACCTGCGGGGGGGGAGGAGGGGCGGGAGAGGAGGGGAGAGAGGGGTGGGGCGGGAGAGGAAGGAGGGGGGCGGGAAGGGCGGGACAAGGGGGGTGCGTGAGGGTTGCATGCAATAGACGGAAAGGTGGGAGAGGTGAGACGGAAGAGAAAGAGCAGGCAGGTGGTCGGGAAGCAGGAGAGGGGCTGTGGCAGGGTCTGCTGTCCGCTAGTGATAGCAGATGGGCAAGAGGGGCAAGAGATATAGACACGGTGCGAGAGACGAGCGCGAGATTCACCTGCTGCAATCCTCCCCACCACCACCACCGCGCACCCCGCATCCCGCCACCTCTGCATGCGCGTGCTTCCGCACACCCCCCCACACCGCCCCTCCGCCCCCATGCGCCCTCGCACCGCCAGCATGCCAAGCAGCCCCCTACATACCCTCCCCCCATGCTCAACCCTCGCCCCTCTACACCGCCTGTACTCCCCCCTCCTCCCCGCATCCCCCACCCCACATCCCCCACCCCTCCACTCACCATGTGGTGATGCAGCCCCAGCAGAAGGTGTGCCCGCACGGCGTGCTGGCGGGGTGGCTCTTGGGCGACAGGCACAGCGGGCACTGCCGCTGCGAGGTGCGCAGAGGCAGCACCCCGGAGGCACCGCCGCAGCGGGGTGCCCGCCTGCCTCGCCGCTGCTGGTGCCCCCGCGTGAGTGCAGTCCCGGCAGCAGCGGTAGCAGCTGCAGGAGTCGTCGCACCACCGCTGGGCTGTGTTGTTGCTGTTGCTGCCGTAGCTGTTGTTGTGCTGCCAAACACATCCTCCTCCCAGCCACCGCCACCACCACCGCCAGTCATCACATCTCTCCCCTCACCCTCGCCTTCCAATCCTTTGTACGGCATCACCCCTGCATGGCCATCATCATTGTCGTACGACACGTCCTCCTCCTCCACCTCCTCCTCGTCCTCATCATCCTCATCATCTTCCAAAAACACCGCGGGTTCGTCTTCACCCGCATACCGCTCCACCTCCGCAACCCCAACCTCCTCCTCCTCCTCCTCCTCTAGCTGCCCATCTCCGGCTGCTGCTGCTGCTCTACGGCGTTTGGCGGCGCCGCTAGCGGCCGCAGCGAGGCGCAGCTTGCGTAACGCCGTACGCGCCTTGGCTGCTGCCGCCACCGCCAGTTGTAGCCCGAGGAGGAGCCCGAGAATCCGGTAGGAGGGCCGCCTGCGGGCGTTACCGGTAGTCAGGGTGTCCGTCGGTATTAGCGAGAAGCGAGAGAAGCACACTCTACCCCCCAACCCCCAACCTGGCAATCGAACCCCTGTGACAACACCCCCCCCTACTCCCTCATCTCCACACAAATCCCCCTCAATCCCCCCCCCTCACCCCTGCAGCGGCCGCATGGAGAGGCTGTAGCGCACCCCCGTCAGCCGGTGAGGCAGGCTGTAGTAGCTGCCGTACACATAAAACAGCGCCAAGTGCAACCGACCAGCGTACGACAACAGGGGTCGTACCCTCGGCCATGCTACCACCAGCGCTCGCCAGCATCGGGCCCACCTAGCCGCGATCGCAGCGACCAGCAACCGCAACCAACCTCCACCACCCCTTCCACCTCTCCCGCCGCCTCTTCGTCGCTGTTGCTGTTCTGCAGCGGCGGCGAAGGAGGAGGAGGTGGATGCGAGTCCCGGCCCTGTCCGCCGCTCCTCCTCCTCTACCCCAACAGCTGTAGCTGCTGCTGCTGCCTCTGCCTCCGCCTCCGCCGCTGCCTCGCTCCTCATCATCTCCTGCTCCTCCTCCGCTGCCGCCTGCTGCTGCTGCTGCTCCGACTGCTCTGCGGCGCTGTCCAGGTGGCCTGCCAGGCGGTCGGCCGCATAGGGCCCCGCTGACCGCAGCGCGGCCAGCAGCAGCCGGCGGGACAGCTCGGGAGGGCGGCCGGAGGCTGGGGGAGGGAGGAAGGGAGGGAAGGAGGTGCGAGGGACGGGAAGGAGGAGGGTTGTTCGGGAGGGGGCTTACTGGGTTAGAAGATGAAGCCAGAGGCAGAGGCGGGAGCAGGCAAGTCTTGGATTGTGTTATGGCAGCAAGCAGGATGGGGACGTTTGACGGGAGGATGGGCGACTGCTTACACCGGGTGGGATGGGGTGAGCTGAGGTGTGTCGTACCTGTGACTTGCAGCATGTTGCAGTACTCCTCGCCGAGCGTTTGGTGACCCAGACCTGTCGTGAGGCCGTGGTACAGCAGAAGCGCAACCAGCTTGGTCTCTCTGCATTGTCATGGAAGGATGGGAGTTAGAGATTGGGTTCGTGTGTCCGCTCACCTGTCATACATAAATCAAGTTGCTCATAAGCGACACTCAAAAGCCCGAACACGTCCAGGTACCTGGCATATTGCAGCGCGCGGAAGGGCCCAAACAATCGCCGCACCACCTCGCGCGTTGCCTCCAAGTATTGTTCCACGTAGGAGTCATCCTATGGTTGCACGTTTACGTTAGCATCAAGGGAGGAAGTAAGCTTTGTTGGCATATAGCTAACCGACACATGCAATTCATATACAGCCAGATAGCCCCATTAATAAACGCATACCTTTTGAACAGCGCGGACCATATCAGGCTGTGACGCTGCGAGCAGCGTCAGCGCCCTCGGGGGGCCTGTTTGAGCAAGTGTCGTCATAGTGCGACTATATTACAGAATTCTAGGTACTCCTTAAAAAGTCATTTGGGATGTAACAACTCGTGTGTAACCACTACTGTAAGCGCCATGCGAGATAAAGAAAGACCTGGGAATCCGGACAACTGACGGTTGGCGGATTGAGTGCTACGCACCAGCACATCTGTGCATTATGTTTCTAGATGCATCCAATTGACACCTGGTAACAAATTATACCCTTACAAAACTCACCTCGCCCACCCCGGCCATGGGAGGGTTTACAGACATTGCTCGACATTTCGGCCTGAAGGCCGTATACGTTTTGGTGGCCTGGGGAGTAAGTCGCGTGCTGGACTCTGGACGTAAGCGTCTTTTGCTGCGTAAGGCGCGGACGGCTCGGCCCCAACCCGTCGGTAAGCCATCCATCCATGCCGGGCTCCTCAGGGCTACCTTCTCTGACGTTGTCCCCCTTCCAACAAACCACGCAACTTGTCATTGTTTCCGATAATCCAAGCTCTTCCTACCTTTTGCTGCCTTTACCGTTTGTCCCTCCTCGTCCCCTAGTCAACACCATCCTCACCGTATCCCGTCACCCCCCCTTCCGCCCTCCCGTGGCCCCCCTCTAGAATCCCGGCCTGCCCCCAAGCCCCCCGCACGCTACAAGATCTACCACAACCCACAACGCGACTTCCAACCCAGCAACCCAGGGTGCGCCAGAGAGGGGGGAAGGGGGGGGGTACGGCGCCCGGGTGGATGGAGCAGCAGTGGACATCAGTACGGTCCGGTCCGTCCACCCACAGTTTCCACCCACGGGGCATGACGTCAGCAACTGCCTGTGCGGTTCGTGCAGCTGGGGGCGGGCGGGGAGGGGCGGGGCGGGGCGGGGCGGGGTAAAAGCTGGGTGAAGCTGGGTAGACTCAACCGTGTGGGGGTCAAGCAGCAGCAGGTCATGCAGCAGCAGTAGCAGCAGCAGGAGGGGATCATTAAAAAGTGATGCGCCGCGAGTCAGGAGCCTCCCGTGCAGAAGCCGTACGAAGGAAAAAGCAAGAGTGTACGGCAGCAAACAGGCTGTTCCCAATCCTCCATGTCACCGTGGCTTCAGTTCCCCCAACCCCTCTCCAACCCCTTCCCCGCATTCCCAATCCATCACATCGGTTATTCTTCTCCCCCGCCTCCCCCCCCCCAGCTGGCTAGTCAGCGCTGCTCGAGTTGACCCCTGGGAGCTGCTGAGCGACCCCTCCTGGCAGTGCCCGCTGCTGGTGGGCTTCCAGGTGGAGGGGGAGGGAGGGAAAGGAGGGGAGGGGGTTAGGAAGAGGGAGGGAGGGAAACGACCCATGGGTCAGTCAAGCACCACTTCAAACGGGGGAAAGGAGGAGGGGGCCAGGCAGTGCCTGCTGCTGCAGCAGTGTCCTTGTTCACACTCCTGGGCTACCCTCCTCCCACCATCGACCTCCCCGTGTTCGTCCTTTCCTGCTGCTGCTGCTGTTGCTGCTGCCGGCTGCTGCTGCTGTACACGCACACACACACACCTCAGGCCCAGCTGGCGGGTCAGGGCTGGAGCCAGCAACAACACCCGCAACCGCAGCACCCACAGCAGCAACAGCTGCAGCAACCGCCGTCAGGGGCTGATGGCTGCGCGGCCGTCGCTGCTGCTGCTGCTGATGTTTGTCTGGAGGGAGGAGGAGGCGGAGGAGGCGGAGCAGGACTGGGAGGTGGAGTAGGTGGAGGTCCTCCTCCTCCGCTGCTGCTGCTGCCCCCCTTCGGCTCCCCCGCCCGCCAGCAGCTGTTCGCACTGGACCCTCGGGTGACCCACCTGAACCACGGCAGCTACGGAGCGGCGTTCAGGTGGGGGGGAGGGGGGGAAGGAAATTCCAAAGTGTGGTGTGAGAAAGTGTGGAGGGGGATAAGGTGGGGGGGTCGAGGATAGACCAGACCAGGCGGGGAGAAAGAACACCCAATGTGTTGCATGAGGCTGACGAATGAGGCTGACAAACAAGCCGACTAGCTCACGGTGGTGGAACCCAGGTAGTCGAGCCGAACTTGCCACATCAAACTTACCAAACCAGACCAGGCGGGTGGTGGTGGTGGTAGGCCAGCCGCAGAAGGGGTGGGGAGGCAGGGCTTCAGGTTCATGCATACTCGGCAGAGTTCCCATCCCTGAACCTGTCCTGCCACATCCTGTCATGAGCTCTACTGCTGCTGCTGCTGCTGCTGCTGTACTGCAAGCAAGCGGCAGCGGAGCGCAGCTAGGCACATGTTACACATACACACACACACACGCTTTCATCACACTGGTTGGGTGTCCCTCGTTCCCCATCACTTCCCCCCTCCCCCGTCCCCTCTCCCCCCCTCTCCCCCCCTCTCCCCCCCTCTTCCCCCCCCCCCCCTAGGTTGTCCCTGGAGGTCCAGTCCTGGTACCGGCAGCAGATGGAGGGACAGCCGGTGCGATTCATGGAGACGGTGGCGGTGCGGGGTGAGGGGTGGGGGGTGAGGGTGTGAGGGGAGGGGGGTTGAGGAGGGTTACAGCCACACACGTGCGGTGTATGGGTGTGAGGGGCTGCTTGCAGCCAGGAGCTGCTTGTACGGGTGCCAGCCTGCGTGCCTGCCTCTGTTAGCAGCCCCTTTGTCTTGCCTTCACTCCTGGTTTGGTATTTCTTTTATCCCCGCCCCCCACTGCCCCTGCCCCCACTGCCACCCTCGCACCTCAGGTCTGGTGGCGGCGGTTGCTGACGCGGCTCGCTTCATCGGCGCCGCCCCGCGGGATGTCGTACCGGTGGTCAACGCCACGTCAGCGGTGAACGCCGTACTGCGCTCCGTGCCGCTGAGGCGGGGGGACTGGGTGCTCATGTTCAATACCACCTACTCAGCGGTGAGGGGGGCAAAGGGGGGCTAGTTGTTAGTTTAACAACTAACTGACTGAGGGATAAGGCGTCAACATGGGGGGGCGGGGACCGAGGGAGGCTGGAAAAGTACGGTAATCGAAAATTCAATGCCGTGGGGTAGACGTTCAAGGGCGGTGTTCGCGGGATTTCCTTTCAGGAAACTCCCCACTTGCAGTCTCGTGTGTGCATGTTGACCGCCCCTGTCCTCCTCCTCCTGCCTCCTCACGCCAGCCGACCCCTCTCTCGCGACCAGCCTCAATCCGGCCTTCTTTCTCTTCCTCACCACCCCTCCTCCCCGCAGGTCAGGAGCAGCATCGCTCGCGTTGCGGCGGCAGCGGGAGCCAGCATCCTGGAGGTACCGGTCTAACGAACTAACGGCATAAGGGCATGATAGGCTAACGGTTTAACGGCCTAAAGACCTAACGGCCTAACGGTCTAACGGTCTAACCCCGCAGGGGGGTGCCTGGGAGATAGGGGCCACCGCAGTCAGCCTGGTATCCCCTTACTTTCCCCCGTGCTGGTACCCCTTTCCTCACGCGCTCTCTTACTCTCAACGGACCATGGCCACTGCATGCATGCCCCGCAAGGCCCCCTCCTCTTCCCCAATCCCACGCCTCCTCCTACTTACAGTACCGTATCCTCCCCGGTTCCCCCACCTCTTCTTCTCTAACCCTGCCCCATTCCCTGCTTCCCCCTCCCTTGCCTTCTCCTTCCCTCCCCCCCCTGCCGCCCCTCCTCCCTCCCCCCTGCCGCCCCCCAGGTGCAGCTGGGCTTGGCGGAGTTCCAGCGGCCCGACACCATTGTGGCGGCCGTGCAGGTGCAGGGGGAGGGGGGGGGGGGCGGGTTGTAACACATACACACACGGACCAGTTTTCTTAGCACACACGGACAGCAGCAGCACCTAATGGGTGCTGATGACTGCGGCGACATGGGCCCAGTCAGCTCTTTCCCCTCTCGCCCTCCTCTTCCCCCCCTCACAACCTCCTCTTGCGTTTTTCTGTGGCCCCCCACCTCCCTCCCCCACCCCCCTACCCCCTACCCCGCCTCCCGCCGACAGTCCTCGCTGCAAGCAGTGGGCGGGCGGAGGCGGGTGCGGCTAGCGGTGCTAGACCACGTGGTGTCATTCCCGCCCATTGTGATGCCGGTACGGCAGCTGGCAGCGCTGTGTAAACAGGTGTGTTAAGAAAACTGGCCGCGAGGTGTGTGTGTGTGGGGGGGGTGCTGGGGGGGGGCGATGCTGGGGATGAGAGGGGTAAGAGGGTGGGTTGTAGCAGGGGATAGACACGGCATGGGCGCCCGTGCGCTCCTGTCCCCTCTAGTCTCTCCCGCCCCCAAACCCCCACACACCTGGCCCCACATCTCACCTGCCCTCACCTGGCCTCAATACCCCCTCCCCCCCCTCCCCCCCCCTCCCAGATGGGCGCCCAGGTGCTTGTGGACGGGGCGCATGCACTGGGCAGCATACCGGGGCTGCAGGTGGGGGTTGGTGGAGGGGTGGGGGTGGGGGTAGAGCTGAGGAGGGAACGGATGAGCTGTACGGCATGTTGTAGGCTGCAGCATGGGGGGTGCTGGGGCGCAGGCATGGGGGGAGCTGCGTGCAGGGGTGGGTGGGCCACACCGGCATCAGGTGTGCCGTACCTGCCTCCCGAGGGGTGCCGTACCTGCCTCCTCCCGAGGGGTGCCGTACCTGCCTCCTCCCGAGGGGTTGCTACACACCCGCTGGGGCGATCGGGAGAGTCAGCTCCCTCCTCTCCCCTCCTCTCCCCTCCTCTCCCCTCCTCTCCCTTCCCCCTTCCCCTGCCACTTCCCATCCCCATTGCTTTGCCCGAACATGTGGCTTCCTATGCATTCCTCCGGTAGCTCTTCGCCCTCCTGACCCCTGACACCCCCCCCCACCCGCCCCCCTCCGTCCCCCCCCAAAGGTCCCCTCCCTCGCTGCCGACTACTACGTCGCCAACCTGCACAAGTGGGGCTGCTCCCCCCGCGGGGCCGCACTGCTGTGGGCGGCTCCGGAGCGGCAGGCGGGGCTGCGGCCGCCCGTCACCTCACATGGGGCCGGACTGGTAGGCGTGGGGGCCGGGGGAGGGGGGGGCCGGGGCGGCGGGGTAAGAAGGAGGAAACAGACGAGCTGACGAGGGTGCGGGGCGGGGCGGGTTGGGGCACGATGTGGGGCAAGGCACGGTGGGGCTGTGTAGCTTAGTGGTCCGCACCTTCCTGTTTACCTCCCCCCCTCCCCTCCTCCTCCCCCCCTCCCAGGGTTTCCTCGCCGAGTTCCTGTGGCAGGGCACCGCCGACCCCACCCCCTGGCTGGCCGCCCCCGCCGCCCTTGCCCTGCTGCGGGCGCTGGGACCCTGCAGGGTGGCGCGACACAACGCGGAGCTGGTGGGGCGGGCGGCGGGGGCGCTGAGGAGGCGGTGGGGCGGGGCGGCGGGCGGGGGGAAGGGGAGGGCAGGCGGGACGGATGCAGTTGTGGGGGAGCAGCAGCAGCGGCGGCTGGGGCTGTTGCAATCGCCTGCAGCAGCGGCAGCAGCTGGTGCGGAAGCGCAACCAGAGACAGCAGGAGGAGCAGCAGCGGAGGCAGCAACGGAGGCGGAGGCGGGAGGAGGAGGAGAGTTGTTGCAGCTAGGGGGTGGCGGAGGAGACTGGGAGGAGGGGGGCGGCGGGGAAGGCAGCAGCAGTGGTGGAGGTGTGGCGGGAATGCTTGCCGTACAGTTGCCGAGGCTCCGAGGTTACGATGGGAGTACGGCAGCCGATGCCGTACGGTTGCAACGGTGGCTGCGGGAGGAGAGAGCCATCGAGGTGAGGGGGGAGGGGCGGGGAGGGGAGGGATGATGCCATATCCTATTCATGTTTTTTTGACGAGGATAGTAGTTTACATGTTTTACCAGTTCGTTGGTTACCCCACTTGCATGCATGCACCCTTGCACACATACCATGTGCGGTTGTGAGCTGATGTATATGCCTGTCTGTGCTACCGCTGCCGCTGCTGCCGTCGCAGGTCCCAGTGATCTCACTGTACGGCAGTTTATGGGTTCGGATCTCCGCCCAGATCTACAACGAGATGTCGGATTACGACAAGCTGGGAGCTGCGATTGACGAGTTGCGGTAGATTGCGTGCGTGTGTGTGTTAAGAAAACTGGCGTGTGTTAAGAAAACTGGCCGCGTGTGTCTGTGTGTGTGTTGCAGTACAGGTCGCGGTCAGGGGCTACAGTTAGCTGTAGTGGGAGTAAGCCGATTAAGCCGCGAAGCACCAAGGAGAGGTCACAATTGCATGGAAGATGTGGAAAACGGTAGGTAGCAGGGCGGTCGGCAGGGGGGGCGGAGGTTACGTGGGGTGTTGGGTTGAGGCTGAAGGGGGCTTTAGGGGAATGCACGTCATGAACATAAGTGCCGAAAGGTGGTTGCACAGCGGTTATGGTCGCTTGTGTTGTTGGGTCGGCGATAGACTGGGACGGTACATAGCTAGGCGTGGGAGAGGCCGAGTGCAGGTGTTGGGAGCTTGACTTCGCTATACGGTATACGGCAGGCTGCCAGTGACACTGTTATAGCAGATCGGTAAGCTGGCTGCTCATGTGACCCATGGGTCTCGCACCCGCCCACCACCACCTTCCCAGGAGCTCCCTCCTTCCCAGCCAAGCACGCCGCACACTTACCCAAAACCCGCCCCACCTAACCCCCCTCCCTTCCCCCACCTACCCCTCCCCCCCACCTCTCCCTCCCTCCCGCGCCCGCCCCACCTACCCCTCCCTCCCTTCCCGCACCCGCCCCTCCCTCCCACCTCTCCCAGTGTCTCATTATATATATTTTTTACCCACCTCTCCCTCCCTCCCGCGCCCGCCCCACCTACCCCTCCCTCCCTTCCCGCACCCGCCCCTCCCTTCCCCCACCTACCCCTCCCTCCCGCGCCCGCCTACCCCTCCCTCCCGCACCCGCACCCACCTCCCTCCCCTACCTACCCCTCCCTTCCCCCACCTACCCCTCCCCTACCTACCCCTCCCTTCCCCCACCAACCCCTCCCCTACCTACCCTTCCCTTCCCCACCTACCTCTCTCCCTGCACCCACCCCACCTACACCCACCCCCTACCCCACTTTCCCACAACCCGCCCCACCTACCTTTCCTACACTTCCACCCAAACCCACCTTTCCCACGCTCCCTCCCCCACCTGCCTCTCCCGCCCTCTTTCCCCTTCCCTACCGTCCCGCGCATTCCCACCCACAGCTACGCCCATGCACTTGTGCCCCCTTACTTTCCTTGCTGCGGGATTTTTGTTTCGCATTGAAGGCGTTAGCGGGTCCGTAGCTGTTTGCGCAAGCTGTTATGAACTGCATTGTCAAGATAGGCTGCCGCTATCACCGTCTAGGTTAGCTGTCGGTGAATGGGTCTTTGCGTTAGCTGTAGCTGTGCTGTGTTGTGCTATGTAGGCTCTAGGAGGAGGGAGACATTGGGCCTGACTGGGGTGGGTCGCTGAGGCGCATGTGGCCGACCCACCCCGTCCGCCCCCAAGCCGTGTGTACATCAGGTGCTGGGCTGCGAGCTAGCTGGGAGCTGCTGGGCGCTGCAGAGGGGTCCGCCTGCCTCTGTGGCATGAGGCGCAACATAGCAGGAAATGCATTCAACCAACACTACGCAAGACCTTTCAATGGAACATTTGATACTCAAACCGGCGCTGCCTCTCTTAAGACCACCCCCTTAACATCATGACACACGATAGGACGCCGGCATGTATCAGTCTGCGTCGTCCGACCGACCATCCCAACAAGGCCGCCGCCCCACAGCTCCCCCTAGACCTCCTCCCCACAACAGCACCGCACCGACTTCTGCCTGCGCTTTGCTTATATCGACCCAGCATCTGCCAGCTACTTTCATGCCTAACAAACAGCGTACTTGCAAAACCCGTGTCGCCGACATGTTATCTAGCAATGGTGCACGCATGGTGACGTCAGAGACATTTTTTAGCATACCAGTATGTGGGAACCCCAACATCCCATCCAGCGTCATGCTACTAGACAACACAATCCCGAAGACGCTACCAACCCCCACACCACTGCTCCACCCCCACACCACTGCTCCACCCCCACACCACTGCTCCACCCCCACACCACTGCTCCACCCCCACACCACTGCTCCACCCCCACACCACTGCTCCACCCCCACACCACTGCTCCACCCCCACACCACTGCTCCACCCCCACACCACTGCTCCACCCCCACACCACTGCTCCACCCCCACACCACTGCTCCACCCCCACACCACTGCTCCCCACCACTGCTCCACCCCACACCACTGCTCCACCCCCACACCACTGCTCCACCCCCACACCACTGCTCCACCCCAAGCCATCCACCGCCAACCAGACAGCGTAGCCAGGCACCACACGGGCGCGCCCAATACCAGTATCGCTACCTACTCGCATGGAATGCATACACGACCGGTCCCCGAATCAGCCCAAACATGCAGAGCGACAACTGCGCCACCAATCAACCTACATGTGACGGCCGTGAAGGATGGCTGATGCGGAGGGCTAGGCGGCGGAGGAGGGGGCTGGGAGGGGCCGGTGGAAACGCGAGGAAGGGTAGAGGTAGCGGAGGCGGCTTTGGCTTGGCGCTCATTGAAGGAAGGTGATATGCCGTCCTGCCATCTGATGTCGCAAGTACGCCACGAAAGCTGTGGCGGATGCGGCGGAGGGCTCAACCCATGGCATGCAAAGGGGGAGGCAGAAAGGGAAAGGGGTGATGGTGAGAAGGTGCCGAATGCAGGACGCTTCAATACAACAAGGACGGCTGCAAGAGGTACAAGCCTCCAAAGACAGTGCCATTGAGGCCAAGCAGCACAAGGCCAACCGCAGCCGCCTAGCGGGGCTAATGCTGGTCACTGCTGGTGAAACTGTTGCAGCGGATGGGGTCGGAGATGGTGTGCGGCAAACAACAGCAACACCACAGCGTACACAAACCACACGACCCCACGAGAATGAGGCAGCCCCCCACCCCCAACTTTGGATATTCTTCTTTAACCCCAACTTACGTGTAACAGCGAATGTCGGGATACCGCTCAGACTGCATACGACAATACGCAAAGGCGGAGGTGGCGCGAAGAAAGGAGGCGGAGATAAAGCTGACAGCGAACGCGGCGACGGGAGGAGGAAGGCGGCGATGGGCGAGGGTAGGGCCGCAAAGGAGAACGAGGAGGCTGGGCGGAAGTGGAGGAGGCGGAGGGAGAGGAGTTGGCGGCGGTCTAGTTGACGGCTTGTTGAACGCAGGAGATGAAGAAGGATTCGTTCCAACCTGTTCCGCAGACACGTTCCGCCCGCCTGGCTGGCCATGCATCTGCAGGGGGCAGGAGGAGGTCGTCACGCAGGTGTAACCCATGCATAAGTGTCCTATCTACTCCTAGGTACGCAGCGCGCGTTTAGGTATGCGCGTGCTCTCATCCTTCCACAAATCCTAGGCGCCGTGACGCGTGTATCAGGAACACGTCAAGCGCTGGCAGGTGGGTTGGGATCCATATCTAGCTGTCAACTCACCCGCGTGGTTTTGCCATATTGGTTGGGTTTAGAATCTGACGTTGCAGTCCCCCGGCTCCCAGGTTCCAAGGCGCATTTCGGGCATGACACCAGTTACCAAGTCACCCGTGTGACGCATCCTTTCGGGGTCCATCATATGGTAAAGCGTCTGCGGCAAAGGGGAGCAGGCAACAAAAGCACAACCGAATCACTATACCTTTGGTTAGTGGAGCTAAAATCAAGTCGTGCAGCATGCTTGAAGACAACGCAGTAATGCCATAGCTAATAAGTGGGGCGAAGGATGTTCATGGACAGGCGCCTGACTCACGCTAGAAAATTGAGATAACTAACATGTTCATTGTACTTGTATGTATTATTGTAGGAGTGACGCATGAAAAAAAGCGACATACCGGTACTCAAGCTAAAACTGCTTACGGTACCTTGTTGCCCAACGCGTCGGAATGGTTCCTTGCGCCAGCTCATACACGGCATCGAGTATATGCAGACCTGCGGAAGGATAACAAAGCCAGTCAGTCAGTGAGTGACAATGTCATGTAGCGGCCTACGCTCGGCAACCCCAGCTTTCAGACTTACAAACGCTCCTGACGTCCTTTTGCCATGTTGACAACAAATACGCTTTTCTTTCAGTTCAACACAGCGTTGGTCATTAACCTGCTGGCCATCGGCAAAAAGTGCAAAACAAACCACAGCCGAATCCTGTACATGTGTCAGTTTGAACTTATATATATATGCACATAGGACGCTTACCTTGGCACAGCTCCGGCTGCACGTCGGACTGTCAAAGGCCTTCACAGCTGGCTTCTGCTGCATGTCAGGGTTGCCTAGAACCTGAACATCTAGCTCAATGGTAGTTGGTTAAAAGTGCTGTGTCATTAATAGGGATAATGTGTTAAACAGAGGCCTCGCAAATAAATACCTCCACGTCATAAGCTCGTACGCCGTACCCACAGTAGCGTTGCGGGCTAAAACCCAGGAAGCCTAATACAAGGTTACACATATGGAGTGATGACCGATGAGTATAAAGGCTGTCCGTATGGACATCTTCATGTAGGCATATAGGACATCCAGCTAGCTCGCTAGGTACCGGTATGCCCGCGGCATCATAGACAAAGGCAGAGTGCATTGCCCCAATGTCTCTGCTACTGTAGTTTTAAGCGTATTTGATGACTACTATGAGTTAGGGAAGTGCCACTGCGGGTGCGAACACAAGGTGACTCCCCATTGGCGCCATCTTAGGCGCGCTTTCCACCAGTTTAGCATAATCAACCGTCGCACCGGGACTCTGCAAACGTCACAACTCTGTGGCCATCCAACACGATGCTACCTCCGTGTGACTCTTTATTCCACACATTAAGCATCTGGCGCCCATGTCCATGATGTCCATGACAACATTCCCAGCAAGAGGACGCACCGTTCAGAAAGCCTGGCAAATTGCTACCACCCGTGCTTAGGAAGGGGCGTCATTGGATTGCAGCATGGCACGCGCGCCGCCGCTGGCAGCAACCAACCCATCCATCTCACATACTTGCGGATACTGATCACCCCGGGTCCCACTACCTGGATGCCGTCGCCGATCGGCCTCCGCGCCAACTGCCCTGCCGCGCTGCTACCCTCCGCCCTCACCACCACACACCGACCTTCTATCTCCACGCCTCCTCGCTGCTCCCCGGGAGGGCCATACGCCGTGCCAGTTCCCCGCCCACACACGCCGCCAGCCGCCGCTGTGCCACTCCTAGCGGCAACTCTGCTGTTGGCTGCTGCTGCCTTCGGGACATGCCGGTATGGGCGACTATGAGCCCGGTACGGGACACGTCCAAGCCATGGTAGGGTGGTGTGCAACGCTGCCCCTGTGCGACTAGTTTCATACACGGTACATGAGCCCAACACCAGCCATAGCAGTTGCCGCACATGCAATCCATGCCGTGCTGGTCTGGCCTTGCTCATGGCATGCTGTACGACTGCATTAGGGGGAATACTATAGCTCGGCCAGCCTACGCGTCATATGCCTGCTGACTAGAATGGCTGCAGGGGAAGGACGTATGGCAGGGGCTGTGGCAAAGCAGGCCTACACCACAAGAACACTAGTGAAGAAGTGATGATACTTTGAGGGAAGCGCGTGCATGCCATACTACCGGGTATGAGCTGCCCTGTAAACAGCAGACGAAGGCTGTACTAGATGCAGGGAATGGAGCTACCGCATGACCGCCGCTACCCCCCCGTTCACCGCCAGCGAAAATGTACGGCCACCCAGGACGGGAATAGCCAGGACAGCACCATTCCTTATCCTACAAACACAATTCATCTCAATATATGTAAAGGGTATGACTGGTGCTTTTCAGCGAGCGAAGCCTTGCAAATTAGTGACACTTTCTGTATCTTGAGACTTAGCGCAATTATTTACAATTTCAGAAAGCCCTTTTTAGCGATAGAAGCGTTGGAGAAAGTATTTAAATAGAAGGCCGTAGTAGATGAAGCCCGGTGAAGGCAATGTCTAGTAGCGACGATTTCTACACACAACTATGATAGCGATGATTTTGACGATCCAGCACACCACGACTTAGCATCCAAGTGGCCCAAGGTATCAGTTGAGGACAGCGATGGCTAGCTCAGCACTAAGCACACTCATCAACAGCCGGGGAAGGTGACCGAGATATCTGATGACGGTACCAAAGTCCACGTACTCTGGCCTCCGAAGCCTGGCGTTGAGGCGCCTGGACAGGACGGCGGTGAACATGCAGCTCGTAAGCGCGTTCTAAGAGGACGGCAAAATCTGCTTGCCCATCTCTGGAGTGATCCCCTTAATGGCGCACAGCGACGGGCCCCCACACCCTTCTCTGGCCACCAGAGCGTGCTCGTCATTCACGGTGACTACACCCACGCGTGCGGTTTGCTCCATGACTACAAGGCGACGTGCAACCCCGAACTGTTGCACGTCAGCCCCAACGGCTCGTTCGGCTTTCCAATTCATGACGTCAACATCAAGGCGGAGTTCATGCACCAGCTATCTGCCTTCGAGGTGGAGCAGCTGCCGCTAAGCGACCTGCAGAAGGGCGTCATGCGGCAGTATGTCGTCGAGGGCGGACAGCCACGTGCTGCAGCTCCAGCCACGCCAGCTGTCCGCGAGTTCGAGATCCCGCGGACGCATCTACTCGCCTTTCTTACTAAGGAGCAGGTGAAGGAGGCACAAAATGCCAGCGTTGCTCAAGCAACGACACACTCGTACGGCAAGGTGCAGCAGCACCTGTGGGTTCAACTCCCACACGAGTGTTTCTTGGTGTTACATCGCATATCGCATATACAATGCACATAATATTATTTACCACACGATCCGTCAGCACTGATTCTGACCTTGGAAATTCGAGGTATGCGGTTGGTGAGGGCTCGAAGCCGGCCCATGGGGCTGTGCAAAGTCACACCTCCCAAAATTGACCTTCGCCGTTGGCGCTGAAACTCAGGATTAATAATAAACATTGTTAAACAGTTATACCCTCCAGAAATTGGCGTCTGATTCTGACCTTGGAAATTCGAGGTATGCGGTTGGCGAGGGCTCGAAGCCGGCCCATGGGGCTGTGCAAAGTCACACCTCCCAAAATCGACCTTCGCCGTTGGCGCTGAAACTCAGGATTAATAATAAACAATGTTAAACAGTTATATATCAAAGCGTACAGGTGGTGGAGTGCCAAAACCCCGCCCTACCCGCCCGAATGCTGGTGCGCATGCCGTGCCGTGCCCTGCCGGAGTACCGGTACTGGCACCTGTGCGTTAGCATAGAGTACAGATCCTACTACCACTGCACTACTACACAACTCCCCGTCGTCACCAGTCGCCCACACAGCAGCCGCGCATCTGTCCGCCGCTGTAGTCAGTACAGTAACGCAGCTCAGTTGCTTAAGGACAAACCCGCGCCGCCGCGCATGTACCCTGCCACCCTACCAGACCACCTGTGCCATGCAGACTAGCAGTCCCGCCGTGCCCAAGTACGGGTGCCAATGCACCAACTTTCCTGCCTTGTTCGAGTTATGGCATTGTCTCCGCTTTGTCCAACTACCGGCGCCTGTATGCTTCCACACGCCCTGCCCAAAGCCCGGCGCGCCCATGCAGTCCCCGAACTGGCCAACAACAAGCGTGCATGCGGGCAGGCCAACGCCCCGTCCTCAAAGCCCGAATGTACAAAGCGTTGCGACACGGCATGCCATAAAAGGGCGGGACAGACCACACTTGACCGCACCATACCCTCATCGGCGGAACCATCTGTCTCCATGTAGCTGCCTCCTCATCTCCAGGCCTCCCAGCTCCCTGCTTGGATCACCGCTACGCAACATATGAAGGCTATCCATTGTGTGCATGCGTGACACACACCCATTCGCATAAACACCCGAGGAGAGGCCGTACCAAAGTACGGGAGGCCCGGGCGTGCAGCCATCGCCCTGTTGAACCCATGCATGCAGGCATCTCTGCCCCGCGAGCTAGCAGCGCCCACATGGACATGCATCCCCGCCCTTCATGGCCATCGGTGCTGAAGTAGAAATCCTCTCGTCCTGACGGAAATTGGCGCCATGCATGCAAGCATCACCACCCTTCCCAACCACCTGCGCCCAAGCATCCCTGTCGTACCCACGCATGCATCGACACCGATACGTCAATGCATACCAACCCGGCAATATCCACCTGGCCCATAAACCGGCACCGTTACATGCATGCGTACCAGCGATGCCCAACTACGAGCGTCCAAGCGGTACACACAATTACCGCGGCCATTTACCACCGCTCCCGATTTATGTACGCATGCATCCCCGCTCTGCTCAAGTACCGACGCCAATGCGCGCCTGACACACCCCCATCCTACGCCAGCTCCTCATCATGATGCAAGACGTCGCCACGGCGAGACGATAGACCAACGCCAGTTCAATTTTCACAACGTAGGCGCTTGCCCTCTTAACCGTTTTATCAATAGCCCAATGGCACCGTCGCCATACGGTAACTTCGTCTCAGCATTCCTCGCGATGTCCATGGCCTAAGGTCTACTGCTTAAATTCTTGCACATGATTCAAGGTTGCTTAAAAGGGCTTTCTGAAATTGTAATTAACTAAGCTAACTCGCAAGATACAGAAAGTGTCCCTAATTTGCAAGGCTTCGCTTGCTTAAAAGCACCAGTCATAACCTTTACATAAACAAAGATGAATTGTGTTTGTAGGATAAGGAACGGTTGTCTCCTGGCTATCCCCGTGCCCGGGTAGTCGTACAATGCCTCTGGCGGTGAACGGAGGGGTGGCAGGCGGTTTGCGGAGCTACCGGTAAATGGATTGCTTTTGCTATAACCAGCTGCCGCGAGCGCCGACACTCACAGGATACAGCGCGGCGCTTTGGCGTTTGGGACGTGGATTAGTGACACGGCGTGTAGCACACGTGTAGGACGGCTACCGGTTCCGCAGAGGGGCGGCGGCCTGGGTGTTATGGCAGCGGCTGGAGTGACTGCTGGGCCTGCGAAACGCGTTTCCGGTAAGCTACCTCCTGTCGCCTCACGATAATATGTCATCGGGTAACGTGGCCAGCATTATGCCATTTGCAAGCCATTGTTGGCTAACAGTAGGAAACTTCCATTAATGCGCACTTTAAGTAATTTCATTTAACATCAACCGAGAGGATGTTCCGGTTAGGGTCTGCGAGATCCTTCTCGGGTGGCTCTGTCTGCAGCTGTCTAGAGCCCCGCTGTACAGGTCAGGCTATTAATTTTATGGGCCGTGTGTCCTTTATAGCATCGTAGTACTATGGCCAGTGGCTTTACTTTGATGCGGTGATTCCACCTATCCTATATACCGGGAAGTAAGATCCATCGAATTTAGAACTGTGCCGTACGACAGTTGGTGGTCCGCTTTCTGCTGCGACAGACGGAGATAGCTGGCATATGAGACATACAAGTCTGTGCATCAATCGTCGCTATCATTACTACTTGCGATTGCTCTCTTCGACCCGGGGTTTGTTTTAATTGAAGGCCATACCAATTCTTTACCAACGTCGACACTTCTGCTCCTGGTGATCCATACACAGCTGCGGTATGGAAGCTACAGAAGTACAGTGCTATGTTAGTCCTTACCGTCAACGACTGCGCATTACGGATGTGCTTCGTGAGCTCAGCGTTTCTGCGTTGGAGGCGTTCGTTAACGCTTTAGATGAACAATGTCGTGATTGGGAGGATATTCGGAATGCTCGCCTGGCTTGTCGCGAGCTTCGCGACGTAATCGACCAAAACGCGCGTGAGATTCGGCTGAAAGTATCGAATCAAGACCGGGAAAGCTGGGAGGCGAGCGCCGATCGGTACATGTCACGGTGGCCCCTATGCAACGCGGTAACCATCACTTTTGTGTGGGGTTCCAGCCAGGCGCTTGCTGGCGACATCACCTCGTTGTGCTTCCGGTGCTTGGACGGTGCGTCGCTGCATACCCAGAGGCGGATTAAACGTCTGGCGCTGCGGCTTCTTGACGCAAAGGGCGAGCACATGGAGAATGTTGTGACTGCGCTGGTGCCAAGGCTGCCAGCACTTGAGGAGCTGGAGCTGCATGAGCTGTACGGTATGTCGTACGATCCAATGGAGCAGCAGGACATGTTCGACAGCCTTGCCTCCCTGCAGCACCTCCAACGGCTTACCCTGCCTGGTGACGTCTTTGACCATCTTGACGGCTTGGCTGGCAGCAGCAGTAGCGGCAACAGCAGCCTGAGGTATCTGCATGTTTATGGCAGCAGGTATTTCTTTGATTCTGCGAGCTTGATGCTGGATCCTAGCAGGACGCTCGCCTCCATCAGCCGGCTAACTTCGCTGCAGGAGCTGCGGTTGACGGGATTCATCATTGCAGACGAGTCAGATGAGGCAGATGAGTTAGAGGAGCATGGCTTCGGTGGTCCAGCACTTGCGCCCGCTGGCCGCTCCTCGCTGCAGCTCTTGCTGCGCGGCCTGCCACCCTCACTGCGGCTCCTGCAGCTCCATCACTGCAGCTGCTTGGCCGCCAGAAGAGTCTCCCTGGACCTTGGCCTGGACGCGGGCGTTGTCCGCGAAGTAGTCGTACTGGGGTGTAGAGACCTCGATTACCTAGCAGCCGTACTTGGGCGCGGGGGGCTGATGTCACTCCTGCTGGAAGGGGACACACAGCAGCAAGAGCCGTCTCAGCAGCAGGAGCAGCAAAGGCGGTTGGGGCGGTTCCGTATCAACAGCTTGGAAGAGGTGCACGATAAGCACCCACTGTCTGATGATGCGATGAGGCCCCTGCAGGCGCTGCGACGCAGTGTTGTAGAACTGGAGGTCGGATTTCTCAGCACAGACGTCTATGTGTCAGCCGAACGTGTCCTGCAGGTTTTGGAGCTACAAGCCGCGCCGCAGTGGTTGGACATCAACATCCCCTTATACGCCGAAAAAGAGGACCTGGATGACAGCCCGGATGTCTTTGCGCTGTCCGTTCGGAATGTACGGCGGGCGAAGGACAACAGCGCACAGCAGCCGCCGCCACAAGTGCCTTTGGGGGAGAGGGGCGAGGAGCCGCTGCATAGGCCGGCGGCAAGTGGGGCAGAGGTTAGCAAGGCTGCTCCTGCCCCCTCCACACTTGCGCCATCACAACCAGCATCATCGCCGCCGCCACTGCCTTCCATGCGCGAGCTGCTTCAGCGCATGCTCGTACGAATGATAGCAGCGGGGGGCACGCAGCTCTCGAGCCCTGCTGTAGCCATTGGAGGAGGGGCAGCAGCGGCTACCGGTTGTGCCCTCCCTGCCGTAACGAGCGCTATTTCGCCAGTGCTGCTGATGAAGGGCCCGTTAATGGCGGTTCTGGCCCAAGACAATGACCTGCTGCAGCAGTGGTTGAAGACGGTGCAAAAGCGGGCATCGGCCCTTATTAACGGTGGTCGTGGCGGCAGCGGAGGAGAAGGACGACGCTGCTTTGTACGGTATCTGGTCATGCCGTTCACCGATGCCGTACTTTTGGAGTGTGTCGAGGGTACGGCGGCAGCGGTGCTACAGGCGGCGACCGCAATCGTGCAAAGTGCAGAAGGACCGGCAGCCTCCATTGCTGCTGCAGCCGCTTCGCTGCAGGTGCTGCCCGTGGTCGTGTGGGACGCTGCACCGGTCGATTGGGAGTGGGACGCATGCCTCAAGTACTTCTTCATGACTACCATGGAACAGGTGGGGTGGGGCGGCGTGCCCCCTGATGAAGAATCCACAATTCCCTTAACGGGCGCGGGCATTAGCGCTTGCGTGTATGGGTCGTCGCTTTCTCGGGTCCCAGACACGACTTCATGCATTTCAATATTTTCAATCGTGTCAGCTTGCACCCTCCACCTGTTTTACCTTGCATGCCTGGTGCCCGTTTGGAGGGTTGGTGCCAGTGGGTGACTGATTCACCGTTCCCCACACCTCGGAAGCTTTTCCCATTAGTTGAAGTACACGGTTATTGACTGGAAACTCAAACCCTCGTAATTCATACCTCTGCCCCTCATCCCCCGTTTACCTGCCGCCAACCCCGGACCACTCTACTCGATGCAGGTGGTGCAGGAGGCGTGGGACGCCGCAGCGGAGGCTGGTGGCCCCGATGTGTTTCGGCGGCAGCTGGAGTGGCTGCTGGAGCTGCGGGATGAGGTGGTGCAGGTTATACCAGCGTCCAGTCCGCTAGCCTAGCTGCTTGGGGGCGGGTGCCTGCCTGGCGGCTTGTAGCGTACATGGTTGCTCGGGATAGCCCAATAAGCGGCTTTGTCAATGCCTTGCTGCATGGCTGCATTAGTTCATTGCTTGGCGATGTATTGGCTGGGCCAGCCTGCTTCATGCATGATTGGCTGCGGAGGGAACGGCCATGTAGGGGGATCTGGGCCCAAGGGGGTATCGCTCGCAGAGATCAAATGACCAGATCGTGTGGGAGTCGTGCTAAGGAGCTCTTGTTGCAGTGACTGGGGATTGGGGTAGCAGGTTGAAGGTAATTAACGGAGTTTGGCGAGGCGCAGGGCTTTGGTAGATGTTAATGTCTGTTCAATATGTGGTTGGGGTCGGTACTAGATGCATGCCCTGGCCTCCAGTGCAGAGATGTGGAGGCGTTGCAGCTAGGACTGTGCTGGCATGCTTGGCCCTCACACGGATGAAGAGGAGGCAGGCCAACACGAGGAGAGCGGCATATGCTTGGTGATCGGAAGCAAAGCAAGTAGGGGAGTGCGTTGCGGCGGATGCGTTCTCAACTTCTCATGGATGTGATCGATGCAGCTCTGCATCTAGGACAGAATGAGTCAGGCAGTTCGAGTCGGCCTCAGCAGACAGGCGATCCAGCAGTCAAGAGGCCACAGACGGGAGGAAGGGCGCCTGCGTAGCTCCTACCTCACTGCCCTTGGACGAGGCCACCCAGCGCCACCGCCGGGTTGGAGAAGGCGAACGGGGCAGGCGGTGGGGCATTCAGATGTTTAGATTAGGTGTTTAAGAAGAGAGAGGAGTGGCAGGGCGATTAATAAAGAGCCTGAAAGATGTTGGTTGGATTACAGCAGCTAGCTGACAGTTGGTATGCGAGTGGTATACGGTTCGTACTTCACATCCTGGAGTTGCTTCGGACTTCCTTTCGTGTGTACAACCCGCAGTTGCACGCCGACACTGCTGTTAAGACATGTCCGCACGGACCTCCTGCTGGATCCGTACGGGAGCGAGTGCCCTCCACTCCTCAACCCGCTCAATCCGACCGCCTTGGGATAAGCCCCCATATCGAGTAACCAGTAACAATGCATTCCGCCGTAATCCTTCCCTGCAGATTGCACTGGGAAAATCCCTACCAAGCACAAGCATAATTTCATACGGCGCCATGCAACAGTTTACCCCAGCATTATAGAATGCCGCACTTGCAGAATCTGTGTGCACGTCTACCAGGTTACCTTATGCCGCAAACAACGACCAGGACCCCTCATAAGATCCTCCACCACTTCTCAGCCACTATGTAACACCTATGTACAGCCATTGTGTATGAACGTCATCTCCTTGTGCCTTGAGCAGCATTTCGCTCGCAGGAACGCTCCCTCCATAGCGACGCAGGCACGCCTGGTGTGAGGCCCCCACATGAAATGTAAGCGCTAACATATTATGAACGCAATATCACATCCAGGGCTGCATTCGTTCAGAAATGCCTATGCCTTAAGCCTCAGCCGGCCCTTCTACATTTACAAAACTATGATAGCAGTAACCCCAGGTTAACAGCCTTGATCACGCCCCCCTCACCCGTGCTGCCACCACCGTTACCGCCGCCACTACCTCCCACCCAGCCGTTCGTGCCTGCCACACCGCGCGTAGTAGTCCCATTGGGCCCGAACGATTGCACCTGTACTTGGTGAGGCTGCGAGGAGTGCGCTTGATGCTGCTGGGGCTGCTGGTAATGCTGTTGAGCTGCCATGGATTGCTGTTGCTGTACGGCAAACTGTTGGTTGTTGTCGTACATGGGTTGTTGATGCGGTGGTTGCTGTTGCTGTTGGTAATGTTGCTGCTGTTGGCCTTGGTAGCCGAGATGCGAGGGAATGACCCCCGCGGCAGTTGCGGCGGCGACCATAGCCTCACCATCTCGACTGCCGATGCTGCGGGTTCGCATGACCGTGCTTTGGTAGTGCGGCAGAGGGCCGCTGGGCGGCGGCCCCGTTGCGTACGGCAACGCGTTGTGCTGCTGCTGTTGTTGGTTTGTCGTACCATGACCGCCGTAACCACCGCCACTGCTGGCGCCGCCGCCGCCAGCGCCCCCGTCTTGCCCCGGGCCGTAGGAGGCCATACCCGCCATGCCATGACCCATGGGTCCGGATTGTGACCTGTCAAACGAGTACAAACTCACTCCAGATGCCGCAGAGCCGCCGCCGCTGCTTCCACCTCCTTGGTACTGCATCGTGTGGCCGCCGTTGTACGGCATCCCCGCTGCCACCGCCGTTGGGGCGGGATGTTGCTGCTGCTGCTGAGACTGTTGCGGAGCCCCCCATGCAAGCATGGGCCCGCCTTGCTGTGCATAGTGCTGCTGCTGCTGCTGAGGCGGCATCTGCGGGTGGCCCTGCATGAACCCAGGGAAAGCCCCTGCAGGAGGGACACCAGCAGCTGGTGCAGCGGAGGAAGAGACGTACTGTGGAACGTACGCCACCTGACCGTTGGGAAGTACGGCGGGCACGTACGCCACCTGCTGTCCCCCTGCAGCCACCTGCGCTGGTGGCAATTGCGGAGGCATGCCGTACATGGGCATGGCTCCGCCGCCAACTCCGCCGGGGGGCATGGCAGCGTACGGCATGGGCATGGCCCCAGCGGGCATCATACCCTGATGCGCGCCTGGCGGTGGCATCATGTACATCTGCTGTTGTTGTTGCTGCTGCTGTTGTTGTTGTTGCAGGAACTGCTGTTGCTGCTGTGTCGCAGCGTTGACGGCGGAGGGTGCTGAGGGTGCGCTGGCGGGTGCTCTGACTGCAGGACCGGGCGGCCGTGGTGGCATGCCGACTGGCTGTCCCGCCATTGCCCTCGCCGCAGCTGTTGGAACTTGTCCGCCTCCGCCGCCAGCGTACCCTGCGTATTGCTGCTGCTGCTGTAGCGGCGGCGCCTGTGTCGTCTGCGTCACGCCCTGCTGTTGAAGCGCCGAGGAGAGCTCAGCAGCACCCTGAGATCCCAAGGTAGGCGCAGACGCAGGCTTGGGCGGCGCAGCCGCGCTCGTCGCACCCGCCACGCGTGACGGCGGCGGCGGCGGGCCTTGTACGGCACTGAGCTGCTGCTGCCGCTGGTCGCGAATGGCTTTGGCCTTGTTGGGAGTGGGCGTGCGCGACTTGGCGAGTGTGGCGGGCGGCCCTCGGCGCTCCTCGCGCTGAGGTGTGGCGTCGCGCTTGCCCCCGGCAGCAGCGGCTGAGGCTGCGGAGGATGGTGCGTTGGGGGCCGGCGCGGCGGTTGTCGCTCCAGAGAACGGTACGCCCATCATGCAGGCTCGATCTGCGCATGCGAGAAGGGGTATTTGTTGAGTACGGGCACTTGCCGAGCCCCGAAAGCCAACACCATGAGGGGAAATGCCAAAGGCATCGCGCCCCGTACCCCAACCTCTGCGTCACCCGCTGCACCAGCTCCGTTCCAAAGGCCCCTGATTGACTCCCCCACCCACCTTCCATCTTCCTCCTGAGCGCCCCTAGCCGCACGTCCAGCTTCTCCAGACTCTCTCGCAGCTGATCCTGCTGGAACGAGTTGCTCAGCGCGCCGCCCTTGCCGCCGCCACCACCGCCGGCAGCAGCAGCAGCAGCAGCGGTGCTAGCGCCCGCAGCCCCGGCGCGGGTCTTGCTGCTGCCGGCAGCAGCGGCCTTGGCGCCTGGCGCTGCGGTGGTGCCGTTGGTGGGTGCGGTTGGCGGCTGGGTGATGATGCCGGCGGCCATGAGACCCTGCGCATGGACGTTATGGAGGTTATGAAAGGCGGCAGGGCAATCCAGGACAAGCGCATCCGTATAGTCAACAAGCTACGGAGGGTCAAATAGCAAAACCCACACTCCACAGCCGGCTATCGACCTATTGTGCCTCGTGGATCCCTTACCCAACAAACTACCGTATACATCCAACAACCCCTACCCTGCGCAGTATATCCGCGTCCAGCCTCTGCAACGACGCCAGCAGCTGGTCCTCCTCATCCGACATCCGCCGAGGGGCCCCCAGCTGCTGCTGCTGCTGCTGCAGCTGACCGGCGCCAACGCGACCCCCTCCTCCCGACTGGCGGCCCCCAGCAGCAGCAGCCCGCGACTGCTCCAACGGCGCTGAACCAGGCAGTCCCATCAGCTCACGGATGGCCGCCGTGAAGGGCGTCGACGGCTTGCCGCCGCCGCCCCCGCCACGGGCGCCGGCGGCGGCGGCGGCGGGGGCCCTGCCTCCGCCGGTAGGTACCGCATGGCTAGCTACGGTGCTTGCCGTGCTAGCTCCCCCGCCCATGGGTGTGGCGGAGCCCGAATTGGGGATGCGCAGCGGCTTGGGCCGCGCCTCCGCCAGACGCTCACGGTATGCCGTACTGGCGGCGGCAGCGGCTGGCGGCGGTGAGGCGAAAGCTTCCCGCCGCGGCGGCGGTGGCGGCGATGGCGAGTCGGTGGTCTCGGTTGTTTCTGAGACAATGGACGCACGTTCGAGGAAGTCCAAATCGCTATCGAAGGAGTCCTCTCGGGCTGGAGGGACGCCGCCCCCGCCGTTGGCGGCAGCGGCCGCGCCAGCAGCAGGGGCGTCTCTGAACAACGGAGGCGCCGGAATACGCGAGCGGGTGGGAGTACCCGCCCCTTGCCGCTGCTGCTGCTGCGACGGCGGCGGCGGCTGCACCAATGCAGCCTCGGACGGGCCGGCGCTCAGGTCTCCACGCCCCGTCGACGCGGCCCGGCCAGACGGCCGTACAGGTGACGGCGAAGGCTGCCGTACGTAGGAGCCAATGGTGGACGGCGCTTTCGGCCCCAGCGGCCCGGCCCCAGCACCCGACGGCGACGCTACCCCTGGTGACGCCGCTGTCGTTGCCGTACGGTCCGCGGCCCTGCTCTTGTTGAGGGCTGCAGCCTTGGCGGCTGCGGCCTCCGCTTTGAGGGCCTCCCGGGCTGCACGTTCCTGTTCGGCACGCTCCCTCGCCTGGGCAGCTGCCTGGACGTAACTCCCCTCGTTGATCAGCGGCCGCTCCGGGGGTGCAGCTGCCCCGCCACCGACGGCGCGATTGCCTGTTGCCGCGTTGGCGTTGATGGTGGCAATGGGCTGAGGAGCCCTCCCTCGACTGGCGCTCCGAGTGTCCGAGCCGCCAAAGCTGTCTGCTGTGGAGGTTGTGAAGAAGGGCAACAGGTACGCATGATACACGTCTGTCATTGGACCATCTTTGCACACTTGATCAGTTGGGTTCGCTTTCATGTGCATGCAGACTTGCAGATGCAGTATTGTTTGCACAGACTTGCAGAAGCAGTATTGTTTGCGCCTAGAGGCACAACTCCAGCACCGCAACAGACAACACCGGAACGCTCTACCTGAGGGCTGCATCGCGTAGCCACCTGCGGACGGGGGAGCTGGCCGGTGGGCGGTCCTGGTGGGTGTTGAAGCGCCTCGCGACCCGGCAGTACCCTGGCTGCTGCGGCTGCCCAGGCGTTGAGGTGATGAATTGCACGGCGCGGGCGCTGCGCCTCCGCCTCCACCGCCGGCAGCCACGGGTATCGTCCACTGCAGGGCTGCAGGTGCTGCCACCGGCTGTGACTGCGGCTGCGGTTGCGGTAATGGCTGGGGTGCAGCCGTCGCCGCTACGGGGAGAACCGGCTGCGACATGGGCAGTGGCGGCGGTGACAGCACGGCAGCGAGCGGAATGCTGTCCATGGCGGCGCCTGCAGGCGGAGCAAAGGCGAATGAGCCGACCTGGGGCTCCTCCACAGCAGCGGAGGCGGAGGCGGAATCCACGCCCCAGGCGGCGCCTGCTGGCAGCACCGCTTGGGCCCCACCAAACGAAGCCGTGGGAGCAGCAGCGGCCTGGATGGAGGGAGTCAAGGTGGCTAGCGGAGCCGGTTGGTCCATGCTAATGGCTTGGGGCGGGTGCAAACTGGTTGGGGGCGCCTGGTGCCGCTGCTGCTGTTGCTGCTGGGGGACTCTGGCATATGGTTGTTGCTGCTGCTGCTGCCGGTATTCTTGCTGCGGCAGCTGCGGTGTGGGCAGCTGCGCGGCTGTGACGGGTAGTGCCTGCTGCGTGTGTAGCTGCTGCGGCTGCGGCGGACCTTGGGACACATGGTGTTGTTGCTGCTGCTGCTGCGGGTACTCCGGCTGCTGAGATTCAGCCAGCTGCTGCTGCTGCCGTACAGCTGTAGCCCCGTACGGAACAGACGCTGCTCCCGGTGCAGTAGGGACCCCCGCTCCGGCTCGGCTCGGAACACTCCATTGCAGCAGCGGTGCCGCAGGTTCCTGCACCGGCGCTGGCGCCGGCGTTGGTGCCACCTGGGGCGCCACTACTTGCTGCTGGTGCTGGTGCTGCTGTACCATACCAGGATAAGAAGAAGGCTGCTGCTGCTGCACTGCGTGTTCCAGTGGCTGCTGCTGCTGCTGCGGTGGCGGCTGCAGCTGCGTGCCAGCAGTGTCCTCAACCTCATCAGCAGCCGCTGCGGGCTCCGAAACCGGCACGAAGTTTGCGGAAAGGGTTCCCAAGGCCGCAACCGCCTCCCCGCGCCCCATACCTTCAAACTCCGCCTTGAGTGCTTTACGCAGCGCCGAAAGCGCCTGGATCTCTCGCATCAAGTCGTCCAGATCGGGCTCAGCAGCAATTGGGGGAGCAGCGGCGGCGGCAGCAGCAGCAGTAGGAACTGGAGCAGCACCCGGAGCCTCTACAGCGGCGTACGGCAGCGGTGGAGGTACGGCAGCGGCCACAACAGGCGGCCCGCCGTACATGACAGAACTGCTGTTGGCGCTCGGAGCTAAAGCTGCTGCTTTACCTGCTGGCATTGGCTCGATCCGCTCGCTGACCACGGGCTCCTCTACAAACGGTTGACCAGCGTCGCCTTCGCTGCCTTCGCCAGCGTAAGCCCTGCCGCCGCTTCCACCCCCTAATGTGCCAGCTGGCGGCTGCAACACCTCGAACGCATGTGTCGCCCCGACATGGCTTCTAACATGCCGCTGCGGCGCATGCGCTTGTCGTCCTTGCCCCTGGCTCTGCACCCTCCGGGGCTGCTCCTCCTGCCCCTGCCACGCAGCCACCGGCGCCGCCAGCGGCTGCTGCCCCTGCTGCTGCTCTTGAAGCCCCAGGTCCTGCCTCCGCTGCAGCAGCTGCTGTTGCTGCTGTACCCGCGGCGCCTCATCCTGCTCCACAGGCGGCGAAACCAAAGCGGCATCCGCCGCCGCATTCGCCGCCGTGGCTGGCCTCGACGTGCCCGCGGATCGCACCCTAAAGTCAAAGCTCGACACCGAGTCGTCCAGCAGTGAGGCTTGGTATCCCGAGCCCCAGGCTGCAGCCCCCTGTGCCGAGCTCGGCCGCAGCGACGCAGACACGGACCCCGAGCCCGACCCCGGGCGCGCCGAGATGTGGCTACCTGACAGCACACTGCCCTCCGGGGTACTCGGCGGCCGTCCGAGTGAGGAAGCCAGGCCGCATGACCCCGGCCGCCGCAGCACGGAGAGGCCGCTGCTGCTGCCGCGGACAGCCTCGCCCGCAGCCTGCACGTCGATCTCCACCTCGTCTGCATGCGCGGCATGTGCTGCAGGACCAACCACACCAGTCTGCTCCTCTTCCTCATCAACAACGTAGTCATCCATGGGTGCAGTTACTGCATACATGGCTTGCTGGGCGTAGGAGCTGTGCACGCTACCGGCACCGCTGCTGCCGGCTGCCGGACCGGGCCGCTGCTGTGGCGGGAGGGCTGCTGCAGGAGGTGGGAGATCCTCCTCACTGGGCTCCTCGGCAACGACGGGAGGCTCATGCAAGTTGTCGTACGCTGCCGTACTGCGAGCTGTGGGCGTTGACGACAGTCCAGCTGCGGCAGACGTCGTCGTTGGAACTGCCATGGCTACAGGGAAGGCATGCGGAGGAGGCGGGGGAGGCCCCGCAAGGCAACTGGGGGAAGCAGGTGTGGCAGCCACCACGCCAGGCACACGAGGGGACGATGGGCTGGCGGCCGGCGGCGCCGCTTGCGAGAGTGCCATCGGCGCCTGCGCAGTGGGCTTGGGAGCCAGGACCTGCCCTTGAGGAGCTACGGATATCGGTTCAGCAACACTCTGAAGCGGCTGAGGCAGCTGCTGTTCGTTTGTGTAGGCAGGTTGTGATGGTGGTTGCTGGCTTCGTGTGGCAGTGTCCGCCGCCGCTGCAGGCTTAGCAACAATAGCGGCAGCAGCAGCGCTCCCTGGAGCCGGTCCCTGGAGGTCCACAGCATCCGCAGAGAGCGGCCGCGGCGGCGGGTGCGCTTGTTCGCTGGCGCCGCCCCCGCTGACGGCCGCTGAGATGGCTGCTAGGGTACCGGAGCCAGACGACGTGGACGCGGTGGAGGCTGAGTGGCGGCGGAGGCGGTGCGGCGTGGAGGAGGTGCGAGGCGGCGACGCTGGCGGCGAGGGAGCCCGCATGGGCGGCTGCTGCGGTTGCGCATGTGGCGGTTGCTGCTGTTGCTGCGGGGGCTGCGGTCGGGACGCAGATGACGACGCAGCAACAGGCGCTGTGGTTGCGGACGCAGGTGCTGATGCCGTACAAGGCTGCATGGGAGCGGATTCAGAAGTGGAGGCCGCATGGGGTGTCGGCAGGGTGGAGGCTGCATGGTGGCCGCTGGGTAGGGGCGGCAGGCCAGCAGAGGAGGGCGGTCGAGGAGGTGCCATGGGCGGAAACACCAGCGGCTGCTGCGGCTGCTGGGCAGGGGAGGGCAGGGACTGCGAGGCAAGGAGATCCGCGGAGCTTGCGAGAGACTTGCCGTACGGTTGCCGCAGCGAGCTTACGCTGTCACGTGGGGCTGTGTTGGCAGGTGCATGCGGGGTGGATGAGCTGCTAGTGCCGGCGGGCTGCGGCGGACCTGCTACGACAGAGGGATGCGCGAGGCCGGTAGTGCTGGAGTCAGCAGGTATCGGTATGGGTGGCGGCTCCTGTGCAGCAGCTACCGAGCGTGGCTCAGCCGCAGTAATGCCCCGAGTTGTGCCGGTTGGAAAGCTGGACTGCTCCTGGCACACGCCCGGATGTTCCTTTTGGGAGTGTAGGGGTTGCGACAAGAGGGTCATGGCGTCCGGAGACACCGCCGCCTCCATAGCTCCGCCGCAGATCGTCGGACCGGGCGGCGAAGAGAAGCGAACCAGGTCAATGCTTTGGTCGACAAGGGGTGAGTACGACTCCGCTGTCCGCTGCGGTGTCCATGTAGCATGCTCATGCAGCCTTTCATGCAGATGTGGTTGCGGTGCCTGCAACAGTGACGCTCCCTCTGCGGCGCTTTGCATGCTGGGCTGTGCACCACCCGTACCCTCATTGCCGCCTTGCCCGGATACCTGCAACGGCGGGGACTGCTGCAGCATTACCGACTCCCGCTGCCACATCTCTGGCCCGCAGCTATCGCCAACGCCAATGCTGTGACGCAAGGTTTCCGGCGAGGGACACTGCGTCGGCAACGGCGGCGTCTGCACGCCCACTGGGGCCGCACCATAACCGCCCATTGCACCCTCCTTCATGCCCAATGCTGCTTCCATCACTGGCTTAGCGTCTGCGTTGGAAACCGCCCATGGCGGCAGGGCTAGGCCATCCTGTGGGTCAGCCAGGTGTTGCAGCTGCTTCGGCGGTTGCGACGGGACGCCCCAACCCCGCCGGGCATGGCGCTGGTCCTGCCCTGCGACCTGCTGCTGCGGCTGCTGCTGTGGCAGCATCGGCCCCTCGCCACGCTGCTGCTGCACCGCCTTGTGATGCTGCGGCTCTGGATACGGCGCCCGTTGCTCCCACTGTTGCTGCTGCTGGTGATGCTGCTGTGGCTGACCCGTGGGTCGCGGAGATGACAGCCTGAAGCCATCCTCCCGCTGAAGCGCTGCCAATGTGCCGCCCTCCATGAGGCTCGCCTCCAAGGGGTCCGCAGGGATCGCCAGCCGTTGCCCCGCGGAGTGCCTTTGCTGCTGCTGCTGTTGTTGCTGCTGCGGCGGCGGCTGCGGGTGATCCGGCCACTGCTGTTGCTGCGCGCCCTGATCGGGCCACTGCTGCTGAGACGGCGAGTCGTATGGGCCAGGCAGCGGCAATCGCTGGCCAGGGCTGCGTGGCGACCTAGGGCCGCCCATCTGATCTGGTGCAGCAGCCGCAGCTGCAGCAGCCGCTGAGGGATTAGCGTCCAAGTCCAGAGACGCGTGGTCCAGAGGAGCCGCTCGGTGCCGCGCCGCCGCCGTCACGCCGCGACGTAGGCCGCCGGAGCTGGCGACGCTGTTGCCTGCACCACCGCCACCGCCACTCATGCCACTTTCCCCTACTTCTCCGCCACCGCCGACGTAGCCCTTAGCAGGACCATTGCTAACCGCTTCATTCCCAGGCGCGCCATATCCCCCATCCGTCCAGCTGCTCCTCCCGGGCACCATGGCGTCCTCCGACCGCGGAGGGTACAGCACAGCCGCGGGTTCTTCGGCATCACCGCCGTCAGCAGCGCCCTCTCCTTGGCGTTGTGGCCAGCCGGCGGCCATGGCAGGGGCTGCTGGGGCGGATGCCTCGCTGCTGAGCCCGGGACTGAGGCTGGAAGCGGCCATGTTGCCATGCTGCCCAGCAGGGTCCGCTGCCGTACCTCCCCCCTGACGGGGGCTCGCCCCTGGCGGCGGTAGCGGAGGGGGTGAGGACGCCGCCGCCGGTAAGGGCAGCGGCGGGTACTGCTGCGTGGGGACGAGCGCTACTTGGACCGTCTCCTGCGGCGGGGCTGCGGCGGCGATGCGGGGAGGGATCGGGGTTGGCTGGTGAAGGGGTGAACATGTCAACCGTGCGTCCTACAAGGCACCAGGAACTCCATGTAGGTCATGCAAAAGCTCACAAAGAGTTCAGTCGGGCCACTGCCGAGTACCGCCTGTAACAAGGCGCTGCACCCCCCCCTCCCGTCCGCCGTACCCACCTGGAGTCCCACGGAATGGCCCCCTGTACGGTGAGCGGTGCCGTGTGGCACGTGACTGGGGCTCCTGCTCCGCCTGCCAGCACACCGGCAGCAACGAGGCGAAAGGAACACCAGGCATGAGGCGAAGCATGTCGCAAGCAACAGCCAAAGAGAAAAGGTCAAATACCTCGTCGGGTACCGGTAGCGTATGGCTTTAGCCAGCCTGCTTGCATGAATGCATGGTAAGCCAGCACATGCCCAGGCACATGCCCAGGCAGGAGCAGCAGCACCACCCTCCTCATCACACCCACCTGCAGCTCCTGCTGCCGCAGCAGCTCATCGAACCCCGCCTCCGCCGCCATCCGCAGCTCCTCCCACGTCAGCGGAACCACGGGTCCGCCCCCGCCCCCGCCTCCAGCTGCCTGCCCTCCCCCGCCGCCACCACCCCCACCAGCAGCCGCGCCGCCAGCACCCGTCTGCAAGGGCTGAACCAAGCGTGTAACAAACCAATAGCAGCGAGCTTCCCCTTTCTGTACCGACACCCTTCAACCAGGACCTCCTCCTCGCACATACCCTCCTTGGCTCCTACAGACCCACCTTCCCCCCCCCCACCACCACATGACTACCTTGGCTGCCTGGCGCTGCTGGCGAATGAAGTCTTGCAGCCCCTGCCGCCACTCCTTGCGCTTCTCCTCCGCCTGGGACTGCCGCACGGGGTCCACAGCGGGGCTGGCAGGCTGCAGGAGTGGGAGGAAGCGGGCAGAGGAGGGCAACCGGAGTTTGAAACGGCACGCTGAGGATTGCAATGCACAGGGTCAATGAGGGGCGACCACCGTGTTAAGGAAACAGGCCGCGAGTCGGACGGCCTTGCAATTGCAGGAAGATGAAGTCCCCGCAGAAAAGCCACAAGTGAAGTAGGGTCCGTGTGTGCACCCCTCCGCAGCTGCTGCACGGTGGCGGCCCCCATGCCATGTTGCGTTTAGGACACGGAGCGGTTGTGTGATCATCTGATCAGCCCGGCATGTGGCGCACCTGCATGGGCTTCTGCTTGGCTCCTTTACGCAGGATGGGCTTCTTAGGCGCGGGCGGCTGCTGCCAGGGCTTCCGCATGCGCTCATCCTGCTCCAGCCGCTCCAGACGGCGCCGCTCCAGAGCCTCCTTGGCCTGAGATGTGGAAGCGAGGGAGGAAAGGGAGGGAAGGAAGAGCGCTCAGGTGGCAGGGTGTGAAAGCCTTTACAGGTGCATAGCAAGAAGCAGCAGGCGCAAACATGCCTAGTGGTCCTGAGAGGCAGGTGCGGTCGCACGTAGGCTAAGGATAAGCCTTGTGTGAGGATATTCAATTGAAAGGGGTTGCTGGCCCACATCTTGTCGTGCTAGAACCGTATGTACCTGCTGTTCCTCATCCTGTTTCCGCCGCTTCTCCTCTTCCTCCTTTTTCCTGTAGTAATTCGGGCGAATAGTTAGTCATTTGCCCCCCGTTGCAGGGTCCCGGTTGCAAATGGTTAGCGCGTCCGTCCCGCTACCCGCAGGTTCACGACTCAATGCTCACTTTCGACGCCGCTCATTTTCTTCTCGAAGCTTTTGGAATTTTTCGTCAGGCGCGCCGGCTGCCATCGGATCGTCAAGAACTCCTCTCTACCCAACGCTCACAATGGCTTGGCCAGGCAAAGCCCACAGGTCAAGATGCTATGCAACGTAGAATAAGGGTTCTTCCAAACATCTTGAGGGGGTTCATTATACAGCCGAGGCTTTTGTGCGGGACGCGGATAGTCAACGAGCTTCCAAAAGAAGGGATTCAACATAGAAGTGCACCTGATGTGCCCTCAGGTTACCAGTACGCGAGTTCATTACCTATGTTTGCAAGGTATGGCGTTCTTGCCTTCACCCGGATTCGCTATTGCCGTACCGTAGACCAAGGATTTCCTTCCAAGCTTCTACAAGATCGCTCCTTTTCGGACCTTCACCAAGCACTTTGTTTCCGCATCAGCAAAATGCAGGTCGTCAGCAGCCGCTCAGCCCAGCTGCGTGCCCCAGGCACTTGCAGGCGCGTCTCTCGCGCTCGTGTCGCGGTCGTCAAAGCTGCCAAGACCGCGGATGGCCCGCGTGTTGCTATCGTGGGCATCACTGGCGCTGTTGGCCAGGAGTTCCTGACGGTAAGTACCCCTGCCAACTGCTCACCACCTACGATTTCTCTTGACTCGAAGCTGTCTTTGTAACCAAAACCACAGGTGCTGAAGGAGCGCAACTTTCCTTACAGCGATATGAAGATGCTGGCGTCCGCCAGGTGGGCTTATCCCGGCGTTTTGGAGGTGACGGCGGCGTGCTATAGTGTCGACGTCCTAGCGTTGAGTTGCATCTTGGCGCTCTCTCTTCCCACAGGTCTGCAGGTCAGAAGCAGGAGTTTGAGGGCCATACGTACACGGTTGAGGAGCTGACGGAGAACAGGTGGGCATTGACATGGCGCTCGTCAACAATAACGCTGTAGTTAATAATGACATCGTTCTTTACTGCTGTCGCGTCTATATGGCGCTCGAACTTGGCTCATACTAGAAACGCCAGCTCCGTGAAGTGTTGCAGCAGTCCAATATGCTGATACCTTCCATTACACTAAAACGGTGCATACGCCGTATTTAAGTTGGCAGTATTATCGCTATAAACTTGGTGGGTGGTGCCTGGTTTAACCACTGCAGCTTCAAGGACGTGGATATCGCCCTCTTCAGCGCTGGTGGCTCCATCAGCAAGAAGTTCGGACCCATTGCTGTTAAGGATGGCGCCATCGTAAGTGGTTTGGAATAAGAGGGGCACGAGCTCAGGCGGCGTATGCTCAGCTTTGCCAGACATGGATAGGGACGGGTGTCCACAGGGTGTTGTGTGGCAGTTGTTGTGCTCGCATGCCACAAGTTCCACTGCCTCCATGACAACGCCTTCCATTGTGTACCACATGGCAGGTCGTGGATAACAGCTCGGCTTTCCGCATGACGGAGGGCGTGCCCCTGGTCATCCCTGAGGTCAACCCTGAGGTGAGCGATTGCCCCACATTCTCTGGCAGCGGCTTGGCGTGCTGGTCATGCAGGCAGTTGGTGGGAGCGTAGAGGCGCAAGCGGCGGCAGCAGTAGCGGCAGCTGGACTGGCACCAGCGCAGTAAGATGCGCACTAAGCAGCAGAACGCAGCTGGGAGCAGAAGCGCAATCTCACATGTAAACACAGCTCGCACGGCAGCTTGCAGGGCAGCAAGCAGCAGCGACAGCTGAGTGGCCTTCTGGCGCCTGGCTGGCTTGGAGGGCTGGCGCGTCAGCTATGGAGCGCGTTTGAGCAGAGCGACTGGAGCACGTGCTATTGCGGGCGTCATCGCTCATGCACCCATCGCAACTGCCGTACATCTCCTTCCCACACATGACAGCTTCGCCGCGGAAAGCAGCCTATCGCTGTTGCTTACAGCTTGTGCTGGCGACCACGCCGCTACTCGGCGCTGTTTTGCAAGGACTCCTGCCTCCTACTCCTATCTCGCCTCAAACCCCCCAGCTCTCAAACTCACTCACCACACCGCCCGCGCTGCTGTCCCCCACTCCCACCTCCCAGGCCATGTCCCACATCAAGGTCGGCAAGGGCGGCGCCATCATCGCCAACCCCAACTGCTCCACCATCATTGCGCTGATGGCCGTGACGCCGCTGCACCGCCTGGCCACCGTCAAGCGCATGTGCGTGTCCACCTACCAGGCCGCCTCCGGAGCCGGCGCCGCCGCCATGGAGGAGCTGCGCCAGCAGACTCGCGACGTGCTGGACGGCAAGCCCGCCCAGCCTAAGATCTTCCCTCTACAGGTACGCGGGGTGTGGTTGGTCGGGTTGGGGGTGCCGTTGGGGCGGTGACCGGCTGACGGTGGTGGGCTGTGAAGTCGTGGATGGCCCAAGGAACTTGCAATGCTTACAGGACAAGGGTGACATGAACTGTGAGTGGAGGCAGATTCACGCGCATCCATGCGTAGCTGCGTTGCCCTCGTAACTAAACCCTCTCAACCTCCTATACCTGCTGCAGTACGCCTTCAACCTGTTCAGCCACAACAGCGGCATGGACGTGGAGCTGGGCTACAACGAGGAGGAGATGAAGCTGGTGAAGGAGACACGCAAGATCTGGAGCTACCCCGCCGTGCGCATCACCGGCACCTGCGTGCGTGTGCCCGTCATGCGCGCCCACGCTGAGACCATCAACCTGGAGGTGAGGGGCTGGCGGGTCCCGGGTGCTTCTAAATGTCCGGTGTCGATTAGGCGGGGCAGTGCTTGTGAAGGAAAAAGAAATTGGGCAACTGCAGATGCGGGAACCCTTGGACTGCCCATGGTGCTGTAGACAGCTCCTCCTGATGCTGTGCGCCTCTTGACACCTACCCGCCACTCTTCCGACCCACAGTTCGAGAAGGACATTTCCGAGGCCCAAGCGCTGGAGGCCCTGGCTGCCTTCCCCGGTGTGTCCATCATCAACGACCGCAAGAACAACCGGTGAGCAGCTGAGCACTAGCTTGGGGGGCCGGAAATGGGAAGAAGCCTGTCAGCCCTCTTCGCCCGCAGGAATGCCCGTGGGGTTACATGCCTGTTGCCGGTTTTAGGCCGCCTAACTGCCTATACTTTCCTCCGATTACCGATCACTAACCCTCCATCCTTACCCAACTGTTCCTCCACTCGCCTCCGCCACATCGCAGCTTCCCCACGCCGCTGGACGCCACCACCAAGGACGATGTGTTCGTGGGCCGCATCCGCCGCGACATCTCGCGCGACGACAACAAGGGCCTGGACCTGTTTGTGTGCGGTGACCAGATCAAGAAGGGCGCCGCGCTCAACGCCGTCCAGATTGCCGAGCTGCTGCTCTAAGTAACTGCTGCTGCTGCTGAAAGCAAGAGCGATGTAAGCGGCGTGTTGTGGATCAGGCGCGCCTGCTGTTGTGGTGGGTTGTGGAGGTGGTTGGGTAAAGCGGTGGATGAGAATGGAGCCAGGTGGAGCTGAGCAAAAGGGCTCGGCGGAGGGTTGTGCTGGCGCGTGCCGTACATCAGCCCTAAAGCAGCGCGCAGCTGCCTGGGCTGAAGAGGGTCTTTCGGCAGCGCTTTGGTGGTTGTACGATGGAGCTCTTGACTGCAGGGACGGACTGTCTGTTCGATACCTCCTCGAACCAACGCATTAGCATGGGCCGCAAGCCACGCACGTGCGGCAATGCTGGCGTAATTTTTCGCGTTGTTGTACGCCTGCTGGCTTATATTTCGGCCCTTTGCTACTGGGAACAATGGAACGCAGCGAACTGTGGACATGACACGTGCGTGCGCGCTCCAGTCCCTTGCATGGCGAGCGGTGTATAAAGTGGGTTTTCGGTAACATGGTGTGTAGCATATGTACGTTTTCGGACCGGGTGTGGCTTTGGGACTTCGCAATGTCCTGCTTGCGCGTTGTGTGCTTGAATGTCGTCATGGTCCAGCGCCTTAGCGGTTTCAGCGCTTCAGGGAAAAGCGTGGTGGGCTGTGCCCTCCTGTGCCCGGTTGCGTCGTGATTCTGCTGAACATGGGGCTTCCTGTAAATGAACAAACGCTGCTAACCGTTTCCACGAGGGCATTCAACCAGGCTTGAGGGGAATCATGCGGCACGAAATGATCCAGCCATGGTGGGGCTGACAGACGAATGTAAGTAGAACGAAATTGGCGACACGGAAGTGTCTTGGGTATGGGTCCACAGCTCAGCATTGGAAGAACGGTTTGAGGTAGCTGGGGAGCAAGGCTGCAAAGGCAAAGATAGGTTGACGCCGTACGATGTGCTTCGTACTGAGCCACGTAAGGTGCCAGGGCGAAGCACTGCCACGGTCTACCTAGCTAGTGCTTAACAAGAATACAACAACTTTGCTAGTCACACGCAGTTCTGTTGCAGGCCGTGCGCTTATTCCTACATAGCTGTTTTGCTTAGCAGGACACAACGCTTGACAAAGCCAGTCTATTTTAGGCGTATGATAATTATGTTAACTATTTGCTAACCCAGATATTTGACTAAGGGCTCTCTATACCGGTAACCAGCACTTCTTCGAGGATCTTCGTTGTTGCCGTCCCCGTCAAGGGGCACATCCTAGAGCAACCATGGCGACTCGTGGTATTGCGCAGCTGAAGGCCCAGTACAACCGTGTCCGCACGAGGTCAGCATCTGTGTGGGCAGAGGTGGTTGTCTGGAACCTTGTGTTACGAAATGCATAGTTACGTATTACCTTGGGGTGTTATCACCCTCTTACCTCTTGCCCTGTACATTGTTTTGGTTGTAGTACGGCCCTGCAAGGAAACTCTATGTGGAACAATGTCATCGGCATTGAGAATGAGCAGAAGGGAACGAACTCAGCCATCGAGGCGACCCTCCGTGCACCTTCCTATGGCGGAGGATACAAGGCCCAGCGCATGGAGCGTGCACAGCAGCTGATTGAAGCATGTGAGTACTTGTTTTGCGTGGACCACTTATCCAACCCTCACCATCCTAAGCCTGCTTACTGCCACTCCCTTGCATGTTGTCTGTACGACAGCACATCGTGTCATCCTATTTACCCCCTTCGCCCTTCCTCAACCCTCCCCTTTTACCGCAGCCGGCTACCAGCCCAAAGCCACCGACCTACAGGGCCTGCTGGCGCTGGCCAAGTCTCAGGGAGCCACCGGCAACGCAACCCGCGGCGCTTGCAAGATCTGCGGCGGCCTCGGCCACCTGACGAAGAAGTGCAAGAACGGCGTGTCGGGGCACACGGGGGACATTGGCGACCTGGATGCCGCAGTAGCAGGTAGGCGCACAACACGCTACTGACTAGCTCCTGCCGCGCTCCTAGCCAAATTTGGTATTGGCCTTTTCCGTACCGTGCTCTGATGTGCGTTGTCCAGTCTCTGCTCTTGCTCCTGAGGCCCTTCTCGCTCGCCTCAATTCTGCCGCTTCCCGCCCTACCCTGCCCTCATTCCCCGTCTGCCCAGCTGCCAGCATGCGCGCGCTGCTGCCCGACCCAGATGAGGTCTCCTCGCTGGGCTCCTCGGACCTGGAGGGCAGCAGCAGCGACTCGGACCTCAGCGGCGGGGGCGGGGACTCGGACGGCGGCCGCAAGCGCAAGCGCAGCAGCAGCAGCAAGAAGTCGAAGAAGGAGTCGTCGAAGAAGCGCAAGAAGAGCAAGCGCGCTAAGAAGGAGGGCAAGGAAGGGAAGAAAGAGAAGGAGGCTAAGAAGGAGAAGAGCCGTGATAAGGATCGGGAGGGCGGAAAGCACAGCAAGAAGAAGAAGGAGAAGAAGCGGAGGTCGGAGGAGCGGGATGCCAGCAGTGATGACAGCGGCAGCAGCAGCGGCTCGGACAGCGACAGCGAGCAGGAGGAGCGGAGACGGCGGGACAAGCACGCACGGCGAGAGCGGGGGGCTGCGGACGAGGATGGCGAACGGTACCGGGAAGGACGTGAGCGGGATCGGGAGTACGAGCGAGGGAGGGAGCGGGACCAGCATCCGTCAGAGCAGCAGCACCGGCCTGATCGTGAGCGGGAGCAGGAGGGACGCGAGCGTGGGGTACGGGAGAGGGATGACGACCGTCGCCGTGAGGGGGGCCGTGAGGAGCGGCGGGAGGAGGGGGACAGGGAACGGCGGGAGCGAGAGCGAGAGGGGCGGGACGATGAGGGCCACGATCGGCGGCGGGAGCGGCGGGACAGGGAGGTGCCGCGGGGGGGTGAGCGGGAGCGGGAGCGGGGCGGCGCCGAGGAGTATGACCGGGAGCGGTGGCGGGAGCTTGAGCGGCATCGGGAGGAGCGGGAGGGCAGAGGGAGCCGTGAGGAGCGGGAGGGCCGGCGGGGCCGCGAGGTGGAGGAGGAGCGAGGGGCCCGGGGCCGCGACCGAGAGCGTGAACGGGAACGGGGGCGGGAGCGGCGGGAGGAGCGGGACTAGGGGGAGGGCTCGCGACTAGGGCATGCCGTCCCTTGGTGGTGGGGCGGGCCATTACAGGGCTGGTGGGTTCGTGTGGGCTGAAGAGGTTTACCTGACGAGCAGTTCGGCGGTGGGAATGGCTTCCTGGCCTCCAATTGTGCTCATAGGACAAGGCGTTAGCGAGTTGCGGTTATATTTTACAAGCGTGCTTATCACGTCGTCTGTCTAGAGGATGTTGGGTAATTGAGCCGCTGTTCCTGTCCTTAGCTTTAAGCTTAAGCGTAAGGTTGCTCGAGGGCCGTGTGTGGACGTTTTTACGCGACTGGGACTGTGGGCTTCCCGAGAAATCACTAACTAGCTGTGATGGCTGACCTCAACAGGTGTCTTTGCTGACCTCTTTTGACCCTGTGACTGCTTTGGGTGGCCACAGGTGTACGGCGTTGTAAGGCGCTGTGTTTTGGCCGCAATACCTGTGCTTGCTCTTGTTTTTGCACTAGGCTCAGCTGGCAGCTGTCGCCATGACATGATGACGATATTTTTGCACCTAGGCACTGGGTTAGTGCTCTTAACATAGGACTGCATGGTTTCCATCGTATTGGCCCATACACAGAATACCTTTGCATGAACTTGTACACTTAAGTGCGGGTCAGGTGTCTGTGTCGTGTTGTACCTGCAGACTACGTTAAAGAAGTTGCTGTCATGTGCACGCAGCACACCGCAGCTTTCGTGTTTACCTCTCCCCATCGCCTTGTTGCTGCGTCACGTTTGGTTTGCCTCACAAAGTCTTGCACCCGGAGCTATCGGTATGCAAGCAAGCGGTGTCGGCAGTGCTTTCCACCAGCCGCACCAACTCAGTATCAGGACAGCGCCGAACATTACACTCTCCACGACCCCCTCACCTCAATTGCACGCCTTTCCCTCCCGAAGACAAAGCCTCCTTCCAGCCTACAGTGCAATCCTCAGGCTAGCCTATCTACATCCTCTGACCTTTGAACCCCCTCCGCCACCCCTATACCAACTGTTCCCCCTGCGCTGCGGGCCTCTCACCACCACCCGCGTCCTCATCACCCCCAACCCCCGCGGTATCGTTAGGTTTGCTTTCTACCAGACTCGCATCCCCGCCACCCCCATCTCCGCCACCCCTATCCCCCCCGCCACCCCTATCCTCCCCGCCCCCCTCCCCGCCTCTCCGCTGCTGCCTCCAGGGGCTCCCCGCCAGCAGCTGCTCCGCCCGCTGGCTCAGCTGCGCCGCCGCTGCGGTGTCGCCCTGCCGCGCCTCCAGAGCCGCCCAAGCCTGGTAGAGCGGCGCGTGCTGGTTGGCTGGGGGCACATCGGAACCCTGAGGGGAGGGGGCGGGAGGGGGGGTGGAGTTGGAGGGGGGAAGCAAACCACAAAAGGCAATGAGACACGCACGGGATGTACGTTCGTTCGGGATGCCAATGAAACAAACTACGGCATCGGAAACCGAAACACGTGATGAGTACTGGTAAGGCCTTCTGGGCCAACGCAGATTGCTGTTCTCGTATCCAGTCGCCCTCCCTGACGTCCCTTTCCTCCGCTGTCCCCTCCCGGGGTCACTCACCATCTTGAACAACGTGCGGGCCTTCTCCACCTGCCCCGCCGCCGCCTCCATCATCGCCCACTCCATCCACAGCGGTGCGCAGCGGGGGCAGTTGCGAGTTGCGGCCCCCAGCACCGCTCGGGCCCGATCCAGCTGCCCCAGCGCGATCAGCATGGTGGCGTAGGAGTACCTGGGGGGGGAGCAGAACAGGACCATAGGAAACCACGAATTAGGGCAAAACAATGGGGGATTGAGGCGGCAGTGTTCTACAAGACAAAGGGAGGGTTAGCGCTTAGCGGCCCCTGCCGAACCGAGTACCTGGGGGGGGGGGAGCAGGACGGGACGCGCGGCAGACATACACCGCGCTTACTCTCGCAAGTCTGTACGGCAGATGTTATGTACGGCTGCATACGGAAGACAAGTACGGGGGAACATATGGTCGCAATCGTGAGTTATCGTACGTGCCCTTGTCGTACAAGCCATACCAGATGTGCGGGTTGCCTGGTGCCAGCTCCGTGCCTCGAAGGAAGCACCGCTCAGCTGCCGCCCATTTGGCCCGCCCCCGCTCGAACACGCCCCACTTCAACCAGCTGCGGTAATCCTGAGAAGACGGCAAGAGAAAAGTGTCATGAAAGAGGACATCACTGTACATTATACCTAGCCAAGAGAGCGCAATCATTTCCGTTCCAGACTGATCTCCAGCCGTATGCGATTTTTACAGGGGAGTCCGAACGACTCAAGTGCGACCACAGTCGTACCACAACGATTTCCTAATGTGCCGTACGGTGCCGTACTGCCGTACCTGGGGATCCCGCCGTACAGCGTCCGCGAACAGCGCCCGGGCCGCACCCCAGTTGCGCTCCCGCTTCTCAAACAGAGCGGCCTGCCGCAGGAAGCGGGAGGTGGTGGGATGCACGGCCGCTGCTCCCTCCTGCCACACGGCGCGAGCGGCGTCGCTTCGGCCCTGTGTGCGCAGGGGCAGATGGAGGGGACATGGCACGTGGCGGAGTGCCGTAACAAGAAGGGAAACACGAGTACGGCTCAGCTACGATTCGGTGCAGCATTGTGTAAGAAGTGTCGCGACCCGACACCGGCTTTGTAACATCTAAAGTCACTGCTGTGCGGACGGGGGGCAGGGGTGCCGAGGACGGGTACATGCTTAGAGGAGGGGCTAACAGCTACGCTACGGTTGGAGGGCCCAAAGCCCATGCAGCTACCGAGTGCAAACCCCATGCAGTTACTCACCAGGAAGGCCAGAAGTTCCGCTAGGCCCTCGTAGCACAGCAGCGCTCCCCTGCCTCCACGCTTGCGGCAGCTCAGACCCCTCCGGAACCACAACTCGGCCATGTCCGTGGCTCCCTCCCGCTGACTCAGCAGTCCCCGCGTGTGACAGAGGTAACCGTTGTACGGATCAACCTCCTCAACCGCCGCCAGGCATTTCTCCGCCGCCGCCAGGTCTCCATCCCGTAGGTGTCGCATGGCACGTGCATGCAGCAAAACGACATCCGAGGTAAGGACTCCGCCGCGGCGACCGCCCTTGCCTAGGTCAGCACTGCTAGCCGACGCCTCAACATCCGCGCCACGGCCCTCCTCCTGCCCTTCCGCATGCGATTGAGGCATCGTTGCAGGTGGGGCATCCCCAACCCCGTTGGGTGTATCGGCACGTGTAGCATCCCCGGATGCAGAGTCTGTGTCCGCAGCAGCACCCGAGTCGTCGGCAGCATCACCGCTCCGAAACGGTGACCGCCAGGGTCGTCTCGGCGCGCCTTCGCTCTCCCGAACCACGCCCGCCTCCACAGCCGCCGCTGCCTGTGCGTACAGCTCCTCCGCCTTTGCGCTGTTGCCTGCCCGGTGCTCCAGCATGGCGGCGGAGATGAGTGCGGGCACGTGGCGGGGGGCGGCGCGAAAGATGTTCCTGGGCGGGGAGGGTTGTTGCATGTGGGGGGGGGGAGGGTTTTGGTAAACTGAGCCGCAAGGAAACTGACCGTGACCGTAGCGGGGGGAGGTGCGCACATGTCGGTCAGGAGGTGTTGCGGATCAGCTTGCTGGCTCTCACATGTCACCAGTTAGATCCGTTAGTGTCTATTGTTATGTACGTCGTCCTCCGATCGCGCTCTCGGCTCGTAAAACTCGTCCACTGGTCTGACTTTATACAACATGAGTAGCAATCCCAGCCCATCATGTGTAAGTGCCCTAGGACCTACGTCACACATTGCTACTGGTCACAGCATTCAAACCAAAGCCTATGTTGCTTTTACAAACTGCACCACCAGCACCAGGCCCCCCCATACCCCCCACCCCGCAGCTCCCACCTGGCCCTCCGCACGTTCCTCATGCGCAGCTCCAGCTCCCCCAGCGCCCCCAGCAGCGGCGCCGCGCCGCCCACCTGCGCCAGTCCCGCTTGGAACACCCGCCGGGCGGCCGCCGGACTGCCCTGCCGCCACTCCAGCCGGCCCAGCGCCTGCCAGGGGAGCGGGAGGGGCAGGGGGTGTCCGGGGAGGCGGCGAGGGAGGGGAGAAAGAAGAAAAAGCAACAAAAAGCAAATTCCCGAAGCCCGAAGGAGGGATGGAGGGAGGGGAGAAGGTCGGGGCAGGGTTGTGGATGTGGCAACAAGAACATGTGCACGCCAAGGCACGGCGCTGCATGAGGATGTATCTACCGGTGCCCCTAACTGCAGGACGGAGACTTGCTAGCGGACTCTCGAGGTGAGAGGGGAAAATAATGATATGTGCAGCAACGAGTCCCAATCCCATGAGGGGGGAAGCCCGGCTCAGCTTTGCCAGGTAGCTAGGCCCTCCCCTCCTCGCTCGCCCCTGCCCCCGGCACAGCCCCTATGTCCTCCCGCCTGTCAAGAGCTCTCTGTCGTGGCTCCCCCCTCTGTCCAGTCCTCCTACCATCCAGGAGGGCATGTGTTGCGGCTCCCGCTGCAGCGCCTCCTGCAGCAGCCGGCGGGCCTCCTGCGGCTTGCCCTGCTGCTCCTCGAAGGCGGCCCAGGCCTGCAGGAAGAAGGTGGGCGCGAGGGGTGGTGCCAGGAGGAGGCGGCTAGGGTAAGGTTCGGTTGGGGGGGGGGTTCCAAGAACTTTTGCCCCTCTCGCACCCCTCCGAAGGGCTCCACTGCTCCGTGGCACTGCCGCCTCCCGCCGCACCCTCCTCCCACTCCACTTGCTACCCCACTCTCTTCCCGCTTATCCTGTCATTTGTAATCGTGGCTTCATAGCTCTGCTTTCCTTAAAACCCCCTTTCCTCCTCCCCTTTCCCCAGCGTTCGAGCCTCACATGCAGCAGCGGCACATGGTCCGGGCTCGCCGCATGCCCCTCCACAAACAGCCTCCTCGCCTCCACCTCGCCCCCCGCCGCCGCCTCCATGCGCGCCCAGGCGGTGTAGGCGGCTGCATGGCGGGGGTCCGCCCGAATAGATCCGCGGAAGAGGCGCCGGGCAGCTGGCAGATCCCCCTCCTCCGCCTCTACAAGCGCCCATGCCTGCAGCAGCACGGGGTTGTTGGGTTCCCGCTTTGCTGCTGTTTTGAAGGCTGCTCGCGCGCCTGCCCTGTCGCCGATTGAGGCTCGAGCGCGGCCAAGTGCAGTCAGCAACCCAGGGTTGCCAGGCCACCTGCGGGCAGGTAAGGAGCGAAATGGGTTGTTTCCCGACTGGTGTAATCCTGCCATGCCGGTGCTGATCAGGTCAACATGGTCAACCCGGATCGGCACCGTTAAAGGCTTGAGAAGGTGTGGCGGCTTTAGCAACAGTGAGTAAGTGCTTGACGCCTGACCCAAGGGTCCGTAACTTCAGTTGTTCATTCATTCCAGCGATCCAGGCGCTTTCCGTACCGCACCTCTTGAGTCCCTCCTCTAGCACCTTCAAAGCCGCGTCATGTCGACCCATGCGGCTCTCCAGGGACCCCACTGTAGCCCAGAAGCTGCGAATTTCCGGATAGTACGACATGGCTTCGTACGACAGATCCAGCGCGGCCCCATTCCGGCCACAGCGCTGCAGCCGCTTGATGTGCTGCTGGAGCTGCGAGACGGTTGGGGGCGGCGGTTGTGCAGCTAGGTCCTCTGGTGGTGCAGCTGCTGCGGCTGCCGATGCTGGAAGTGGCGAAGACTTAGATCCATGTACGGCAGCGGTGTGCGCGGCTGCTGAGGCTGGCTTGGCAGGCGTGAGGCCTGGGTTGGAAGGTTGGAGGGGCCCACGTTGCCGTGCAGGAGCTGGCTTGGCCCCGCGCCGGCCGGGACGGGGAACGAGGACGGCTGGGGTTGTCTGTTCGGAGGTGGATGCGTGCAGGATGAGGGTTTGACCAGGACCCCGGACATGGCCATTGTCGGATGAGAGGAAGCTGGTAAGGGCGCTGCTGCCGTCACAGAGGCTGTTGCTACTGCCAGAAGTGCTTTCATGGCTGCTGTTATTGGTCCGCCGCTTTGGATTGCTGTGGGTGTCGCTACCGCTGCTGGATGCACCCAACGGCGCGTCTCCAGGAGAAGTGCTAGGGATGGCCGGCGCGATGGATGCCGTTGCTAGCTGACGAGGCTCCAGCGGGAATATAGCAGGCGAAAGAGATGTCTGATGCGAACCTGGACGAGCGTTTGGCTTGACGATATCTGAGCGCTGCGTCGCCCGTAAAGCGAGGCCGTCGGCTTGCTTGCAAGGGCATTTCAGGCTAGGCAAGGAACGCAGGCCCGGGTGTCGCCGTAGTTGTCGAACGGTTATGTCTCTATGCCAACTAACTCCCATCAAGGACGATACATTCCATGATGCCTTACGGCACCGAGGATGGTGCAGGTGCATCCCCTAGGGCTAAACCTACAAAGGCAGACGAGGGCATTGATATATATGACTCATTTCAACAGATATGATGCGCAACAAGAACTTGTTTTAAAAGGCTAACAACGCTATGCAAGTGAAAGAACCGGGTGGAGTGGCGGTCATGGCATCCGGGTAAGTTCTAACCCGCTCAAGTGCAATTCTAGTTGGCAAATACAGTTGGCAATACTTCTGTCGCGCAAGCTGGAGATCAGTGTATGTCGTACGGCAGCGTGGAGTTGGTATTCGAGGACTTGTACTATCTATTTTAGTTAGGAAGCGCATTAACGACGAAACATAAAAAACTGAAGAATCCTGTCTGCTTTGTCAATCGTCTACAAACCTTTGCTTGCACACGTTATAATTTCAGGCCTCAGTTAACCTTTTATGTAAATTAGCGAATAGGAATAAGCTTGCCATAATGATGTTTGAGTTGCGGAGTCCGTGTGGTTGTTCAGGCTACGTCATCCGTCAACCGGCCATCCGTCATCCGTCGATGCTACTCTTGCCGCAGGGCAAGCGGACACCACGCATGAGCCCAATCATATGCTTGGCTGCACCTCCAGATCCCCCAGATGCTCCGGGTACGCCTTTATCCTCAGCTGCATGCGTATATGCTGCACGCAAGACGGTGATAAGCCAGACGTGTGGCCCTCAATGCATGACCCTGAGGACCAGTATGCTGGGGACGTACTGAACGACAAGAACTCCATTCCCTAGCTGCAGGCTCAGATTCCAGCCCCGGCCCCGGCCCCAGCTTGCTGGACCCCGTACAAACCATTACCTGGGGTGGCACGCTGCCCAGCACCAGACGTGCCGTGCTTGGAGGCCTCGGAGGTGTAGCCATATGTGAGCATAAAAGATCCAGGCTATTGCCTTTCCGGGTTCTCACGAGAGATGTTAGTCCTCATACCACAATGCTGCCAGGGCATCTTAGAGTGGTGTCGTCGTGCGTCGCCCCCAACAGTTTACCGGTACCTTGTTCGCTTTTCCACCCGCAACCTCTCGCAACCCCCTTCCCCCTCCCCCTCGTCCCCCTCAGCCCTCGGCGGTAACCTGGGCGGGGTGAGCAGCTGGCTGCTGGGGCTGGATGGCGGGCAGCTGGCGGGGAGGCTGCGGGCGGACGTGCTGGTTCCCGTGCGGGGGGCCAAGCGCTGCGTGGAAAGCAAGCACGGATTCGGTAAGAGCAGGTGCTACTGTATCCGTGCACTGTAAGGTCTGTAACTCTGAAAGTGTCCATAACCATCCCTTACAAGTACAAGGGAACACCTGAGTCCCACTACGGGTTGCATTCCGGCACTAATTGGAAAGGCTAAATGAGGAACACGCACCGGATGGCGAAAAATACGGAACTCCTCGCAAGTGAAGACGTCCCTTGCCGGGCCCGTCCATTGCACCTCTCGCCCATGCATCTCCACTCCTGCCCTCCATTCCCACACACTCTGCATCCTTCCCGTTCCCTTCCCAACCCACTCCTGGCGTCCTCCCTCCTCCATCCCCGCCAAGAGTTCACGTACCCAGCATCCTGGCTGGCAGACCAGACGCTAGCGAACCGCGCAGCCAGACGCGCTGAAGCGGAACGCGGCGGCCCGCCGGGTTTGAACCTGGATCCGCTTGACGACTATGAGTGGCGGCAGCAGCGGCAGCGGCGGCGGCGGCGGCCCGCCTCCGTTGGGAAGGTAGCGGCGGTGGAGCCGGTGGTCGCATTCGGGCCGCCTGCAACCACGTAAGCAGGCATTAAGACACCCACGACCTGTTTGATTATGGGATGCGAGGAAAGATGGAAACGTCTTTTGCCGAAGGAGGGTTAGGATTAGAGCCGCTGGATGATAGACCGTTAAGCTCACACTCACATATACTGTACTCGCGGCCAGTTCTGTGAACATGGTCTTAAATTGACTGTCTCGCGCGATCTTTCATCTGCCTTCTTGCCGTTCAGGGGAGAGGAGAACGTCTCCGTCATCGTTGCGCCCATCACACCCGGCTTCACACTCCGGTCCATGGGCGACCCACGGGTCGCTGGCGAGCGGCTGCTGGCGTCGCTCGCACCCGAGGGCAGCGGCCTGGTGGCGTCGCTGCTGGGCGCGGAAGAGCGCACCTTGGGGCAGCTGGGTGACCCACGGGTCGGCTCGACGGAGCAGCAGCAGGGACAGCAACAGGAGCAGGAAGGGCAACAAGGGCAGCTGTACTATACGCTAGAGTACACCGTTCAGGGGCCTCGCTTCTTCCGTCACAACCTCTCAGTGTACACAACCAGGTGAGATTCAACCGAGAATGCTGCGGGATATTGCAGAAAAATTAAGCGGAGGCAATGGCTACATGGCTACTTATGTTTACTTACGGGGATGGCCCAGAAGCGCCAGCGCACACAGGACCCATGTTCGCAGTGCGCTTACTGTTATAGGACCGGTACTTACGGTACCCTCAAGTCTCGATTGCTTACCGTACTTCTCCCCTGCCCTGCCCTGCAGGAAGGACATGCTGTACACTTTCAACGCCCAATGCCCCGAGGCCCGCTGGCAAGAGGACGCAGCTGTGTTGCGGGCGTCTGCGGCCTCGTTCCGACTCCTGCTGTAGTGTTGTAAGCCCGCTACCCACCTGTTTTTGCACCTGTTTCCCAGCCCGTGGATGCCTGGCGACCTTCCAGACCAGTGCATTCACGCACTTCACGGTTAGTAGCTTCGCCACATCGCTCACAGCCACAGTTTGCATGCAGAGATCGGGACCCTTCCGGTACCGGTCTTTAGGACGCGAGAGCAATTACACTGGAGGACCAACCAGTAACCAGCAACCGGTATTTAGGAGACTGTACAACGCCACAACTGTACGACAGCCTCCACAGCTCCTACCACCATGATGGCACTCCCGCCGACCTGGCACCCGCCGACCTAGCACCCGCCGACCTAGCACCCGCCGACCTAGCACCCGCCGACCTGGCATCCGCCGACCCGGCACCCGCCGATCTAGCATTCTCCAAGCGTCAGCCGCCGCTGCCGAGGTGGCACGACTGCACCCTGTACCAGCCGCCCAGCGCCCAGCTCCCAACAACACCCGAACGAATCAGCTGGGTGTATACCTCTCGTGGTTGGGAGTGTTGCCGTACCCGCCGTAGAGAACAAGGTTCATGCTGCTGCTGCCACAGTGGCACCGGTATCAAAAGGGGGATTGCAATTGGTTCTGTTTCTCGTGCAGTGTAGGGTTGGCTTTATCACACGTATTCCCTTATCAGGCAACCCTTGCAACGGTCATTTAGTCATCAAAAGGAAGATCGCTGCTGTTATCCACCACCTCCTCCTCCACCTCATCCATGCGCACTGCACCACGCACGACACGCTACCGGGCATGCTCGGGTAGCGATGCGGGAGCAGTCCCGTGGCGCGGATCCGGAGGCTGAGGAGGCCCGTTGGCGGAGGCAGCAGGCCGCACGAACTTGCTAGCTTAGGCTAGCCTCATGATAAGATGAGACAAGGGTTACGTTGGCTTACAAATGCAGGGAACCTTTGAGCGGGTTCAAGGATCCATGTGATGGCCGGTAAGGAGCAAATGGCAGATCATAATAACAGTACCGATGTACCTTTTGCCCACGCCCGTTGCTTTGCACCATTTCCGCCAGATAAGGCGTCATGCCTACACGAGGCAACAGCCCAAACAATCCCTTGCACAACCTAGCTATAAAACAGCAGAGGCGTGGATTTGACAAATTGGACGAACCGGACCAAGGTGTAGAGGAGTGAAACCAAAGTAGGCCGGCAATCAGGCAGGGCAGCGACAGGGACAGCACCACTTGCAAGCCGCTTTCAGCTTATAATTCAGCTTACATACCCAACCACAACCAAATCACAAGCCACCCTCCCTTCACCACAAATCCTGTGTGCAGCAGTCCTGATGCTAGGGCTCTGCATACCGCTCACACATGTGTGCGCGTGTGCCGGTTGCCCCCATGCGTCCCAACTATCGTGGCAGTGCGAACACTGCCTCATGCATCCCCCTGCCATGCAGCATAATACGTAGCCTTGAGCAAGTCTCTCCACATCAACTCCCCACCTCACTTTGCGGCCACACATACGTGCATATCCGTTTGCATTGCCTTTGCGTCATCTACGCACATGTCAGTTGCAAGCAAGAAATCCACGTCATGGCAGTCCTGAGTGCAAGTGCCGTAAACTGGAACAAGGGGGTTTCAGCTTCCTCAAAGCTGGAAAAGGGCGGAGCCCCTCCTCTTTAGTACAGGAACGTATTATTACCACTGGAATGATTGCGATTATTACAGGGGAGTGGAACGACTCAAGTGCGACGCACAACCCTATGGGCCTTATAGACCTGGAATGCGCTCCTGTGACTCCACGGCACCAGTTGACCTAACACACCTCGTTATACGGACGCTGAACCCCCTTGTTTACTGTAGTTTTAGTGCTCGTTGCATGGCTAGACGGGCTCAGAGCCCCTTGTCCAGCCGAGGCCGGCCGCCTTGTTCACCCATGGCGTACATAGTGTCCTCACTCATTGCACACATTGTTAGGTTACGCCTGTTCAATCGAGTACTTAGTAACGTCTTATCATGCTTGATAACACCCACGCCTTAGGCTACAGAACCCAAATCGACGGCGTAACTGCCACATGGAAGTGCTTTCAGGGTCCCGCAGAGTTTCACCTACATTACTAACATGATGAGGAGGTCAGGCTCCTCAATCTCGGCATCGTGCTCAGAAGGACTTCAGCCATTGCGCCGTCACATGACATGTTAGCTTATAAGCGAGGTATCCCGTACCCGTTTGCGTTACAATTCATACGCATAAACCCATAGCAAAGGCTTGCAACATCGTCCCAAAGGATTGTGTGGGCTCTGAGTAGCACAGTAGATGCGAGCATGCTCCCGCCGACTTTCACAGGTAGCCCTTTGGCGACACGCCGCTGTTACCAATTCACTAAATACTGTTTACGGTACCAGGACAAACCATAGAGGAGCGCTAATCGCTGTTGCCGAGGTGGTCCTTGTTCAATGGCTGGTCAATAAATCGTTTGTTGCGAAATTAAGTTTGTTTGGCTTCCAGTTATTTTTACTGAATACAGATAACAAATATCTATTAGGTGCAATAAATAGTTTTGTCTAGATTGTATGTTTTGCCGTTACGGACGGACACACGGACACACGGACACACGGACACACGGACACACGGACAGGGGCAATCCTGGGGGGCGAAGCCCCCCCGAAGCCGCTTCGCGGCGGGGGCTCCGCCCAAAAAGGTTTCGAAGGAAGTGCGCGCATAAAGGAAGCGGAATGTACACATGCATCGACCGTACAAAACCACACAGCTACCCAAACGCCATCCCATCAATGCCACCACAGTCGTAGCTTCACCCACATTCCAATAATAACCCATGCACAATCCACAACGGCTCCAATTCGACTGCCTCTAAACATTGAAAGAAGCCCGACCCTGCACCGGACCCCCCGGGTGGTTGCAACGTACCGTACTAGCTTGCCGGCTATTACATCCCATGGGGTATAGCACATGTAGCACATGGGTGCCCCAGGAGTCCATACCTACAAACCCCGCTCCATACCTACACCAACCTCCCCCCGGCACCTCAAGGCCACCCCAAGCCTGCGAACTATTGCACTCTCGGGTTACCGCTAACACGACCGGCGCTGCCTTCTTCGCTGCATGCGGCCTTCTACTCCATGCAGATCCATCACATGACTCAGCCCTTCTCAAGTTGGGTCGCGTAGAGTGAAGGTTCCCCTCCTTCTGGATTGTGTTCCCTCCTAACCAGGGGGCAGTTAGCTCATCCTGTGCCACCTGCCTTCCCCCCTCGTCTTCTCCTTCCCCCCACCTTCCTCCCTCCCTGATTCATGGTTTCCTTTGGTTCGGCCTATTTTGACCCTTCCTCCCTAACCGCCTGGTCCGGTCGGTCGTGTCCTGTTCGCATGGCGCACGTGTCTCGCTCGCTCACTCACCTGCCGCTCCCTTCCCCTCTCCGTTACGGTGCATCCTACCAACCCCCCATCACACCCCCCACTCCACGACTCCACCCATCGCACCGTGACTCCCCTACACAGCCCACCTCGATCCCCATGACCGCCCCTGCAAGCACCCAGCACATCATTGGACGGACACATCACGTTGACTCCCCTCTTGATGCACTCTTGATCCTCATTACGATCCTCACTCCGCCATCACGCCTCCTCCGCACGAACATACACACACACGCCAGTTATTTTAACATCCCAACTGCTTGCTTTTGCTTTACTCAACTACACACACATATCAACGCCCAACGGACGCCAGTGTGGGTGGGACGCTGTGGCCCCTACCAACCAACCAGCACCACAACATAACAGCAGCACCCCACCGGCGCTTGCACACCCGCACGCCACCAGGCTGCTGCCCCAATGGTTCTCACAAGCCTCAACAACACAACATAATGCGTACATGCGTTTGTTGAGGCTTGTAAAACAAAAAAACAAGCCACTCCGAAAGTCGAGGAGGGGCATTCGCTAACAACCCAGTCGCTCCTACTCTCCAAACACACACATATCAACGCCCAACGGACGCCAGTGTGGGTGGGACGCTGTGGCCCCTACCAACCAACCAGCACCACAACATAACAGCAGCACCCCACCGGCGCTTGCACACCCGCACGCCACCAGGCTGCTGCCCCAATGGTTCTCACAAGCCTCAACAACACAACATAATGCGTACATGCGTTTGTTGAGGCTTGTAAAACAAAAAAACAAGCCACTCCGAAAGTCGAGGAGGGGCATTCGCTAACAACCCAGTCGCTCCTACTCTCCAAACACTCTCCAACAACTGCCTACCCAGCAGCCAGCTAGGCCGACGCACCATTCATACCGATACGTCAAACCCACGCCATCCGTCGCTGAACCTGCACCCCGGCAACCGCCCCAACCGCCCTCTCCTCCTCGCCTTCCTTCTTCTCCTCCTCCTCCTCCTGCCTCCCTCTCTTCCCACCTCTTATATCACATTGCGCAAGCCCTCTTCCTCCTCCTCCTCGCTCCCGGGGCCACTCCTTTGCAACCCAGAGTCCGACATGGATTCCGGCCCACTTCGGAATCCGGATCCAAGTTCCGACCCCGACCCCACCTCACCCAGCGACATCGCTACCGTCGCCACAGCTAACCGCCCCGGCACCTCAGGCGCTGGAGGCGTCGGCACCGGCGACGTCCACTGGCCCCCCGCTGCTGCTGCCGCCCCTGCTGCCGCTGCAATCCCTTGCTGTGCACCTTGATACCCAGCGCCGACATTGTTGTGGGGGTGCGGTGCGGAGTAGCGATTAAACGAAGCAGGTGAACATTGCAGCTGGTGTTGATGTTGTACTGCAGGCGGCCAGTACGACGCGAGTAACCGCTCTAACCGCTCCGAAACCTCCGCAGCGGAGGGGCGGTTTTGCGGTTGGCGCTGCAGGCAGTGCAGTGCCAGGCTGCTGTACAGCTCGGGGCAGGCGGGCGGGAAGGCGGGGAAGATGGCGCAGTAGCGGGGGCCGCGCTCGGTGCGCGTGCCGGCGGGGCGGCCGTGGTAGAGCTCCCATAGCAGCACACCCAGGGAGAAGACTGCGGAGGGGAGGGAGGGGGGGAGGGAGGGAGGAGAGGAGGGAAAGAGAGGGAAGAGGATTAGGTAGATGGATGGAAGGATGATTTGGATGGACGCTGAGGATGAGGTGCTGCGTGCGCTTGTTGACTTTCTCGTGAGCTTCCTAGTTGGTGAATTGCAGCGCATGGGCGGTGGTGGTGTCCTCCTGGTGCGGCAGGTAAGGGAGAGAAGCCGGTATACCGGTATGGTATGTTGCCAGAGCCCCCTCCCGCCCCCGGCCCCGCACCCGTCCTCCAGCCCCCTCCCCCTGCCCTCCCTCCCTTCCCTCCTCTAACGCTCCCCCTCCCCTCCCTCCTGCCCTCCCTCCCTCCCTCCGCCCTCCTCCTGCCCTAACGCTCCCACCGTCCGCCGGCGGCCCCACTTGCGCCTTCATGACCACCCCCGGACACATGTAGAACATGGTGCCCAGCCGCAGGTTGCTGACGTGGGAGCGGTTGTGAGGCAGCAACACGCTGCAGAGGGGGGGAAGGGGGACGGGGGGGAGGGGCCGGGGAGGGGGTTAGAGGAGATGGTTGATTCTAAGGGTGCGGAAAATGGTTACGGGGGCGGGGGAAGTTACTCAACTGAGCCGCGAGAGAGGCGGGAAGGGGACAGAAAGGAGGGGTTGACAAGACAAGAGAAGGGATGGTGGAAGCGGCCGATGTGGCATGAAAGCGGAGGAGGAGGGGAGGCGGGCCAGGCCTGATGGGAAGTGCCTGGGCGGTACGTGTGCTGTGTGGACTGCTGCGCCGCACTTGTGTCGCCAGCCCGCCGCTGTCACGCCCCGCCCACCCGAGTGTAGCCCGCAACCCACACCCCATCACATGTACCACTATCACAACACACATTGGAATTTTTTCTTTACACCCCATCCGACCTCGAGTAACCCCATAGACACACATCACTCTGCGCCCCGACCCCTTCTCACCTGAGTCCAAAGTCCCCGACCTTGATCTGGAAGCCGGAGGGGTCGGTGGGGTCGCGCTTGAGGAGCACATTGTTGGGGTTCAGGTCTGGAGGCGGGCGAGGAGGTACGGCAAAATACGGCGGGGGAGGTATGAGGGCTTTAGGGGGGCCGCGGAGTACTATGGGGCAAGAGAGCGAGGGGTGAAGGGCCGGAATTTGGCGGGAGAGGTGGAGGGTTAGGGAGCAGAAAGCGACTGCGCATGTTCCCGTTCACCCGCACGTGTGGGATGCCGCACGCGACATGCCGTACACATAGGCAACGGAGCCAACAAAGCCCCCCCACGTCCTACTGGGCCCCATAACACCAAGAACGTCGACGGAGGCCCCATGCACGACACAGCCCCCGCATCACACAAATACACACACACCCGTTCATCTTCCGACAATCACAATACGTTCCAACTCGCGGCCCCAGTTTCCTTTACAGTTAACACATGCCAACACAATCCTTGGCTCCCGTGGCGTTTTTGCGGAGGACATCATCTTCCGGCAGTCACCGTCTCGCGGCCACGTACCTCCATGCACGATCCGCTTGGAGTGCAGGTGGGCCACAGCTCGGGAGATGCCCAGAGCCAGGGAGAGTACGGCAGGCTAGTTGGGGAGGAGCGGGAAGAGGAGCGGGAAGGGAAGGAGGAAAAACACCGAGGAGAAAACCATGCGTTGAGTAATGGAGATGGGATGAGAGGAGTGTCCGACGGAGGAGGAGGGGAGGAGCATGTGGTTAGGCGGGGGTCAGGCGACGAGGGAGAGCAACAAGGGGGGGCAACAAGGAGCGTGTGAATTCAGGGACATAAGAGTGCTGACCCGCTTGGCAGCGCGAGGAGCAACGACCCCCGCTAAGGCAGCGAAACCCCTTACTGCCGTACAGCTATCCACAGCGTCGGCGAGCCGTGCCGTACACATGCCGCACCCCATTCCTACTCGCGGCACGTTTCGTGTCAAAACACACACACACCTCAACTCACAATGTTCGGAGCCCCGGGGCTGGGCCACAGCGCCTGACTGCCGTACAACCGCCAGAGGGGCCCTCCGTCCGCATACTCCTGTACGATGTACAATCGCCAGTCCTGCACGAGGTGTATGCCGTACAAGGGTGTCAGCAGATGCCAACTGCGAAACGAAAAAGCTCAAAACGTCAAAGCATAACCTGCCGTTACCCCAATTATCAAACGGCGCATGCTCGGCGGCATTCGTCTAACACTAGAATAGCGCCCTACCCGCGAACCCACAAAGCCCCTTTCCCCTTCTTTTTCCCACACTCACCACAATCGCTGACACCCCGCTGCCGCTGCCACTCCCACTGGCACCGCCTCCTCCAGCTCCCCCCATTTCGCCGCTTTCACCACGCGACCCTGCTCCTCCTCTTTTGCCACCGCCCCCGTGACCCACGGTTCCGGATCCGGAATTGCCGTACGCTCCAGGCAATGCTTCAACCTCCGAAGAGTACGTAGCCACAATGTTGGGATGACTAATGGAGCCGCACAGCGCTGCTTCTTGCAACGCCCGGCGGCGACTCTCATGCGAGGCCGAGAACACGAGTGTCTTCACCGCCACCGACAGCCCCTGCCACGTACCCTTGTAAACCGTGCCGTACGATCCGCAACCCAATACCCCCTCCAACCGTAACTGTACGTCACGGATGCTCGTACGCAGGCCCCGTGAGAGCCCCTCCAGCTCCGCCATCACATCCCGACTGGCGGTAAAGCTAATGCTAGGCCCGGTGCTGCCGTGACGTGCAACGGCTGCTGCTGTTGTCGTAGTATCGGCGGCGGCGGCGGTGTCATCGGTTGCTACCGCCGCCGCCGGAATGCTGCCCCGAGAGGCCCTGCGGCCACCGCATTCGCCGTGAGGGGCACCCGCGATTCCGCCGGAGGTGGGAGCGGTGCTGGGACCGGCATCCCGCCAGCCGCCGACGTGGGAGGTGTCCCGGGAGGTGATGACGTCAGCGGTGTGGCTGCCGGGGGGACCGGCGGCGGCGGCGGCGGCAGCGGCGGGACCTCCCGCCAGGTCTCCGCCGTCGTCGACCGTGGGAGCGCCCTGCAGTCATGTGAAAGGATAAAGAGGCCGGACAGGCGGGCGGTGCAAGAGCTGGATACGGGCTGGGCCGGCATGCGACCTGCAGCGATACAGTGGAGGACAAGGTAACAAGGCACCAAAGGTGCATGGACCCATGACACCCCTCCCCTCGCCTTGCCCTGCTGGCTATTCATGCAAGTCACATGTCTTGCATGCACGCGCATGGTTTGGAGCACCACATGCTGCCGGCACACGGGGTCCTACACGGAGCCCAACACAGCCAGCACGCAGCCGTACCGCCCGCAGCAGGGAGCAGCTGCCTCACCTCCGCAGCGGCCTCCGCAGACCATTTGGGCAGCTTCTGGCCCGCGTCCAAGCCAAGGAAGATGCAGCCACCGCCGCCGCTGCCCTCACCATCATCGTCGCTGTGCCGGCTGCCGCCACTTGCGGTTCTAGCCGCCGCCTCCGCCGCTCTAGAAACTGAAGGTTCCCCCGCCTCCTTTCCTGGGGCATCAGTAGCAGTACCTGCAGCACACTGACCCACCACACACGCCTCCATATCGACGCCCCCTTCGCCTTCGCCACGCTTGCTGCCGCCACCGCCGTTGCCGTGCGCAGAACAGCTGGTGGCGGCGTCGCCGGCGGCTGCAGCGGAGGCGCCCTCCTTTCGGGTGCTGACGTCAGTGCCGGCGGCGCCGCCGCCGCCAGCATCACGTCGCCGTCGTCGTCGTACGACAAACAACGCCGCCGCCGCAACCAGAATGAGTACGACGCCCAGTGTGGGTACAACGGCAGCTGGGACGATCTGCGGAAGCCATGGAAGAGAACAGTTAGGGTGGTTAATTGCACGCATAACTGTTCCCGAAAAACGAGGTCGTGAGTTACCAGCACTCTTTAAACTCTCTGCGCAGTTTCCCTTTTACACCACCCCCATGCATCTCCGTACACGCCTACCGTCTTAACGCGCGACGATGCCGACGACGATTGCTCCTCCGGTATCCCGCCACTCGTTCCCATGTGAGCCCCCATTGCCAAATTAGGCGCCCCCCCCGGCGCGTCCGGCAGGAGCTCCTCGGGTGGGCCCCCCGCTGCGTTGAGTTCCTGCAGCAGCAACGTGACACACTCGCTGCCGGAGCGGCGCTGCAGACAGGAGGAGGAGACGAAGTGGTCGACCAGGTAGTGAGAGTCGAGGACCCAGTAGGTGTAGCCGCCGTAGTAGAGCCCCTGGAAGGCGAGGGAGCTGAGGGGCAGGGCAGGAGAGGAAAGGAGAGGAGGGGAGAGCAGAGGGAGGCGGGAGATGGGTTGGAGGCCGTAAAGAGACAATTGGGAAGACAGGTTGTGTGTATTGGTGGGGTGCTTGCCGATGCGGCTGGTGCGGAGATACCGTATAGAAGACCTCTAGTGCTCGATTTGCTCGACGTGGGACCTCCATCACAACCGTACGGCCTGTTCGGAAGCTCGACGGCCATGCCCGGATGTCCCCCAACCATGTAGGCTCTCCGCCCTGCCCAGTCCACCTGCTCCTTCGTCTTGGCCCATACACGCGTGCCCTTCAATCCTCCCGCAATCCTGCACATGCCTTTCCCCCTGCACCCAAACCCAAACCCACCTGTCTGGGGCCAGGACAGTATCATAGTCTGTCATGGCCACTGCGTCAGGGGCCGAGATGGTCACATTCGGATTCCGTGTGTTGGTGTATGTGAAGTTGTGAATGATGCTGCAGTTCTGCGGTCCGGGCACTCCCGCGGGGCGCGATGCTGCAACCATGTTGACGACTGCAGCGGAGTACGGCAACCCCGCAAGCCGGCGCTGAATACAGCGCTCAATTTTAATGGTGGCGCCGACGGATTGGTAGATAGGGCGGAGGGTGGGGCCTACCGTGTCGAAGTGGTTTGCAAGCTGGCACGAGGAATTGTGGAGAGGGAGGAGGTGTTAACAGGACAGGATGGAACGTGGTAGGGTTATGTTGGTCGCTAGATAGACGAGGACACCATACACGATTAGGCCATATCGATATAACCCTCCGCAACTCTTATCCGGCATGGAAATAGTGACCCCCAAAGGATCAGCCAACCCCTAGTGTTTACAACCTTAAGCATATATAATTTGCGTTCAAACACCAACTATTATTCAGTATGGCGTGAGCGGCCCCTCGCACCTCTAGTCCAACGAATCGGAGCGTGCAACCCGGCGCAAGGGCAATTATCATCGCCAAGTTAGAAAAGTCCAGTACCACGTAGGCTTGAGAATTAACCCGCTCGGGGGTGGCTGTTATGGTCACCGAGCGCGTAAGGTTTACCGTTCTGCCGCTCGGCCACGACGAACGGTTCAAGGTAAGCGTGTCATTCAGATAGATAGTCTCAGCAGACGTCTCAGTTAAAGCTTTAAGCAGCTGTTCCGTAGTTGAGGCCAGAGCCTCAGCAGACGCCTGGACCGACTGGGCCGCTGTCCAAATGAGTGCAGCGTACAAAAGGAACTTGTCCATAATTGATATTGCCTATTACGAGTCTCTAGAATCATGTTTGCCTAACGTAGAGGAAGCGACTGGCTTGAAGGAAGCGCGCATTCATAAAAGCTCAAAAACGGTGGCCTTTGTTAGGATGCCTAAGAAAACGAGGGAGCGGAAAGGCGAAACTTCGAGCTTCTTGGGATCTTCGGCTGCAGACCGAAGACGTTAAACAAACGGTTTATGCAACTGACCAGAAAGTACGGTCCAGAGACCAACCGCAGATTTACCTTACCAGCAGGCTGCCAGATAGAGGAGTAGCGATTTTAGTATATGGACATCACCGGGGTGATAACTTTTAGTCGAGGAGATGAGAGCTAGCTAAAGTCTATAATTAGCAAAAAAGACAGTTGCAAGGTTGATTTAGGAGCGGAAGCATTGCCGCTAACAGACCTTATGAAGGTATAACCGTGACGAGGCGGCAGCAATCTACAGCATAATACGATGCTGGGGAATCCTGACGCGCATACAACTTGCGCATTCATCAAATAGTTGTAGCTACACAATACCAATTGCAATTGCCTAATGGGGGTGACTGAACTTTGGAAATGGGGCCGCCGCGCATCCGTCGGAGCCTCGCCTCATGGGCGGTCCTGCACCTGCCATGCCAAACGCTACGTCCCTGCAAAGAAGCAGCGACAGCCCCCAGCAGGCGGAACTTTTCGTGCGGGTGGTAAAATGCGGAAGCAACATGCTGCGGAACATGTGGCTGGTACGTCGCCTACGTATTTCGTTCCCTTAAGCTTGCTAAAACCCGAGATCATGCTATAATTACTTTCACCGCTAGCCACTACAACCATCCTGGAACGCCTGTCTGCCTAATGCGCGTTGTCGCTTACGGTCGAGTTTTGTCCCGAATTGCACGCCTTGTGCAATTCTCCTATGGCCATGCCCTGCGCAGCTATCTGTCTTCCTTCCAACCATGCAATATGTTTGTATTTCCCTGCCGTACCGCCATGCCGTACAACCGTCTTCCAATGCTCGGGCGTACGGCAACAGATGCTGACGAGCTTCTGCAGGAGCTGAACAGCGGCGGTGTGGGGTGGCTGCAGAATGAGGACGAGCAGGATTGGGGCCTGGACGATGTTGCTGGTGGGTGGGATGGCGGGCATGGGGGCCGAGTCCGAGTCCGTGAGTCTGCCGCTTGGCTCGCAGGCTCCCGCTTTACCAGCTTCAATACGTGGCATGATACCCATGCGTTGGCACTTACTTTGCATGTCCTTGTTGCGTTGCTTTGCACGTCTTACAGCTGGGGCGTTGCCTTACTAATGCAGTTCATGCGCGCACGAGGCAGCAGCACGAGCAACAACGACTTGGTTGTATCTCCGTGGCGGCGGCTCCCAGTGCCGATGCTACAGGTGCCCCGGGTGGCCGCCGTCGCGGGCCCAGCGTTGCGGACCCTATGACCCATGGGTCACCTCTGGCGACTGGATTGGCCCGTGTGCTTCCCTCGGTCGTCCAGGGAAGCCCGGCGCCGCATGCTAGTAATGCTGGTAGCGCGAATAGCAGACTGACAGGCGGCAGCGACAGCAACAACGACGGGGGCGTGGTTGAGCAGGGGCGGCAGCATGCAGGGTTAGGTGGTGTGGGAAATGGGAAGGTGCCAGCGGGAGAAGCAACAGCTGCAGCGCGAGTGGAGGTAGACGTGTCGTACGCTCGTCGTAACCCGGAGGTCGTGGAGGTGAGGATATGTGCCGTACAAGACACGTACCAGGCTCGTCAAGCATCGGGCAAAGGGGGAGGGAGGGGAAGGTATGGAACTATACGAATTATGGTTTCTTCAAGGGCTTAGGAAGTAAAGTAGAGTCATGGAAAAAAATGCATGGGTGACGTCCTGTTTAAATTTGGATGTATACCCGTCCCTCTGCGCTACTACCGGTACCCAGCCTTCCTAACGGCTCCAACGGTCTCAACCGCAGGCGTTGCGCCGTCAGGGCATCTCCGTACACGTCAGCCAACCTGACGAGGAAGACAATGGCGACGAGGAGGAGGAGGAGGAGGAAGACGCAAGAGCTGGTCGCGCCAGCTTAGATGAAGATGAAGATGAGGATGATGCCTTAGGTTTGGATCTGGAATCGGATCTCGGATTCGGCTCTGACGAAGACGACGTCAAGCAGCCGTCGTCGCGTGCCGGCGGCGGCGGCGGCAACCGCGGCGGCGGTGGCAGCGACTGGTACGGCAGCCTGGCAGCAGCGGGATTCAACATCCGTACGAATGCCTCGGGAGAGGTCTTCCTGGAACGAACGGTTCGGCGGAAGACTTCCTCGCAAGCCGCTACCGCTGCCCCCGCCGCCTCTGCTGCTGGTTCTGCTGCCACCACTTCAACCAATCCACCACCAAGTCAACCCGCAGCAGTCCGTCGCACGACTGCGAAATCCGCAACGACGGCGGCGGCGGCGCTGGTGCCGCCGCTGGCTCCGCTGACGGGTCGCCCGGCGGTGGCGGCGGCGCTGCGAGGGTTGCGGGAGCCGCAGCAGGTTTTAGATTTCTTGGATTTGTCGTACCCCCAGTGGGCCGCCAACGGTTACCGTTTGGTGGACATGCGGTCAGGAGGGACGGTGAGGAACGAGGCAGTTGGGAGACGGTTGGGGACGGTTGGAATAGGAGAAAAAACAGACACGGTTCCAGTAGTTAGGCTCCCTGCCGTACGGCATCCTTGATCCCTGTTCTCTCCCTCAACCTACTCCTGCATCCTCCTTCTCCTCCCTCTCCTCCTTCCCCTTCCTCGACGGCCCCAGGTGCCCGCCCCCTCCCCTGCGGAGGCTGCCCACTGCCTGCGAGCGCTCGCCCTCACCGCGCGCAGAACCAACATTGGCGGCTGGCGCTGCCTGGATTTAGCGGCTGGGAGGCAGGTGGGGTGAAGGTTTTGAGGAGAAGAAGAAGAGGGGGAAGGGGAAGAAGAAGGGGTATCTGGGGGCTTGTATGTCAGCGTGTACGATACGCATAGTGTTCTAACGAGGAGAGGCAGGTGAAGTTGGGTAGGTAGTTGGCGATGACAGCCGGGAAGATGGCAGCTGGGTGGGTAGATTAATGGGCAACGAGGAAACAACTAACTGACTGAGGGATAAGGCGTCAACATGGGTTGCAACATGTGAGCCAGCCCGACCCGCCCAGCCCGAATAAATAAATGGGGCAGGATGAGTGTTTTTGTGGTGCGGGGCGGGGGCTTCAAGGGTCAGCACTTGGCATAAAGCCGGAAGGCAGCTTTGGCCATGTGGCTTCTTGAGCAGGAGCGTTTTGCGGCCTGCCTTCAAACCTCCCATCCTTCCTCAGGCAGCTGCTTCACGTCTTCTACCTCTTGTTTATACTTACCCACCTCCTCCGCCCTCAGCCCTCCCTCCTTCCCTCCCTCCTGCCCCGATCTTGTCATCTTGCTTACCATTCTCATTCAACGCATCGGGTATTCTTCTTTTCCCTCCCCCCTCCACTTCCGTCCCTCAGGTCCAGGGCCTAGCCGAGTGCCTGCGCGCCACCCCGCCGCGCCTGCTGCCCGAGCACAACACTCCGCAGCGCTCAGCGGCGCACTTTGAGGCGGCGAGGAGGTACTGGCTGGCAGAGCAGGGCCCGGCGGAGGCAGGGGGCAGCAGCGGGGGGGACCCACGGGTCGGCAGCAGCGGCGGCAAAGGAAGAGGAGGAGGAGGAGATGCCGCTTCTGTGGGTGCTAAGGACGCAACGTATGACAAGCTACTTGCCAAGTACACCGCACTATCGCAGCAGAGCCAAGAGCAGCAACGACAGCAGGGAGAGCAGCAGCAACAGCAGGAGGGTCCCAACGGCGCGGCCGCAGCGTCCCAGTCGGCAGCTGCGACAACCCAAACAACATCTTCACCAAAACCCTCACCGTCTGCTGCTGCTGCTGCTGCTGATGTTACCACCCAGGCCCCGCCCAGCGCCGCGCGGTGCCGTACAGCTAAGATCGAGTGCCTAGTGGCGGCGCTGTGGGGCCTGTCTAGCCTGGTGAGGGGGGGGGGCAGGGGGGCAGGGTGCATGGGGGGGGGGTTGGTGTACGCCGGCGTTGGGGGATGTTGAAGGGGCGACAAACAGCAGGATCTCCCGCTTCCCTGACTCCTGACACGAACGAACCATGAACGTCTCTGTCCTCTTCGTTGCCCTTTGGAATGGGATCTGTGTCCAGAGTTATCCAGAACCCCAACCCTGCAACTCATTATATAACATCCCATTGGGTCGCGCACATCCCATCCACCCGCCCGAATCCCTCCCTGTGTCGTACACACACCACAGGGCGGTTCGCCGTACTTTACGGCGGAAACAGAGGCACTGCTCGCCATCCTCGTGCGCTGCCTGCAACAACAACAACAACAACAACAACAGCAACAATCAGCTGCAACAAGTACGGCAGGTGCTGCTGCTGCTGCCCGCACCGCTGGCGTCGCTGCTGGCAGTGGCAGGAGCAGCATTCGTGGTGGTGGTCTGAGCGGCTGGCAGGCGGGTCAGGTGCTATGGGCGCTGGGCAACAGCCGCCATGCGTCCCCGCGGCTGAGGGATCTGGAGGCGATCTTGATCAGGGTGCGTGGGGTGGTGAGGGTACGGGGGTGTGAGGGGCGGTGCGTGGGGTGATGAGGGAAAGGGCGGGGGATCCCAGGTGAGGGAAGCAAGGCTACAGTAGACCCCTAACGCTCTCCCTCCGCAGTCCCTCCCGCTCAACGCCTTCTCGTCCCGCCTTGCCCTCGCCCTGCGCCCCACCCTGCCCTGCCCCTCGCAGTCCGGGGGCCTGGCGTCCATGTGCCCCCGCGATGCGAGTCGGGTGCTGTGGGGATTCGCCTCGTTGGGATACCGGCCCGAGCGGCTGCTGGGCACCATCATGCCCGACTGGGGCTACGGCAACAGCAACAGCAGCAGCAGCGGCAGCGGCAGCGGCAGCGATAGCAGGAGGGGCGCGGGTCGTGGAGAACTAGAGGCATGGGGGATAGGTGTCCGGGCAGGCAGGGGGAGCAGAGGGGGCGGTTGGGGTGGTGGTGGAGGAGGTGGACGAGGAGGAGGTGTGGGTGGTGGGTTTGGGGATGTTCGTGACTTCAGTCCGCAGCAGCTGGCGGGTGTGGTGTGGGCACTAGCGGTGATGCAGGCAGTCAACAGTCCGCCCTTCAGGGCCGCATGGGCCGCGCTGCTGCGTGCCGCACCGCAGCTGCCCGCCTCTGAGCCCGTGCTGACGCAGGTGTGGCAGGCGGCACTTGCACTGCACCTGGAGGGGGAGGGGGCGGGGGAGGGACAGCAGGCGGCGGGAGCAGGAGGGAGAGGGGCAGAAGCAGGGACAGCACAACAACAGCAGCAACAGCAGCAGTCCTCCGGCGGCGGCAGCAACCGTAACCGCAGCAGCAGCAGCAGCAGCTCCACCACAGAGGATGTGATCGCATCCGCGCTGGCAGCTGCAACAGCCGCCGCCTCCTCCTCCGCTGCCTCCGGCCCAGCACTCTCCCCTTCCTCCTCCTCCTCCCCCCTACCCGGGCCACCAGACCCCGCCGCAGTCCGCAGTCTGCTGCTCCGAGCTGCCGCCACCTTCCAGGCCGCCAGCAGCGGTCTGCGGCGCCGCGTGCAGAGCAGCTACCAGCGGCAGATGGCCAACACGCTGTCGGCGCTGGGGCACCTGACGTTGATAGAAGACAACAGTGCAGGTGGGGGCGTGGGAGGGGGGTACAGGAAGGTTAAGGAAACTGGCCGCGAGTGGGAACGCATTGTGATAGTCGGATGATGAAGGCCACCAGAACGCCACGGCGTGGGTGTGGGTGTAAGCGAGTACGCATGTGTAGTTGGGGGTATACCGTAATTAGGGTGCGGGGGCTAGGGAGAGAGAGAAGCGTAACGCAGCTCGTGTGAGTGAAGCAGCTTAGCCCGGGTGAGGGAAGGGAGCAGGTGGAAGGGGAATGTTGGCCCTTACACACGCCTTTAGCGGTAGGTGGTCATGGGGGCACACGCGGGGAGGAAAACAACAGGGCACAAATACCGGTAGGGGTTTCCTGACGTCAGCTCGAAAAGGGCACCCTTCACACCCTCCTTCCTGTCATTCAACCTCCGTTGTTTCTCCCCTCCCGCCCCAGCCCCCTTCTCCCCTCCCGCGTCATTCCCTTCTGACCCTTCTCCCCGCTCCCCGCCTGCTTTCCTTCTGCTCCACAGGCGGCTACTCCGTAGACATATCGCTGCCCGCTCTGCGAGTGGCGGTGGAGGCGGACGGACCCACCCACACCGGCCGCATCCCCGGCTCCCCCCGCCCCACCCACACCGGCAGTCCTGGAGGGGCCCGGGGGGGCCCAGCCCAGCAACCCCCCCAGTCCCAGCAACCTACTTCGCCCCACCACTACTACGCGGAACTGGGCGCTACTGCCATGAAGCGGCGCCACCTGCGGGCGATGGGCTGGCAGGTGGTCAATGTGTCGTACAAGGTAGGTGGGGGGGGGAGCGGAGGCGCGAAAATATACCGGGTCCGGTATGTTGTTGAGGTGGAGGAGACACGGCCCTGTTTGCGTGATTGTCCTGTACGCGCCATCGCTCAGTGGTTGGCGTTGCGTTCACCGTATCTCCGCACACACAATCACGCAGTGGCCAGTTTTACAGCCAGTAGGTTGAACACTCAGCCGTTGCTGACCTGTGCCTTTCTGCTGCGGCTTCTTCTTCTTCCCTGATGTATTGATGGCTACCGGTGCTCCCAAAGCAAACCGCCTGTTGTGTTTCTTCCCACCTGGTGTCGCGCAGGAGTGGGACCGACTGACCTCCAGCGAGGCGAAACGGGCCTTCCTGCAGGTATACGGAGCAGGAGGGGGAGGGGTGGCGTAGGGTTATACCAATCATACGGTCTTACGTACCGGTACGTGTCGTACTAGGGCTCCCTGCTAGAGCAGGGCCTGCATGGCTGCAAGCGCTTGCATGGGCCGGTGGAGTCTAGTGGGTTTCGCACCATTTTTAAACTAACTTCAGTCCGTTATGCATTCCTACGCTTTAGTATAGACTTTATCTGCGGGCAAGGTCGCGCTCAGGTGCCCAGCTCTCGGAGCGGCCGTCCCGGGCCCTGCGCCCCTGTTTCACCACCCGTCCAACCCCTGCCCTCCTCTCCATCGTCGGCATCCAATTATCCTCGGTATCCCGCTGCCCGTTTTGCCCCGACCACACCACAGGAGCGCATCAACCAAGCTCTGCTGGAGGGGGTACGCGAGGCGGTGGCGGCTGCCGGGGGAGAGGAGGGGCGGGAGAAGCGACATGAAGTCGCGTGACCCGTGGGTCGGATAGAAGCACAGAACGGATATGAAAGTTGAGAGCAGTTAAGATGAGGCTCTTTGGTGGCTAGCCGCGCGGCCTAACACGGCCGCAAGCAGTTCAACTGTGGAGTTAGCTTACCTTTGTTCGTTGTTCGGGATGTGTGTGTAAGAGCGTACCGGTAACAGAGCTGCAATGCTGCCACACAGCAAGTGTGCATGCAAGTACGGTATGCCCCGATACGTCTCTAGACACCGGAGCACTGTGCGGAGGCGGACCTCGCGTGTGCAAGAGAGGCCGTGTGCGAACTGCGCAGGCAGAAGAATGAGAGAGGCGCTGGGGGCGGACGGTGCTCCGGAGCCCAGACGAGCCCAGCCCCTGTGAGGCTGTGGAAGACACTGGTTGGAGTGCCCGCTGAAAACTGAGGAAAGGGCTGGAAAGGGTGCCATTTTCGGAAGTTCCCCACCAAAGGCTTCCTTATTGCTTAAAAGGGTTTCCTGCTCCTCAACGAGCAGCATGAAGGATCCCTAGGGTGAAGGCCTGAAGGGCCCTCTTACTTGAGCAGATGCCGCCTTGATTAAGCGCACATTAAGCACACATGGCCAGCAAGCCACATGCAACACATGCGTCATGACTTCAACATACCTCGGTTTCTTACTTCCCAGAAACCGCGAAACGACATACAGGCAACGCAACAACAGACTCGAACACACACGCGCATGCATGCAACAGTTCGTCCTGCGCCCTACACGCCGCGCAACTTCTTTTGCCCTCTCCTCGTCTGCTTTCCGGTCCTACTATACAGTCAGAACACCCGGAGGTTACGGCAACCGTTACCTTGGTTGCTTGCGCGTTCAAGTGTGCCGTACGCGCCAAGGCTAAGAGAATACAGGCATGGCAGAGTAATTAGGCAGGGAGGCTAGGCCAAGACCGTTGCAAGACCAGTGAAAGGCAAAGCTAAACCTCCTACCAGACACGCTAGGCTACAGCCCCGCTGACGCAGCAGCAAAGACGCGAACCTCGGAAGCTTAATAACAGCCTCAAGACGTCTGCGTAATGGCATCCTCAAGCTCTTTCTGCACTATGGTCCATCAATGGGAGAACGCCGTAAACAGTGCAAGGAAAAATAAAAATAATGAAATGTTGCGACCGACCACAAAACCGGCAGACAACACCCAAGCAGCGGACCTCCACCATTACGTGCACATAACCAGGAAACAACAACAATGCGACTGTACCGCTAGCCTAACCATGTCACCACACCCTCCTATGATAGTAAAACATACCGTACAACCGAGACTGGTTCCACACATGCATGACACATGCATCACTTCACGCGTCACCTAACCCCTCCATCCAAAAGCAGGAACCGCCTCCTGGCCCCTACTAAAACCGTCCTGGAGAGCAAAGAAACCCCCCAACAGAAGCAATTTGTCGCAGCTATATAATGCTAATGCCCCCGTTGGTCTAACCCTGTTCCTTCCTTCTGTTCGCCTTCCTCCTGCCGATCTCCTTCCTCCTCCCGATCACCTTCCTCCTGCCGATCTCCTTCCTCCTCCCGATCTCCCTCCTTCCCTCCTTTCCCTTTCCCCTTCCCCGCCTCCCAGCCGCCCCGGGCTGCGAGCCCAAGCGCCTCAAGGCCCTGTCCAGCCCGCCCAGTGCACTCGTGAGCGCCAGACCGCCGGACAGCGCTACCTGGGGAATCCAGCGGGTAGACAGTTACGTTAGTTGGCGGTTGTAACATGCACGGAAGCGTTGAAAGCGTTGGGAGCAGAGCAGGGCGTGGGACACGATTCAACTAGGGACACAGGGTGGGCTGGGGGATGGACCTATCTGCAGTTGCCCCTGCGTAGCAAACAAGCATTGACATCCTTTCCCCTCGTAAATCCATCTCCATTCCACTCCATTTGTTCCTCCCAGATTCCCAACCGCCTCCGTTCAGTCCCTTTCCCCATGCGGGCCACCACCTCCCGCCTCCCCTATTGGCCACAGCCATTGTGTTCCTCACGTATCAATTCAATCGTGTCACGCGTGTCAATCCATCCTGTCATCCTATCCCCTCGCTGACCACGACGCACCTGCTCCGCTCTCTCCATCCACGCCAGACCCGGCCTCAGTCCCAGCCGCGACAAACTGTCCAGCAAGGTCACTCGGTGCGAGGGCGGCAGCTGAGACAGGAGACGCAGGGAGACCGGCATAAAGGCAGCGACCCACGGGTCAGGCAGCCGCCGAACCGCACGTAGTGCGGCTAGAGCCCATAGCAGCGTTGCCAAGCTGCGGGCGTCGTACAGGGTTGTGCCCGATTGGGACCGCTCAGGTGGTTGGGACCGTTGGGAGGAGGAGGAGGAGGAGGAGGCCGCGTCGTCGGATTGCATCCCAGCGTCCAGTGGATCCAGCGTGATGGATTCTGTCTTGGATCCTGCTGCAGTTCGGGCAATGGGCCTCGCTAGTTTCGTGGTTGCTGTCGACGTCGTCGACGCCAGCGGTGCCGTCTGTGCTGACAGCGTAGCAGCAGCAGCAACAGGAGGAGGAGCGGATTGAGTGGGAGGAGGAGGCGGAATGCGCGCGGCACTATGCTCTAGCGCCAGCGCCGCCAAGGATGCCGTACAAGCTCGCAAACGCGCCTCAGCCTGGCGAGATGCCCGCACTGACCCATGGGTCACATGACCTCCTCTTCCATGACGCGCCGCCGGCGTCGCCCCTGCCCGGCAACTTGCACCGCCACCGCTGACGTCAGCACCGTTGCATTCTCCCTCGTCGTGGCGACGCAACCGCCGCTGCCACTGCACCAACCGCCGCCGTTGCAGTTGCCGTACCCTCGGCTGCCGCCGCCACCTAGCGAGCGCCGCCGTCGCCGTCGCCAGATCCTGCGGCGCCAGCGCTCCCGCCCGCAGTCGCCTTATCACCGCTTGCGCCGCCTGGAGCTGCCAGTGTACCGAGGGCCACACGCCCATGCGGCTGAGGCCCCAGAAGGCCATTGCAAGTGCTTGCGCCCCCAGTCCACTGCTGCCGTCCATTCCCGTGCTGACACCGCTTGGACGAGATCGTGATCGCGGCCCTGGTTCTGCAACTCCCACAGCACCCCCAGAACCATGCGGCTGTTTTTCCTGAGGCTGCGATGGCTCCAGTTGCAAGGGATCCGCATGGGGAGATCGTGGGCTGGGCCCTTGCCCTCGGCCTAACCCTCCAACAGCCCCGTCCCGCACAGCTAGTCGTCTCCGCACCTCCGCCAGCAGAGCCGTCGTGAGGCCCGGGGTTCGCAGCCCCAGCCGCCCCAGTGACCAACACACGAGTGCCAGATCCCGACCGCTGTAACCCGCCAGGTCGTACGACGGCTGAGCCCGCAAGCGGTGCGGGGAGTGTACGGCAGCTGCTGCAGCTGCTGCTGCTGGGCTCGCAACCGCAACCAAAGTTGCAGCAACAGGGATATTTGAGGCGCTGGCGGGTGCAGAAGCATGCGACGGTGAGGGCAGCAGGAGTGCAAGCAGGTCGCCGTACAGGGGGGGTCTTCGAAGCTCAGGAGCAGGCTTGCGAACCCACCGCGGCAACGGTGGGTGCTGCTGCTGCTGCTGCTGTTGTTGCTGCTGCTGATGTTGCTGTTGTCGGTTTTGTTGTTGCAGTGTCTGGTGTTGTGGCGGGGCGGGCTGTGAGAGCTCCTCCAGACGCGATGTCTCCAGCGTCACAACCGCCCACAGCAGACTGCACCGCTCCGCAGGGCCCAGGAACCCACCGGCGGCCCAAGAAGCCAGCTGCACCTCCCTCCGCGGCGGCGGTGCTGCTGCTCCCGTCAGCCCTTGCTGCGTCGAGGACGGCAGCTGCTTCGAATCCGACCCCAACCTGAACAACGCCGCCAAGCCGTCGGAACCATCGGCTTCAGCCACCGCGTCCTCCGCTTCCTCCTCCCGGTACTGCTCGGCACCGGCGCCATCCGCTGCCCCGCTGCTCTCCTCCTCCTCCTCCTCAGCCTCCGCCTCAGCCTCCTGCTCCAGCCTTGCCCTCAACACCTCTTCCAACCCCGCCAGCCACCGCACTCCAGGATGCAACCCAAGCTCCACAAACCCACGAACCGTCAGCGCCAGCCCACGACCGCTCATGGCCCCCAGCCGTCGGTGCGTCGCCAGCAGCAACGTGCCCGCGTGCTCCCGCGGCAGTGGCAGCCGCAGCGCCGCCGCCGCCGCCAGCAGTAACGCCAGCGACTGCGGATGCGCGTACGGCAGGCAGGGGTGCAGCCCCTCCAGCAGCGCTAGCCAGGTCGCCGGCGGCGGCCGGAAGCGGAACCGCGCCAAGGCTAGAAGCACGAGCGAGATGTGCTTTGCATGGGCGGCGGCCGCCGCCGCCAAGGGCGCCGAGGGCGATAGCTGCTGCGGCCTGCCCAGCGCTAGACGTGCCGCGGTGGAGGCAACCGCATGCAGCCAGGACTCCTCCGGCCGGAAGCCCAAACGAGCCAAACTGTTCACGACATGTGCCAGATCCCGGAGGCTGTAGCGCTGCACGGCACCGCTGCCGTACGTTCCATCGCCGCTGCTGCTGGCGGCGACGCCGACAAGCTTGACGCCGGCTGCTGACGTCGCCGCTGGCGACTGCCCTTGGGACGCTGGCGGCCCCAGCCGTGCATGGTGTGCATGGTCCGCGACGGCGGCCAACCAGTCGTCGCTGGGTCGGTGCTGCAGCACCGTGAGGGCTGCTAGGGCGTTGGCGACGGCGCGCGGGGGAGTGTACGGCAACCGACGGAGCAGGTGCGTACAAGCGTCCTGTAGCGGATGGAGGAGGAGGGGGGGCGAACGGGGATGCTGAGATGAGGGCTAGACACGTGGCAGGGGTGCGAAGGTGAGGAGGTGCTGCATGAGCGGACAAGAACCTTGAACCAGTTGTGCTGAAGTATCCAGAATGGGTTCATCAGGTCATCCTGACAATGTGCTACCGTATCAAGGTATCATCCATGAAAGAAAGCAAGAACTACTGGCCGCTAAGAAACATACCGTATGTACAGGCCCCGACATGCGATACAGTACCCAGCATCGAATCCAGGGTTCGCGAGACGCCGTACCAACCTGCAGCCATGCCTCCTCAGGCCGGTGCCCAAGCGCCGCCAGGGCCCACAGCTGCGCCGCCAGAGTGCGACCATCTGTCGTGCGGAACTGTCCGCGGGCCTTATCCAACCACCTCTCCATCCATACCTCAGCCGGTCGGAATCCCATAACGGCAACCGCCCACAACAACTGACACAGGTGTCGTGGACTGAAACACGACAGCCGGCCGGCTGCTGCTCCCAGCAAGCGCTCCATCCATGCAGCTTTGGGTCGGTACGACAGCCTCGCAACCACCCAGGCCAGACTGGAGATCTGGATCTCGTTCATCTGGGGCATCGTACGGAAGGCCTGGCCTAAACAGGCATCCATCCAGGCGGGGTCCGGTCGTACATGCAACCTCATGAGTGCGAAGAGGCTCATGGAGAGTTGCCAGGGTTGCATGCGGTGCAGGCGACCGTGTAGGCATGAGAGGTAGGAACGTAGCAGGGCAGGAGGCGGTGGCGGCGGTGGTGAGGGCGAAGAGGCTGTTGCTTTCAGTATGTACGGCAGCGCATGCAGCGTGGCGGTTAACTCAGGCAGATCAAAGGCCTCGAGTGTGTCGTACAGGCTGCCGTACAAGGCGCGAAGGAAGGAGGGCGGCAGGTGTCGTGCGTACGGCACCAGCGCGATGACGGTGGTGGAGAGGGCATGAGGCGTCCACTGCCGCAACAGCCCTTCCTCCTCCTCCTCCTCCTCCACTTCCTTCTCCAATTCCTCCCTCTCCAAGCATGACGTCAGGCCGGCAGACCTAACGCCTGCTTCGGCTTGCTCTGGGCCCCTGACGCCCTCCTGACTGCTTCGCATCCCAGACACCTCGCTCTCATCGTCGCTTTCGCCGTCTTCCCTCCCCTGCTGTCCCTGCTGCCGCCGCCGCCTTCTCGCCCTCCCAGCAGTCACCAGGCTCGCCTCCAGCCGTGCTGCCACCCTCCGTACGACATCCGGCCGTAGCACCAGCCCAGCCCTCGAAACCGTGCCTAGCAAGTACGCCACGTGTACGACAGGGGTGGAGGCGTCCGTACGGTTTACGAGGTAGCGTCCGCACAGCTCACCCCAGCCCTCCGGCAGCTGCGTCGCCAGGGTTTGGAGGTCCCGCAGGAGGCATGACAGCTGGGTGGGAGTGAGGGTGAACGGAGAGGGGTTCAAGGGCAGCAGCGAGGGGTCCTGCGGGGATGCCCCTGCCGCTGACGCTGTACGGAAGGGGGCCGCCGCCTCCGCCGCAGCTGCTTCCGCTGTTGCCGTTGGAGCGGCGCCTGCGGCGGCTGCCCTCAAGGATCGAGCCCTTCTACGCGGCTGCAGCACCCGTGGCGGGGTGAGCTCCACTGGGCCCACCATTCGCTGCTCCTGCCGTTCCGCTGCTACAGCTCCTGAGGCCACGCCGCTAACGCCGCCGTCGCCGTTGCCGCCGCCGGCGACGGCGTGCCTTAGCATCTCGTCAGCTCGTGCAACAACAGCCTCCATGAGCCCTGTCGGCGGCTGCAGCCGCAACGCCGCCATTGCCGCCGCCAAGGCGCAGAGCTGCGCCGGCGGCGCCGCCGCCAACGCCGTCGGCGTCAAAGCCTCGTACGCCTCCGCCAGCACGTGACGAGGCGGAGTACGATGCAGTCTGCTACAGCCCGCTAGCAGATCTAAAACCAGTCGCGGCTGTAGCTCAGCCAGATCGGGCTGTAGCAGTGCGAAAGCCCGCTGTAGCAGCCCCTCCGTGGGTGGTAGCGCCAGGTCAGCCAAGCAGCCCAGCAACTCCACCACCTGGCAGGGAAGGCAATGTGGAGCGCACGCATCGCGGCACAACGGTCAGGGACATTATACGCAATGAAGAGTGAAAACAAATGAAGAAAACTATCTAACGGCTAACTACGTAACGGCTAACTACGGCTGATGTGTCAGCGCCTTGCCCTGGCTTATGCTGCCGGGAAGCAGGGAACGCAAGCACCGACACCAAAATCGGAGGGGTCCCGACCCGAATTAAAACCCCGGGAAATGCGCAGAATGTAGGGGGAACATGGAAGCAAAACCCAGCAATCTGCGACCGTGACGCCCAGGCCTGCGGTGCCTCCGATGGGACTAGGAAGCACCCCCCAGGCCAATCCCGTCGTACACACCTGTGGCGCGGAAAGCTGCGCTAGGTGCCGAGACAGCGACTCCATGGCCGCCGCCGTCCATTGCAATCCTGGCGGGCGGACGTGTAGGGCCCGCATGGCGACCAACATGCCGTACACCTCTGTCGCGTCGGCGTACGGCAGTAGTGGTTCCGAAGCCGCAAAGTAAGCGTGGACCCATGGGTCGGGCGGCACACGTCCCGCCACCGCCAAGAGCTCCAGGCAACGCTTGAAAGACAGGAGAAAGCAAAGGGAGGGACAGCTTAATTTGGTGCTTAATGCATGGAGGCGTGGACGACGCATGGGACGAACGTGCTACGAAAGTTGCAACCCCGTATCATAACGTATACCGACCCGCAAACCAAAGGCATACTTGACCAAAGACTTACTTGCAGCTGCGTTACCGAAAAGCGAGGCAGCAGCGGTTGCAACAACTCCAGAGATTCACTGATTGCCAACCGATCAAGGTCCGCAAACGCCTCCAGAAGCGGCTTAGGCGGCGGAGGCGTGTCGCTGGCACAGCTGCCCTGCACGCGCCGCTGTGACCGCCGCTGCTGCTCCTTGCCTTGTTGCTGCTGCTGCTGTTGCTCCTTGTCTGGCAAGGGGAGCTGGTCACTGGCCAGCTGGAGTAACTGTACGGCAACCTGAGCTGGCTTCAGCTTCCGCCGCCGGCGCTGCAACTGCAGCCAGCGCGTATCCCTCCAGCCTGCTGCAGCGGCGGCAGCAACGGCAGCCGCAGCACCATTGTTGCCGGTGCCATGCATGCCATGTGCAGCTGCGGGGCTGCTATTGGCACCAGTGCTGGTACTGGAAAGTGAGTGCGATAGCCGCCGGGCATGAAGGAGCTGCTGCTGTTCGTAATCGTCGGTGGCAGGCTCCGGGAAGGTGTTGCCATTGTGTCCGCCCAGAGGTGGCGGGAAGGGCGACGGTGGCAGACCGGCACGGCCCAAGACCAGTGGTTGCAGCTGCAGTGCGTGCAGGGCAGTACCGCAGAGCGTTTAGGTAAAGGAAGGGTAGACCAGGAAGGGGATTTAGGCTCATCGCAATGTAGCAATCCCTACGACCTGGTCTGCAGGTGCTGCAAAATGTGCCGTTACAAAGCGGGCTCATTAAGGGATAGGTAGAGGATGAAGGACGCGATCGAACGACGCACCTGGCCCACAACTGTCGAGACAGCTGCTGGTCCACGACGATGGCTTACAACGTCATACCTGTCGCTGCAATTAGCATAGGAAATCACTGAAGATCAAGAAGGGCTTTGTGGCTGTTGGCGGCTTGCCACATGACGCATACCACTGGAAAGCTAAAAATTGGTCCGTTATCACTTACATAAGGCTATACACTAATGGAGCACAAAATGTGCGTGCGGTTGCCGGGTACACCGACGAGACTTCCGTTCTTGGTGCACCATGCGCGCTATGCTCCACAATTTGCATACCGACATTGCTGCATACTCCTAGTTTACTCATTTACTTGTTGTCTATATGACTGTCATCTATACCTCCTCATTGTCAATTTCTTTCTCCAGTTGGTATGAAGGACCTGAGGCTGTCCATGTTACGCGAAGGAAGCAAAGCTACCGGTGGTGCTTAACAGACGGTCTATGCGGTATGACCGTGTAGTAATAATAAATCCACATATAGCCGTGCTCGCTCTTCCCAACTTGTGTCGTACGGTTTCTAATTGCCTTTCTGACGCTTGCCCTGGGGCTCGTCAAGAGTGCAGACCACCCCCTATCCACTGACATAAGATCGCAACCCCCGCGGCCCCCTCAGCGCCAAGGTAGGCGCCAGGAGCTTGTCAGAGCGTGTTAGTCGGCGTTGTGGCGTTGCCTTTGTTTTAATTGGAAGTAGAACATATGGTTTTGATCGCGATTATGGGCAGATCGAATTCGCCACACCGTCTTGTAACGATCGCCACCATCCTCCGACAGGGAGACACCGTTAATGGGGGAAAGCCGACGGCCATGGGCCTTCCAGCTGATTCCACAAGCCAGGACGTTGTTGAGGTGAGCTCCGTTGATCGCATCAGTGGCAAGGAGAAGACCGGACTGCTGGAGTTGCTCGCCGGCATGTTGCTCAGTTCGGCGAGCAACTCCAGCAGTCCACTGATGCGATCAACGGAGCTCACCTCAACAACGTCCTGGCTTGTGGAATCAGCTGGAAGGCCCATGGCCGTCGGCTTTCCCCCATTAACGGTGTCTCCCTGTCGGAGGATGGTGGCGATCGTTACAAGACGGTGTGGCGAATTCAATCTGCCCATAATCGCGATCAAAACCATATGTTCTACTTCCAATTAAAACAAAGGCAACGCCACAGCGTCCTTAATGCGTCCAAAGCGACATTTGCTATTCATGGCAACCTTTTCGCCCTGTCTCGACACCATCTATGTTGCTGCAGTGGAAAACAGATGGACAGCATTACCCGTTTAATGTCTGCACCCAGGGTGCTTGGCTCCAAGGGCAGGGTATGCACCCAGCCCCGGGTATCAGCAATGCAAAGGTGCAAATCGCATTCGTACCAATACTGCACCAGCGCAGGCTTGCAAAGGGTGGCATGCCCGAACACGCTTACTTTGCCTAATTGGCTGCTCTATGGAAGGCAGGTACCTACATGTAAGGACACACATGCGCACCAAACCACCATCCGCATAAAACTTGGTATAGACAAATGGAGTACCAGTAAATGGAGTTCTGGGATCTTGCCGTGTCGCAGCCTACCGTAGCGTTCTAACTACGCTACGTTTACGGCGGTAGCTGGCGGTTGGCTACAAGACGCGTCGCGGTTAACGAACGGAACCAAGATAGACGCAGCTTCCAGCTGTTGAAGCGGATTCAACTGTTCATGTCTAATGGTTAACATGTGCGCTGTATCAATTCGTTCTGAGCCTCACACGTTCGAAAACCAGGCTAGTATGAAACAACGTTGCTTGCACGCCATCAGAGCACAATGATACCGGATCATATCGAACGTCTATTCGAGTGTATGTTGTGTATCTTTGTTCATATCCTCTCTATGGAGCTGTCCATGTACGTGCGGCTACAGCTCTGTCCTAGAACTCCTGCTCTTTGACATTTATTTCCGCTGTAGTGAGATCATTATCGCTCTGCTTTTAAAATTATGCTTTCAGGGTGTTTCGTTTACTTGTTTCCTTGTCGGGCGAGTGCGCGTACACTTGCAGACCCCGCAGCGTGACATTGTGCAATACTGTGCCATTCTTACTGTGTTGTTACTAAATGCATGACTACGTTTTCTACTTAAAAATTGGCAGCCTGCCCCTAGGCCAGGCCAGGCCAGGCCCTGCCGGGCCCTCGCCTGCCTCGATCGCATACTTGAACATAATCGCGCCAGAGTCTTGGTACAGATAGTCCGCCTATGAGAGACTGGGAATCTGGATAGCACAATACTTTAATACGTACATCACCGGAAAGCCATCGGAAAGCCATCCCATCACTCCTTTAGATTTGCAACCCACATGCAAGTGCCTCATGGCTAAGGTAAACTATTGTAGCGAGCAAGCATCCTACTTCGCGCGCGCCTGCTTCTTTCCCCTGTCGAGAGACCCGAGACTGTTACATGGCATCGTCCGCTGGCATGACTGCAGAGCTAAGCTACGGACCGGTGGCTAGGTGACGCCAGGAGCAGTAGTGCACATCTTAAATACTTACAACATGAGAATAAGTGGGCTTGCGACGAGCTACCAGCATCGCCAAAAATTATGCGCGCAGACTCCTAGAGCTTGCTGCTGTCTACTCGTCAACCGGCCCCTCTTGGTGCTGGTGCTGCTGGGGCTTATGCTGAGCCTCACAGCCGCTAATTCAGCTGCCAGCAACCAAACGAATACAAATGCTACTCCAGTCCCCCAAACAGGTAAGCTAAGGATGGGTTGTTCATGTGCTTGTACGTCACTTGCTTCTTGCTGGGTTAGATTGGGTTTGGTGTTCCTTGGTAATGGAGGTATGGCTTGTTTGCTGTTAGCTAGACAACGCCATACATTACCGCATTGCCCTGCACCAAGACTATGAACTCTCTATCCTGTCTCTATGCCGACATGTATGTGCTCCTTGCTTTGCCCTCCACAGGGGATACCCCGCCACCGCCACCCAGCCTTCCTTCACCCTCGCCCAGCGTTCTTTCGCCCTCGTCATCACCGCCCAGCACCCCTTTGCCTTCGCCATCACTTTCGCCCTTACCACCGCCCAGTCTCCATCCATCGCCACCGCCCAGCACCCCTTCTCCTTCACCACCACCTAGGCCTCCTTCGCCCTTGCCGCCGCTCAGTCCCCATCCGCCGCCACTGCCGCCCAGCCCCTCCCCACCCTCGCCATTGCCGCCCAGCCCCTCCCCACCCTCGCCATTGCCGCCCAGCCCCTCTCCACCCTCGCCATTGCCGCCCAGCCCCTCTCCACCCTCGCCATTGCCGCCCAGCCCCCCTCCACCCTCGCCATTGCCGCCCAGCCCCTCCCCACCCTCGCCATTGCCGCCCAGCCCCTCCCCACCCTCGCCAAAGCCGCCCAGCCCCTCCCCACCCTCGCCACTGCCGCCCAGCCCCTCTCCACCCTCGCCACCGCCGCCCAGCCCACCTCCACCCTCTCCACCGCCGCCCAGCCCACCTCCACCCTCGCCACTGCCGCCCAGCCCCTCTCCACCCTCGCCACTGCCGCCCAGCCCACCTCCGTCCCCTTTACCGCCTCCATCGCCGCAGCCTCCCCAGCCCCCACCGTCCCCGCCATCTCCCGCCCCGCCAAGCCCTTCCCCACCTCTACCACCACCCCCTTCACCACCGCCCGCACCTCCACATCCGCCATCACCGCCGCCCCCAGGCGGCAAAGACAGAGGTGTGCAGCTAGCCATACGGGTTTGCATGCGGGATGGAGTGTCAGGAAGCATGACCGGCTTTGCTTAACAGGCAGCTTGGAAAGACCCTTCATCAAGTTTCTGGCCGTCCCTAGCCTTCTGTCCTTTAGGCCGCCTTCAAGCACGTGTCACAGAAGCACGGCCCCAGGCGTGTGTACAGTGTCGCCCTTGTTGGCTTGGTGCGCGCTGGAGCCAACGCGTCATGTATGTAGGCAATCCGCCTCGTGTTAACACCCCATAACCCCATAACCCCATAACCCCGCATCACCCTGCGCAGTCAGGGCGGGTGCCATTGCGGGCGGAGTGGTGGGCGGTGCGGCTGCAGTAGCTGCCGTCGCCTTCATGTACGGCAAGCTAAAACAGCGCCGCCAGGCTAAGCGGTACGGAGACCCTGCCGCGCCCCTGTTCACAGGCTTCGAGGGCCAGCAGGGTGGCGGTGGCCGCGGTGGTGGAGGTGGCGGCGGCCCTGGTGCATCTAGCAACCGTAGCTGTGGAGATGGACGTAGCAGTAGCGGTGGTGGCGGCAGCTCGGGCACCAGTTGGCCGGATGGAGGGTCCCAGCCGGCCACAGCCAGCACTGCCGTGGCAGACCCTTTTGCGCCCAGGCCAGGGCATGGAGCGAACCTTGTTGAGGTGGTCGTGGCGGATCCGACACCGCAGCATCCCGGCAGCATGCAACCAGGAACCCAGCCGACGGACCCGTTCACGCATGGCTTCCGCACTACAGGAGGCTACCCGCAGGTGCCAACACAGCAGCGGCTGCCCCCTGCTGCACCCTACGATCCGTTCCCAATGGTCGGACAGCAGCCGGCATCCATGAGGGCATCGAGTGGGGTGTTCAGGTGTGTGCGTTTGCATCATTTGAACAATTCGAACGGTTACTTCGATAGCCGTAACCGCTCTTGACATACAGCAGGAATGCATGCATGTAACGGATGTTGTATGCTTGGTGCGCATGCAGGGAGTATCCGTACGAGGTCCTGTTGGCGGCCACTGCCAACTTCAGCTCGACAAGCCTGATCGGCGAGGGCGGCTTAGGTGCCGTCTACCGCGGTGTCCTACACGGAGAGGAGGTGGCCGTGAAGCTGATGTACGTGAAGCCACACCGCGGGCTGCCGGAGTCGCAGCGGGTAGGGCCTGCTTGCTACTCCCCTGGTTGTCATGCCCCGCTTGCAGGGGTCAGCTTAGCAGGACAACAGACCCTTAGCAGGCATGTGCTGAGCTTCGCCACCGTCGCTTGTAGGTCACGTCGCTTGTAGGTAGCCCCGGTGAATCCCCTGTGATGCCTTCAATGCTTGCCTGCTGTGACTGCTGTGATGCGTGCAGGCTTGGAACCAGTTCCTGAGCGGGGCCGACGTCCTTACCCAGCTGAGCCACCCCCACCTAGTGGCCTTGCGTGGCAGCTGCCCAGGCCAGGTAGGCGCCAGCAGCAGCAGCAGCAGCCCTACGGGTGCCGTACGACTCAGCACCAACTGCTAGTACACTCCGCTGGTGTACTGATGTTCCTTAGATCCAGGGCGTTTATCTTAAACAGCGACCCTCCATTACCTCTGCACCTGTAGCTCCAACCGTTACTACCGGTCACCTCGGTTTTGCACCCCACATGGCCGTGTGCCATTCCATCTAGTGCTAGCACGCCTGCAGCGGCCGCCTTCTGCTGCCATAAGCCTTGACGCCTTCCAGTTTCGGCCGTATCTTACTGACCCTTATATATACCGCGTCTCCCACGCCCTGACACCCGCCCACAGCGCATCCTGATCTACGAAATGCTGCGAGGCGGCAGCCTGGAGGACCACCTCAGGAAGGACGTCACCCAGCCCCCGCCCGGAGGCTGGCTGCACTGGAAGAACCGCGTGCGGATTATGGCGGAGATCGCCTCGGCGCTGGCCTACCTGCACACCAACAACCCGCCCGTCGTACACATGTAAGTGCCGTAGCATACCGTACACTCTCTCGTTTATCTCTGGACACGAGGTTATTGGACCATGTCCTTGTCCCTGATGCTTGAGTCCAAGTTCTACCCCTGTATGTTCTTCTTCTGGATGGACCTTGTGGATGCAGGCTAGCATCCTACGTGACCCGTGGGTCGTCCAGTTAACCATGTTGACCCCTTCCTCGACCCATTCGGTCCCCCCAGGGACCTCAAGCCTGCCAACATCCTGCTAGACACGCAGCGGCATGCTAAGCTAGCTGACGTTGGCCTGGCACGCGTGCAGCGGGGCACCGCCATCCCGCCAACGGATCAGGTTGGTTGGTAACCACTAGATGTTTGTTTGCTGGCACACATCCTGCTTTATCATGATGGCGGCAGCTACTGAGCCAGCGGGGCCAGCGGGCCAAGAACGGTGCATGGGCAGCATTTCCAACATCACTTCCACCCATGCCAAGGTGCAGGGGCTGCCCATGTGCACTGCTGATATGCACCCACAACGTTGGCAGTACACCGCCCACCTACCTACCCTGCTCACCTCCTACCTCGCTCTTCATCCCCCCCCACAAACACCTGCCCTACCCCCAGGTGACCCCCTCCCTGATGCGCGCCACGTGGGGCTACCTGGACCCCGAGTTCGCCTACACCGGCGAGTACGGCCCCAGCAGCGACGTATACGTGCTCGGTACGTGCCTCATTTCATGCGTGCCGTAAGTATTGTTACACAAGACTTTGGGCGGATTACTCGTCGCTGTTGCTTGTGGATTTTGAATTCATGGGTTTTGGTTTGAGTTGGATTAAGCAGGGAGTCACTCGTACCTAGTAGCACACTGGCTGACCGGCTTGCTGCTAGCCAGCTGCATATGAGCTCGTGGCACCAAAAGAAAGCCGCTGTAACGCGCGAGAGCGCCACACCACATCGCCCCGCAGGTTTCATCATGCTGCGGTTGCTCACATGCGACCACCGGCCAAACCTTATCGAGCGGGTACGGCAGGCACGGACGAGCCATGACGGGTCCTTGTTTCGAGAGATGGTGGACAAGCGCGCTGGCTGCTGGCCGCTGCCCGAGGCGGAGGACTTTGCAGACCTGGCCCTGCGCTGCGCCGACCCGATGGGTCAGAATCGGCCGCAATCGGAGTGAGTGGTGATGTGGGAGGGTGGTATTGTTGTTAGGCCGCTGGCGTCTCAGCATGCATGCGCTGCTAGTGGGGATGGTAGAGATATTGTGCGGGGAGGGTAGCTGCTGTCTTGCCTAAAGACGGATGTAGGTGTAAAGGTTAGGGTCAGCATGGGCGTGAGCTCCTTGCATGTCGGCTCATGACTAATTAATGTACTTGCCGTACTGCTCCCTGTACGTCCTTCCACAGTACCGTAATCGTACGGCACCTGCAGCAGCTGGAGATGCGGTCGCAATTGTACAAGGACTAGTAAGGCTCCTGTGCGATATGTAGCGAGAGATGATGACACGCTTTCCGTTGTACAAGGACCAGGCCTTGCAAGTTAGAGCATGCTGGCAGTACAACGACGGCTACGGCGTATACCGGAACGGGGACCATAGCCAGTAGCTACTGCCGCGGGCTAACCTGTTGAATGGGCTTACCGGCTTGGGGCTGACCTGTGTTGCCGGGATGCGGGATCTGCGTTTAGTTGTAGAGCAGTTGGTCTGCGCATCATGACCAGTGTGTAGGTTACATGCACATGCCAAAGCTACTGCCTGCTGTGTCGTCTGTAAGTTGGTATCCCTTGGTCATCAGATCAAATCAGACTGCACATATTGTGACGCATTTGCTTCCAGCAGCGACCACGAGCGCTGCAGACCTTGGAGGCTATTTCACGAACATGCGCGCGCGTGGAGGTATGTAGATGATAGGAGGCAGGTACTTGGAAGCATTGAGAAACAGCTAGCAAAGTGTGGCAACCCATGACTGGTCTTTTGCGTTTGTTGTGTTGGTTCGTGGTTGGGGTTGTGTTTGAGACGTAGATAGCCCCAGCAGCGCGGCTAGGGGGCATCCACATTGACAGCAGCTATCATGGGTAAAACGAAGTACGTTCTTGTTGTACATATAAAGGGTCACGAAGCGGCTGTCGGAGTCGACTCCTTGGCGTGTCGTGCCGTGGTTAGCGTAGGGCTGGCAGCTTGCTTGTCTGGCATGCTGATTGCTTGTGCATATGGTATCTTGTATCAGGTACAAGACGTTGACATCTTGCCTGGAAGTGTTGTGTCGTACCATAGCTGCATTGAATGCTTTGAGAGCTGCAGCATGCAAGCTGTTGTGGAATGACCCATGGGTCTGCCATGGGTGCCGTTGGGTGTAGGAGACGTGTCATCGGCAATGAGCACACATGGAAGAGCGGCCTGGAACCGCATGCAATTTACATCGATACGTGCCTCAGGCGTCGTACTGCAGGCCAAAGAAGCCTGCATGCATGCAGGCAGGCAGCCATGACAATGGGCAACACTGGAAAGGCAGTCACACGCATGCGTAAAACGCGCAGGCTAAGAGATTGGCGTACAGACGTTGAGCGACCCGTATTCTCCAGTTGCATGTTCCTTGCTTGGCGCTTGGATTTGTAGACCATAGATGCAAGCACCCCATGCAAAACTTCTAAGGCAATTCTAAACCCTCAACAAACGCAGACCAACAATGGATATAAAAAAGACACGCAAGAGACACGTACAGCCTAAACGTACATCCCGCTGGAAAAACTATACTTGGCGAATATATGGCAGGCCAGCCGACATACATGGCACAATGGAGCAAGAACGTTACGGCCCACACACAAGTTCCCCACAGAACACTTCCTATTTATGCCGCGAAGCCAAGAGGGAGAATTTACACCTTGACGCTCTCAGAGGAGTCCTTACTGCTGCCACGCACCAGCTAGCTGTCAAGTGTGGTGTTATCTTCCAACTCCTTGCGCTACCTTCTTACCACTTCCTACATGCATGACTACTCCCTCCACACCTCCCCTCAATAAGGCCTAAACGCTCCTCAAGCCTGCATCGCGTGTTAAAGAACCCCAGCAACAACCGACAGCCCCATGGACGAAACCCAAAGCACCTTCCTGCTGGTAACCGCCAGCTAAGGCATTCCCTGTCACTCACGCTTCAGGCATAACCAAATGCCTCAAAGGACTCCCGCCACCTCTTTCGTACGACGGCTTCCGCCTCGGGTGACAGTCTTGAAAGCGTTGGCAGGACGTGTGGGCGGCGTTGAAACAGGATAGGGTATGATAGTGGGGCACCGTAAGTATACATAGCCGCATGCTTGGTGCGCTGAAGGAGACACGGACAACTCGGGGTGTGGGGCGTAAGGTCCTGCTATCCGGGTTGGAGCTCGTCTCATACGGGAGAAAACTACAGTCACAGTTACAGTATGTACGCGTATACAGTGTGTCCGTACGAGCCAGGGGGGCCAAGGACACTATAAGAATCAAAGTCAGTCTGAGTCAGGGTCCCCTACAGGCCTAAGTTTAGGGGCTCTGCGCAGATGGTTTCTGACAGACATACGGGTCTCCCATACGCGGCTCAGGTAGTGGGATATCAGGTGGGATATCAGGTAGGGAGATAATGGTGGGCTATTTGAAGTGCCCCTTCCACGACAAGCCTTTTGTCGTCCAGTCGGGCCGCTGACTATGAGGTCTATAAACGACACCAAGTAGCTATGAAGCGAGCAAGACAGCCAGGAATATGGGACTGAAAACGTTAATGGGACGCGTTTTAGCACGAAATCGCAAGGTTCACACGCAATGGTTAAGGCAAGGAATTGCTCCATTGCATCCTATCCAACTTACCGGTTGAAGTGGTTCTTCTTGAAATCTTCCAGGCTTGCCACGTACTCCTCGAAGCGGGGCCGTACGGCGTCGAATTGCTCGTCCCACCTGTACATCAACGTACGGCATGGCGCACCCAGCAGGATCCACCTTAATCCGGGTTGGAACTTTCAGCGAGCCTCATGTGACCCATGGTTCTGTTTTTCCCACGATTCCACTTTACCCTGCATTAGGTTGAGCGTCCTTTGTGCAGAAACGCACCACCATCCATGAGTGCCGCGGATTTGAGTACCCGCCATTTACCATTATCAACGCTACCAAGGTAAAGCACGCCTTTCCCTAAACCACCGAAAAAACGCGTAGGTTTCAGCCACCCATGAGCCATGCGATAAGGTGACAGTGCATCTGGCTAGCTGCTCGACTGCGTGCCCTTCCGCTGCGCCCCCATGGTTCTCCGCTCACCCAAACTGCTTGTAGATTCGCTGCAGTACGGCGAGGGGATCTGAATCCAGATCCGAAAAAGAAACCTCCACCAACCGGCCCGCTGGCACGTGCTCACGATCCGCCATGTAGGACCTGCCCAGATACAACCATACAAGGTAGAGTTGCTTAGTTCCTCGTACACATAAGTTATAACTATCATTTCAGGTAAGTCCACATCATGGCACGCACATAGCCTACTCCAGTTACAGGAGTGTACGTTATCGATATCACTAGCAGTAATCCAAGCCTCCTCTTTTGACTTTCTGCATTACACTTGTCTTACCGGTAAAGGATGTCGTACTGATCCATGATGAAGTCGTTGGTGTCGGTGTTGGTTGGCCGTTGAAGGTAGGTGTACCAGTAATACGTGTCGGCCATGTTGGCAGCCGATTGGAATACCTGTTGTGCCGTACGGTTGGGTAATTGGTTGGTTTTACGCTTTATGGATGTGCAGGGTATAAAGGAGGTCCTCTTCCGGCGTTTCCCTGCTAGTTTGTCGTGAACCTCCTAACACCGAGCTGAAATGCAAACACAGCATGGTTATGTTTGATGGCTCTTGAGGGCCTTCAACGCAACCCCAATCACGACCACAAGTGCTTGAACCTTGGCTGCCTTAAAGCCAACAAAAGCCCATGCAGTGGCGTCAGGATGCCCACAACAACACGCTCACGCATGCATGCGGTTCAAGGCCTGTCAAGCAGTCCCCTCAACTGTCCCCCAGCTGCCCCCGCCCAGTTGCGCCCCCCCGGCTGCCCCCCCAGCTGTCCCTCACCTCCAGCGGGTGCCGGTGCACGTACACGAAGCGGGCCCGCGGGAAGAGCCTCAGCCAGGTGCGCAGGCGGGCGGTGTGCACCGGGCTCTTGATCAGCAGCGGGGGAGGCGGCGGAGGCGCGCCAGGTGCGGCGGCGGGGTCCGCGGTGCCGTTGCTGCCGCTGCCCGGGTTGCGGTCCGCGGCCCGGTTGCGGACGTGACGGTAGGTGACCTGAGGAGGTGGCATGGAAAGAATTAGTGGGAATCTGAGCCAGCTCCGGGCGGAAGTGCGGGGGGGAAGTCCCCGGGATGGGGGCGTCCTGGCGTGGGGGTAAATGGGGGGACGCAACGATATGAAAAGGACATATGAGAGGGTCGCAGCTGCGGAAGGCATGAATGAACTGGTGGTTCCGCCCCCACATGCCCGAGAGAAAGGCTTCGGCGCGGCAATTGGGCTCATGCAGCCTCCACTGTAGCGGGTTAACGGGCATTCTGGGAGGCTAGGGTCGGAACGCATGAGGGTGCTAGGGGCTGAGGGTGCTGCAGCCCCCTTTCTCCCCGCATATGGACTCGGGCCATGGGATTGGAATTCCAATCCTTCACTTCTACGTGTGAAGCACCCAAAGTCACCATTCGCACCTTTTTCATGAACCACATGAAAGCAGCAAGCCACCGCTGGAAGGCCGCCGTGACCCGTGGGCCACTAGTGTCCCCTGCGGAAGCGACGTCCTTATCCTCGTCCTCCTCTGCTGCTGACGCCCCAAAGGTAAGGTAGCTCCGAAGCAGCGACCGCCACAGCCGCGGAAACACGAGCGCAAGGTACGGCGATTCGCCGCCGGTCAACGCGTTGACCGCAATTTCATCTTCCTGCGGCAGCCGTGGCAGCAGCGGGGCCGTCAGCGAGGGCGGCGGCGGGGGCGGCGGGGAGGGGGGGCAAAAAGGGAGCACATAGTAAGGGAGCATACAGAGGCGGCACCGTGGTAACGGCGAAGGGCTAACTCCTCATGAATAACACGTCAAAGATAGGTACGCTTTCAGATGGCTTGGATTCCCAAACACGAGACCGAACACCAGACTCCCGACCGCCTCAGGCCGTCGCACCCAATCATCCCACTCACCGCTCCAATCGCTCTTTCGTTGCACAGCTTAAGAACCCGATCTTCCCATGGTTACAATCAACGCGTCACCACTGCACAGCACTGCCATGTTACTCGCTTACCCTGCCGTCTTGTGGCACCCTGCCGTCCCCTATCCCCTTTGCTTTGCCCTAACCTGTGGTTTCCTATGTATGTATAGTGTATGGTCTTTTACCCCCCCCCCCCCGCTGCGTCCCCCCCCTCCGCTCCCATTCCCGTTCCCGCTCCCTCACCGCAGGCAGGTCCCAGTGCAGAGCCATGTGGTCCATGGGTCGGCGCCGCTCCAGCAGCCCCGACAGCAGCCCGCGAGCCGGCTCCAGAGACAAGAAGGAGGAGGGGAAGCCTGGGCGGCGACAGCGGCGGTGGGATCTGTTGGGACTACAAGGAGCTGTGACAAGTATATAGCAAGCAAGGACAGGACGGGAATTCTGACAGGTCGGCGCTGGCCCTGTGGTTGCAACCCTGCAGCGATCCGCACGTTACGAAAGGCTGCATGTGTTCTCAGTGGGGCATCCCATACACACGTAGTAACGTACCAGCATGGAAGGTGGTGGCGAAAGCGAACCGTGGGTCGTTCGCTAGCAGGTTGTGCAGGTGGGTGGTGCCGGTGCGCGGGTGGCCCAGGATGAAGAGGGGCTCGGGGTGCAGAGGCTGGGCAGCCACATGGGCGGAGAAGAACAGCCTGAGGAGGGCAGCAGAGTGAGAGGGCGGCGGGGAAAAGCCATAGAGTTAACTTCACGCACATTGCATAGTCACAACGGACGCCTGTGCTTCGGAGCCATACAAAAGGAAAGAGAAGGACGAGGATACATTTGTCCCATGAATAGCTTTACGAACGAGAACTGCTGCGCATGGGGAAACCCCTCCCACCCAGCACATCAGCTCCAACAAACACCCACACGCCCTGCTGGTGACAGCGGCCGCGCACCAATCAAAGAGCGCCAGAAAGGAGTTGAGGCACGCCATGAAGGTCAGGAAAAGCACCTGTACGGCAGAGAGCCCCAGATACGTACGGCAAACCCGATTTTGCACTCAAGCAGGATGAAGAAAGACAAAGGCACTGATAAGAAAACACGATGGCAGGGGGATTGCCGTACGACAGTACAGCAGGTGGGCCAAGTAGGATGCGGAGGCTTGAGCGTACAGGCGGCGGCGGTGTGCGAACTGCGGTGGTACGAGGTTGTCGGACCCACCCGGTGCAGATACACCCGCCAGTCGATGGACCTCCAGTGCCGTACGAGCAGCGTCAGCCATGGGAGCAGCGTGATACCTGGAGGAGGAGGAGGAGGAGGGAAGTGGCTCGAGTTCGGTTGGACATACAGGTACGGGTCCGAGCAGTACGAGACATGGTAACGAGGCCGCAGACACCCCTACCCGACACCCCTTATCGTAGGCCGGCCCCGGCCTCAATTAGGGGCGGCAGTACTCTCCAACAACGTACCCGACAAAAAGTTCAGCTTAATCGCCCAACGGTGCTTTAGAGTGTAATGATACGATGGAAGCAGCCTCCGTCGCTCCTCATCAGCGGGCGCCTTTCGGGGTTGGGTCGTTTTGCCAGTAGTTACTGTTTCACACATGTGCAGGTATATTTTGTGTAAAAAAATTAAATTGCTTAATAGCAAGGCCGGGCGGTCATGAATTCCCGCCTCCAAAGATCTTTCAACGTTACAGGCACGATAACGGGACTGTTCATTACAACTAAGGCTTCTGTTAACAATGAAGTATTCGGATCAGGCAGTGCGCCTTTCCTTAAGACCTGACTTAGATACTTTGCAGCACGCGCACTGGATTATGTAAAAATCCTGGTGTGATTAAGTACTTTGTGGTCGCATAAGACAATTAGCATTCGCTTTCTTCAAATGACGTGTTCACGCCTAAATAACGGTGGTGGTTGGGGCGTCGTTAGCTCCTTCCTGCTACCGGTACAGATGCAATGCGCAATCAAACTCAAACAGCATTGACATCTCTTTTGTACGCGTTGGGGGGTAAAGGCCAAAAGCTGAGGTAGTTACACCGCAGCGAGCAATGTCGACGGATTGTAATGTCCGACTCTAAGGGTAGCACCACAACGTTCACCCAAGTCCTATGTAGTCTACACCCTGAGAGAAGCCAGCAGCACAGGACCACCTACTGCATTACGTGCTATGGACCGTCATCCGAGCAGCACTTCAAATAGCTGTTTCCATGCCGCATAGCACAGCGACTTTGTGGAGTGAACCTAATCCTGCAAACGTGCAAGTCAAACCAGCTTACACCACCAATACCAAGTAACCAACCAACCAATGCAGTCCTTATGCGAGGCGCCCACAGACCTAGACCTAAGGCGCCATGGGTGCCGAAGGTTACCGGCGAGCTAGTCACAAGGAAGCCATATGTACACAATACGTTTCCCTGTGCTAACGTGGCTTTCGCAGTTGCCTTAACCTAAACCAGTATAACCTTTGAAGGGATGCATGAAAGGCGCCTGGCTACTACGATAGTAATAGTAAAAGACCATTTCCACGCCCATACTCGGTACTCCTATTCCACCGCAGTCTTTAGGCATGCACGAACAAGTCCCTATCTATGTACTTGCGCAGGGGCGGGTTGTCTGCACGCAGGTCCCCATCAGCTTCTCACTGTGAGTTGACCGTGCAAGCCACGCCATCCTCAAGCAAAGCCTGTGAAACCTGCAACACGTCTCACCGTTATCCTTACAATCACTGAACCGCCCATGCATGTACAGCTACCATACCAAACGAACCGACACCTTTCCAGGTGCGAGGGAGGCAAAGGCCTCAAGGCTGCACAGCATAGCCTCCCCTCCATCACCAACGCCCCTTGTTCCTTCCTCTTTGACACTGCCCACCACAACGTGCGTCAACAACGCACAATCCTTAGCCAGGCCCAAACGAGTAACAACCCTGCACGCCTAGGTAAGTGCGTAATGAGGTCTCCCGCACATGGCCACTTCCCACTACTGAACTCTGTTTACGATAACTACCCACGGCCACAGCCAGCCGCGACGGCTTTGTCTACCCCTGCCGCCGCCCCTGCTGCACCTGCTGCTGATCCATCCAGTCCTGGATAGCTGACCGCAGCGTGGGAAGCGGCGTGAGCTCCTTGTGCTGCAGCGGCAGATTGGTCATGGGGCTGACCGCGGGGCCGTTGGTCCGCCCCCGCAGCACCCACTCCTGGATGGCCTCCCGCTCGTAAATGAATCCGTCCGCCGCCACAACCGGGTCGGCCATTACTTCCTGTACGCATGCGGGCCGACAGGCGGCGGTGCGGGGCACCCGGTATTAGTAACTAGGGTGATGCATCATGTGAGGATGGAGAGAGTGAATACAAGGGCCTCCGGCGGATTGCAGCTGCTGCGGGCGTGAACATTCCGACAGCAATACACACTTCGCGGTTTTTTAGCTAACGGCGGTAGCATGCAACTTCGGAAACGAGATAAGTGTATACTATGCAGCCAAAGCGGGGCAGAGAGCGGTTCCACTCTCGCCACGCTGGCCAGGTCAGCAGTCGGACGTTATTGCTCGTCATGCTGCGCAAACGATGCACGTACTCCGGACCAACGCAACTTGCCTGGGTGATGGGGCAGATGAAGTAGGGCGGAGGGTTCCCCACGTCTACTGGCGCTGCCGTCGCCGCGGCTGAGGGGCTGCTGCTGCTGCTGGACGGAGCGGCGGCCGCAGCAGCTTGCTTGCTTGCTTGTGTAATGACCAGGTGTTCCAGCGACTGGGTCTTGAGCTTCAGAAGGGCCGGCAGCACCTCGGCCCTGCGGCGCATCCCACCAAGGTCGTAAGATGATGTGATTGATGGATAGTTATAGGGGCATAGTTCGTTCCCGGAAAAGTCAAGTCCTTGTCCTTGGCAGCTGTAGCAGCAGCTGTAGCTTTAGCAGCAGCTACCAGGCCTGCTGACAACGACGACGAAGACGCGTACCATCCAGCAGCACCAGGCAACGATCCAACACAACGTATGTACTGGAGAGGCCATTTTAAAAGCACTGTAGGCGAGGGAACCTTGAGATGTAGAGGTAACTGGCCGGATTCTATAGCCGATCCATCCAGATATAGCCCCCATACATTACCACCAAGCCCTTCCCCGCCCCGCCCAAGCCCTGCTGACTCACTGCATCTTGGGCCGTGCTTCGCCGGTGGGGCTCGCACAGCGCACGGCCAGCTCCGCAAAGGTGCGGGCATCCTGCTCCGGCCAGGCGCCCGCGTTGGAGTCGATCATGTTTCGGAACACGCTGCGGTCTGCGTTCTCAAGCGCCTTCTTGACGCGCGTCACGAGGTTGATTTGCTTGTCTTTGGTGAGCACTCGCAGCATCATAATGCCTGTATCATGAATGAGGCCAGCAGGAAGGTTGGGGTAAGAGAGGGAATGTGAGGTAAGGGGTTGGCTAAAGGGCGGGGGACTAAGTGCTATCCGCCAGCTTCGTTCACACTCCATCCATACAGCAGAAACCTAGCCGGGTGCATGCTGCACAGTAGTGGCCTATCTAGCAATGCTACTCCCTACTGCTGCACCACCCTCGCTCGCGCACAGAGCACCCGCTGCACCCACCAAAGGCGTACACGTCACTGCGTGGGCCGTACTGGCCCGTGTAGATGTACTCCGGGTCGATGAAGCCCCACGTGCCGAACGCCACGGAGCGACTCGGCTGCGGGGCGTGCGAGGCGACACGCGCAGTGGTGGTGTGGGTAATGGGCGACGTGGGCGGTCGGCAATGGCGGCCAGCAGCAGTTAAGGGTGTGCGGCATGACAGGTTGTGAAGGAGCATGGACACCTCGCCAATGCGTTTCTAACCTTCGCCTTTATGGATTCTACGGGTATAGGGGACTAATGCTGCTTAGGAGGGCACGCTTCAAGCCGTCATTCCTGGCATGTGCTGCTGAAAATGCCTTCCAACCGCCGCTGGCAAGCATAGTGTCAGTAGTGAGCATGCATGTCTACCTGGTTGACTGTGGCGTTGGGGTTTTTCATTTCCCGCGCCAGGCCCACGTCGCCTAACTTGGCAACACGCTTCTCGTCTAGGAGCACGTTATCGGGCTTGAGGTCCCTGCATGTGGTGCGGTGGGTCGGGGAAACGTGGAAGCCGCCTTGCAGTGGCAGAGAGGACATTACCGGTAACTCTTGGTTGGCCGTTCATTCCCTCAAAGACCGGTTGCATGGGACCCATGCATGCGGCTCAACACTGGGGGTGATCAGCTGCTGGGAGCTACCGTCCCCTGCTGCTTACCAACCGAAGCGCCAAGCGCCACATGCCACCCAGGCACGCAGCTACCTCCCCTTCCTAAACCCTAACGCCTCATCACTACCGGTAACCAACCACCACTAACAGCAACGACAAGAACACCGGTGTCACGCGCCCCTACATACCTGTGCACAATGGCGGGGCGGTTGGTGTGCAGGAAGGCCAGCACGGAGGCGATCTCCGCCATAATCCGCACCCGGTCCTGCCAGTCCAACCAACCTCCGGCCGGCTCCTCCTCCGCAAACAGCGCGTCCTCCAGACTGCCGCCGCGCATGAGCTCGTAAACAAGCGTACACTGGTGGGGGCAGTGGGAGCAGGAGGTTGGTGTACATAACATGGAGGAGGGGGGCAGAGGGGGATGGAGTGAAGGGTGTTGGTGAGGTAGGTATTACAGCACGTGGCGATCGATCAGCAGCAAGCAAGTAGCTTGCCGGCTAGATAGCAGTAATATAGCGGTGCATGCACCGGCAATCCGGCATGCATGGGCCCGCACAAAGGCAGGAAGCAGAAGGCGGGCGCTCATCGGGTTAATCCCGACCACCTGTGACATGCATGCATACTCCTTGCGCACCACAAACAGATTATCACAGGGGTCTGTACGGCAAGCCATGCATGCGGGGCAGAGCGCACATGTCGTACCTTCTCCGGGCATGCGCCCACTAGCATCACCAGGTGCGGGTGACGCACGGTGGTCAGCAGCCGTACCTCACTCTCGAACTGGCCGTAGCCCTGCATGGCGGGGCGGGCGGGCGATGTACAGGTGGGGTGCTTGTCGCCCAGCATTGGTGCATTTGTGCATTGGGATTGATCGCTCGAGTATACCGGTATGTTCCCATACGACCTGGCGAAGGTCTTGTCCAGGTAGGGGGTTTGTTACTTTGGCATGATGGACAGCACATACGACATACCGGTACGTCAACTAACAACTATTGGCAATTTCCGCATGTTGTTAGTTGTTTGCATGAAAGGAGGAGGAGGGAAACCCGGAGCAGGAAGCAAATGAACGCGCGTGCATGCTCAACGCCGTACATACCTGCTGGGAGTCCTCGTTGCTTGTCTTGACGGCCACTGCCGTACCGTCAATGACCCCGCGGTATACGGCACCGAAGCCGCCTGCGCCCAGCTTGTTGGCCTCACTGAAACCGTCCGTAGCAGCCTTGAGCTGCTCGTACGTGTACGTCCTGCCGCACATTAGGAGTGTGTACGGCAGAGAATGAGCGGGTAGGTAGGAAGGCCAGCAATTCAGCGAGTAGAAATGGTATAGCCCAACGCTGTTAAGATATTAAGGGCAGCCATGACAAGCCAGCCGACACACCCGCCAAAACGACACACGGGGCTCAAACCGGTTCCCAAGCAACCAACTACTAGATCCCAACCAAACAATCCTGCCGTACATACTCACTTGGTAATGAATTCAGCAGGCGCCCGCTCCATCTCTGCAGCCTCTGCGGCGGCCGGCGTGGAGGAGCTCCCTGCCCCCGCACCAGCACCAGCACCAGCACCAGCACCAGCACCAGCACCAGCACCAGCACCAGCACCACCCTGCTGGGAACAGCCTGCCTCCTGCTGCTGCTGCTGAGCTTCCTCATCATCCCCCTCAGGCATGGCCGTCAGCTGGTCCCGCCTAGCAACGAGCTTGAAACGGTGGGTGTGTACGACAGCTTTGATGTCAATGTTCTTTCGTGGGGTGGAGACTGCTGCTGCTGCTGCTGTGACGACAGCGGCGGCCCTGCAGCAGGGCGTCTTGTCCGTGTCACCGTTGGCTTCTAGCTGGGCAACCCTGGAAGCAGCCGCCGCAGGAGCCTCACTGTTGCCAGCAGTACCGGAATCCGTGACAGCACGTGCTGCTGCTGCTGCAGCATCCGGGCTGACCACCTCCACCTTGAACTTCGCAGGGTCAACCGTCCGCTCCTCATCCTTGGGGGTGGCGCCGGCCTTAGCAAACCAGCGCGCCTTGCCCGCACCCACCGTACGTTTGGACTCGGGGGGTCCGCGCTCCACATCAGCAGCTCCGCCCTCAGATTTGTCCTCGGCCGTGCCCTCGTCTCCGACCTTTCCCTTGTCTTTCTTCTGGGCGTTACGGGTCTTGAAGTGGCGCCTTAGTTTGATGAAGGCCCAAACGAAGAGCAGGGTGAGCAGCGTGCCGGCGACGGAGCCCACAGCACCGCCTATGGCTGCTGCGGTGTTTTTGGAAGCTGCGGGGAGGAGCGGATGGAGGGTAAGATGGAGGGTAGGATGGAGGAGCGGATGGGCACATGGTTCAGTACATGTGTGGGGCGTGAGGAGTATGGCGTTTGGGGGGTGGAGGATGCCGTCCAAGTGACGAATCACATGGAGGGGGGCCGTATGCCTTAGGATTGTTAGGGACATTGTTGGCAAGCTGAAGCAAGAGCCTATATGACGCATTTGGCTAGGATAAGGCTAAGCACTGGCAGGTAAGGTTGACAGGAGGCGGTGACAATGGTTGAGCCGCTTGACGATGCCCCGGACATGGCTGCTGAGGACTGTCGGCACCCCCCGACGGCGCGGGATTACACCATATAACATGCATGACGCACCTTCTGCGTTGGCAACTGGAGTTATGAGCACCAGGAGGGCCGGCAACAGCCTAGCGACCAGCTGTGTACTTCCAAACATGGGCGACTGGCTAAATGGACGACGGAGGACTTTAACGCCGGTAGGCGGCCGCATTGTCGCAACAGCGATGGGAAGCTTAATTAAAAGCGTATCCTGATAGGTTAAACGCAGGGTATGTCAGCAGTGATACTGGAATGTTGCACCCATCCATGTGGCGAAGCATGTGACTTTGCGACAGTCGACGACCAGGCAGCCAAAATGCATTGCTGACAGAATGTTCACCTTGCCTGACCACAGTTAGGTTGTTAGCTATAGTGCTTTCCGCTTAGGACTACAGCAACGTTCGTCCGCTCTCACAACACCAATGACACCAATAACAAGTCTCCGAAGATGGTCAAAGACCCTTTCAGTTTTGTTGTGTTATGGTATCAATAGCGCGTATACGTTTAGCAAAAAAGTTAAACCAATGTTCTCCGCAGGACTCCAGCTGGCTAGAGAACCAATTGCAGTAAGAAATATGACGTCTGAATAGAGTCCTTTTCCCTGAAAAAATGGACTACACGTGCATCGATTGCGACTGCGAGGCAGGCCCGCCTGGGCCAGGCCAGGCCAGGCCCATTTACCAGTACCGGCGGTATAACGAGCCGGCTGCGTATAATACTTGGACATGTGTGAAACATTTATAAAATTGTGATATAATTAAGTATGGTTGCGCAGCTCGAGGCATCCAGAGCTCCAGCTTCATGACTACGAGGTGGTTAGGTCGTCACGCACGCTGCGGCAGTTAACTGGCGATCGGAATGGCTAGAATGGCACAGGCAGATGGGTCTCTCACGAAACCCTTGATGCCTTTTCTTTTGCGTGGCTCCTTTCGCTAGCTGTTTGCTGCCAACGGTCCAACCGCCGATGGCTCAGGTAGAATGGACAGATGTTTCCGCTATACTTAGAACCTCAGTATCTTCCATTCCATTACCGAGCTTTTGAACGTCGGTGCAGCATACGGCAAATAATTGCAACCTACCCAACTAAGAAAATTATAGGGGGACCGCACCGATAGTTCCCATCTGTTGGCTTCGCACGGCCATCGGACATCGTAACATCATGTGAGAGGCACGGAGGTATCACCTTTACAGGAAGCCCTGGTGCAGCAATCCACAACATGAGAATCTTCCGTTTTAGCCGGGCTTATCCAAGCCATAGGGCTATGCTTAAAAGGGAGCTTGCACTGCTGGGTCAAAACGCTGCTGTCTCCAGCCTCTGTCAAAACCCGCCCGCTGAATTCAGTAAGCGGCTTCAAAACGGACGTAGCTCTGCAGCCAAAGGGCGCCACCAAAACCATCTGCCAGGCCATACCTCCGGCGGCTGCTGTGCCTGCAGGACGCCCGATAAGTACAAACGCCCTGCCTGCATAATCATTCCAGACAGTTGCCCCGCCCCCGCGCATAACCACACTGTCCGCTGCCCCTCTTCCTTCATGCCGCCCACAGTACAACACTCCGCACCGACACCGCTAGCACTACCCTCGCCGCAGGTTACGGGTCGCACGCCACCCCGGCCGCCACCGCACCTAAAACCTTGCCCCCCACCGCACCCAGTGCCCGCGCCCCAACAAGAACCGCCGCGAACCTGCTCGGCCCCCATGCCCACCCTCCTCGTCCCTCGGGATGACCTCACCCTTCTTACCTCGAAATACCCTTCTCCTTGCCCCTTCTCACCTACCCACTCCCCCAACAACCATATGCACTCAGATGCGGCCTCGCACCCGCCATCTCCAAACTCACTCCAAACCATACCTAGACCCTCAGCCTCGGCCCCGCTGCAGGCCTCCTAGCCCCTCCCCACATCCCTCCTCTGCTGCCCCTCCTCCTCGCACCCCTTCCCCTGCTCCTCTCCCTCCTCCCTACAGCTGCTCCTCCTCCCCGCAACTCCAGCCCCTCCCTGCTCCAGTGCTCCTCTCCTGCTCCTCCTCTCCTGCCCAGGCGGGGGCCTTACAAGCCCAGGCGGCAAATGGGGTTCCTGCGCACCATGGACAAGCTCACCTGCACACACAGTGGGGGGGGGATCCATTTTTGGAACAATTGGAAGAAGTGAGGGTAAAGGAATGGAATCATGAAGATAGCCTCCCTCCCTTCTTTACACCATATTCCCCTACCCTACTCCCTCTTCTCCCTTACTCTCTCCCGTACTGTCGTACTCCCTCTCTTCCCAACTGCCGTACACTGCCGTACCTTGTGTCCGAACAGATCACGGATGTTGTCGATGCCGTACAGGATCATGGTGGGGCGCTCCAGCGACAGCCCCCACGCGATGACGTTGACGTCCTCGGGCAGACCCATGGGTCGCAGCATCTCGGGCCGGAACATGCCGCTGTTGCCCACCTCCATCCACTTGCCCAGCTGCTCGGAGTAGCTGCGAGGGGTAAGGAGGGGGAGGGGGAGGGGGAGGGAAGGGAGGGGTGTGTGTGTCATCTCTCCCCATCCATGCTCCCAATCAGGAGGGTCACCTCACCCCATCCGACATCCGATACCCACATCCCATCATACCCCATGTTCCCATCCTCCCCCCCCTCCCACCTGAAAATCTCCATGGATGGCTCGGTGTAGGGGTTGAAGGCGGGCTTGAAGCGCAGCTTCTTGAGACCCAGACGGCTGAAGAACTGAGGAGTGAGGGGGAGGGAGGGAGAGGGGGTGGGAGGGGGCGAGAGGGGGTGAGAGGAGGGAGGTGGGGGAGGCAGGGAATGGAGGAGGAAGGAGGGAGGGAGGCAAGCTGAGCCGAGAGATCCCCAAGCTAACTCTCAGACCCCATCTGTGAAAGCTGCTACTACCTGCGCTTCAATCCCGCTACTACTACTACTACCCCACTCACCAAGGTCAGTGTCACTGAAGACCATTATGAGCTCTGCTTGCACCCCCGCCCAAAACACACACCCACTCACTTCGCGGCCAGCTTCCCTAGCCTTCCTTCCACCCAACCACTATCACACCACACATTGGAATTCCTCCCCCCCCCACCCCCCTAGCCCCCCCCTCCCCGACCTGGTTGAGCACCCCGATCAGGTCGCCCAGCGTGAGGCCCCGGTCGCACACCAGACCTGGGGGGAGGGGTGGCGGGAGGTCAAAGACCATACCAAACCATAGGAGGGGGGGAGGGAGGGGGGGTGGAGGGAGGGAGGAAGGGAGGGGTTAGGAAACGAGAGGGGGGAAGCGGGCGCATGTGCAGGCATCATCTGCACACGGCGTGTGCGGCCCCGCAGTGGCAAAGTGAGGTGGGTACAGAGGGGCAGGGTAGGCGGATACACTGCACACGGCGGACGACACGCAAGGCCAGCATGGAGTGCGCCGGCGGGACTCACCCACCCTCCTACGCGCTCCAAGCCCGCCCAAACACACCACACCAACACACATCTCCGTTCAGAAACCAAACACACCACAGTCCGTTCCCGCCCTTACCCACCCACCCCCCCCCTGCCCCCAAACATCCAATTGCCTTGCCCTCACTTGCGGGGTTTGCTGGGTAACGGTTCTCGGCTTCTCCATTTTGTTACATCTTTTCTGCTCTTCATTTCATACAAACCATTCTTTCACCCCCTGCTCCCTCCCTCCCCCCAAACATTGGAATTTCTTCCCTCCCCCCCACTCACCCTCCACCTGGTGGAACTCAGCCAGGTGGGTGCGGTCCACCGCCTCATTGCGGAACACCCGGTCGATGGAAAAGTACTTGGCGGGCCTGGGGGGGGGGGAGGGGAGGGGGGGAAGAGGGGTGACTCCAGTCGTGTAGCTGTTGGTGTGAGGTTGAGGACACGCACAAGCAGCAGCAGCCGTAGCACCAGCAGCAGTAGCACGGTCACACCCCGGTCTCCCCCGCCCCTCCTGCCTCCACCTCAGGTGGCCTCCCGACCCCCTCCCGCATCCCTGCTACCTGCGTCACCCTACGGCTGCCCCCCCCCTGCTCCAGGAACAAATATCCCTATTTACCCCCTGCTCTCCCGCCTCCCTCCCCGTTCCGGTTTACCCTATCCCTGAGCTCCCTGCTCCCTCCCCTCCCTCCCCTCCCCCCCCGGCCCCCCCACCTGAATCCCCCCGGCTGGTTTGCCAGTCTGTACAGCATGCGGCTGGACACGGCGGTGGTGTGTGTGCGCAGCAGGTTCTTCTCGCTCTCCGCCACCTTCCAGCTGTAGCCGTAGCCCGCGGAGCCGTAGCCGCCCGATTCGTGCACGGACTGACAGGGGGGAGGGAGGGGAGGGGGGAAGGAGAGGGGGGGGGGTAAGAGGAAGAAAAGTGATTAGCCATTTTATAAGGCTGGGGGGGAGAACAAGAAAAAAGCATGCTGGGGGAGGGTTTGGGGCGGGGTGGGGGAGGTGGGGAGGGATGGGGAAGTGTATGTGGTGACACATAGCAGGGTTGCTATCCTGCTTAGTCGATATTGGGCTATTATTGCTGTGTCCTCACCACCAGCCGCAGCTCCAAGCAGCGTCGAAACCCCCAATTAGTGTCTTCCTCCTTACCCCGCCCCCCCCCGTTGCTGCACTTATCTCTCCTCACGGCCCCCCCCCCCCACCCTCACCTGCACCCTCTGCATGTAGTCCGCCGGCACGCCCCGCTCCGAGGGAGTGGCTGCGGGCTTGGTGAGGAAGAAGGTGTCGTGCGCGTCACGCGCGGGGTGCTGCTGCGGCTGGAAGAGCGCGTCGAAGTTCCAAAAGGAGGACTCCACGTACCTTGGGGGGAAAGGGGGGGAGGAGGGGGGAAGGGGTACACGGTTTGCCACAGGGTTTGCTAGTTTCCTCCTGTTTACCACTACCACCACACCCCCAGTGTCGGTTTTGCGGCCAGTTGACTCACCCCCCCCCTTATGACGCCTTATCACACGGCCAGTTCGCAGTTTCCTCTTTACCCCCCCCCCCCCCGCTATGTCGCTCACTGGTTGGTGGGCATCTCCTCGAAGCCCATCTGCGTGAAGATCTTGCGGAACTGGCTGCGAACCTGCCGGGGAGGGAAGGGGGAGGGGGAAGGGGGAAAAAATTGTATAAGTGAAACAACGAAGGGGGAGGGCAGGGAAGAGGGGAGCCGGTCAGGGATGTCACACAGCCGTAGGACACCCCTCCTCGGGTTGGCAGTGCTCTAAACACCCCTAGGCATCCCTCCTAGCAGGGGCGCTCCCTGCGGCCCCTTCCCCGCCCCTTCCCCTACTCCCTCCCCGCCCCGCCCCTCTGGCCTCCCCTCCCTTTTCACCTTTAGCAGCGGGTGCAGGTGTCCGCTGCTGGGCGGCACTCCCAGCGCGTTGAAGTTGTAGTCCTTGAACTCCTGAGTGCGCCAGGTGCCCCTGGGGTGCGGGGGAGGGAGGAGGGAGAGGGGGGGGTTGAGAAATAAGGAAAAGCGGGGGCTGGAGCAGAGAGGGAAACTTGTTGAAAGCTAGCTAGGAGGAGATAACTGCTTTCTCATTCAGGCGAGCTGCATGCAGACTCGCCCGTGCAAGAGCAGTAAACAGCAACTCGTGATGCAAGAGGGCAAAACGAATGACGCCCAACACGGAGGGACCGATTGACCCACGGGTCACCGCCCCCCTAAGAAGCCTCCTTACTTTGCCAGCATCTCGTGTGTGAGGTCAGTTGCCGGCTTCTTGCGCTCCAGGGCGAACTTGGGGCCCTTGGTCAGCTTGTACGTCTTCCACTGCCTGCCGTACAACAAGGGGGGGCCGCGATGGTGGGGAAAAAAGAAATTCCAAAGTGTGGTATGATAATGATACAAGTTGCTGACAACCCCCCCGAGAGCATGTCGTCTGGTTTACATGCCCATGGGAGTTCTTCTCCCCCCCCGCGATGGTGGGGGGGGGGTGGAGAAGAACTCCCATGGGCATGTAAACCAGGCGACAAGCTCCGGGGAGGGAAAAAGAAAGACCAGGGGCGGGGGGGTGGGGTATCCGGAAGCAGCGGGGGTGCTGATGGGGATGATGTGTTGCAACAGAGCCGCAACACTGAAACCACACCGGCCGTGACCGTGGCGGTGGTGTGGGTTGATCATCACAGAGTATATCAAGACCCCGGTAAGGGCACCGCCGCAAGCAGCAGGTGCAGCAGCATGTCACAGCGGGTGCTAGGGAGGGGCTGAGGATGGCTGTGCTGGTGCAATTGAATGTAGTTGCCCACCTATGCTTACATGCATTTGTACTCCTCCACCCACCCTCCCTCCCTCACCCCCCCTCCCATGGTCTACGGCAGCCTGCCGCCTCCTATCCCCATTGCTTTGCCCTCACTTGTGGATTCTTATGGTTTGGTCTACCTTTGACCCTCCTCCCTCCCACACTTTGGAGTTTCTTTTTTTTCCCTCCCTTGCACTCACTGCATAAGTCGGGATATGGGATTGGGACTCTAGTTGTTTGCATTTCTTATATGATGTTCCCTCCCTTCCCTCCTTCCCTCCCTCCCTCCCTGCCCCTCCGCACCCCACCGCCACTCACTCCGGCTTGATGAGTTTGCGCTTCTTGGCCGCCTCCGCCTCCGCCTTGCCCAGCTCCTTGCCCGCCGCCACGTCAGCCAGCAGCGCCTGCGTGCGGTCCTCGATAGAAGCAGCCTGGGGGGGGAGGGAGAGGGGGAGAGGGGGGAGAGGGGGAGAGGGAAAGGAGAAGAACCATGCGTTTAGGATAGGGCAAGGTAGTGAGCAAGATTCAACCGGAGGGACGAGGGAGGGGCAGGGGGCGGCTTGAGGTTTGGGATCTTGTACGCACCAGGCTCCAGGGCCGGATGCAGGGACAGGCTGGTAGACCCGCAACCCAGTGGTCCGCTTGCTGCCATGGATGCCACTTCCCCCCCAAGGATCTGCATCCATGCTTTGCCTCTGATGAGGCCCTCGTCGCATCCGCCCCTCCACCGCTCCTGCTACCTTTTTGGCCCGCCCCGCCTACTTCCCCAAACCGCATGCCTGCCTCCTCCACATGCGCCTCAGCCCTGCGGAGCCGCCGCCTAGCGCCGCCCCGCCCGCTGCTCACTCGCTTTCATTCGCTTTAGCCCCTCTCTGATCCGCTCCTCCGCCCCACTCCCCGCACGTCTATGCTGCTCCGGTGCACCCGCCCGCTGCCCCCCTCCCCGCCATCCACCCCCTCCCCGCCACACCCTACACGCAACCCTAGCGCCCTGAGCCCCCTGAGCACCCACTCAACCCAACCCATCACACCCAACCCGCCCACAGCTACTTCCCCTCAAAGCCATTTCCTTGCCCCCTCCCTCCCTCCCTTCCCCGCCGCCGCCGCCCCTCCTGTCCCCCACCTTGCGCACCACCCGCGGCTCCCCCTTGCTCTTGTCCAGCGCCAGCCACTTCTGCTGCATGGCCTGCTTGAAGCCCACGTCGCCCGCCTCACCAGGCACCTTGGACTGCGCGAAGGGGAGGGGAGGAGGAGGGGAAGGGGAGGGGAAGGCACAGGGTGGGGCGGGGGGTGGTGGGGGTGTCGATGAACCTGGTCAGGGCGAGTGCGACACATGTCCCAACATCGGTGAGATAAGGGCTCGCCAGGATCAGCATGAAGGTTCCTTAAGCCGAGGAATAAGGTCCGCCTTCTTACCTTGAGCTCCGCCAGTGAGATGCCCTCCTCCCCGGCGGGCACCGCATTGAAGACCTGCGCCTCCGGCGAGCCCGCCGTAAGGTAGCCCTGAGCCTCCTCCGTCAGGGCGTAGCGGAAGTGGTCAATGTCCTGTAGGCGGTGGGCAGCGGTGGGGAGGTGCGGTGCGGGTTCTTGGGCCAGGTTTAGGAAGAGAGGAGCAATTGTCCTGCAATTGGGTGGTTACCGCACCTCGGCGATAATCATCTCCGAAGCCTGCAAACTGCGGATAGTGCCGACCAGCACCATGTGCTCGACGCCCTGGCTTTTGGCGAACTCGCCCGAGTCAGCGATGCACTCCTGCGCATTTAGCGCCTGGAGCAGGCTGCCTTCAAGATCCGCCATAGCTAAAGGTGAAACGTATGCTAGTCTATGCGCGGGAAACGTCTACGGGCTTTACAGCGAAAGAGTGTTTGAAGACCGCCGCCCGATGCAAGCAAGGGATATGACGGCAAACACCCGTCAAGCAGGTAGCGTATAGAAGGCTAACCGGATATCCACAACCAAGCTCCGCTCGCACAGCAACACCCACCATGCATGCATGAAGCGAAGCCTGCTGCGAAACCGTCGTACGCTACCCACGATAAAGTCCTTTACTCCTTTCCAAAAGAGAAGAGGTTGTTACTCGTTTACTGCTGGGAGATGCTTGCTTCCGCACAGCGCAGATGCACATTGGGCCTCTTGGTAGCGTTTGTCAGGTGAAAACATTTGCGCTAGCGTCCATTACCGAATTTCGCTTAGATGTCGCTGGCAGCATTTGGGGCTTCTGTTTGTAGAACGGAATCGTAGTTGCCTTCCATCGGCACGCCCTCCCTCGTAGTAGTGCAAACATGCGTCGTCGACAAGAGCAATGGGAAAACCTGGGGCCCCACTTGGAACCTTGAACCTCCTGTGACAGATGCCCCCAATCCTGTGTGTATCGGTTTGGCCTGCCTTCGCTTCTTAAACTATGATGGCCCCGGGAGCCTGACCAGGTGCGTGCAAACCATTTTACGCAATTGAAGCTGTAGCCACTTGCACGCACCCTGCATCCAATCTATGTGCACCCATACCTACTATCCTATCCATTCTGCATACTATACATAGGCATCACCATAGCCTTCTCAGCCACTTATTCCCCCTCCCCGCTTCGCATCCATCTCCTGCGCCCCTTCTACCATCACGTCAGCGCCACCACCAGAATTGTTTCTTACACAATGCCGCCAGCAGCTGCCTGCGCGCCTCCTCCCTCCTCCTCACGCCGGCGCCACCATCTGCTTCTTGGACGAGGCGGACAGCGGCGCGGACGGCGCGGCGCCCGCTGCCGGCTTCCTCGCCTCCTCCAGCGCCGCAATCTTGGCCGCCAGTGCCTCCTCGCGCGCGCGGAACTGCGCTGCCAGCGCCGCTCGCTCCGCCTCCAGCCGCACCGCCACCAGCTGGTCGATAGCCTCCTGCAGCGTGGCGGGCTTCTGCAGGGGGAAGGGTGGAGGGAGGGGGAGGTGGAGGGGGAAAGGGGGGATAAGGAGGGTTATAGCGTCAGGAAGAGGCTGCGGGGCAGGTATAGCGCCAGCGCGGCGCCATGGCTCGGGGAATCCGAACACGGGGGTAAGTTAGGGAGAGGGAATGGAGAGTTTAGGCGGGGCGTTTAGTGAAGGACGGTTGAGGTGGGCAGGGCTTGATGAGCTGGAAAAGGAGGAAATGAGGTAGGGTGGAGACTTTGCTCTGCTGCTGCTGCTACAAGGTCCTGCGGCCGCGCGCACCCTCGCCAGCTCCGCTCTCCGCGCCTCCTCGGCCGCCCGCTTTGCCTCCTCCGCTGCCCGCTGCTCCTCCGCAGCCAGCCGGGCGGCCTCCGCCTCCTCTGCTGCCTGCACGGGACGGGGTGCAACACACAGGGAACAGCCGCGTACGGTGGTTAAGGGTATGCGCGTATGTGCGCGTGTGCCACTAGCAGCCAGTGCGATGCCAACTAGGGAAACGGTTGCGAGGAGGGTAAAGGAACAAGGACTCATGGCCGCCTGCGAAGGGGTACAAAGTTGTGGGCTGTGCGGCTGCCCTAATCGCCCCAGACTTCCACACATGCCCGCCTATCAGCCCCCTCCCTCGGGATTCGGGATCCGGACTCCGTTGATGCATTTATCTGTATTTCCCCTTCCCCCACCTTCCGCGCCTGCTCCTCCTCCATCCGCCGCTTCTCGTGCATGGCGTCCCACTCCGCCTGCGACAGCGCGCTCTCAAAGGAGGGCACACGCGCCGTCTCAACCTGCGTACAGGAATAGGAAGGAACAGCAGGATGGTGAAGACCAGACCAGACCAGCGGAGGGTTGGCGTGATGGAGCCGTGCGTCCAAGTGGTGACCACCCCGACCCCCGCCCCACCAGCAGCTCTGCGGTGAACTCCGTGTGCGCCTGCTCCGTGGAGAAGACCTGCTGGTAGAGCCGGTAGTGCCGCAGCAGCCCGCGGGACATGAAGGAGGCGGCTGCAGCCACCTGGGGGGGGCGGGGGAGCGGGCGGGGGGCTTTTGGTGACGCTGCTGCGGTGGTATCTGGGGTGACTCCTCTAGGGGAGGTAAAAGCAGACGTGAAGCAGCAGAGCGCGCGGGCGGGATACTGGCGGTTGCATGCCTTGTCGCCCCGGAGTGCTATGGCATATTGGTTACTGTTGGTCAACAATGCTATCCGCCCGAAGGTCATGACGGGAAGCATCCAAAGGGCCTCCAGTCACTTACCTGATCGGGGCTAAAGTACTGCGTATCAGTGCCCGGGCGCGGTCTTACGACTTGAAGCATAAGGCCCTTAAAGGTCGCCTCACACTCGGTGTACGGCGCCCCGCCTGCACGTACACGGTGACAAGGAGGGAGTCAGGGTATGTTGCGGTGTTTTTGACCGAGTGGTACAGCTGGAGAAGTCGCGGCGTGCTAGAGGGCCCCGGATTGTCCAACAACCCGGGTTCCTCTAGCATGCGCGACTGCAGCAGCAAGGCGAGCTCATCTAGCGCCCTCCCCCGTATCCCTGCTAGCGGAGCTTGCCTGCCCAAACAGGCCTTGCACCGTACCGGCCCAGTGCTTACCAATGCACGTCTGCAGCACCATGTGAGCTATGTTGTACCAGCTGGCGGTCCGGGAGGGGGAGTAGCCCTGCTTTTGTGCGAACCTGAGCAGACGTGAGGGACAGGCCTTGTGTGAACACGGTAGGTGTAGGGATCTAGGGAAGGAGTTATGGTTAGGAAGATAGGGAACATGGGCAGCAAGGAGGGCCCTTCCATAGTATCCCAAAGGCACGACCAGGCTTACTCGAGTGCATAGCTGGCATAGTCCAGGAGGATGGCTTGCCGAGCGTCGAATCGGTATTTGTCCAGCTTGAGGACAGACGCAAGGTACCTGGAGAATGCGAGGATGGGTGGGTTTCGAGGAGTAATAGTTAGCAAATGCCTCCAGCTAGCCAGCTTGGAAGAGGGGTGTCAGCGGCACAGCTCCACACTATTGGCCGTGGTGCCGCGAACAAACGGTAGCGACGCGGCACGGCCACGCGCGACCATGGGGTACGGTTTCGCTCACACAAGGTCATAGAAACATACCCTGCAGCTGCATCAGGTTCTTTCAAAAGCCCTAAGTACTGTTGTAACTGCTCTTGCGTGAAATGAACCCATAGGTCTTGCTGCGTCATGAAGAATACTTCACTATCCTCGTAATGTGCTCTGAGCTAATCCTAAGGCAGCGCAGCAGAATAGTACTTATAGTGTTTAAATTAGACCTAAGCGTCAAATTGTATGTTGTTCGGTCAGAATGCCATGGACTCGGATGCAGACTCGCGAAGGTCTGTAGTGATGGAGAAAAAGCAAAAGCTGTTTTTAGGTGCAAGAGCACTAGATGGCACACGATACTTCACCCTTTACACAATATCCTTTCCGCACGTTCTTGTACGGGCGGCAAACCGCAACAATGCTCAAGCTGGCTTTCGCGGCGCAATTCGATCACCATTTGGTAAATGCATATAACGTTTACTTGTGAGACTGGTCTTTCCTCGTTTAACGGCATGGCTTCCTGGGTGTGTCCCGCGGGGTCGGCTTCAGTCTAGCCCACCAGCCACGCCGTACCCTGGCCAGCTAACAACATGGTTTTACGCATGTGCATTGTGGCCCCTCTAGTTTAAAGGATGTAGTACACGCTTCCCACGCTCAGACGCAATCATGGTGCCTGCAAGTGCCAAGGGACGGAGATGCCAATATTTGTTTACAAGAACCCAAATGTGCCGTTCGTCAGAAAACCTACCAGGTCAACGCACTGTGCGTTGCCGCTCGGCTACCAAGGACACGTGCACTGCCTTAGCCACCGAAAGGATATCTTCAACTTTATTAAGCTAGGGCCTATTGCCCCATTGAACGTCTACCATTTCGACACGCAAGGAGATAAGCGCCAATAGCTTTAAATCCTACAAGTCAAACAAACAACAGGGAACAGATGCGACATGGTACGAGTGTATAATGGACACAGTGTACTTCATGGAATCACCACGTACGGATGGATGTAGCCTGACCAGGTACGATACACCTTCATGCCAGCCGTATACCTGCCACATGTAGCCAAACGACTCAGGACTTTGCATGCAGAGCAAGGGCACACCACAATGAAACCGCCCAGCTTAAGCGCTGCAAAAATTAGGCACTAAATAGAGTGCAGTCATTTTTCGGGTCAGTGCTAGCAAACCTACGCCAGTCCATCAAAGCCGAGGTAGAGACTGGTGACTAAACTACAATGTCGTAACACACACGGCAAATGCTTAGCTAAGGGTAATTGCAAGGCCGCATAAAGGGCACGCATATGAGGCTGTAGCCCGAAACTTCGTAATAAAATTCGTTAAGATCCTTCCATTAAACAGCATTATACCTAGTGCGTTTGCTTCACATATCCTAAGCAAATGCCGAACGTATAAAGGAATGAACACCATACAGGTCTTTTGATATACTGCGCATTCGACAATGAAGCACATGCTACTTGCTAGGCAATAATCCAGAGGCACTTCTTGTTTCTCTGTCAACAGGAATAGTGCAGTGCGAACAATTAAGCCCGCGTGTACCCCCATGCAACCGAACACATGGAGTATATGCCCTAACAATGGCGCCAATTTGATCCAAAACCCCTACCGAGGCCCTATCGCCTACCTAGAGAACGGTGACGATCGGCCCGCTCATTCCAAACAAGCGGACAGTCCGGATATACAGCCACGACCAAAACTCTATGGAAAAGACCATACAAACCAAACCAGCACTGCACCCGACGCCACCTAATCCCCGTTAGAATGTTGGACAGAGAGGGACTTGTTAAAGTGAACAACCGAAGCAGCCAGGCGGTGCTGCCGGAGCTGCGCCAGAGCCCAGCAGCGCACAAAAGTCAGCAGCCGGCACACCGGCACCTGCATGAGTGCCATGCTGCTGCTGCGACAGCAACGCTGACAACGTCGCAGTCGCCGCTACCCCACCTTGCTGCTGCTGTTGCGGCTGCTGAAACTGTAGCAAGGCGTCCTGCAACTGAGCGTGCGTTAACGCAGAGCCACTTGAACCGCTACCGCCGCTTGCCTGGCTCAGGCCGAGCGCAGCTGCTGCTGCTGCTTGCGAGAGGCTGGAGTCCGTGCCAAGGGCGAAGGTGGAGCCTGACGACGCAGAATGAGCGAGCATGGACTGTAGCACTCGGTTGGGCAGGCCACGGCTAGAGTCCATTCCTGCTGGGGACGTTCCCAAGTAGGTCTGCATTCCTGCAGGAGCGCTATGGTACAAGCGGAGCGCCTCCTCCAAGCTGCCTACGGAGCGGAGATGGTAGAGCATCTGCTGCTGCGACGGCGGTGGGGCGCCAACTGGCACAGCCATGGGATGCTGTGGAAGCAGCATCTGCTGCTGCTGTGGCACAAGCTGCGGGACCAGCCCAGCATTGATTGCAGCGATGTGGTGTGGAAGCATGCTTTGGACAACACCCTGAGGCAAGAGCACAGGCGCTCCGGCAGGCGCCAGCACGTGCTGTTGCTGTTGCAGGGCCAGCATTAGGGACCCAAACGCGTTGTCGGCTCCCTGGACCAGGGCCGGCACGGCAATACCGCCGGACTGCCCAGCAACAGCCCCCGCGGCGCTTGCTGCGACCATGAAATCTGCCGTATGCTTCAGGTTTACTTGGGCTTGAGTCGGGGCGCCCTGGCCCGCAACCTGTGCCAGTTGCGGGGCGAGCGCAAAGTTTCCACCGCCAACGGGAAGGGCGAAGCCAGTGGCGGGGATTCCAGCGCCGGCCTGGGCAGCAGCACTGGTGCAGGTAGTCGCATGAGGTCCGGGCGCCCCGGCGAAATCTCCTTGGATGTTGTCCTTGTCCGGCTTGCTCAGCTGCTTGTACCTGCGAAGAAAAACCATACCATGGAAGGTTAGGCACCTGCTTAGGTCAAGCGAAAATCAGTCCACAGCCCATACATGCCTTGCATGGAGCGAGGGGTTATCCGTCCGGACGTCCCCCAGCATCACTGGCCTCTCCCGCTAAGAGGACGCACCGTTCCGCAAACTCTGGATTGAAGTGGCCGCTGTTGGGGTTCAGCATGTTGCAAAGGTTGGCTGCCGGTGCAAGGTTCAGCCCCGCGCTGGCAGTCCCCAGCAGCCACTCAGCAAGGGCCATGGCGCTAGCAGCGGCCGGGGCATCAGCACGCTCCCCTGAGCTGGCCGACCTGCGCATGGTGCCGTGCATATACTGAGCCGCGGAAACACTGACCCTGACCGCATGGGGGCGTGGAGGCCGAAGCCCATCAGCTCGTGGCAAGTGCTGTCATCCACCGACGCAAAAGTACTATCCCTGGAGGCCGCAAAGCCACTAAATATGAACTCGTGAGGGACGTCCCAAAAGCACGCCCCAAAGACACATGGGGCTGAGCAGCATGTGGCCCACCTCGACGTGTTTCTTGGGTAGCGCACCAGAAGCGGGTTGCTGCCCGTCAGGCGGTGCACGGGTCGGCCGTTCAGGTTCTCCTTAGCAGCTGCTGCGTGCTGCGCGCATGAAGAGGTGCCACGGGTGTTAACTGGTGAGACGTATAAACGGGTAACCCTATGTGTCAGTCAGGGTGATTGGCATTTCGACAGCGCCGCCTATCAGGAAACCACGTGTCTCACCTCCGGCACCTGAAAGTTGACAAAGGCAAAATTCCTGTCCGGGAAGATGCGAACCGACTCCAACGGGCCGAATTGCCTGCATGCATTCGAAGATGGACGGGCGCAAGGGTTGGTATGCCTATTCCTAGGCTACTGAAGCGGCATGCAGGGCACACAGTATTAAAGAACACACTGCCATGTATGCAAAGGAGCGCGATTATCATCGCCATTATGGCAACCTCATCCATTACAAGGACTCACGTGAAGACCTCCTCCAGGACGGCTCGATCCACGTTGGACGGGATGTTGCCCAGCCACAAGCAGCGGCCGGGCTGCTCGCTGCGCCCGCTGCCTGCAGGCGCACCCTCCACCCCAGCAGCAATGTTGCTGCCGCTCGCAACTACGCCCCCGTTCACCTCAGTCCCAGCACCGGTGTCAGCCACACCCCTAACAGCTGAGCCAGCAGTAGCAGCCGTACCCGCAGCCAACCGGTCGGCGCTGCAGCCATCCACAAGGCCCAGGTGAAGCCCGGCGTAATCTCGAGGGGTCAAGTATGGTATCATACTCGCAGCCCGGACGACCCCGAGGCCGATGCTGTTCAGGAATGACAGCTGTGGCAGGGCTGAGTTCTGCTGCTGCTGCCCCTGTGGTCGCAGCTGGTAGCGGACCTCCAGGGGGCGGTTGTTGTTGCTCACCGGGGGTACCTGCTGTCCATGGAGAGCTGCCTTGGCTGCGGCCGCGTCCTGGGGAAAAGGAAAGCAGCCAGGAAGTGGCAAAGAAGCAGGGATGTTCATGACACCGGAACACGGCAACAGGAACGTAGACCATTTACCGTCGCAAGAGCAACAGCAGGTGAGGATAGTAATGCCGGTTGACTCGTCCGGCGGACTGACCTTGGGCGAGACGAAGTTGACGAAGGCAAAGTTCTTATCGGGGAAGACGCGGATGGACTCCACGGGGCCGAAGTGCCTGTCGTGCAGGGAAGAGGAAAGCATGATGTCAAAGGTCACACATGCCGATGGCCGAGAGCTGCGGCCAAGAGCCCAAGACCATCCCTTGCCCACATCTATATGTCATCGGCTCACTGCCAATTGATCACATCCTCTTCCGGCTTTGCTTTCCATGCCCTTGCCAAGCCAGCCAGCTCACCGAAAGAGGGCTTCCAGGACGTTTTTATCCAATCCTGGGATTACGTTGCCCAGCCACAGGTGCCGGCTCGGACAGCCTGCCGTACCCTCGTCCGAGGCCACTGTCGTACCGCTGTCACAATCGTCACAGGCGCTCGTACTCGTGCTGTCGACCACGCTACTGGCGGCAGTGCTGCTGCTGCATGCGTCGGCGCCCGTGGTGCCATTGGAGCAAACGGCGCCATCTGGGTCGCTCGGCGTGTTGCCGCTGCTGCTGCCGCTCTTGTCGTTTCCCTTGTCGCCGAAGTCTACCGGCAGACCCAGCGCATTGAGGCTCGACAGCAGGGCCTCCAGATCGGTGCTGCCATGGGCCGGTTTGGCCTCCGGTGCCGAAGGGTCAATGCCGTGCCTGGTCGCAGTGTCATGGTGGCCGTCATCGGGAAAATTTGGGCCTTTGCGTGCGCTTACGTCTTGTGAAGTTGGCGGCAATGGCGGCAGCGGCAGGGTCGACCGTTGCTCTTCAGCCTCGCACTGAGTGAGGGATTGCGGGCCGTTGCCGCTCGAGGCAATCGCTTTGGCCTGACCCTCTGGAGGAGGCATGGCAGCAGCGGCATCCTGCAGCATTGACATTCCGTTAGCCCATGTTTGCGTTGAGGCAACGAAAAGGTTTGCGCAAGCCCATACGAAAGCCAAACCGATATACTCGCCTGTTGTAGCGCCTGGGTCCCCTTGCAACCCGACTCCTCATTCTCGTTGACACCAGCAGCCTCGCAGCTACTGCTGCTGCTCATGAGGTCTCCTTTGACTTCGCCGACGCCTCCGCCGACGCCTCCACCTGGCCAAACGATTGACGCGCACGCAGACTGGAGCAAGACTTTGGCGCCGTCAACCGTACCTTCGCCGAGCCCCACGCCCGAGCTCCGGCCGTACTGGTCACGGCTGTGCAGGGGCTGTCCTTGCAAGTCATTCGCAACGACCGTTGGCTGGGGTTGGAGGACGTGATGGTATATTTGTCGCTTCTGGTAGCGGATCTCCAAAGGGCGGTTGCACGTGACCATATGCACCAGCTGCCCGTGCAGAGTTGCCTTGGCGGTGGCAGCGTGCTGTGGATGGCAAGGACCAACAGTCACGGAAGAGGTCAGCTAGCTAGACATACAGGGAGGCAAGCTGAACCTGCCTCTACGAAGGGAAGAGGGTGATGGTAATGCAACTGGTATGATCCGCGAACGCAACAGGCAGTATACGAACTGACAATTGGTCTGCACCATTCGCCGTTGTGCGCCATTCCCCCTTTCCTACTTTCTCATGTTGCGTACCTGTGCCGATACGAAGTTGACGAAGGCGAACGCCTTGCCGGGGAAAACTCGAACAGACTCCACAGGACCAAAGTGACTGCAACGAGAACCACGTCAACGGACGTGTCATCAATCGGTATGTGAGCAGGCGCAGTGCATCCAAGCATATGGTACAGTCCGTTTCCCTGCAACATAACTTCGACAGAACCCTGGACTCACGCAAATAGCTCTTCGAGGAGAGCCCGGTCGACGTTAGTCATGACCTTGCCCACCCACAGATGGCGGCTAGGCGTGTCATCCGTGCGGGGGACCGACATGCCGCCGTCCGCGGAGAGGACGTTCAACTTGCCATAATCGCTGGGAAGCCGACCGGGGTTAACAGCCATGTACGTCCCAACCATACCATTGAGATCCGTGCTGTTATCTTGATGCAGTGCTGCAAGGATGTTGCTCAATGCGACGTTGCCAAGGAGCCCCTGAATGTTAAGGGAGCCCGCCATACCGCTTCCCCAGGAACCCTGCATGCTTGTTGTAATGAATTAAGTGTGCCTTGCTTGTCGTGTAGTAAAATGTGCTTGTTTGGACCAGCCCCAACCTGTCACCAGAGGAGAGAAGACGGCTGTTCAGCACGAACACGGCCATCCTTCATATTCAAAGTATTTACCTCACTAATGTTTCGCAGGTTGGTGTGCAGTCGGTTGCTCCAGACTCCCAGCCTGTTGAAACAGACCCGATGGGAAACTGCGTCGTGCGAGACCTCCACAGATCTCACGTTATTCCTTGCTTAAAGATGCCTGCAAGCTGTGACAAGACTGCTAAATATGAAGAGCGCAACACGCGGATTCCCCTGGCTGTCGACTACAAACTATCTATGGCTTCGAGAAGAGCTTGTTCCTACACAATATCCTGCTAATGTAGTCAGAGCGATGCTTGTTACAAAACGACTACGTACGTGCTGACGATGCACATGAAAATTTTGTGGTACGCCTTCCAAGCCCTCAAGAAAAGCAAAATTATTCCAAGCGCCTATTCTACTCCCATCATAGAATCGTGTTCTATAATACCTGAAGAACATAGGCTATCAAGGTTGTATTGCAAGGTTTGCAACATGCATACATCTTGTTGGCGCCAGGTTCCAGCGGTTCTGGAGCGTAGGAAAGGATGTAAAGACGCAGGGTTACCAAGCGATGTTTCTACCTTAGACCAAAGTTATTGCTGCATGTGGATCGAGTTTAGGGGTAACAATCCAGCATTTTTTCACGCGCCGTGTGCCTTTGCAAATCTGTTGATGTCCACTAATCCTCCAACGCAAGGCCGAGATAGTCTTGACGCATACCCCAACGATTAAAGCCAAATATTCATACAACCATACAATACCCATTTCATTTGATTGACTGGACTCCCAAGCCTGGGTTACATTCCGTTGATCCGTCGCGCACTTGTCGTTAACCAACATTACCATTTACCGCCCCAACTGGTCAGCACGGAAGCACTCGCTTTAGAAGTGGGGGGGCGGCTTAGTCATCCCTTCGTCGAAGAATCCAAGCGGGAAATGTCCCAGTTGGGCCTGCCCCAGTTGCAGAAGCACGCCTCGATCTCTGCCGTCATACCTTGAGACGTAGCAAAGCTGCGAGAGTTATGTTGGGGAAACGAATGAGGGTCTCAAAGCAACGGCTCTAAGAGCCTGCCCAGCTGGCGAATGAGCCCTGAGTTCCGGTATGCAACCCCAACAGGCGTATCAGCTGCTGTCCTAGCTAGGCAAGCCTGGCATACATGGCAACCGATGCATGCAGACCCACGGATGCACACTTGCCCAACCCGGTACACGCGAGTCCCTGGCACACGCGCGCACCTGGGTGTTGGAGTTGTACTTGAGGTACACGCCGCCGCGCAGCTGCATCGCGTCAGGCACTCCGTCAACCTACGCAAGGAGCGGCCGGTATCAAGCACCACGGAGGTTCAGCACGAACAGCAGTGACGAGCACCTCCGCACGTACAACGCGCGCCGCATTGCTAATGCCGCCCGCCCGCCTCCTCTTCCCCACACTGACCCTTGACGCTGGGGCCACGAGCGGTAGGCTCAGCTCCTCGCACCAGTCCCTGTAGGCTCGCGCTGCAAAGCGTATATCACTGGCAAGCACCCCCAGCAATACCTCGCCGCCTGCTGCCGGTCCCACCCATCCGGAGGGTGGGTGCGGTTGGGCATAGGCTACCTAGCCGCCGGGATTGGGGAAGGCGCGGGGGGGAGGGGCATCGGAGGGAGGCTAGGGGTTGAGGGGGTCGTTGGGGATGTGTCGCTGAGGGATCTCGTGACAGCGATTCCGTTTTAACTACCGGTACAAGTGAGGAGGAAGGGAGGGAGAAAGGTGATAGACATGAACACCTAGACTAGCCTAAACGAGGGCGCTACGTGGGAGGCATACTTTTAAGGCGTCTCGCAGCCGTTGTCGCTTGGCAGGTGAACTGAGGTAGGGATCTTGCGCTGCACCCCGAAACTCCTTAGTGGTGAAGTCTCGCAGCAGGTCCCAAGCCGCTTCTCGCTCCGGCTGCAGCACGACATGAGAGCATGCAACTTCCTTAGGCAAACACTGATGGATGCAAGCATGTAGGGCTGCGCGTGGCTCTGGTGGACGGAATAGTCCTGGCCGCCCTACCATGAAGGTCCTAAGTGGGTCTTCAGCAGCTGATGCTGTTATCTGCCGCGTCGGTCGTAACCCCCGGCGTAGCACTGAAGTGCGCCGTTGTGTTGGGCAAGCCATTAGACCCGGCGGGACACTGGCGCACGGTCGTTGGAATGACACTGTTTGCAACATGATAACTCTTTAGGGGAGTGGTTACGATGTTACAGGTGGGGTTATGGAAACACAGCGATGTGGGTTGGAACTGCAGCTCACATGACGCCCAGCAACAAGCGTACTAGGTGACGACGGCTGGTTTCAGACTTTACAAAAGCATCGTCTAAGAAGTAGCATTCTGTGTGCCATACGGCTGGCACCGCAGTCCTGAATCTATACGAGGCATACGTCGTACACGGCTTTTCGTGGGTAGCTGGAAAGGGCACCATAGTATGCAAAAGTGAACAACTTGTTGTTACATAAGTAGTATGGTACATTAAGCAGAGTGTGACTTGTTACTTTTTGACCCCCCTTCGTGATCATCTTTTCAATTTTTCCAGCAAGCGAACCATATTAAAAGCCGTGCTATTATTATGTACAGTTGATATCGACGTGTCCGCCAGCCTTGGCAATAAAATCTTTGGGAAATGAAGTCTGGCGTTCGGGGAATCGGGCCAGCCCCGAGGCGTAGCTCATATGCCACTTTCCTCACCATTATCTGCTTCTGTGTGGGCCTTCTTGGTGGCTACCTGCTTCTCGGAAGCCCACGGACAGTAAGTACAGCAGCCTTGGGCTGTTGCGGTCGTGTCCTTGCCCTTCCTTGAATTCGACATGTTGCCCGCAGGCATACCATGTAGGCTCAAGTGGCGCAGTAGGTAAGGGCACGGCACGGGATGTGTCAGCATGCGTAACAGCACTCTTACCAGCGTGCTACTGGGCTGTATCACGCAGGGGGCCGTAAGGAAGGCTCAACCGGCAGCAGCAAGGTAGGGCAGCTTCATTCCGTTTTCTTTCTCCGTCTATGGGTCCCACGCACGCCGTACGCGGCTGTGCCTGCGGTGGTTCATGAGCGCTGAAGGTGAACGAATGCCTGCGCCCAGGCATGGAACACGCGGCGAGAGCTCTTCTCACCAAAGACCCGCGGTAAGAGCATACGACTGCAGTACGAGGCCCATGGCGCTCTACGCGCGGGGACCGCATACATCCATAAGCACGGATTTGAAGAGTAAATGTCTTGATGCTTCACCGTTAGGCGGCTTGCGGCGTTGGGACCAAGCAAGAGACACCATGTGCACTTCTATATCCGTACGGTTGTAACAAACATCCCCGCTGGCTGGCTTGCTTTCCCGACTATTATGCCCCCTCATTTCTACACTCCTTCAACCCATCCATCCTCATGACCTCCTTTTCAGCCGAGGAGCTGCCCAGGAATGTGGTGCTGGGGGAAAAGCCGCCAGCCAAGGGAGAGGTTTCCAAGGAGGTAAGGAACGGTGGTGGATGTTCACTCCGCACACGGCCTTACTTGGAGCCTGGGGTGTGTAACCAAGCGAGCCTCCCCGCTTGTCGCGCTGTGCCAGAGCTGCGGTTGCCGCCCAAGACGCTGCCTAGTTGCCCCACACACGCGGTCGTGCCTTGGTCGCTACCCTTTACTTTAACACCTGCTTTAACTCCTGCTTTGACCCCCGGTAACCAGATGGCTGCGGCGCTGAAGCAGCAGCAATCGGACAAGTCAGAGCATGCGGCGGCCGGCAAGGGAGGGGTTACCCAGGAGGTAAGCACGGTGGGGTGAACGGCTGGAGGATGGGTAGAGAATGAGAGCTTAACCGCGGGGCAAGGCTCCACCATGGGCTGCAACGTGGAATGCCGACCCGTCCATTCCAACCCAATCTAGCCGCGTCTTTTTAGCTTAGGGTGTGAACCTAGCTGCCTGTGATGCATGAAAGCTGGCTCCGATGCGGCCTGTACCGGTATCTGACTGCGGTACTGCCCTGGCCTGTCAAGTGATGTTCTGCCCTGCCCCGCCCCGTCATGTCCTGTCCTGACCCAGATGGCCGCTGCTCTGAAGCAGCAGCAGTCAGACAAGTCCGAGCACGCGGCGGTGGCAGGAGGGCAGGACAGCCAGCGCAAGGAGAAGGAGGCTTTGATGAAGGTAAGGGACTGCCGGTACCGCTGTGAAGCAGGGTGGTTGGCTAGGAGGCTTTGAGGGCATCGTAGGGCCGTGGTGAGGGCTGAAATGCGGGTGTGGGCGCGGGAATGGAGGGAGGGGCTGGAACCCGGGCGCTTTGAGGTTTAGGGTTGGAAGGGTTTGGGCTTTCCTGACCCACATGAGACATGACCAAACCTGGCCGTTGTTCAACACGCGAATTCCTTTGTCGGTTAGGGATGCTGTTCCCAACACGCCATGGTGTGGCTGCACCCGCTTGCGTAGCCTCGTTAGCTCTCCCATGCAACCCACCTCCGCCTACCAGCACCCCGGGACCTCCGCCCGCAACGCCTCCCACGTCGCCCTCACACCCCCAACACCGCCACCTCCATGCCACTGCTAACCACCCCCACCCCACGCTGACCCGACTTCCCTTCGCCTTCCCTCCTCGCAGGCCCAGCAGTCCGACAAGTCGGAGCACAAGGCCGCTGTGGGTGGCACCGCCCGCCAGGAGCAAGCCAAGACCGCCGTAGCAGGAGGCACCACCACCACCACCACTGCTGCTGCTGCTACTGCTACTGCTGCCACGTTGTCCAACACCACGGCTGCCGCCGCCAGCACCACCACCACCACCACGGCTGCTGCAGCCGCCTCTGCGCCCCCGCCGCCTCCCCGTCAGAGCATCAAGGGAGTCTTCCCCGACGCCAACACCTGGCCCATCACGCCGGTGAAGGAGAAGATGCCGGGCAACACCATCCACACGCTCTTCACCAGCAACGGCAGCCCCTACCAGAACATCCAGGCGCGAGTCATGTAGGTGGTGGGGGCAGGGAGGCGGGGAGGCGCGGAGGCCGCGGCGGGGCAGGCGAGGTTATGAGAGGGGGGTGCAGTAGTCTGTCGAGTGCAACAGCACCGGGAAAGGGTGGAAGATCATGCGGCACCCCCGTCGCATTGTCATTGGGGTGTCAGGACTATTGTAAGGGAAGCGCCAGCACGCCAGAACGCGGTGCTTCTAGCTTACCTCACCTCCTACCCACCACCGCTCGCTTCTGTGCCCCACTGTCGATTCCAGACCTGTGCAGAATAATCACCCCCGTCTCCCCTCCCTCTTTCCATTCTGGCTGCTGTGCCTCCTCTCCTCTCTCCCTCCGCCTGAATGCAGGGTGGGCACCTACAACATCGTTCGCAAGATGCCGGGCGGGGAGCGGCTGGTGGCGCTCACACGCATCCTGCACCGCAGCACTCCGGACGAGGTCATGGACGAGGTAGGGAGGGAGGGGCTGGGGTTGGGGAGGGGGGTGGGAGGAGGTAGGAAGAGACTGGCCCGCTGTACGACATGTAGGCTTCACCATGGAGGGGGGGTGCAAACATGGTCGTTGGGTTACATGGTTACCGGCGGTAGGTGGCCTGGGCCCCAATGTGGAGCTCCTCTCGGTGTGTCACACGCTGCCCCTTGAAGCCAATGTGCGTAGCTGTGTCCCGTTCCTTGCCCGGTGCCGTGCTGCTATGTTTATGCTTGACTATTTTCCAAAACCTGCCCTCCTGCTGCTGCTGATGCTGCTGCGTCTGCTTCGTAAGATCATCACCACCAGCCATTCCACGCCCCTGCTCCGCCCCGCTCTCTCAAACTCCCCTCTGCTCTGCTCCCTCAAACTCCCTTCCTCCGCCCCAGATCCCCACCTTCCTGGCCAAGCCGCTGCAGCCCGAGTGCGACAAGTGGTGCTGGTTCCCGGTGGCGGACCGGGCCAATGCGGTGCAGCAGTGGATCGACGCGGCGGAGAAGGACCCCTCACTCGTCAAGGTGGGGCGGGGGGGACAGAGGGGGGGTCGAGGAGAGATGGGTCAACCCGGTTACTGTTGGGAACCACCACAAGTGAGGGCGAGAGAGTAGCGAGGAAGCCGGATGAGGGTGGGGCAAAGCGGGGGGGAGTAACCAAACATCAGAGTTGGGGAGATTGTAGGAGTCAGATGAGGATGGGAGGGCTGCAGGAGGCAGGTGAGGGTGTGACAAGATGACAGGAGGAAGACGCAGCCGTGTTAACGGGAGCTGAGAGGTTCGCTGAAGCTAGAACGGCGTGCCACTCACATTTGTATACAGAGGGTTAAAGACAAGGAAAGAGCGTTAAGGCAAACAAGATCCCAAAAGGTGGCCTAGACGGCTTCCGGTGGTGGATCCTGGTGGTGAAGCAGCTAAGGGGTTAGTGACACCCCTGGGGGGACGTCCAGGCCCTTGGGGGCACTTACCCCACTTCCCTGCCCCTGCTGCCGCTCCTCCTTCTCCCCACCCCTTCCTTGGTTACCGCACCCACTATCTTTTACTCTTCTTTCCTTACCTGCATTCCTTTCCCCTTCCCTTCCCCCTAGCACAATCCCAAGCTCCAGCCTAATGCACAATATGTGTTCCTGCTGCTCCCTTTCCCCCTGCCAGGCTCCCTGGCTGCTAATGCTTGAGACCGACTACGTGTGGATGAAGCCGCTGCCCGACCCGGGGAATGCGTACGACCGCTCCGTACCCGGCTGGTCCTTCGCATTCGACTACATCGCGCCCAGCATTCCGAGTGAGGCGGACAGGGGGGGGGACGGCATGACAGGAGCGGCATGGGGGAGGGAGGCGGGGGGAGGTTTTGGTTATACCACGGAGGGCCACACAGCGGACTGTCCCTCCCCGCAGACACCGAGTGTACCTCCGGCATGGTGTGCGTTTCGTCCCAATCAGCTCCTGACCTGCTCGCCCCATGCTCCTCTCGCCTTCCCCTCCCGCGATAACCCGTTGACGCTGTCCCCTTCCTGAACAACACTGAGGTTAACCCACCCCCCTCCGTGCGTCCCAACCGGCACCCCTCCCCCCTCCCCTCCCCAGTCATCCAGCAGCTGCTGCAGGAGCGCTGCCCCGACTGCGACGCCTCCACAGTGCCCAACTCCGGACCCGCACCCGTGCTGGCGCGCTTCTCGGACTTCAAGGTGTGTGTGGGGGGAGTCAAAGACCATACCGAGCCCTAGGAAACTACAGATTGGGGCAAAACAATGGGGATAGGAGGCGGCAGGGTGCCGCAAAGCAGGTGTTGGTTAGAGTGTGTTGGGGTGCAAGTCGGGGCAGGACGCACTTACTCGGACGCAAACCCTATAGTGGCTAGCATGGTTAGGTTGGTACCAGGTAGGGCACGGGCAGGAGGCTTGGAGAGGAGGAGGAGGAGCGTACGGCAGAGGGGGAACCGGGCTAGAATGCATTTGGCTGGTCGCGTGCATGGGTGTGCCTCTCACGTCAACTGAGGCGCGGTGGCTGGGTGAACCGTGCTACCGGTACTTGGTTTCCCGCCCCGCAGGCCGCCACGCCCATTTGGGAGGAGCTGAGCAAGTGGATTGAGACGCACGAGGACGCCAAGAAGATGCTGGGTGAGAGGGCGGAGAGGCTGGACGGGTGGGGGGCAACATCAGGACGAAGGTATATTAGGCGCATGTTAGGCGAGGAGTGCATGCGTGCGTTCATGAATCAGGGGGTGCATTTTGCATGTGGGGGTGGGGTGGCATCCGGGGCCGCATGCGTCATCATCCGCCCCATCCTCCGCTTGCCCCTACACCCTACTCTCCCGGTTCCACACACACCCTTGTAACCCCCCCCCGCGCTGCAGGCTGGGTTCGTGAGATGTACGCGTGGGACATTGCGGTTGCGGCCAACAAGCTCAACATCCGCAACCAGGGGCCGCCCGTCACGCCGCTCATCAGCCAGCCGCCGCACGACCGGGCGCTGGGGAACGCCTCCATGTACCACTACACGTGGGGCACGCTGTACAAGGTGGGCGGGCGGGGCGGCCGGCCGGCGGCGGGGGGGAAGTCCTAGAGGCCCCCGCGCCCCTAGAGGCGCTTGAGTCGTGGGGGAAGAGGGAGAGCTTTGTATCATTGTATTGCAGGTTATTTCATGCCGTGTTGGCTGAAGTAGGGGAGGTGAGCTGTCTGTACGTGTTTACCGGTAGGTACCAATAAGGTAGGGCTCTCACGCCTGCGTGTGCCACTGTGGCTTGTGCCTGCTGCTCCCGCAGAGGCCGGGTGTGGAGAAGGAGTTTTGGATCTTCGACAAGCGCTCCTACACCGCGTATGAGCACCAACTCAAGGTGAGGTGCAGGAACACAGCGCCCTGTACTGCAGGGTTTTATGGAGGGGGTCTCAGCGAGTGTGTGCGTCTTGATATATCGCACACTTCGACACCCGGGGCCGCCTGGGCGGGCATGACCTGGGCTCCTGATGAGCTGTTGTCCGGTGGCTCGTGCTTACCTGCCCTGTCCTCTAGGGCTCCCTGTGTCGTACAAGGACACAACCCTCTTTCGCGCCTTGTAGCTGGGAATCTAGTATCCTCGGAACGCTTTTGGCATTCCCAAGGAGTCGTACTATCGTGCGCTTACCTAAGCTCCCTCCCTCCTCCCATGCTGCTCCGCTCCGCCCCGCCAGCTGCCCACCTTCCCGCTGCCCCCCGAGTGGACCGAGGGCATCGTGTTGCAGGTGCGATCTGGTTTCTACTGGATTTTGTAAGACGGTTTAGAAGGTGAAGGGGTTACGGTGGCGTAACGGTGGTGTCATGGGGTATTGCACACATCAAGCACCATGCGACGGAGGCCCTTGAAGGCATTGTCCCCGACCCGGCGCCTCCACCTTTTTGTTTACGCACAAGGACCTGGCTGCTCCGTTCTTACTAAAACCTTTCAAACACCTACCGCTATATCCCTCTCGCACCTAAAACCCCCCTGCCCTCCTACACCTCCTGCGTCGAGCACTAGATTCATTGAACGTAACTTCCCTCCCACATATTCACCCGCACCCCCGCCTCTATTTCCCCCTCGTCTCACTTCTCTTTCCCTCACCCCCCAGGACGGCCTCCCTGTCACCCGGGAGCTGCACGACACCGTTGTGGACATGTTGAAGCGCATGAACGAGGCGGTGGCGCAGCTGCCCGACCTCACGGAGGCGGTCAAGAAGCAAAAGGAAGCAGCGGCGGCAGCAGCGGCTGCCAAGACTGCAACCACCACCACTACGACGACGGCGGTGGCAGCCACCTAGGAGGGAGGGGGAGGAGGAGGATGCTGTTGTTGTGTTACCGGTTCCGTTAGTCAGGAGCTTGCTAAAGCAATAATCGTTCGGCTTATGAGGATTGTGCGGATCTCTGAAGGGCAGGTCAATCTCTTGCCTGCAGCTCGACTGTGGTTTTGACGTGCTGGAGCAAGGCAGTACATATAATGCCAGGGATGGGGCATGTACAATGGGTTTCGGGCCCCTGTTAACGTGTTAAGGCGTGAACATGCTTGAATGCAGCGATACTTTTTTACGAATTCGGTAACGGCCCTCACGTGGCCATAGTTGACCAATGGCTGTGCTATGCGCTCCTTCCCGCCGGGTATGCGTGCGAGCCGACTCGTGTGACGTATGCGTACATGCAATGATGATGCAAGGCAGTGTAGACAATCTACTCGTACGGTTCCAGGGGAGACCTTCTACAGAAACACCCGTGTTAAGGCAGGAGGGTACCGGTATGTATAGGGCATCAACCACCAGTCGGGCACGAGCCAGTGCAATGTTATTTGTTGCGTCTTATGCAATGCAAACCTGCCGCGCTTGGCCCTCACGCAATGTCCTGATGCAGTGGGACCCTCCTGCTGGGTGACGAAAGGGGCTGCTGCTGTCCAGCCAACTCGGCTGCCTCCTGTCGTGCTCGGCTCTAGCCAAAAGCATTTGGCCCAATGAGTGCCCATTCCGCGTAAAGCCATACGTCTTCACATAAAGCCAATCAGCAGTGCCCATTGGAACAAGCAATGCAATGCACCCAATTCGAAAATCCCCCCTGTTATCTCCGATCTGTACCACCTAAGCAAGTCCTAACGCACGCTACTTTCCACAACAACACATGTGTTGCTCCCCGCCCCATTCCCCTCCCTCCTAGACCCGGCCCCCCCTACCATTCGTTGTTTCACTTTTATTTAATTTTTGGCCCCCACTACCTCTCCCGCCCACACCCTCCTCCTCCACCGTCCCACCCCCCCCAAACCCTGCCCCTGACCCTTCCTCCCCACACCCGCCCCCACCTACCCCTCCCTCCCGCCCCCGCCCACACCTACCCCTCCCTCCCTCACACCCGCCCCCACCTACCCCTCCCTTCCCACACCCGCCCCCTACCACCCCTCCCTTCCCACACCCGCCCCCTACCACCCCTCCCTCCCACACCCTCCCGCACCTACCCCTCCCTCCCACACCCGCCCCCACCTACCCCTCCCTCCCCCACCTATCCTGTCCCTCCCCACACCCTCCCCCTCCCTCCCCACCTATCCTGTCCCTCCCCACACCCGCCCGCACCTACCCCTCCCTCCCCACACCCGCCCGTCCCTACGCCTCCCTCCCTTCCGCCCCTATCTTTCCCATGCTCTTTTCCCACCTTTCTTTCCTACTCTTCCTCCACCACCGAGCTTTCCCACGCTCTTTCCCCTTCCCTCCCCTCTCGCACATCCCCACCTTTAGCTGCTCCCATGCACGTGAAGTACGGGGGAACCTGTGGTGGGCAGGGGGTTTGCAGGCCGATGGAACACCGAGAACCTCGGGCTGAACAAGGCTGGGCACTGTTGCCATTGTATATGGTTCAGGAGAATAGCACTAATCTGCTGCTGCTCTTTGGCCTGCTGCTGCATCATGCTACCCGGCTGCAGGTGTAGCTGATATAGGAAACTTCTTTCCGTGCTACACGTGCCATGCAAGAGGAGGCGTACGGAAGGTCCCTCCCCTCCACAGCTTGCGCCAGGAAGGGAGGGAGGAAAGCGAATTACATAGGGTGGTGATTATACCAGCATACATACTGCGGCTAGGTGCCCTTGCAAGCTAGCACTAATTGGTTAAAGGGCTACATGAGAAAGATCTTTGCGGTTATACCTCTTATCATGGAAGGACGACCACTAACAGCAACCAACGGCAACAGCAAACCAACTAACAGCAAACCGAGGACCCGCAAAGCGCAGTCCCATGTACAATACGCGCTACTATGTAACAACCAAATTTATCTAACCAAAACGCACGAGGAATATAACCATGGCGCACGAAGAGCAAAGAAAGCATGGGACCAAGTGTGCACTGCAAGGACAGCCCTCCCTCATACGTACGGCGCTCAACCTTACCATGCAAGCCCCTTACGAAGCGCCCGACCAGACCTGCCCCTACCAGCTTTAATTCGGATGACACTTGTGCCGCATACCGCCCCCACTGCTTTGGAGCTCGGCTTGTCCCCGAGGGAATCAAACCCTCCGGCTGCCCGGGCCTTCCTTGGCAGCGACCGAAGGCTGTTCAGGACAATCAGTCAAGAGGAAGAGGCTGCTGCAGTCCTGCATTGATCTCGTGTCGTACACCTTTTACCTCGAGGGCTGTTAGGGGCTTGCCAGGCCACACCTGAGTGCAGGGACGATACCGAGCGAGGTAAGCCGTCAAGGAATGCTGTTAACGGAAGTGTTCCTTTACCCATTGCCGCCATAGGATAAACGCGCTAGTGGTGCCCATTCGAAGTAACGCCAATGCGGTGCACGCCTTCGCAGATCCCCTCTTTTGCTGTGTTCAACATTAGCTCTACCACCTAAGCGATCCTGCGTGTACCTTACGTTCCCCAACATTGCATGTGCCACCTCCCGCAGAACAAGCCCAAACTTATCTGTTCGCACTTTGGTGGAGCCATCTTAACGCTTTCCGGTACGACGGAAGAGCTGATACGCTCCCAAGTGGTCAAACGCGGGCGGCCTTCCATGCAGCCGGTGTTTCCAGGGGTCCTTGAGGGAACACGGCTGGCACTTGGCCCCGTGCGTGGTCACCAGGGCGTTGACCGTCTGGGTAGATTCCCTTCACCTCGACTCCAGAAGGCTCCGGAGAGCTCACAGCGTCCGTTCGGGGCTGCAAGACGGGGAAGAGAGGGAAGGAGGGAGGGATAAAGAGGAAACATCTAACTGACCGGGAGGGAGGTGGTCAACACGACGAGCAGCACACGTGTAATGGCAGGTGTTGCCTTGATAACGACTGAACCCAACCCGCTGCGCTGTTGCTGTTGAAATGCTTGCTGTGGCTGTCATGTAAAGCATAATTGACCCGGCTGTGAGCTGGGACTGACCCTGTTGCTGCTGCTGCTGCGCTATTTGGGGTTGCAGCTGTACCGGTAGCTGCAGGGCAACAGCAGCGGCCGACACATTGCAAGGTCGGAGTACACCACTCACACCCCACATGATAGCATGGCACGTCTGGTTGTACCTTGAATAGTCGGCGACCGGATGGGTCTTGAAACATGACTCCGTAGGCCGCATGATGCCGGGCTAGATGGTCATGAATGGGGCCTCGGCAGTGCGCCGAGACGATGCCATCTTAATCGCTGACGGCCATAACCGTAAGCGTAGCTGAGAGCAAATACTTGCGGACTTGGGAAGAACGCACCAATGCCTTGAGCGAAGGCGATGGATGTCAACCGGCCGGCGCCTGACGCGCCGCTAGCTCCTCAAGCCACCAAAGACGCCTTTTTATTTCCACGTAAGGAGTATACTAAGCAGTGCGAGATAGCGGTGTCGTCGGGAATAAAACTGTTGATAATCCAGCATACATACATACAGTATCGTAGTTCCTTGCATGTAATTGGCCTTGACAGGTTCCAGAGAATAACACACAAACCTGAAGGAGGCAAACAGTATACCGGTATGTCAGTCGGTAACGAGGCCTCATGGCCTACTATGATGGTTTCAGCAACCCCAAGCTTAACATATTAAAGCGCACCTGCCACTTTATCGCCAATCTTGAAGCCAAAGCTCCTGGAACGGTTTAACCTTATCTTAACAGTGAACCTGCCGGCCATTGTCAAAGAAGCAAAACGGTGGAAGTAAGACTCAGCTAAGCCAGGTACGGTAAAAGGTACTTGTGCAACTTTGCATAGGCTTATAGTAAACATACTTTCACGCCTGGCTGCGGCTACATGCCGTATTATCCTTGGCTTTCAGTTGCAACTTTTGCACTTCTTACATTACAGCCTAAGCCATGTAGGCCAATGACAAAGAATGGAACCACTGTGTTCATAGTAGTATTGGCAATGCAATGGCCTAGCAGGTATTTGTTCGTTTTGGCCCCCATGTCGTACCCTGCCCCCGATGGCGCCGTGCGCCGTAAAACGCGCGTAAAACCATAGTAACATAGTGTTGCGATATTAAATTTATGTCAGAAGGAGTATAACCGCGACATTGGCTTACCGTGATCACATTTATGAAAGCCACATACGGTAGTTTTCTTGGTGACTCAACCAGCTAGGCAGCTAGCTAGGTAAGCTGGCGGCCCTGGCGGGCGGCGTCAGCTGTCAAAATACGGTGATGCGCACAAATACCAATGCCCCTTAAACTTCGCTGTTTTAGAAACGGTTACAAGCTGCTGATGAGTTAGGAGGAGCCGCTGCGGGTGCGGTCAGGATAACCAGGATACTCCATTCGGCGCCATTTAGCCGACCTTTCCACCAAGTCGTCGCACCCAGGCTACACTAACTGTCGCCACCCAACATATTGCAAAGCACTGCGACAGCACTAGCAACCATGTGTACAGCTTTCGTTCACACTTTAGCATCCAGCGGCCATGTCCATGGCAGCATCCCCAGCTGGAAGTCGCACCATTCAGGAAGCCCTCCACATTGCAGTCATGCATGCTAAGCCAATTGCCCTCCAAGCCGCCTGCTCACTGCCTCGGCGGACGCGCCTAGCCAGCCCAACGGATACCGCGCCTCCACCGCCCGCACCGATCACCTCCCCCTCTTCCTCCTCCCCAGCAGCAACCGCCCCTCCTCTTCTGCTACCTGTCACACACCCCACAAGCCCACACAAAGCGCGAGATACCTCCATGCCACCCTGCTCCACAACCTATATCCCCCCTGTCTATCTCCTTAACCCACACCAACCCTACATAACCGCAGAGCTAGGAGGTACAGCTCCAGAAGCACAACAGAAACCTTCAACCACCACACACGCAACCAAAACACACACACCTCCCCTCTCCCTCCCCTCTCCCCCCTCCTCTCTTACCCGTACCCTAGACCCACATGGAACCGTCCCTCCCCCTGCGCATTCCACGCATACTCCAGCCGTACCGGCCCCACCGGCGAGTCCAGCCGTACCCCGCCTCCGAAACCGAACCCGCTGCCCGGCTTGCCGCGCACGCCCGCGGGGTCCCCGATGACGGCGGGCCCGCTGCCCAGGTCGGACCCGAAGTCGAAGAAGGCGGTGGCGCACAGCGGCTGCAGCGGCAGCTGAGCGCGCAGCTCGGCACCCGCCTCCACGCTGTGACGACCCGAGCCCACTCCGCCCTCTGAAGGGGGGTGAAGGGGGGTGGGGTGGGTGGGAGGGGGTTAGAGATGTACCAAAAAACAGGTTACGAGGTTAGGGCAATGTGATGAGGAGGGAGGGAAGCCGTTGGAGGAGGTGGGGGTGGGGGTGGTGAAGTGGGGTAGTGAGGGCTTCGTAGGGAGGGTGCTGCATGCCGCACGCAGCGGCCCTCGCATCACTAACGGGTACCCACCCCCGTATCCTCGCACGGAGTTGGTTCCTCCGATGGGGAATGCCTCGTACGGCGGGAGGTCCCCCAGTACGGCACCCGCCCTCCCGCGCAGGTACAGTCCCAGGTAGGGCCCTATGCGGAGGGCCTTGTCGAGGCGAGCCTGTGCGCATGGAGGGAAACAGAGGTGCGCGGGGGTGGGGGTGGGGGTTGGGGTTATGGAGGGGATATGGAACTGGAGACTAAAGTGACCGCCACGGGGGAAGGGTCTTAGGGAGCAGAGGGACCCATGGGTCTGTGAACGTGTTGATGTTGGGGGGGGGCGGTCTGAGACGGAGGCGGTGCAGTCGGAATCTAGAGCCCAGCAACGCATGCAAGAAGGGAAGGGTCCACATCCTTGGGACGCTCCAATGACACCATTCCACTCCTCACCCATTGGGACACCCCCCCCCCCCCGACATCAGCAAGGTTGCAATAACAGACCTGCCCAGACACGCTCTGCCCAGACACGCTCTGCCCAGACACGCTCTTCTCCCCCTCTTTCTCCCCCCTCTTTCTCCCACCACATGCCGTACCTTTATGCGAGTGTAGTGCAGCCACTCCCGCCGCAGCGGCAGCGCCTGCTCCAACCCCAGCACCGCGTGAGTGTCAACGTCCCGTGGGTCACTGCAGCGGACACGGCGGCAAGAGGAGCGGCACCCCGGTCACGTAAGCGGCAATCAGCGGACATGATGGTGCAGTGGGGAGAAAGGAAGGAGGGAAGCGGTGCAGTGTGATGCTGCTCCGAACATGCAGCAGCAGCAGCAGCAGGCCAGACAGCCTTACGCAACCGCAGCTGGAGGCGCCCACCTCCGCCAAACCCAAACCCTTCGTCCCCAAAACTCCCTCCCTTCCAAACTCACTTTACCTGCTTTCCGCCGGCCAGCATTGATCTCCGCCCCCGCCCCTGCCCCACCTGCCCCCCTGCCCGCACCTGCCCCCCGCCCACCTGCCTCCACCTGCCCCACCTGCCCCCCTGCCCGCACCTGCCCCCCGCCCACCTGCCTCCACCTGCCCCACCTGCCCCCCTGCCCGCACCTGCCCCCCGCCCACCTGCCTCCACCTGCCCCACCTGCCCCACCTGCCTCCACCTGCCCCACCTGCCCCCCTGCCCGCACCTGCCCCCCGCCCACCTGCCTCCACCTGCCCCACCTGCCCACCTGCCCCACCTGCCCCCCTGCCCGCACCTGCCCCCCGCCCACCTGCCTCCACCTGCCCCACCTGCCCCACCTGCCCCACCTGCCCCCCTGCCCGCACCTGCCCCCCGCCCACCTGCCCCCCTGCCCGCACCTGCCCCCCGCCCACCTGCCTCCACCTGCCCCACCTGCCCCACCTGCCCCCCTGCCCGCACCTGCCCCCCGCCCACCTGCCTCCACCTGCCCCACCTGCCCCCCTGCCCGCACCTGCCCCCCGCCCACCTGCCTCCACCTGCCCCACCTGCCCCACCTGCCTCCACCTGCCCCACCTGCCCCCCTGCCCGCACCTGCCCCCCGCCCACCTGCCTCCACCTGCCCCACCTGCCCACCTGCCCCACCTGCCCCCCTGCCCGCACCTGCCCCCCGCCCACCTGCCTCCACCTGCCCCACCTGCCCCACCTGCCCCACCTGCCCCCCTGCCCGCACCTGCCCCCCGCCCACCTGCCCCCCTGCCCGCACCTGCCCCCCGCCCACCTGCCTCCACCTGCCCCACCTGCCCCACCTGCCCCACCTGCCCCACCTGCCCACCTGCCCCACCTGCCCCCCCCTGCCCCCTGCCCCCACCTGTACGCTGCAGCCCCCGCCCCCCTGCCCCCCCTGCCCTACGTCACAGTATCACGTTGTGCCCCTTTATCACTGCACATCATGCCTTGTTCCCGATATGCCGTACTTTTCACCAATTCCGTCCCTATTTGTACCTTCCGCCCTTATTCCATCCCATACACCCCACCGCGCCGTCCTAGTCGTGTCGTCTCGTGTCGTAGGCTTACCTTAGTACTTCTTTGTTCGCATCTTCACCATCGTCCTCTTTACCTTATACTTAACTTCCCCTTTCGCTTTCCTTGCCTCATTCCGCATATCTGGCTCTCCGCTGGACATCGCTATCAACTCGCCTCGACCTAACTTACTCCCTGGTCCTGGCGGCTTGCCATGGACATGTCTCATGGTGCACATATCCTGTGCACGCAGGTACGTGTTTTATCGTGTGTCAGTCTGTGTTGTTTTTCATGCGTGCTCGTGTTGTGCTGTTCCTGTTGTTTGCCTTTGCCCAACGGCGCGGTGGGTCTCCAGCTCACCTTCAGCAGCCTCCACACATGCCCAAGACTATGGTAAGGTTGCTCCATAATTGGTAAGTTCGGTAAGTTTAGCTCGCATTGCTTTAACCACCATTTCGGCTCGACTCACGGTTGATTCCACCGGGGATTGTCAGCAACTTGTATCATTATCATACCACACTTTGGAATTTCTTTTTTGCCCCCCCCTGCCCCCTGCCCCCACCTGTAGGCAGCCGTGGCGGCCGCCAGCAGCGCCGTGTCGTTGTTGCCCGCTGAGAATGTGATGGGCGCGTGGTAGATGTCGTGCGTGATGGGGCTGCCGCGCTCGTCCATGCAGCGGGTGCGCTGGCAGGAGGCGGACAGCGTGCCGGACCAGCTGGGGGGGCGGGGTGGGGGGGTGTGGGGGGTTGGGGGGGGGGGGTAAGGATTACCGTACTACGACATGAGAAGAACACTGTCCGCGAGTCGGGACGCACTGTGATTGCCGTGAGTGTGTGCGCCGCATGCGGTACAGACGCACCCCGACAGCCTCCACCGGCATGCAGGCAGGCGCTGGGACCCCCTCCTCCTTGCAGCGCAGCCCATGAGAACCGCACCCACCCCCAATCCCCCACCCCCAGTCCCTCACCCCCAGATCCCCACCCAGTCCCCCCTTCTCACCCCTGCGACAGCGGCCGGGTCCACTCCACCCCTCCCTGCAGCCGCCCCAGCAGCACCCCGCCGCCCGCCCCGGGACTGTCATCCAGGTCCGTCTCCGCCTTGCCGTGGACCGCGTTGCCTGACAGACGGGGGGTAGGGGTGGTGTAGGGGGGTAGGGGTGGGGAGGTCAGGAGGAGACATGCGTTGAGTACCGGTACTGATATGTGGGAGGGGGGAGGGGGGAGGGGCAGGGTGTTGTAGGGGCAGCAAGAGGAGGGGAGCAGGTAAGAGAGAGAGAAGAGCCACGCAAGGGGGCAGGAGCAGGATGCTTTTCCCGGTAGCGGAAGCCTTTAGCCCACATCCGCGAAACCCCTCTTCGCCCCTCTTGTTTTGCTAACAGAGAGACTCCTTCATCTCTGTGAGTTCCCTCTAGAGGCCCTCCCAACCTGGAACCTCCCTGCCGTACAAGCCCCCCGAGCCGAATATCCCACGGCACACCTGATGTCCGGTTGTTCATGAGTTGGATGGTGCGGGAGGTGCGATGTGGGTCGCTGTTGACCCATGGGTCGGTGTGCTGTATCCGGAACAACTTGTCCACCTGGGTGGGTTGGGTGGGTGGGGGTTGGGGTGATGACACACATACACCATCACACAGCAAGGTGAACAAAACACACCCATGACAGGAGGCTAAACCGTTAGTTAAACCAGAGCCAGCTAGTTTCGGCAAACGAAGAGAAGAGGCAGTGTGAACTAACGCCGAACCTGCCGTACCCCACAAACCCCCCAACTCCTCCCCCCCCCACCTGCCCAATTTCCGCTGACACGCTGAGTCGCTGGTTCAACCCAAACAGATTGCGTTCGTTGTAGGAGAAGGAGCCGATCAGCCCCGGCCAGGCCCCCTCGCCAGATGCCGCGGCGCTGAGGCCCCCTCCCGCGGACAGCCCGCCTGTCTTGCGCTCCAGCAGGTCGAGAACCAGGTCCACCTGGAGGAGGGAGGGAGTGGGGGAGGGAGGGAGGGAGGGAGGGGGGGATAAAGATAAGGACAACTGACGAACTGGATGACGGGGCTTCTCCATGGGTTGCTAATAGGGGTGAGGTGGGGGGGAGGAGGGGGGAAACATACTTAGTAAGCGCAGCAAGTAGGAGGTGGGAGGGAGGGGTAGGAGGGATGGGAAGGCGGGAGGTGGCGGGATAGGTGGGAGGGTAGGCAGGAAGGGCCAAGGGACCTTAACGCTGCAGCCAGGTGCACCACCGCCCCCAGCCCGCCCCTCCCCCCTGCCCTGCCCTGCTTTGCCCTAATAACCTGTGGTCTCCTACCGGTATGGTTTGGTATGGACTTTGACACCCCCCCCCCGCCCCAATCTTACCTTTGGCGCCCCCTCCGTGGAGTCCTCCGCCTCCCGAGTAGCCACGTTCACGTCCTCGAACAGCCCGGTGGAGTAGACGGCGTTGATGTCGCGACGGATGGTGCGCAGGTTGTACACCTGCGGGGGGGGGAGGGAGGGAGGAAAGGTTCCGCATTACGCTGGAGTTTAGGATTGCGCATTTACTGGGTTAGTAGCAGCACGCAAAGACCTGGGGGGGGGAGGTGGGGGAGGTGAGGGGGGTTGTAGACCTGGGGGGGGAGGTCAACCATACCATACCAAACCATAAGAAGCCACAGGTTAGTGCAAAGCAATGGGGGTAGGAGGCGGCATGGTGCCACAATACAAAGTGTTGGTTGGGGGGAGGGGGGGGCGGAGGCGGGGGCGGAGGGGGGGGCGGAGGGGGGGTAATATGGATGAAGATTCCGCAGGGGGGGGAGGGAAAAGAAGAATACCCAATGTCTTGAATGAGGAAGAGGAAGGGGAGGGAGGAGGGGAGGTAGGTAGGGAAGGGATAAAGAGGAAGGAACTTGGGGAAAGGGGGGGACGGGAGTGGAGTGGTGGGAAGACCCCTCTCCCACACCCCTCGCAACCCCCACCCCCACCTGCCCCGGCTTTGTGGTGATGTGTCGTGTTATGATGTGCGGCCGAGTGCGCGGCTGCTCCCGCGGCTGGCCGGTTGCGGGGTCCAGGAAGCGCAGCTGCAGCGCCCCCACCACCGCCTCCGCGCACTGCAGCTGCAGCGCGCCCTCCTCGAAGGTGAAGTCAGACACCTGGGGGGGGAGAGGGGGAGGGGGGGAGAGGGAGGAGAGGAGAGAGGAAACGAGTAATGAACCGTGTGTGGTAAAGCGTCATCGTGGGACATTGCACTGTGTGCTTCACTTCTCATTTCTCCCCTTCCCCTTTTTGTCTGCTTCCCTATTCTCCCCCGTTCCCCCCTCCTCCGCCCCCTCCCTCCCCCTCCCCTACCATTCCCATGATCCCCCGCTCATGGTACCAGGCGTCCAGCTGCCCGATGGCCCGCTGCAGCGACCCAAGGTTCAGCGTGCGGCCCGGCATACCCTGTGAGTGCATGTGTTGAGGGGGGTTGGGGGGGGTGGAGGCAGGAGCAGGTCAGGAGGGGGTTAATAGGGATGACGCTTCCGCATTCGGCTGAGTTTTAGGATTGCGCATAGTCAAGCTTGTTGGACTATGTTGGACTTGTAAGGGGGGGGGAGGAGGAAGGAAAGCAGGAGATCAAGGAGGGGGTGAGGAGGGGGAGGGGGATCAGATGTGCGAGGAGGGGGTGCAACAGGTTTCAATCCTAGGGGACGGAGGTGGAGGGGTGGCAGTCGCAGCAGTGGCCGAGGTACCAGCAACACCCCCGCCCTCCCCCCCCTACCTCGAATGCCTGCTGTATGACGCAGGCGGGCAACATGTTGGCCCCCACCGCGGTCAGGGAGCGGACCTCCTCGTTGGGGCGGACCTGGGGGTGAGGGGTGGGGTGGGAGAAGAGTACCCAACGGCTTCAATGAGTTTTAATGAGAGTGGCAAACAAGACGACGACCTTGTGAGGGGTGGGGATGTGGGTGGTGAGGGTGGTGAGGGGTGAAGGAGAGTGGGGAAGGAGGTTAGGGTACGGTCGGGGGCAGGGGCAGAAGGGGGTGCTAGGGATGCTTGAGAAGGCGAAGCACATCCTGCACATCAACCCCCCTCCCTTTTCCCCCTTTCCCACCTTTTCTTCCCTCCCCCCCGGAACCTCCGCCTACTACACAGGGCCCTACTCTCTTCCGCGCCCTCCCTCCCCCCTGCCCTGCCCTCCATCGGCCCCCCACTTCATGCGCTCACAGCATGAGTCGGGATATGGGATTGGGACTCCGTTGCTTTACTTCCCGTTTGTTCCCCTCTGCCCTTCTCCCCCACCCCCCTTCCCTCCCCCCTCCCTCACCCGTATCCTCAGCTTCACTCCGTCCCGCGTGTCCTCCGAGTCGGGGGCCACCTCTGAGAACCAGCCCGTGGCAAACACACGCCGCACGTCAGCCTGAGGGGGGGGAGGGGGGGGGAGGGGAGAGCAAGGGGGAGGGAAGGGTCGGAAATATGATATGGGTCAGAGAGAAACCGAAGCATTTGAAACCGCAAATAATGTGTGGGGGTTGGGTGGGTGGGTTGGGTGGGAGTGCCGTGATGGGGCAGGGGCAGGGAGAGCCCGCCGCAGTCACCCGCATCTCCTACCCTTTCCCACCCGCCCACCCAAACCGGGGCAGTCCCTCAATTCTCAGCCAGTGCCTCCGTATAAAACACACATCGCTGCACAACCCCACACGCACAGCCCTCCCCGCCCCACACAAACAGCCCTACACTTCCCCTCATCACATGGCGCAGGATGCTGGCCAATGTCTTCCTCTTTAACCTCGCCCCGCCCTGCCCCGCTCCCCCACCCCTACTGCATGAGTCGGGATATGGGATTGGGCTCCAATTGAGGCACTTAATTGTTTATTTTTTACCGCCCCCCCTGCCCTGCCCGCCCCCCCACCTTGACCTCGTCCAGCGTGTATGCGAAGTTGGGTCGGGTGGTGAGTGCCTCCTGCGCCACCCGCTTCAGCTCGCCCTCGCACCCCACCACCTCCACCTGCGGGCGCGCATGCGGGCAAGATGGGGGGGGAGGGGGTGGGGCGGGACACATGGGGGGTGAAAAGAGGAAACACGAATGGGGGAGGGGGGCGCGACCCAGATGAAGGAGGGGGGTTGCGGCACAGATGGGTAATAGGGGGTTGCATGCGCCACACATGGGGGAGGGGGGTGCGACCCAGATGGCTAGGATGGAGGAGTAGGAGGTTTGCAACGTGGCGGGGTGACGCCTCAGCGGTATGGCAGTCCGGTACGGTGACGCATTCGTGCATGGCGGGTGTGGTGAAGTGGGAACGGGGTCTGGCGGTACATGGCGACGGGATGCGGGTGCGGTACGCAGCCCCTGCAAGGCCCGTTTGCCGTGGGGTGCAGAGCCGTAGCAGTAGGAGCAGCCACGGTAGGGCAAGGGGGGGATTGCTTGGTTTGGGGCGCATGGGGAAAGGCGCACAGGGGCTTCATCTTCCGGCAATCACAGTGCATTCCGACTTGCGGCCAGTTTTTGTAACACACCAAAGGAGCGTGAGGGGTGGGTCCGCCTTGGGGGTGGGTTGCGGACATGGCGAGGGGCAGGCGGGTGCACGGAGGGTGCTAGGAGGGGTATTCGTGGGTAGGGTGGTTTCGGAAGCGAAGGTGCACAGGTCGGAGGTGGTATCGGATAACTGGAAGGGGCTTAGCGGGAGGTGGGCAGGGGGTGGGGAGTGGTGTCGGCAGCTGTTGGTACGGCATACCAGGGCTGTGCTGCCGACACACGCACGGCTTTAAGGTGCGGAATGAGCTGTCGGCGCAATGCCTGCCTGTACGGTATTGTGTTTCACACTTATACCGCAGCTCGGTGCAGCCCAAGACACTGTCCAGCTTGCTGTCGAATGTCAAAAGGACGCTGTTCTGTTTTATCGATAGCATCCTGGACAGCAAACTTGTGACGTGTTTTGTTGCGTAAGCGCACCAAATGTTGCTACCCGGCTGGCTGAAGCTAAAGGAGGAGCAGCGTCTAGGGTTGCAGGGAGCAGCGAGCCGCAGGCGAGGAACGCCGTACAGGCAGGTGATGTGCCGACGATTCAACTGCCGCAACGGATTACTAGAGGTAAATAAGCTCCTAATAGATTGAAGCCGACGCCCTACCTCAGAGATGAGTATGCGGTCCTCAGGTTCGCCCTTCCCCTTCGGTCCCGCTGCGGCGTCCGAAGCCCCAGTTGGCTTCGACTCGAGCTTTCCGCTGCCGGCCGATACACCGACGGGCATAGTCATCGCCGCCCATAGCGGCGGCCTATTCCGCAGCTTAACTTTATGCGGTTCACGAGCGACAACTGATCTAGGGCACGATCGCCCACTGCCGGCAGTTTGATGGCGGCCACCCCAGGTGCCAGAGGCAATCGACTGGTTGAATTTAGATGCCCATCCATCATATGGCGCTTTTAGGGTTTCTAATAGTTGCTCGACAGCGGCCTGAAGCGGCTTGATAAGCGTTTGCCCTATCGGGCTGTCAGTGTCGATCATTGAAGCGACATTGGCATGTCTACACAGTATATTCTTCACTAAAAGCTACGTATGATATGCAGATGCGTGCCATGGCTGCACTTTGGAATGACTCGTACACAGGGCCATGTGGGATTCGTGCCAAAGCTAGAGACGAGAGCATACATGCTGGAGACACAGTTTAGTTGTTAGTCGCGTGACAGCTTCCTTTTAGACAGGGAAACGTATTAATATCACACGCCTTTCGAACGCTGACCGAAAGTGAACGCACCAATGGGTAGTCCTCTTTCGTTGACGTGCTTGGCGTGAGGATCACTGTTACAGTGTGGAAAATGAATATACAACAAAGAACGTCCTTTGCCCGACGGCGTCGAGGCCTTGGAGCGCTGCCCAGCGGACCCGTCGCCTTGAAGCTCCTGGTTGTCTGCCTTGCGACTGTTGGAGTTAGCTTATGGGGAGTTTGGACTATGGGCCCTTATTTGTTTGGCCGACAACGGTCCATGCCTTCCGTAGCAGCGGAATACTCGCAGCAGGAGGAGCCCTTAATGGTGGGCTTGCAGACACAGACACGGGGTGAGTGAAAAACTGCTTGTGATCTGGCGTATACCCGCTGCTCAGTCCTTTCCGCTCCCGACTTGCTGCTAACAACCAAGGTATCCCAGGCCAATACGGGGTATCTTCATTGCTTAAGGCGTCTTTCTAAAAGTCCTCTACATTACTATGGCGTGTAGGCCTTCTAAATCTGGATGCTGGCGACGGGACAAAGTACCTCATGGTGCAATGCCATCGCGGCCAGTTCTCCAACAGGCTTTCGTGCCTACAGAGGGGCGTGCTTCTGGCCAGGGCACTGCAACGTGTTTTGGTTCTGCCCATTTTCACAGACGCGGCTCCTGCAGTTGACGTTTCCAAATATGTCAGCTTGGAGTGCTTCAGGTGCGCCTGCCGTATATTAAGTCTTAGTGTTTTCTGCAAGGGTTCCTAACAGCTGCAGCTTTCCGAGTGGAGAGGACGTGCCGCCCTCGATATAGCTGGGAGACCTTTCTGCTACCGGGGTTTACGACTGTCTCCCTTCCTGCATACTGGAACCCCGCTTCCTCTGCTGCGTTGTGTCGCAACCCGACCCATATCATAGCTCCGGGGTCCAGTCAATATACCCGTCGGAGCTTATTAAACCGGGCTTCATTTGTACAATCCAACCAAACTGTCACACCACTCCACACTTGCCCCTATATTTGCCTCCGCTCAACCGCTCTGCTCCTCCTTGCACGTCCCCCACCCCATCCCCTGCCCAGGCGGAACTCCCAGGCCGTGACCTTTCGTGAGTTCCGAGAGCGCTTATGCCACGGTGTGGGACTGGAGGTGCCCTCCCTGGATGCTTACAGCTTCATCCCGCGCAACGCCTCGCTGGACAGCAGCAGCAGCAGCAGCGACAGTGACAGCAGCACGCTTGGAGACAGCAGCAGCACACGCGACAGCAACGGTGATGCTGGCGGCGGCAGCGGCTTGGTTTATGCAAGTGGCGGCGACGGCAACGGTAGCAGGAGTGATGGCGGCGGTACGGCACGCAGCAGCAAGCGCGGCGGCTCCTTCTGCGAGGATGGCGCCATGCTGCAGCTGGAGAGCGGCTACAGCCTTGCAGGTGGGGGCAATTGTGTGGTTTGTGTAGGGGGAGCAAAACGAGTATAACCCACATCAGTAACCCACATCAGCACTGGCGGGGAGCTGGTTTGACCGCCACCACCATTCATATATATTCAGAAGCGGCCGTTTACAATTTCAAAAGCTATCTGCCACTGTATATGCTAATCTACTACCAGCATGGGGTCACACAGGCACCGACATGCTCCGCTTTGCTCCAGGCGTTGACTTATGCCGAGTCTGCCTTGCTGCCTTCTCCTCCCGTGTCGCTTTTCCCCATGCCGTCCCTTCCTCCATGCCCCAAATCCTCCACCCCGCCCCGGCTCTCAGACTACCGCGGCTACACCTGCTGGGCCCGCCGCGAGGACATCACCAACGCGCGCGACCTGGGTGTGGAGATCAAGCGCTGCACGCACGTCCCGCCCGCCGACACCTCCTCCTCCGCCACCCGCTACAACCTGGACGACATCCTGGCGCACTTTGCGCACCGCCCCGAGAAGGTGCTGCTGTTCCTGGACCTCTTCGGCGTGGACCTCATCAACTCGGTGGACGAGCTGGCGCGCACGGTTTCGGAGCCGGGGCAGATGTGCGGCTGGATGCCCACCGAGCGAGCAGCGGCGGCAGCGGATGCGGTGATGCAGTTCCTGGTTCCCCCGCCGGTGGGGGCTGCTGCGGGCGGTTCAGCAGCTGCGGCGGCGGAGGGCGTGGCGGTGGCGTTGATGGGTTTCGGATCTGCTGCTGCCTCGGCAGCTGCTGTGTCGAGCGTGAATGGCATGTACGGCATCGGCAACACGGCGACGGTGGGAGCGGAGGCAGCAAGCGGGCGCCGCAACGTCCTCCTCTCCTCCTCCTCCTCCGGCTCCTCCGCCTTGTCTGCGTCCGCACAGCAATCAGGTGCCGACCTCGTCGCCTCCTCCTCCTTGTCTTCATCCGAGCAGTCCTCTGCAGAAGACCACCCGCCGCCGCTACGTCTGCGTGGGGCAAGGAGCTACGTTGCCGTACACCTGCGTCGCTCCGACTGGTTCTACTACTGCGCTGGCTCGCGGCGCTGCTTCTACAGCATGACCGAAGCCGGCGCCTGGCTGAACGCCACGCTCGCCGCTCGCGGCATGGACACGTTGTACGTCTCCACCAATGCGGACGCGCGCGAAAAGGAGATGCTGCGGCGTGCGGTGTCGGGCAATGTGCTGTACTGGGAGGACGTGTTGGTGCAGCTGCGGCGCTGGCAGAAGGAAGCGGCGGCAGCGGCGGGTACTTCGCTCGACTCTTCTACCGCCACGTCGGCATCCTCCGCGGCAGTCGCCGCCGCTTACTTGGCTGCTGGGGGTGCGCCTCCTGGCTGGCTGGCGTCGCTGCCCCTGGATGATGACCTGATGGTCCAGATGGTGGAGAAGGCCATCTGCATGCAGGCCAAGGACTTTGTGTCCTCCAAGAGCTCCACATTTAGCAACCAGATCCGCAGCTTCCGAAACAGCGGTCTGGAGTACATGGAGCTGGAGGCGCTGGTGCGGAAGTTTGGTGCCGCTGCGTTGCCGCCGGCTGCGACAGAGGCCGCAGCGGGCGGGGCGGTGGTGGTTGCGCCGCCGCCGCTGTCGCCGCCGCCGACGGCGGCGTCGCCGCCTTACGAGCCCGCTACCTTCCTTTGCGACGCCGCGGCACCGTCATACCCTGACCTTCACCGCCTTCCTGACTTTCAAAACCCAAACCTCTTCCTCGAGCAGGCGCGTGGGTTCTTTGCTCAATTGAAGCAAAAGCTGCTCGACTCCTGGCGGCGCCGGGGGCATGGGGACAGCGACAGCACCACCACAACCCCTGCTTCCCTGTCTCCTTGCGAGCAGCCCAGCCTTTCCAAGCTGCTGCAGGCGCCTTGGCGCGTGCTGCAGCGCTTCGTGCTGGTCATCGAGGACATGCATGCCATGGCCGCCGCCAACCGCTTTGTGGAGATGTACACGGGCGGTGCGGTGGTGGGGCTGCTGCTGGAGGGGCGGCAGCGGGCCTCCCCCGCGGCGGTGGCGGAGTGTGTGTCGGCTGCTGCGGCGGCTGCGGGCGCCCAGGCGCTGCATGTGGCGCTGGTGGGGGTGCCGGCGGACCAGCAGGTGCTGCTGATGCAGGCGCTGGAGGCGCGGCGGGAGCAGCTGTGGCAGGTCACGAGGATGGGCGGGGCGCAGCAGGTGGGGGAGCGCGGGGAGGGGGGTTGGTCTGGATGGATGGTGTTCTGGGTACATGGTACGGCAGGGTGGTTGCATGATGTGGGGACTGACAGGAGCTGACGCAGGGTCGAGCGTGGAACGCCAAGGACAGTTGGTTGTGCCGCCTGCCAACGTGCGCGTGCGTGTGTTACACCAGCTGAGCTGCGCAACAACATCGATCATGAGCATGTGTGCGCGGTGTGTGTTTGTATGCTTGCAGGAGCGCGGCAGCACCTTTACTCTGCTGTGGCGCGGGGACGGGCTGGGTCGCCGCGCCGAGCCCGCCCTGCTGGAGGAGCTGCCCACCTTCCTGGAGCGCACCGACCTCTACGTGCTGGCCAAGATGCGGGTGCTGCTGGGGGACCCGGCGGGCACGGTGTTTCGGCAGGTGCAGGCCACTCGGGAGCTGTTTGGGTTTACCGACCCACGGGACGGTGCGTGCGCTCCAGAGCAGTTGCGGGGGGTGGCGGTGGCGTGAGCGAGCGGGGTTTGGTTGCTGTTGTTTTGTGGATGATGTGGGTGGTTTGGAGTACTCGCTCGTGGCAGTGTTTGATACGATGTGTATTGTCGTGGTCCTATCGGAAGGGGCGGTTGGGATTCGTCGTGGTTTGGGCTCTCGTACAATCATGGGGAATATGTTGCTGGCGCGTGTTATTGGCTTATCTGTATTGAAGGGATGAGGTTGACCTAAGCGGTATTGCGGACCACGACTTGCAAGTTGGGCAAGTTGGGCAAGCGCGGAGGGATGGGAGGTGTAGGCGCGGGAAGGAGGACGGATCGTAACTCGTAAGGGTTTGCCGCGAGCCCTTATTTCCTAGCTGTGAGCGTGCAATACACTAGCTGATTGGAGCTTCACTTGTAGCTGTGAGTGCTAAGTCGCATGCATAAAGGGTGGACGGATAGGGGACCGTAGGGAACCGCGTTTGTGCCATGGGGCGTTCGCCTCGTCCTGCGTGCTTTTGTTGCATCGATGTGCGCGGTCAAACCATGCAAAGCCGCTGGTCAACGCCCTTTGTGCATGTTGCAGCGAGCGATTTCGCTCTTACGAGGAGGTGGGGGAAGGGCGGGGCCGGCTCGGCCCAACGTTCGGGGCTGCAGGGTGGAATGAATCCATGCAGCCCCCTAACCCTTTCTTCGGTCGAGGCGAATAGGCATGTGCCGATCCCACTTGCTCTCGGGGCATATGTCATCATTACCGGGGCGCTTTATATTTTTTGCCGTGGGTGGGCTGCTCACTCGAATCTCATTGGCTCATTGAGCGAATCGGGTCGGTCGGTTGGTAGTTGTGTTCGTCATCCTCTTCCACGTGTCGAGGCGAGCATGTGCATTGCCCGTACTTACTATTTACCCTCGTTGCCAGGAAGGGCCGAGGCGGCGCGTGGGGTTCGCCCGTCTGAGGCTCGTCTCCTTGTTTCGATGGCGGTATTTGAGTTTATTGGGGTCTTCATTGTCGCGCCCGCGTGCCATGTGTAATGGTGTTTGTTGTTGTTATTGTGAAATCACGTTTTGTGAATTGTGTCGTAACTTAAGTAGCTTATAACCCGTAAGGCCCTCTCCGTAGCGCCTTAATTGTTCAAGGGTACTTAACTGTTCATGGGTAGTTCTTTGCTGTATCTTTCGCTGTGTTGTTTTGTGAAGTGTTTTTTTCAAAACTGTGTGTATCAGGAATAGGTGCACGCGGTAACCTTATTAACAGTGTTTTGCTGGTAGCGTGTTGAGTGCAACTATGGGTGTGTCTTCGGTGTTCTGGTGCACAGCTTGACGTGCCGTGCTGTTCCCATCTAGGGAACCCCACTAGAGTACTTGTCAGCTGCAGCCGGCTTGGCTGGCTAGCTGGCCTTCCGGTGCGCTAGAGGGGTAACTGATGCCTGCGGTGCAAGCTGCAGCCCCTGCCCGCTTTGGGTCGTGACATGCCGTACTCCTCTACTTCACTTCCCGGTGCACGATGCCTATCTGCACACCCCGTGGCATAAGCCCCTTTGCCGCCCGGGTGTGCGGCCCCTTGCTGCCGCCCGTTGTGGCCTCCGGAGGAGGACGAGGAGGAGGGGCGCTGTGTTTGCAAACATGTGTTGCCCCTTGTGTTGATGCTGTGTCGGGCTGTCGAATGCCGTTGGTCGGTGGTGGTGTGTGATGCTGGGGTGGTGCGGATGGTGGTGGTTGGGAGGCTGTGTGTGCCGTGCGACGCGCAATGTTTTATGGTTGAGTGTGCTAGGGCGGAGGGCTGAGGTCGTGTCGCCTATGACATTTGGGTGAGAGGGTGAGGGGCTTGGGGGGTTAGCGGATTGTGAGCTGAAGCCGAAGTTCATCAATCTTGGTTGCACCCCTTCCATACAGAGAGTGTAGAGCAGCACTGTGGAGGGAGTTGCGGGACACGTACGTTCCCATGTAGGAGTGATGAGAGGGTGTGATGTCGCTTATGGTTGTATGCCGCCTGCGTGCAACACACGGAGCCCGCTTGCGCTCGCAGGATTGGGTTTTCCTTTCTGCGGCTTGGAACCGCTACAAAACTTCGCAACAATGAAAGCCGCGTGCCCCTTCACTGTATCTGCCCCTCTGCACTGTATTTCTGTTGCTTTGGGTGCTGAAGACGGACTGAGGGGTCGGCGGGAGCGGGCGCTTATGGAGTGATGGCATATGTCAGGTTTGTTGCGCTATGACTGTGTGTTTATCGCACACGTTGGGTGGTATAGCGCGTTGTGTGACACTCCCCAACCCTTTACCCGCTCGCGCTTTGTGCGTCGGTCTGCCTTTGCCTTGAGAGAACCTTATTACAGTACACCAGATGGTTGGCTTGTTTGTCGTCAGTTTGTTTTGCAGTTGTGGTTCCACTGTTCGTTCGTAGGGTGATTTTGTGTGCGTCGTTTGCGTTGCACTTTAAAAGAAGAGCATGGCCTATAGGATAGACAACATGTTGTGCGGGGGAGCTTCGTTCGGCAAGTTGAGCTTAGCTTAGCTCTGCTCTCTCCTAAGGAAACAGTGTGATGAGCTGCTCGTAAACCATGCTGAAGTCTTCCCTAATTAGGGTGATGTAGTGGTGGTGTAAATTGAGTGTGTGGCTTTATGTCATGCTCCTTGGCATGCTGCCGCTGTCTTTGTGCCATTCGCGGCGGCAGCTGGGGTTTGTCGTTTACACCACATCCTGCAAAATGCTGTTAGCGGTGCACAGAGGTAGCCGCCCCCATCAATTGGGCTCATGAGGGTCGTGGAGTGGTGGTTTATTCGGTTGTGGCGGACCTGTGGTGCTGTACAATGGCTAGCGCAGTACAGCCTGGTACGACAAGAAGCATCCTAGATAAGATCGATCGGTACGGCACGAGAACAGGGTAGATGTTATGCTCGAGCAAGCAAGTAGATGGTTCTTCGCTGCTGCCGTTGCAGCCCTTGTTGCATGACTTGCTCTGCTTTGCATAAACGCACGTAGTTCTGGAATGGGTTTGTCGTGAAGCGTGTATTTATATTTGAGAGGCCGGTTTCAAGTTGTGTAGCTTTTCCCCATGTCCCAAGGAACGCCGAGCTGCTGAATCCCAATCGGACCGTGTCCCGTATGCGTGTTTCTTCTTTATCCGGCGAGTAATGCAAAAAATGAATTGCAAGGGGCGCGGGTAAGGGCGGACTATGCCCTCCTGGTTATGCTTGGTGAGAGTTGGGGGCAAAACTTGGTTGAAGTGGTTAAGGCTTGCATTTGTCGTTTGCTTGCTGGCCAGCTAGCTAGCGTGCCGCAAGCGGCATCTGCCTCGTCGCATTCGCTGTCTTGTCGTGGTCGCATTTCATCCTCTACAAGTGCGGCCCGGAACGGGTCATGTTGAGCGAGGTCAGCCAGGCTGCCTTTGTAAGGTGTGGAGTGATCAGATTGGCGCAATAGGTGTCTCCACAGGGGATCAGCCGTCATTCCGTACTCATGGTTGGTTGGTAGATGGTCCTTTGGTTAAGAGGGCGGGGAAGCACAGCAAGCAGGAGGGCCGCAGGGGCTCTGCTGGTCGCACGGCGAAGGTCGTCGTACACTGCAGGACTTTTGCTGGTAGGGATTGGGCACCCAAGTATCACCTATACATGTATCAGCAGAAAATCTAGCCCAGCCGGCCGATAAGCACGAGTCCGCCTAGCCAGGTGAAGCAACACGGCAACAGTCACTACGTTAAGAGCACGTATCTGCATAGCAGTTGGACTACCTTTGGATCATCAGACAGCTTTTGAAGCCCTGAGGGCGGCGAACATCAAATAGTTGTAATAACCAAGAACAGTAACACGTCCAAGACAACAGTCTAGAGCAACGTACAGGGTCACGGTAGTTTGCTCGGTCCTCAACTGGTGGCATGTAGCAAGACCTTTTCCAAGGATTTGTGCTGTTTAAAACAGCCAAGGTCTATGGCAAGTCTTCACCCGGAAGGAAGTGTAACAGTGGTCGCCATCAGCGACATGCATGGCTTGCACCTGCGCGACGACGTCATCGACCTACCGAACGGTACGAGACGCTACCATTAAATAGTTTGTAAACGATTATAACACAACACACCCGATTCCTGTTGGTTCTCCGAAGTCAACGCCGTACCCCATACCTACAGCTTGTCACACCCTTCAGAAGAAGACACTCTCCGCTTTGCCCGTACCTCTACCCGCCTTCCTTCTCCCTCCCTCTTTCACCTCCTCCCTCCTGACCTTCCTGACATGAGCCCCCAGGCGATGTGTTGGTGGTGGCGGGTGACATAGAGCTGCGCGGCGAGCGGGATGTGGCGCAGCTGCAGCGCTGGCTGGCCTCGCTGCCGCACCCGCACAAGGTGGTGGGGTTCGGGTGAGAGCGGGTGTGTGCGGGTGGGAGTTGCTTTGGGTGTGTATAGGTTGCCGGTAGTTTGGAATGGCTCGGGGTTTAGAAACTACCAGGGCAATGCTATGTACCGGTACCGATGTGGGTGTGAGCAGAGCAATGGGTGGACTGATCGGATCGGGGTTGAGACGGAGTTGCAGGGTGGGGGATGGATACATGGGAATGGGATGGTGGGGGGATGCTTAACGATTTATTTGCTGATGCTGCGTGCCTCTACGGCATTATCTGCCGGGTACACCGGTATGTGTGTTTCTTCCGCTGCTTGCGCTTGGCTCCGTTGCTGGTGGTTGGTTCGGGTTGGGAACTGAGGAGCCGCAAGGGCCGCCGCGGACTGAGTGTAGCTGTGTAGCTCGTGTTGCTGTTCATTGTACTGAGCTACAGAACTGGCTCCCTGACCCTAACCGTAACCCTAACCCTAACCCGGCTGTTGTGATGTGTGTCCGCATGTGTACGGTATGTGCACGTGGGCATTGGAGCGCAGGAACATGGACCGAGCGGCGTACGGTGGGTGAGGTTGTAGGGAAGGGGAGGGGAGTCCGGCTGGGGAGGAAGGAAGACCGCGGGCAGAGAAAGCAGCACTACTGGGGCGCTGGCGGGGTTGGGGTGGGAGGCTGCCAGCTTGATCTTTTGCGGCGACGGAGGGGGCGGAAGGAAGGGCTTTTTTGTGATTGGTTGGGTGAAGGCTGAGGAAGGGAGCTCCGGAAGGAGGGGCAGGGCACTGGGGGTGTATCGCACATGTGTTCCGCGGTAGCTGTGCAGTGAGGGGTGCGCAACCGCGTGGACATGCATGCGCCCTGGCACTGCGGTGTGCGGTGTGCGGTACGGGGGCTTATGCCATCTTTGTTGTTGTACCCATGTAAACCCCGGCACCTCCCCTCCCCTCCCCTCACCTCACCTCGCCTCACCTCACCTTCCAGAAGCCTACAGCAGCAGCAGCAGCAGCGGTCTGTCCCTGCCGGGTGCGGTGGTGGTGGTGGACGGGGTGGTGGAGGTGGCGGGGCTGAGGCTGCTGGCGTCGCCCTGGTCCCCGAGGTATGCGGGCGTGTGGCAGGTAGGGACGGGGGTCGCGGGGGGGGGGGAGGGGTGAGGGATGGGTTGGTTGCGTGAGGGGCTGGACAGGGTGGGTTTTGGTTGCGCGTGGTGCTCATTTGGTTGCGTGGAGCCCGGGGGTCCCCGCGGTGAAGTGCACCTCATGGCAGGGAGGGGAAAAATAAATGAAAAATGCAGCAACGAAGTCCCCACCCATATCCCGACTCATGCAACTCAAAGATAGTTACGGAGGATACCAAATTTCACACAGTAGACATACAGTTGGAAAACGGTGTTACCGGTATTGCATGTACGTTACTCCTCGGAATCCAAGGAATACCCATTTCCGAGGAATGCAAGAACGACTGTTGACCTCACACAAGACCTGTCGAATCTACCGAACTAGTTCGCGCCCTCCCTTCGTCTACCTCATACGGGGTCATACCACTCCCCGCCTCCCCGCACCTCCCTGCCCTCCCCCCCAAACCTCGCTCTCCCCCCCAGTTGGCCGATGAGGCAGCTGCTGCTGCGCACTGGTCCCGCCTGCTGCCCCCGGACCTGCAGCTTGACGTGTTGGTGACCCACACGCCGCCGTACGGTTTCGGAGACCTCACCCGGGGGCGCCACGTGGGGGACAAACAGCTACTGCATGCCGTACAGGTGGGGGCTCGTGGGTGCCGTACAGGTGGGGTATATGGGCGCCGCACAGGTGTCCCTCCGCAAAGGGCGATGTTTCTGTAGACCGACGGCACTGCATGTAGCTTCTTGTGCTGATGCTGGTGTCGTTTCTTTCCCGCCTTCAATCTCTACGTGCGCGTTCTACCAATGTTTCAACGCCCTTGACCTGCCCAACTAATCCTGCGACCTCGCCCTCGCCGCATGCATGTTTGCCAACCCCGTCCCCCGCCCCCCTGCCCGCTGTCCCCGACCACTGCAGGCGCTGCACCGCCCGCCCCAGCTCTGGGTGTGCGGCCACATTCACGAGGCGGTGGGGGAGCACCGAGTCCCGCACGCGGCGGCAAGCGACCCACGGGTCAGTACCTCAGTACATGGTGGCGTTTGTGACCCGGGCCATTAACATGATAATAACGACAAATTAGCTGATGGGCTGCATACCTGGCTTCTCCTACGTATGGGTCTTACCGGTATTCGTGGGCAGATGTGTGCATGCCCTGTCTAGCACATCCGTACACTGCACTGGGCACCAATCCTCCGTGTAACTTCCCACTCCGGTTCAAGCGCAACCTCTTAATAAGCACTTCAACCGCTACTGTGAACACTACCTCACCGCAGGGCATCCTGCTGATCAACGCGGCGGTCTACTACGCGGGTTACGGTCGCGGCGAGCTGCAGCGGCGGGCACAACCGCGGGCTGTGGTGCTGCCGGAGGGGCGGGTGGTGGCGCAGGGGGACCCGGATAGACTGCTGGCAGGGGCGGCGTTGGCGGTGGCGGGGGCTGCAGGGGGGGCAGCGGCGGCGGCGGCGGACAAGGGGGCAGCTGGCAGTGGTGGTGGTATGGGTGGTGGTGGTGGTGGGATTGAGCAGGGGAGGGAGGGGGAGAGGGAGGAGAAAGGGAAGGGAGGTGTGTGGAGGGCGCCTCGGGGTAATATTGTGCTGTAATGATGGCTGGACGCTGGTCGCGAGGGTGTCGCTGTTGTTGTTGTTGTTGAAATGGAAATGGTGGTGAAGGTTGGAAATGGTGGTGAAGGCGGCAGTGCATGCTGTGTGAGGTGGGTAGTGGTGCACGGGCTCGAGGACGGGGTATGCGGTGCGCTTAAAAGTACCTTGAAATTAGGAAAGGCCCGCGGAAGGGCCCACGACACAAAGTTGATTACTCCTGTGCACGTAGGGCTGGGGAATGGGTGCGATCTGCGATGTCACAACCATTGCCGCGGTAGTCCCGGACTGGCGGTTTATCAGCTGGCTTGCCCAACGGTGTGTAATACCCCATCCCTCCCCCACCCGCCCCCACCCGTTGGTGCGGCCGCCGGCCCTCGATACATCATCTACGCTCCCCGGCCTCCTTCTGTTTATGCTACATTGACTAATGGTAAGTATCGTGGATATCGGTAAGTTCACTCGTTGTTTCGGTTTGATTGATTCGGGCAGGGTGGGGATGGACCGGCCACCATGTTAGCACCCCATAGTGGAGCCCTGTCGTACAGCTCGTTAGTTGCCTCGTCAGTTTTCATCACCGTATTGCCCAAAACGTAATTGACATGCGTTTGGGGGCCTATTTTCTAGCCCCATTTGACAAGGCGGAGTAAATTTATGCCCCATTTGACTTCCTGATGGCAAATTCTTAGCCCCATTTGACATGCGTCAAAACACCCCGAAACTTTGCCCCCATTTGACACCTTGCCCAGGGGGAGGGGGTAAGAAATTTCCTTATAAACCCCAACCCGAAGTTTCCAAGAGAAGGCCTCGGAGCCACCCACCCACCGCCAAGCGTGTCGTACAACCTGTAAACTATGCCAAAACGCCCAGGAAAAACTCGTCTAGGTTCCTCTGCGCAAGCTCTATTAAATACAGTGGAAAAACCCCAAACCCCCTGGGAAGTTAGTGTCACAGCGTTGCACTATGGACGGCAAAAAGGTAACCATGTTCTTGGCCCCAGCTTGACTGATGTTATGCACGGCCCTTCCATATGCGCCATACCACCGCCAGTTCTGTTTTCACCAACCGAGACAACGGCCGTTCCAGGTCCCTGCTCCTGCCTCTTTTTTCCCCTGTGGCGCTGGGCCCTCGACCATAGCCCCTGGCACCAATTCCCACGCCTTCTTGTTTCTGTGCTCTGCATCCCCACCCCATTCGTGGTCGCTGTAAGTGCTTCCTCGCAGCTCAGTATGTCTACTGCAACCCCGCATCCTCAGTCGTGTTCCACATCCATGGTGACATGCGACATGCTGCTATGCTAGGCCTTTACTAAGGGCCGACTAGCCGCGTTCGCATTATATGCTTTCTACTTAAGTTGTTTCTTGTACGTTTGGGAATTGGGCAGTTCCGTTCGGCTACCGTGGTTCAGAGGTGAAGTGTAATTGGAACATCAGAAGCCGAGAAGTGACCATTTTGTTAATAGAAATAATTCTACGTATAAGAAACGAAGACAGGATGGCAATGCAGCTTTCAAAACCCTAACATGAGGCCTGGAAAACATTTTCCGGAGGTTCATGTAAAAAAGTCGTTGGGGCCCTGAACTCACCCACCCACCCCTGCCGTACAACCATCTTTGCAAGCCCATAACTTTTTCCGTACAACTCCAAACAGAAATCTGAAAGCAGAATCGGAATCCCGACGCAAAGCGCCTTCGATTTAAGGGTTGGGGTCTATTCATGCGTTTCCGATCATAGCGCACGAACGAGGCGGTTTCTGCGTTGAACAGATGGGATGCGAGTTCGGCGGGGTCTGTTTCAGGCTTAGTTGCTGGTTTCTTACGGCATGGTAGGGTCGGGCCACGGGCCAGGTATGACAACGGTTCCAAGTCAGAAGAGCTCCGTCGGACTGCTACGGAGGAAATATTAATGCATGCACACCTGTTTTAACCACCCAGGTTGGGGCTCCCTCTTTGTTCAGGGATTTCCCCAGGGATGGACGTGCCAGTAATCCGATGTAACGCACCAGCCTTTTTCGTGCATCTTCCCACATCGGACCGCACGCTGCTGCCATACCTGTCTTCCTGTCACACGCCCTATTTGCACTCTCACCAGTATTGTCCCCTTACACCCATTCCTGTCCCCATGCGCACCATGCTTTGTCGTATACAGCATCCCGCACCACTACTAATTTTGACCATTGCCACCTATTCCTCCTTCCTAATGCCGCGCCGCCGTGTCCATAGAAAACCCTACCACGCCAAGTTCGCATGTTTTCGTTTCCCGTCTCGCCTCCTGATTGCTCCTCACCCCCTCATTAACGCGCCCTGCCTCTCTTTTTCCCTGTTTTTCCGCATACCGTATTGCCCCAAATTTAATTGACAAAAAAAATGTTTTAGGTTTTGTCAAATGGGGCAAAAATGTTTTTTTGCCATTTCAAATGGGGCTGGAAATTCGCTGGCAAGGTGTCAAATGGGGGCAAAATAATCCGCCTGGGGTGACTGCAGGGTAACTAAGATGGGAACGGAGAGCTAGGGGGCAACTGACTTGCCAGTGCGCTGCATCCTCACCGCGCCATGCCCAGTCGGGGTTTCCAAATGGTGTTCCACTTATCCTCCTAGGGCTGCACAGCGGCATACAGCTGAACAGCTCCTTTCCTTACCATGTTACATCCAACACGTTCGGTGGCTTTGGGGGCGTTTGGCGCATGTCAAATGGGGCTAGAAATTCGCCATCAGGAAGTCAAATGGGGCATAAATTATTCCCGCTTTGTCAAATAGGGCTGGAAAATAGGCCTCCAAACGCATGTCAATTAAATTTTGGGCAATACGGTATTGACAACCTTTTGATACTGGACACTGGACACGACCCTGGTGCGGCTCTGTTGGTCTGCGTCTCCAATCCTTATGACCATGGCGCATGGGTTTCCCTCTCCACGTACGTACGTTTACCAAAAATGCGTTTCCATGTATTGTATGCTTGTTCGTCCATTTGCTGCGTTCCTTAAGAAGTAGTGACCGGCGGCGCGGCACATGTCTTCCTACGCAAGGCGGCTCCTCCCGCACGTCACCAAAGGTTCTGGTAAGCAAGCCTTCGGTAAGTTACGCTTATCTGCGTGTTTCTAGGTTAGTGTCTCCGAATGCACTTACTGCATGGGTATTGGGACTCTAGTTGTTTGCATTCATTATATAATTTCCCCCCCTGTTCCAATGGTGTTAAAATTGATGATAACGCGCAACGATGACGCTGGGAGTGCCTCCGTGCGACATTGATGGTGACGTCAAGACATAGAATGCTAAATAGAATGCTAAACATGCGAGCGCCATGTGCATCAGAGCGCCGTCGCCTGGTTTCTGTGTTCCGGTGCATGAAGGGGAGGGGATCTCCCCTACCTCACCTGTCACCCAGCGGCAAGCATCACCCCGAGGGAGGAGGGGACTCCCCCTCCGCCCTTAACCCCCCCTGCCTTTCTTCCCCTTTATTCCCCTGCGTGTGCATCAAGTGCAAATGTTGGTAGTTACCCCCATCAGAGGTGCAGCAAGAAACCGCCAACTGCCTGGAGGGTGTAAGCGGGACAAATCCTACATCGACCAGCGTATGCACACTGTAACAATTGCAGTAATAGAGCAGTTTCTGTCAATTTCTGCTGTTCTAGGCACACTGCGCAGCTAACGCTACCATGTTGCACTTGAACTGTTTGTAGCTGATCGCCTATTAAGATGCAGCTGTTCAATCGTTATTGCACATGCGCAGTTACACCAATTACTGTCATACTGCGAGGAATTGGAACTTTTCCATGTTTGTCCAGTGCATCAAAGGCGGTAAAGCGGTAGGCAACAGTGCCTGAGCTGAAGTGACAGGCTAATGAATGAATGGCCGTTGCAATGGTGCCCTAAAAGGGAACACGGGTGATGAACCTTCTAATCAGTTGCAGCTGCCCCAAAGTCCTTGCACATGCGCAGTGAACATTAACACTGCCGAAACGAGCTCAGGCTGTCACGTTATTCTGCTGTAAGACAGGCTGATCACAACCGCTGTCGAATTAAGTATTTGGCACGGTGGCTTGGAAACTAAATCAGAGGGCACAGGCGTGGAACCCTGGCTGGCGTATGCAAGATGCATCCACACGTTCCGAAAATACCACGTGAAGCGGTGGACGCGCCTGCAAACGTAGAAAAGAATAAAAGTCAGCGCATGACATACCGTATTAGACCATAAAGAAGCACAGCAACACATACCTACGAAAGGTGCGACTCGCTTGCAGAATTAGGACGACGCAAATGCGCTTCGCGCGTCCCAAGGCAGACATGACGCGGCAGCTAGCAAGTGGTGCGTGGTGCAGTTAGTACCATGACCCATAGCACCGTGTTAGACGCCGGAAAGCCACAACTTGCACGACAATGGATCACGCACAGAACAGTCACTACAATGATGAGTAGACAACATACGCCTTCAGCAGGCTACATCTGGTATGAAGCCATGTTGCACAGCCACCATTTCGGCCCAGCTGCCGTTCAAGCTGTCAAGCCCGTCGGCGAAGCGTTAAGCGGCGCCATCCTCCATCGTCGCTGCGCGTGGGCTTGCCCTATGATGCATAGAGACCCTCCAAAGAAGGTATACAAGTGACAAGGAAATAAAGTGAACTAGCCTGTTGGATAGCCGCTGGATTAATCAGGTGTCGGGCGATTAACGGTCGTACAACCTCATCCCAGCCGCCCACGGGCTTTGGCGCTGCCAGCGATGC